TATCATCACCGGTCTTTGCAACACCACCTGGTTGGCCGGCTCGATCCTGTCTTCTGGAGCGGTCCGCGGTGGTCTCAACATCAAGGGCAACAACTCTTGGCTCATCCCCGTCTGGCTGCAGGTTGTCTTCCCTGGCCTGATCGCCTTGTTCTGCTTCTTCCTGCCCGAGTCGCCTCGATGGCTCTACGCCCACAACAAGCGCCAACAGGCACACAACGTCTTGACCAAGTGGCATGGATATGGCAACCCCGAGTCCGTCTGGGTCCGACTTCAGCTCAACGAGTACGAGGAGTTCATCGAGATGGACGGCTCTGTAAGTCTTCTTCGCCACTAACAAAGGTACAGGTGACTGACTGGTATAAAGGACAAACGCTGGTGGGATTACCGCGCTCTGTTCAACAAGAGGTCGAGCATCTACCGAACTGCGGTGGCCTGTTGGTTCTCCGCCTTTACCCAATGTAAGTCACACACCCTGTCTCTGCCGCTTCAGATTTCCCTGAGAGTGTTCGCTGACCTGTCTCTTAGGGGCCGGCAACAGTGTTCTCTCCTACTTCATGGGCGCCGTCCTCGACACGGCCGGCATCAACAGCTCCGTGGGCAAGGCCAACGTGCAGCTCGGCTACTCGGTCGAACAATTCTGCTTTGCCGTCCTCGGCGCGCACTTTGTCGAACGCATCGGCCGTCGCAAGATGATGCTCGCGGGCTTCTTCGGCACGTCGCTCGTGTGGATCGGCATGACCGCCGCGGCGGGGACTCTTGCCGGCTCACTGGTGTCCGGCAACGTGGGTGACGGTGATGCCGTCTTCAGCAACAAGCACGCCGGCAACGCCGTTTTGACCTTCATCTTCCTCTTCGGCGCCGTGTACTCGTTCAACCTGACGCCCCTGCAGGCGTTGTACCCCGTCGAGGTCTTCAGCTTCGAACTCCGCGCCAAGGGCATGGCCTTCCAATCCTTCTTCGTCAACGCCGCGGGCCTGCTCAACCAGTTCGCCTGGCCCATTGCCATCAAGAAGATCGAGTGGAAGTGCTACATCATCTTTGTGGTCTGGTGTTTCATCCAGGGATGCCTGGCGTACCTCTTCTTCCCGGAGACGAGGAAGCGAACTGTGAGTTGCCCCGACATATTTTACTTCCTTCCCCCTTTCCCCCGGCATGTCCATCTACTTTCCCCCTTCCGCCTTCCGCCACGTCGTCCTCGCTTGCACATATGTCATTTATGTCATATCATGGTCGCATCGGCTAACTGTCTAAACAGCTCGAGGAACTCGACCAGATCTTCGAGGCCCCCAACCCGGTCAAGTTCTCCGTGCAGAAGACGACCGTGGCCATCACCGAGGACAACACGGTCGTTGCCGTCGATTCGGGCAAGGTGGCCGTGTAAAGGTCTCCTGCCGTTCAATGGGGGGCTGTAGTAGACGGACGGTACACGCGACGGTGCACAAGAGATGGCACACATGATGACACGAGCGCGATACAGTAGAAGGGGTGAGAGACCTGTTGAGTCGTCCACGCATGTTGTGTGAGATGGCGGGAGAGGCGATGCAGCAGTTCAGATACAGTGCCAGAATATCATTTACTATACCTTTACTTTTGCTATGCAATGCGGTGCTGTGCTGGATTAAAGCTACACTACAGTATGCTAGACTATTGTAGGCAGAAGAAGTTTCCTCTCTCGCACATTGATCCGATGCAGGGCTTGAGTGATTTTCTACACAGGAGCACTCAAGTTCCAAATTTGCGGTGGCGGTCATTCAAATCTAGGATGGGACTGATCATCTTTTTCTCTGTCTGTCAGAGAGGAATCATGTGATGTGATGCGATGCGATGTTTGCTGAATGTGACGCTGTGTCAGAGGCGGGGATGACTTCTGATGTTCGCAAAGTAATTAGATCCAGCAATGCGCTGTGTCCAAGAATCAATCAATCAATCAGCTCGTGTAATTATTGTCCCCCATTGCTGGGATCGATACCCATCCGCCCGGCCCAAACTCGGCGTATCACTACAACTCCAATGACCACCCCGAGCACAAACCCTGGTGGTATTCACCTCTCTGGCCCTTTTCACTCATCTCCATTCCTCCTACGCCACCCTTTCCCCTCTTTTGGCCTGCAGCATCGGGGAGCCCGTTATCGCATTCCCTTTTTCGTTCCATTCGGTCCGATCTCAAAAACACCCCGTCGCGCCAATGACACATGTATTGTCCTCGTTCCCCAGCGGAAGCACACAGTGCTTACGCAGTACCCGACAAGCTTGACAGGTGGCCGCCGCTCGGAGTGGTGCAAACACTAGCCATGCGGCCCCGGAGCTTTGGTGCTCGTCATCACGAACCCCCCGTGGCGCACGCCTTCCTCCCCAACCCCTGGGAAATGTGGAGGCACCCTATTCGCCCACTGTGAATAGGCATAAATAGGCCGAGCGCTGGTCTCTCCTTGATTGACCCCACTGAGACATCGAGACTGATGTCGGTGGTGCGTACCACATCATGGTCGTGGTCGTTGTCATGCTCGTAGTCATAGTGATGGTCATGGTCACGGTGACGTTCATAGCCGCGGTCGTGATCATCCTGATGATCATTGACCAGAGTGGTCGTGATGTCTAATTATGGTTCTGGTTATGCTCGGAACTGTGCCCATCTTCTGGTTCGTTGTCCACGTTGTACTCGTCATCATGACTCTCGCCGGACTTATCATTAGGGTCGTCGTCGTTGGCGAGGCCACGATTATGCTCGTTCCCATGCTCGTGCTCCGGGGCGCAACATAGTCGCAATTTTGATGCTCCTGGACCAGTCGGCATGGTTCATTCGGTGCTGGCGAGTTGAATCGTCGTAGGACAGTGCGTGGCTTTGTTACCGTGGTTCGCCGTGCATGTCAAGTGGCTCAAGCATACCCATGTTCTCAGTCAAGTGCATAGTAGGCTCAGAATCGTGCGCGACCATCTCATCATGTTGGCTGCGTGTCGCCTCGTGCATCGGTGGCAGGCCGTCTGAACGGGTACCTAGGGGATGGGGTTGTCCGGGCCAAGCTTTTGTCAGCAGTCTTCGTCCTTCAATCACCGGGAGCGTTCCTTCTCTTCGTGTTGTGTATGACAAAGGTAGAAAACGCAAGCATACAGTGCCTCGCCGGGATCCAAGCGCAATGGTTGGCCACGATCCCAGCAATGGAGTAGCGTACCCATGGTGATGGTGGTGACCCCAGTGCTGCTGGTGCATGAAGGAGCTCATCTCGTATAGCTTGCCAATGTTGAAAGCAGGCTGAAAGCTGAAGTGATGGTTTGCGATCCTGCCACTGTCATCCTGAGGTGATGGCGACATGGTGACGATTTCTTCATGTTCCGAGAACCGCAGTATAGTGCGGCTAATTATCCCAGTAATGATGTCGACGAAGTCAAACGCTGCCGTGCTTCATTTTCTTCTTGGCATGACCATTTCGGGGCTTATCAGCGGTCGTCGTGTCCGTTAGCCCTAAGATTCATGCTGCTCCCTGGCTGCTACCGTAAAGGATCATGGCATTGTTTCCCCTTAGCGCCACTGTCGCATTGGACCCGGGGCGTCAGTTAGCCCTGGAACGATGGTCTGACCTTGGCGGGAAGAACAAGGGCTGAAGTGTTACTGATTTGACAGGCTTGTATATGCGAGCCTGCTCTGTCCAGATGAATGACAGAGGATTCGGCTGCCGAAGGACGAAAGGACTGGCATTTCTGCCCGTACTGTCGAGCACTGGCGACGAAGTGAGCTTGAGTTTATCTTATCTTAGCTAGACGATCGACGTGAGAATATCCGGGTTTGTTCATGCACAACTCGGTCAGGGGGGCTTGCGCCATCGGTACTCAGAAGCAGTGCTCGCGCCTTGCAAGGAATGGGTCCGAATCTCACTTGAGGCTGGGGATTGAGTGAAGATGATCGAAAGCAACAAGTACCAGCCAGTACGTACCAACCATTCCCCCTCTTCGTTGATTAGGATATGATAGTATCGAGCTTTGTGTAGAATGTGGCCGACCGCTGGAGTTACAAGTGTGTAGAGCTCATTACCGGATTCACTGGATCACGTATGAGGTACCTCATGATCGAAGGACCGCAAAAAGCCATGTTCATAGCTGCCGCACGAGGGAATCAGAACCACCAACCTTATCTCCGCAGGCACACCCACCGGTCACACCTCACTGAGGGGTACGAGGTACGAGGGTATCGAAAACGGCCGGGAGAGGCGTAAGGCGTAGGTGCTGGCGTGGTGGGGGTTGTAGGCTTGGCACCTACCTAGGTATTTGGTGGGCTGTCTTTCAGATGACCTCATTGAGAGTAATGTGAAGGTCGAGTGAGGGTCCAACAAACTGCAGAACCGCAGGGACTCGTCTACGCGTAGGTGTGTGGCGCTTCGTTCTGGTGGCCGATGCAAAAGTACATGATTTGTATGCGGAGTACACTGCATGATGTACCATTGATCGTTGCCACGGTAGGAAGAATGCCCATGTTAGGGCGGACACTGAACGCATAGGGCGATGTGGGAAACTTAATCGGTGCATTTGCTCTCATTCAAAAGCCTCTATTTGCCCGTGTGTCTGAAGACAAGTCAGAAATACAGTGCCAGACAAGTTGCGGGTATCTCAATGTGGTGTTCGGCATCAAAATGCTGATGTGCTGTCACCGCCTCTGAAAAAGCATTTCAGTCGAGATAGAACACCACACCATTCTCTTCGTTTGCTGCGCTAGACTCCTCCATCCTGCGCTTCCGATGCACCCATGACAGCTCGGTCCCAATATACATTACAGAACAATACGGCCATATATTCTGCCTTGGCCTGTGTCCTCACGCTCAGAATGCATCCTTCCCAACACCCTTGATACTGGACGCTAACCGTAGAACGAAAAAGCTCGATTGGATGAAATTCGTCATTTTTGTCATCAACGACGTCCTAAACGCCAGCGCTGTGGAAGTAATGAGAAAAGACATAACGCATCGCCACACCCGAGCCAGTTGCGCGCATGGATATGTGAAACTGCATGGTCACGGTGTTTGTGACGGTGGAGGATATAGGCCAGGCGGGTAGAAGGACGCATCAAAACTTTCCGCAGCCTGTGCAAGAGTGTCGAGGTCTGAAAGTCCGCGAATGAGAGGCGGCATGGCGTTCATAAAACCACCAACTCCAGAGCTGGGATCGTGCGATTTGCTCATGACAGGTATTTGGCCCAGAGAAGCCGCATGCATCAGAGTCTCGTCGCCGAGCGGCGGATACAGAGAGCTCGGGGATACGTTGTCTGGAATAGTTTGGATGGGCATGAGTACCTCGGTCGGGTCCGCATAGATGGAGGGTTCCTCAACATTGAGGGGAGTATCAATAGCCGTGGGGGCGACAGAGGTGACTTCGGAAAGAGGCGAATGAATCAGACTCGATCGCCGGCTCGCTTCTGTGTTTGAGCTGTGCTCTTTCTTGAGTTGCTTCGCCTTTTGCGCGTCTTTAGTGATAGCCGCCTTGCTTTTACGAGTCGAGTCTTCGCTGTTGCTACTTGACGTAGACTGGCCCTTGTGTGTGCGCTCGTGCTGCTTCATGTTGTCTTTCCTTGTAAATGCCTTGTTGCAGATCGGACAATGAACACCCTTCTCGCCGGTGTGTTTTTTCCCATGACGCGCGGCGTGCCCCGACGTAGTAAAGGTGGCTTGACAGTGATGTGATTGCGCATAGGGGCAAGGGTATTTGTTCTTCTTGCCAGTGGTGGGAGCTGAGCTTGTTGTTGGGGAGGTCCGAGGTTGCGCGTTGGCAGGGGCCGAGGTGACTGGGGGTGGGACAGACGCATTGGGGGGTTGCGATGACGTGGAGAGGTTCTGGAGTGTAGGATGCAACGGCACGGGCGCAATGGGATATGGGTTAGGAGTGATGGGATGCATCAATTTCCCCGAGAACTGATCAGCCATGTTGGGGCCGATCAACAATTGTTGCTCAAGGAATGGAGTGATGGTGGTGGGAGACGGCAGATAGCCTCCAGCCAGAGGGTCTTGGCGGAGGAGCGGGTCATACTGCGCGAGAGTGTGGTCCAAAAAGTTATACGCCGGCGTTGCAGGTGACGGAGATGAATCCATGCTCGAGGTGGAATACTTGGACGAGGAAGAGAGCCGAGATAGAGCAGGAGGCGAGCCGGCCGACGACACAGATGATTCCCTGTCGTACTTGGGTTGACGCAAAAGACTCGGCCTTTCTCCCCTCGGCGGCGGCGAGACCGTTGACCGGTGCGATTCAGCCGTAGGAGAAGACTGCCTGAATTGCCTCGGGCGGATGACGAAGGATGGACAGTCGTTGTCGTTCAAGATCGAGAAGATACGTGCTTCTCGAGGTTGCGTCTGCACTTCCATTGTTGGACGCACTCAAAATGCGCCCAGCGGACAGGCCGCTGGTCCAAAGTAAGCTAGAGAGGGCAACTGCCGGGAAGAGTCAGGTCGTGATACTATACTGCAAGGCTGTGAGAAGGTACGTACAGCTGATCAAGGCCAATGAAGACGCGCGATGACTGGGTGAATGTGGGCTGCTATGAGTTGAAGAAGTGGTCTGACTCTGCCGTGTTGGAGACAACAGGGCGCTGCTTGTCTTGATGGAACTGACTTAGCAGCTAGGTATTGAAGTATGGATTGTGTGCCAATGCATCTATGGGAACAAAGTACTGGGTGAGGTATGTGGAGTGATTGGCAACTGGCAGGACAGCTACTGCACGGCGAAGAGATCCGTAGAAGAGAAGGACCCTTGATACACAGCGATGCTCAAGATGTTCCTGGACACGCTTCACTGTGTGTAAAAGATGACGGTCGCGATGTAGGGACGCAGAGCAGAAAGAAGGGTCGTCCGGCAGACGAGAGGGAAAGAGTTGACCTTTCAACTGAGATTCTCAACCAGGAAGTCGTGCGAGCGTTGTGCCGTGTCGGAGGGTTTGCAGGTTTTCTGCCATTGTTGCTCTTTCCAGCGGGGCGCGATCGAGGATCGAGCAGATGGAAATGTCGAAATGGCATCTGAACGGGGCAAAAGCCAATAATTGGGGCTGCTCCATGCGCTGGGCAGGGTTGTCTCGTGGGAACAATGTCAGCAGCGGCGGGAAGGCTGGGTCCCATGTCAAGACTAGCGAGGGAAGGACAAGAGATGAGTGGTTGACAGGCAAGTAAGAATGAGGTTAGGCCTGTTGTGGCAGATTGAAAGCGCTCTAGTTTCGTGCTATTCAAGGCTTGGAAGACATCATGCCGCTTGCATCGACCGATGATGCTCCCAGGGCTCGTAGACGCACCCGAGGCCTGCATCATAATCATTTCCATCGTGGCTTCTGCTGGCTTCGCGGTGGCTTTTGAAGACAAGACCCTGCAGACACGACTGCCACCCGACCTTCTACAGATCCAGGACGTGTCACCCACCAAACATGGTAGGCGTGTACACCCCTCCTGTGCACACAGTTAAAAGGAGCCAAAAGACATTTCAGAATCGCAAGATGTTGACACCAAAATTGCAGGCACCACAACCGCGAGATCCCTAGCTTAATCATTGTAATTGGCTGTGCTGTAACACGACTGTCGCTTGTGAGACTCGCGTTCTCAGGATGAAGCCACAGGCGGAGTGTCAAGCCTTGCCATGCTGGATCATGATCGGCGCAGTGAGCACCTCAACAAGCACGGCTGACCTGGCACGAGTCAAGGTTTTGATGAGTTTCGCGACATCCCCTGGCATCTCTGTGACTCGGGACCAGGAATGATCGAGCGATACACGAACAGATTACGATCCAGAAAAATAAAAAGCGGGCTGCGGACACAAGAACCGGATTCCCCTCATGCGGGTCCTTCCAGCAACGCTCATGCGTCAGTCTCAGAGTCAAGCGCACTCCCAGGGGCAAGGATCAGAGCTGGACCACTCAGGTTGTCTCAGAGAAAGGCTCCGCTCTTAAGGTTTGGTTAGAAGCGCCGAAGTGGACGACAGGGGATCATCGTGTTGCGCATATCGGAAGCTGTGGTGGATGGAAGCCTTACCTGTTGGATACTATCCGGTTCTGTATACTCGTACTGGCACCGCGCTGGAGTTGAGATTGCAGCTTTCTACCACACTGAGGAAAAATTCCTTCTCGATGCAGAGTGTCAGCGGACTGAACAAGTACTCGGATGGGGTGCGCGAAATGCTGGCCGCGATTTGTGGGGCTCTGACCTGGGGGCCAGCTTACCGGCCTAGCAATGACATCACTGCCAGCGTTGAAATTCACGATGCTCGCTATCAGAGCTCGATCGCAGAGTCAGGGTCTAACCTGCAGGTGTGCCGCAGGAGTTAAAGGCCAAGCTTATTTCCCTTCTTGCGGCAGCCACCTAAACATCCTCACGGTCCTACTGTATTAGTACTATGGTAATCGAGAATTGGATTGATTCTCGATGTGAGTACGGTTACGGGTACACAGTACCACCATACCTAGGTACGGTACAGCTGCACGCTCCCAGGCAATATTGTACGAGGTACGGATTGGACGGATGTCCCTCGTGCGATGGGAGGTCATCCCCTTCTCGCCGCGGTGTTCATGCAAACACGTGCCTGCGCTCTGTGCTCTTTTCATGGAAATCCACCAATTCGCCTCTTCTTTCCACGCCGAGCACCACTCATGTTCATCTTCCCGGCGAACATAGGAAGTCTACGTCCTACTTTGTACAATGAGTATGTACTGTGTAGTACTTGAGGTTTTGCGAAAGCGCCCGGAGACCGGAAGGAAATGAAGTGCAAGTCCGCTGTCCGCCACGTGCGGCGAGCCTGTTGATCTTCGATCAATCAGGCACTACCACCCCTAAAGCGATCGCATCCGCATAAAGAACCCGGAAGATGTGTCCAGTACGAGGTACAAGATAGCTTCCATTACAGGCGTGCAGGGCACGCAGGGTACCAGCCAAGCTGTAGGGCTGGAATTCTCTAGCAGACCCTGCGGAACCCCAACATCTCCCTGTAGATGCTAGCTGGCGCAGACTACTCGTACTCGTATGATCACTGGGAAGTCCGTTGCCCTTTTGGCAATCCATTGCCAAGCCAGCCATGGTGTTCGCGAAGCAGGACAGAAGCACGCATTTCCTTAGGACTTTGCTGTGAGGCTGTGCTCTCCGAGCAAGGCGCAACGAGGTCATCTGGAAATGCCCAAGGCAGACCGGTGAACAAGCCAGCTTCATCCTATGGGATTTAGCGGTGAAGAAGTGTTATCGATTGATAGGGTCGTGACCAACCAGCCCTCACTGAGATGCTCACGCAGTGGCCGGTCTCGTGGTTGCTGACGTGGCAGTGCAAATATGGTGAGTTCTCATCATAATCTCATTCGCCGAGTGAGCCCTCCGCTTATGGGCGCAGGGCAGTAGATTCGAGACCCAACTTGCCTGCTGCCCGGTCTTTGAGACGGCCCTTTAGCCACCACCGCAGTTTTGAAGTCTGCGCTATCGAACGAAGTAGGCGCTTGAGTAGAGTGCACACAGTATCGCAACATGTTCGTTCGTGTAGCGCACCGCGCCTTGTTGCCCAGTTGCTCAGCTTGCATCCAGCATATACCTTGCTAATTAGATGGGCTCTGGCGACGGTCAAAGCCAACGCCCGAGTTCCTGGCAATGACGTACGGGTAGCGGTTGGCTGTTGCCCCGAAATCTCCCTGCTCGCCGGCTTTTTGTGCGCCCCGCGGGCACTTTTGTCTCCTCAGTCAGCTACCACCACCACGACGTTTCGCCTCACCACGAACAAGAAAGCCTGACAACTTCGCCAAGCTGCCCAGAATCCTGGCCTTCTTTGAAGCCGCTCAAAAGCAACCTGCATCCACTTCCCTGATCCAGACCATCAGCATCTGTATTCCTCCATTACCCTGTCGGTCACTGCAACCGCCAGAGACTGGAAGCGATCACATTCCGCATCGACCCGAACCTTCCTGCCGCTCCGGTATCTTGCTGGGACTGCGAATTCCTTTTCCATTACTATTGTCTTCGAGCCTTGCAAGTTTAGCCCAGCCGCAGCGACAATGTCTTATTACGACGACGACAGATCCCGCCGACCGAGGAGCACCCGGGAGCGGTCCCGAAGAGATGACTATGACGATACCACGATTTACGACACAAACACCAGAGAATCCCGGATAGTCAAGAGGCGCGATGACAGCGTCGACTCTATCGAAGAAGTCGCCCGTGATTTCGCCCCTGGAGACCGCGGCGCTGTCTATCGCGAGACCACTGTGCGCAAAAGCGGCCATCGCCCGATCCGAACGAGGTCGTCCGATGATCGCTGGTACGACGATCGGTATGACGACCGGTCTTATGTTTCGCGAAAGAGATATGATGACGACTACGTCGTTGTCGACAAGCCGAGACGCAAGGGTCGAGATTACGACGACAGCCGTGAGTTTCGGCGCCCCGCCCACCCTATCTCTATTTCCGCAACTGACCCTTCCTAGGCCGCTCCCGTCGATACTCCTCGGATTACTCCTCTCGAAGCCGCACTCCACCCAAGAGAGAGCGCAGAAAGTCCACGGTTGAAGAGGCCTTGGGTGCTGTCGGCCTAGGAGGAGTTGCTGGAGCTCTTTTGGGCAAGAGCCGCGATAGATCAAGATCAGGTTCTCGCGATGGCCGCCATCGAAGCCGAAGCCGCGCTGGTCGCAGAGACAGATCGTCGTCTGACCGTTCTCGATATCGTAGCAAGAGCCGCGGCAAAGCCAGGAATGAGCAAATCTCACAAGCCATAAAGGCTGCTGTTCTGGCTGGAGCCGGTGAGGCGTTCCGTGCTCGCAAGACCGACGGCGGTTGGGGCGGTGAGAAAGGCAAGCGAGTGCTCACCGCTGCGCTCGCCGCAGGCGGAGTTGACGGCTTGATCTCCAATAAGGAGGATCCTCATCACCACAACAAGCGAGACATTGTCGGCTCGGCTTTGGCTGGTATGGCCACCAATCGCATCATCAATGGACCACGGTCGAAGTCTCGAGGCAGGACCGGGAGCCCTGACAGTCGCCGTGGGCGCAGCCAGTCTCGAGGAGGCTTGGGAGACCTTGCCGCTGGCGGAATTGTCGCAGCCACGGCAAAGAAAGCATATGATTCAATCCGCTCCCGATCCCGTGGTCGCGCGCGTTCTCGAAGCGCATCATCATACGACAGCCGTGGTAGCCGGAGCCCGCCAAGCAAGCGCAGTCGCAGCCGCTCAATCGCCGCCAGAGGGCTTGCAGCGTTGGGATTGAAAGATGCCGCGGACAAGGTCGATCCAGGCCGTGAACGGGATCGCCGCCGAAACTACGACAACTACGATGATGATGGACGGTCAAGCCGTTATGGAGGATATGGATACAATGATTCCCGAGATGTAGGTACCATTCAACCCCAGTATGACTATGCAAATGGCGGTCCCCGTTCCCTGAGCGTACCTAGGGGGGCGCCCTCTGGCTATGAGCTCGACTACGGCCCGCGTCATACCGGGGACCCAGAAACAGACTCCGATTCTGACCTCGGCTCCAGTTCCGAAGATGAGAAAGAGATTAAAAAAGGTCGCAAGAAGATGTTGCTCAGCGGAGGTCTTGCGACCGTTGCAACTATACACGCTGCGCACAGTGTATACCAAAGTATGGAAAAACGCGAATTGAGACAGAAGCTATTGAAGGAGGGTGATATCAGTCCCGAACAAGCGAGGCAGGCAAAGAACAAAAACAGACTCCAGGATGTAGCCAGCATCGGGATCGCGGCTTTGGGTCTCAAGGGGGCCTACAGCGAATGGCAGGAGACCCGGGAAGCACAGAGGGAACAGAAGGAGGAAAAGGAGAAACGCGAAAGACACAAAGCCAAGCGAGCAGCAAGACGCCGGAAGATGAGCATGATCGCAGCTCACAATTACGTCGACAGCGGCTTTACTGGAAGCATGCCAAACCTGGCCAGCTACCCTCAGCAGCAGTATCCGCCGCAGCAACCGACCTTCCCTCCACCGCCCGGGGCCTTTGCGTATGGCACGGGCTCACCGGTCCACTACGCTGATGACAACCCTTATGGGGCAATATCACAGCAGCAGGCCTATGTCCCTGCACCCCATCATGAACCTCAAGTGGGTGTTCCTCGGGCCGAGACTCATTGAAGCATTTACGACCGTTCACGATTCCCTTATGACTGCAAATAACGCCCCAAATCATGCTCAGATCTCCGATCCCGCAACCGCGTATGTGATGGTACATCAACTTCGGCGATGGGATCCTTTTTTTAGAAATGGCAGCATAAGATCAGGCCTGTCTGGTTTGGCTACGATACCATGATTCAATGACAAACAATTGATCTGATGTGACGAGAGTCGCTGAGGACAACAAGATGTTGAATCGTGTTTCACTTCTCTGTGTTCTCTGTCGTAGTCCTACTCGGAGCAGCCGCGTCTCACCTGCTTCCGTTTAGCATTGGACTGCAGCAGATGACTCGGAGGTGCGGCTACAGTCCTTGGGGCTGTACTCTCCCACCTCACTCTGAGCTCTGTTGTCCACTTCTCTCTCAGCTCCCTTGTCGCCCTGTCTCTCAGCTCTCTTTGTCCCATCGATCACATTTGCACCTATTTGTCTCCTCCAACCTCGCCAGTTTCGGTTCGTGCGGCTCAACTCAGTAAGTTAAACTGCTTTGCCGTAGGTCAATCGCTGACTCACTAGCCACAGGCAGCACCACAACCCCCCTCGGAGCAGAAGTCAACTGAACGCAATAACGTTAGAATGCCTAACTACGAGGTTACTCTGGCAAGCACCATTCGCACTCCGGCACACAGCATATTCCTTTCGGGTCGTGGATGGACCGCTGAAGGTGTCATTTGAATAGATGGAAATCAAGCATATCTGATATCGGGTACGACATAACCCTGCCATGCCGACAAGCTTGAGCCACGCATGTTTGCCACTGGTATTAGAAGCAAGTCAAGTCAGCACCGCCTGATCTGCCCGTTTCGTCACTCTCTGAAGCCACCCCGAACTGACCGTCCTCATCTATTCTCAGGAAGTCCCTCCTCGGAGTGGAACGCCGTCTTCGGCAAAAATGAAGCCAGGAGATGGACTGCGACCTCCCCGGACGGGCCCCCATGACTCCAATGAAGTGTCATCAGAGATATTGGATGAGAATCGTGATGGACTTCTTCCAAACGCGGTCGATCTGTAGCGCCCGTACGCGCCGTCGAAGTGTCCGTCTCGTGGTTGGAAGTCGTTCCCAGCAAATCTGAATCCAGGAGATGGATGGTGAGCCCGCCTAGGAGGGAGTCCATCATCAGGAAACCGAACATGAATCGTGGTGGTTGTCCAAATTGTATATCGTCTTGTCGACCGAACCTGCCCCTAGGGAGGAAGTCCAGATCGTCCTCCTCTACAACCAACGGGTGTCTTTGAAATACCGGCATTTGCTCCAACACAATGGGTCGATTGAACGCAGGAATTTCTTCAGCGTACGGTTCGTCAAAGCCACCTCCAACCACGACATCTGGGCCGCCCCCCGGATTGGGATATACGCCTGGGAAAGGCGGTCTTTGACCGAACCCGTTCACTGCACTAGGATGTATTGGAAGCCGACCACCTCCGTCGAGGGCGAAGTCACCAAAAGGGTCTCCTCGAGTATATCTCTGCCGGGTCTCCACATATCGTCGGCCGCCTGGACTCCTGGCCCAACGGCGCTCGTCTATCCGGACTGGCCTGCCTTGGCGATTCCAGCGTTCCAGGTCTTTGGGCCGTATGCCAGGTGTGGAGTAGCTAGTACCCATCGGTACTTCGAGTGGCTGTATCACAATGAATGGATAAGTTCCCTGATTCGCCTACGATACGACTGCCAGATTTGGCCTTCATCAGACATAACTTCGAGGTATTATTGAGTTGATGGGAATGTTGGAAGAGAAGGTTCAGATGAAAGGCACACGTTTATGGTTCCTGTGTGATCTCGATTGCGATTTATGGTGGCTCACTGGTCATTAATTGGCGCAGGCAGGCGTATCACAGTGTTTTCGTGTTGTGAGAGTGTCAGTCACGCACGTTTGCCTCCCGGTGGTGGGAGGATGTGTGAGAGGCGTCCGACTTCCGAGGCAGTGTTTGGTCCGAAAAGTAGCGTTAGATGTTCTCGGCCAGAATTCGATAATCGAAGTATCTAGACACTGATATCAACAAAAAGGATCCTATGTCATTGCGCCGGAGAGCTCCGTGACGACGGTGTGGCGCGGCTACTGCCAGTAAATACACCCACTCGCCTGCGAAAATTTCATCTGATGAACTGTTGGACGACAGAACCGACGGCGACCATCTGCGTGCGGCGCTCTCATCCACCGCACCGGCCTCCATCCCTTACGTGCACTCCACAAGTAGGATCCGGATCCGTCTCCGTCTCGACAATATTCACTCGCTCGCCGTGCCCAGAAGGGATCATCAATGTCGAGGAAGACCTTTTCTCGAGATGTTCCTGTCGCATGAGTGTCACGTTGGCTTTCTGTCTCTGTGGCTCATGGTCTGTTGTCTTCTGTCTTTTCGGTCGATGGCCTGCCCGTGCCGCGACTCCTGCACCTCCTCGCGACCAGTATCCCGAGGGACGCCGGCGTAGGACCGGTCATGCCCAGCCCGGCGGCATGGGAGCGCGAGGCATCAGTCCGGACGACGTGCCTAGCCTTGAATCTTCCCGGTCGTGATCCAGCTCTTGTCCCAGCTCCGTGGCATAGGGTGGCAGCCTCTCATAGTGACGGGGCTGTGCTCTTAACTCAGGCTCTCCATGCCTGTAGAGATCCAATTGTCCACGCGTACGGAGCCCAGGGAGGGTGCTGGTTGAGGACCAGAGATTGTTTGGCTGGCACTTGAGAAGACGAGGGACAGACTGGAGTGCTCAGTCGTCCGACCCAGTCAGGCGGCAGACCATGCTGGTCCATAGCGACACATGCGTCGTGCCCGTCCGCCCAGTCTGTTGAACCGGTGGTCTGTCAGATCGTGGGACTAGAACGAAGGCGCGAGCTTGCTTGACGTGGGCGCATGCATCCATGCCAAGTGCTCTGATACGCCCAGAGCATACGTTGGTGAGTCCAGTAGTTGTTTCAAAATTGCCAGGCCGGTTCCCTGTGGCTGCATGGACCGACGGGACTTTCGCGGCAAGGGAGCACTGGGTCTTTGAGTAATTAATTACTGCGTTGTCTTGTCCAGAGCTTGGTGTTGTATGCCAGCTATCCCTTCTTTCTAGCGTTCTATATCCCGAGTGGCGGGATGGTTGATGAGAAGACGACATCCAGGGAAAGTGGTCGACGCATTCACCAAGCATTTTCTGCTGGACAATAACGGCAGGCGGTGGTCGAGTTGGAGGCTACAGTAGGTATGAAAGCCAAGCGTCCGCGAGGCTGCGAATGTCGGGGGTCAGAGACCCTTTATGTATTGTCGATGGGCTCAAATTACACACGCCGTCTTGCTAGCTGAGGCGGCTGTAAGCACGAAGGCCAGGTGGCTTCTCCGAGCGGAGATACATCTTTCTCTGTTTGCGAATAGAGTGCCGAGTCTGCATTGTACGCGACAGATGTTTGGGAGGAGGTCTATCCTGATCTACGAGATATTCCTACTATCACCACCCCGCCATGTTTTGGAACTTCCCTTTTAGATCACTGTCCGTGATATTGTAGATGAGGGTCTCCATCTTGATCTACAGAGTAGTCCTATTCTCACCACTGCCTCATGCTTTGGAACTTCCTTCGGAGATCACTGTCCGCGATGTTGTAGACGAGGGCCTCCTCAACAGGCATTGGAGCCAGCTTTGGAGGCCGCAACTCGCCCTCGCTCATCAACTTCGCTGCATCGTGGCCGAACAACCAGTCGAGCCTGGTCGAGTTGGCCCAGAAGAAGGGATTGTCCAGGTTATCTCGTTGTCTGATCAGCTGGTCTCGCCGGTCTCTTTCCGGCCCGTCATACAGGTGCCACCACGCCTGGAGGATGCGGGTATTCTTCGCTACGTGAGTCGCTCGGGGCAATCTTTGCGTCTGGTACGCGTGGAGCGCCTCTCGAATCTTGTCGTGCTCCCGAAGAGCGGCTTGCAAGGTGGCTGCGTCCTCGGTCGCCTGTGCGGCGCCCTGAGCCAAATATGGCATCATCGGGTGGCATGCGTCTCCTAGGATGGCGACCTTGCCGCTGGGATGGACCCACCTCTGGAGGTGATCGAAATCGGCAAGCTTCCACTTGAGGTAAGAGTCTGTGAGGCCACACAATTTCCGCACAGGCGGGCACCAGTCGGCGAAGCGCTGGACGAGTTCCGTGTTGTCGGCCTGGGAGCGCCACTCCTCGTCGCCAATCGGGCGGCCTACATCGGTGTGGTGTGTTATGTCGATGATGATGTTGTAGAGCTCGCCATCGCGGAGGGGGTAGCCGACCGCGTGGGCCTCGGGTCCGAGCCAGTGCATGGCCAAGCCGCTTTCCAGCAGCGGGCGCAATTCTGGATCGTTTCGAAGCCGTTCGGCCGGCACGATGACCCGGTATGCCACGTCGCCGGTGTCTTGAGGCTCGATCGGGGAGCCGTTGATGGTGTTCCTGACTGCGGATTTGATGCCATCGGCACAGATGATAAGGTCTGCTGTAAGTCGTTCACCACTCGCCAGTGTCACGGCCGGGCCTTCAAAGTCGTAGTCCCTCACCTTGCTGTCCATCCGCAGGGTGATGTTGTTGTGTTGAGACGCCGTCTTGACGAATAAATCGATCAGGTCTGCCCGGTGGATGAAGTAGTACGGCGCGCCATACTTGGCCTCCACGTCCTTGTAGTCGACGTCGAGCAGCACCTTGCCCGTCCAGTCAAGAAAGCGCAGCCCACGAGCGGTTTCTCTCTTGATCTTGCTGAAGTCGACACCCCAGCTCCGGCTGAGACGCGATGAGTTTGGAGGGACCCGGATCCCGGCACCAACCTGGAAGAGCGTGGTGTCAGTGTCGTCGCGGATTAACGAAAAGTCTGTTAAGCCTCACCTCTAGAAATTCTTTGACGCCCTCGAGGACAGTAATCTGATGGCCATCCGTCGCGAGAGCCAGAGCCGTCGACAGGCCGCCAATCCCTGCTCCGACCACTATCGCCTTGAGATCTTTCATTGTGTCGAACTTTGTACGTCAAGTTGATCCCGCAACTGGCCACGTTGAACATGCGCGTACCCTGCAAGGACACATCATCCGCGACTGTTTTATACTGATATGGATCAGGATGTCAACAAGCACTCAGTCAATCTGACCGTCGGGAAGAACGAGATCGGGCAGTTCTCCAAGTTGCCGGAATCATGTAGCCGCGGTGAAACTCCTTGTCGAAGTAACCATGGGTCTGATTCCACCGTTCACCCCGCACAAGCTGACGTCGAGTCTATCTTACAGCTAGCCTGAGGGTGTTATTCACGGGCTGCACAGGGACTCAGCGGTACCGTTTATCTGCCATCCTTGGAGCAGGGGCACAGTCGGGCGCCGCGGCTGCGGTATAAGACCATGTACAATTAGCTGCGGAACATGACATGTCGACAACATCAAAATCTCGCTATGGACGACATCCATCTCTTGAGTATGCAAAGTCTCGAAGTGGTATCTGATTCTCGAATCGTGGATGATATGCTCGGTACTGGGGACGACAATGGTGCCAGGCTTGATCGATGACTTGCTGTTGATTCCTGTTCTCTTCAGTTTGGAAGGCTGGAGAGATGGTGCTCATGAAGGCTGTTTCGGAATGATTGTAATGTAAACACAAAGTCTCAGCCTTTCTGGCCACGATTCCCTAGAATCACGGAAGTATCCATCTATGTGGCGAACGAGTGCGGGCATAGTGAAATGCAAGGCCTGTCGTGCCTACAAGCGCACCTGGGAAGGAAGCTTCTATTGATGCAAGAAGCATGCTAGTACTTGCGAGGTGCGCAGGACGCTATCCAGCAAGCAGCGTGCTCCTGGAGCACGCAGATGGGTTGGCCCACAGAATAGGCGTTGCTCGGCTCTCCAAGGGCTGCGAGGGCTGCCAAAGTTTACCTAGAAGCTACAGTAAATAAAGCTTAGGCTGCCCCGGTGAGACCGGGTCAGCCTCGCAGCGCCTTCTCAACTTGCTGAACACCTCGTCACCGCGTCAGCTACGTCCGGATCAGCCTCTGAGAACGAAACTAGAAAAAGGCCAGATCTTTCCGCCGTCCTGAGCTCGGGGGCTCTGCTCAGGCGAGAAAAGCACGGTCTGCGCGAAAAGCTGGCTTCTCTCCAACACAAGGTACTGGGTTGAAGGCTACCATAACATGACAAGGTATTTGCTCCACGTTAAAACTGAACACGTCTAGCAGGCGTCTGCTTTGTAACACTGCATATGAACGACATCGAAGATTGACAGGCGTGACCCAGAGCTCGATGACCAAGCTTGCAGAACTCGACAGGCAAATTCCTTCCCTCAACCGTCTCGGATCCCTCTTCACTTGCCCTGAACGTCACGACTTCTTGGTCAAAACACCCACCACATGAACAACCGGGCTCAACTCATCAGCCTGTTGCACCTCAACGTTAGCCCAGCCTCCATCCCTGGCGTTGGCCACCTTCCAGAACGTATCCATGGTGTTCCTGGTCAAACAACACCCACCCATCAACTGCTTCCACCCCAACAACATGTAAAACTGCTGCGCCAGCCGCGCAACCCAGTGACCCGTGTTCAACACGTGCTCGCAAATGACGAACCGCCCGCCGGGCTTGAGCAAGCTATACAAATCCGCCACACTGGCCGCCTGGTCCGGCACGCCGCACAGGACACGCAGACAGACAATCTCGTCGAAGAGTTGGAGATCTGTCGACGACGTCTTGCCCTCCTGGACCAAGCCGGCCTTGATCAACGCCGGGATCATGGCGTCCAGGTCCGCGGTCGCGGCCAGGACGTGATACTTGTCGCCCAGTCCGGCCGCGCGGGCTTTCTCTCTCAACTTGTCGTGCAGCGAGATGCCCGGCTCGACGCCGTAGATGGCCGTGATGTTCTCCGGGTGTGTGAAGCGGTGGACCTGTTCCCCGGAGCCGGGGCCCACGTCGAGAATCACGCCCTTGCTTTGGGCGAGCAGAGGTGGGAGACTCTCGGGCGTGTCGTCCGCGCACATGGGCCCAAACGTGAGCCACAGGTTGGCGAAGGCCTTTTCCTTGAATGCCTCGAGGTCGCGGAGCGGTAGGAGCGGGTTTTTCAGAAAAGTAAGCCCGAAGACTGAGTGCGGTATGTGAGCGAGTCGTCATGCATGGAGTTGTCCTCGGCCACGACAGCATCGTCGCACCGCGAGGAGAGGGAGATACTTACAGAACGCGCTCGCGCCCATGAACGGCAATGGAAAGACCATACCCTTGAGGTATTCGAGCGCCGTCGCCATTGTGCGTGCTGTCTTCTGTGCTGTGCTGCCGCTGTCACTATCCTGTTGGCAACAATCACTGCCAATGCTATTGCTAGTGTGCGACCTCCTCCAGTCAACCACTGATCTCACTCACCTTCGAGCTCTTGTTCCCCTCCTATCGACTCCCAGTTCTCGATCTCAGAGTTCTCGCTTGTGGATTGTGTTTGTGGTGGTACAAGTACCACTGCTGTAGAGCGGCTTCGATAGACAAATACCGATCGGGCACTCTCAGTACATACCCGGGCCGCGGTATGTTTTGTGGATAGGCTACCCCTTTCACTGGGCAAGAAGTACAATACCTATGAGATCTCAGACTTGAGATCTAAGATGCAAGTTGCAAGATACTACGTTCTGTCTTGTCCTGTCCCGTCCTGTCCTGTGTAGTCCTGTGAACAGACAAAAGAGGTTCCAGTTAACCTCGCTTATCTTCCCCGCCATGCATGCCACGCCACGCCGTACAAATATACTTTCAACCCGAGACCTAGAACCGACAGCCCCAACTTGGCTCGGTACGGTACCTACTCTCTGTATGTTTGTGGTTCTGCGTTCGTACTCCTGGATACCTACTCCGTACTCCAAATCCTACTAACTCGCACCCCCAGCGTTGCAGGGCGGCAGGTGACACGCTCCCACGAAGATCTTGTTCTCAACACCTCGCACTCCTCGCCTCTTCTCATCTTCTCTTTTGACCATCCTGAAATACTTCGCAGTACTTGCTACTGCCCCGCGACCTCTCTGTTTGTTCGGCGAGCTGCTACTCTAGCTTAAATCCCCTCCGTGGTGTGCGTTCTCCGTGCGCCGTACGGTAACGGTAACGGTACCGGTACCGGTACGCGTGCGTGGCTGGCCAACACCAGGGCACGACACGGCACGACCTCACGGCGCAGTACGTAATTAAGGGATTGGCAATTGTTAGACAATACAGTAGGTGTTCGATCGCATACGAGATTCTTTCGCCCAGTCAGTACGGAGTACCTTGTGCAGTGATCACTTGCTCTCGCTCGTATTTGAATCCCGGATTTCGGGGACGTCGGGGTCTGGATTTCGGCCGACGGCCGTCGTTGCGGCATACCTAGGTACGTAGGTACATTAATGTAAGTGTGTACTCGTCTCGCGCGTATGGTACTGCACTGCACTGCATACCTAGGTAAGGTACACTGTACTGCGTATGTATGTTTCTATAAATGGAACGTTTCGTGTATATTGTAGAGTGTATTGACCACGCAGCAGCCATTACACGATAATGCTTAGTGTGCGATGGGGTTTGGTGTACACGGTAGCCTGCATTACTCCAGTACCCCGTCAATGATTACTGGTATCCTATCCTTATTTGCGAGTTCACCCCTTGCAGGTAATGCCGTCAGTCACACAGCTCTACGCCATCATCCAGAGAACGAGTCACTCCGCCGTAGTCGAGGTATCTCAGACCTCCTGCTTCTTAGCCTCGGCCTCCACGTCCTCCTCCTCCTTCCTCCAATGCCGTAGCGGTGTTGGACGATCAGTGACTCTGTCCTTCTCCCGCCTCCCCAACCATTCCTCATACTGCTCCACGCAAGGCGCATACAAGAGTTCCCCCGAGAGAGCGCCCCTCAGCGTCCCCGCGCCGACGACCATCCACAGTAAAATCACGGCCACGGAGAAGATCGTGCCCAGCACCCTGAAGAACTCGCTAGGGATCTCCTTGGCCAAAGTACACGTCGCCACGGCATACACGCCGAGCGGGAACGTGAAGCCCCACCAGCCCATATTGAACGGGAACCTGAGATGGCACTATTAGTTTTGGGGCGTGTTGCGAAAGTGGCAGTCTGTCAAACACTTACTTACTTCGCGTGATGCTCGCGACGGCAAAGAACAGCCACACGAGACCATATCCCCATATGACGAGCGCCGCGACGAGGGAGACGCTGTAGATGATCCGGCCGCCGTCGGGGTGGTCAAAGGGAAGCACCTCCGCGCACACCTTGCCCAGCTGCATGAGCGCGAAGCTGCCTTGGCCGAGGGGCCCCAGTGGGAGGAAGACCGAGACAATGACTTCCCTGGCGGGGAGGCGGTGGATGGTCAGACGGTGGAAGTACATGACCAGCACGACCATGGCAAGTGGAAACCCCGTGCCCCAGAGCACATAGGACGTGACGATCGTCCAGAGCTGGTGCTGGCGATTGGGGAGCACTTCGGCTACGATGCCGCCCGAGGCGGCGGCCACGATGGTCGTCACGACGGGCAGCAGCCACGCGGCGGTCATCTGGGAGAGTTCGGACCGGCGGTGGATGTGCATGATGATAAAGGGCAGCCACATGCACGTGGTGACCGCGAGGGCCACGTCGATCCACCAGAGCGTCCACGCCAGGGTAATGGCCCCAGGGCCCCAGTGCGCGATGCACACAAAGACAACCATGTTGACGATGGTGGCCAGGCCCATGGGGAAGGTCCCGCAGAACAGTGACTGCACGGGGTGTCGAATCATGGCCATAAAGAGGCCGGGAAACATCGTATACCGCAGGATGGAGATGGAGAGGAAGGTGCAGAATAGGCCGATGTTGAGGCAGAAGACAATGACCGAGAGCCAGTACAACCAGTCGCCGTTGTAGGGTAGGGTGTGTAAAAGAATCGAGGCAATCCCTGTCCCCATCGTCGCCGCAAACCAGGAGGGCGTGAAGTTCAGCACCACTCTCCTCCATCCATGCTGATTTCTGGCGGAAAAGCTCGCCACGAGATCCTCGGCGGCTGTATGCTGTTCGCCGGTCGGACGACCAGGTAGTGCCTCCTCATGCGTAGCGGCAGGGTCCATGGTAAGCTGTGATGCGAAGGCGCTCGTCAAGATCCAGCTCGGTCTGGTGTCTTGAGACTATGGGAGACAAAAGTCCATTGATCTGTAGATAAGCATCGGAACACTCGTGGGAGACATTGTGAGCAATGTCCCCGAGTGACGGAGTTATAGGTGAAGGAGCCATCGCTTTGCAGGGCTGCAAGGATCCTGACCTTCCGCAAATGAGGCTTTTCGGGAAACCGTAGAACTAATGGTGGCGGTACGTTCTCCGCTCTTCCGGGCCTCAAAGCCCGAGAGCTGGCGAGGCTGAACCCGGCGTCGGGGAAGCACATGATCCGGCTTGTTCCCTTTGCTTGGGCGCGTGACAGCCATGAATCGTGTGTAGCTGCCTCCACTCGACAGCGAGGATCTGGTGTTTGTACTTTTCGGCTCATATACTGTGGTATTCGTCGTCTCCACGTCTCTTGCAGATCTTGGACGAAAAGCACGCTGCCATGAAAGTTGTCGTCGGGGGCTGCGGACATCTCCCGGCGAGGCTGCAAGGCTGATGGAAGCACTGGGTACCCTGAACTCTGGGCAGCCCTACCGCTCCTGCCCCGCACTCCGAACATCCGGCGGTCAGTCACTTTGGTGTCACCCCTGGGAGCAGTGAGTGGATCTCATATCAACCTCAAATTCCCAGACTTGCTCGGATATTGGTCCGCATCAACAAACATCCTGAATTACAGGAGTCACTTACACGCTGTATCTTGGTGAGAATCGATGGGCATGGTGGACATTCAACCTGAGAAAGAGAGCGCCACGCATCGCAACAGTTCACGCCGCTGACGCGTCTCGGTTGGTAGTGGCTTCAAGATGCCTAGCCTAAACCGGCTTCAGCGCTTCCTCGGACGGATTCCATCATTCGTGACGCCGAAGGACTCGAGCTGCACACCCGCGTGGAGAAGATTTGGCCAAATCAGGTCAACCAGCTCAACCAATCGGCACTCGCCAAGACTGAGCCCTTTATTCCCAGCGGCTTTAATTGGGTGCGCCGTTGGCGGGAGTACCATCGTCGCAGCTTCAGCCCTGTATTGGGCTCCAGTTGCGCAAGCAGAGGCTCCATCTACAAACGGGAAGAGGTTCATCCGCTTGGACGAAGTTAGACAACATGGTCGGAACTCCGAGCGCAAATGGGTCATGAAAGGACCTAGGGTGTTCGACATCACGGACTGGATCGAAGCTCACCCTGGTGGACCTGTCATTCTGCGTGCTGTTGGCGGTTCCATCGATCCTTACTGGGACATCTTCACGATCCACCACAAGGCAGACGTGTACGATGTGCTGGAGGAGTATTTCATCGGCGAAATCGATCCGCGAGATCGAGTCAATGGCCAGATCAGAAGCGACGATGTCGAAGACCCGTTTGTCAATGATCCGATACGAGACCCGCGTTTGATGCAGCACACACGGACGCCTTGCAATGCCGAATCTCCTAACACCTCTCTGGACACGTTCATCACCCCAACCGAGACGTTTTACGTTCGCAACCACTTTTGGGTTCCAGAAGCTGACGAGGAAACACACAAGCTGACGGTAGAGCTCCCAGATGGCAGTGAAAAGGAGTACACTCTGGCACAGCTCAAGCGCCAGTTCCAACCATTCCGCATCACAGCAACTCTGCAGTGTTCGGGCAATCGACGAAAACACATGACCACGGAGGCGAGACCCGCAAGTGGACTCCAGTGGGACGTTGGCGCCATATCGAATGCAGAATGGACCGGCGTTCGTCTGAGTGATGTTTTGCGCGATGCAGGGTTCGACGCCGATGATAGCGATTCGGAAGACGTCAAGCACGTACACTTTATCGGAGCTGAAGCCTATGGCGCGTCGATACCAGTTGAGAAAGTGCTCAATTCGCGAGGAGATGTCATGCTCGCGTACCAGATGAATGGCAAACCCTTGGCGAAGGATCATGGCTACCCATTGCGGGTGCTTGTTCCCGGCCATACCGCCGCGAGAAGTGTCAAGTGGCTTGAAAAAATCGTCCTGTCAGATGAAGAAAGTCAATCCCAATGGCAGCAGCGTGATTATAAGTGCTTCGGACCTAACCAGGCTGCGAAAGACGTCGACTGGTCCACAGCCCCAGCGATCCAGGAGACGCCCGTTCAATCCGCCATCACCTCGATAAGGGACGTATCCTGCAGCTGCTTCGACGGGCGGAAACAGCGGCAGAAGCCTGGATCCAATGAAGCCGCAGTCGAGGTAGAAGGATATGCGTACAGTGGAGGAGGCCGAGAAATCGTCCGAGTCGACTTCAGCGCGGATGGAGGCCACACGTGGCAACAAGCAGACCTGCTCCCAGATGACCCGAAAGGTCAGAAGAGTTGGTCTTGGAAACGATGGCAGGCGACTGTGAATAAGCCTCCAGCTGGAGCCGAGTTCGTGGTTAAGGCTGTTGATGAGAGCTATAACACGCAGCCTGAGTCGTACGAAGCCCAATGGAATTTTCGAGGTAACCTGACCACAGCATGGCATCGAGTTCCTTATGCTGGTAATGATGGTCGCCAGGTGGATAAGAGCTGATTGCGAGGCCATTCTTGCTTGCGAAGCCTTCAGCACCATGACCACAGTGCAAGAATGTTTCTTCGAGGGATATCAGGCGGGGATAAGGCAATGCCCATTGGGGATTAGGTACTGGTGTCATTTTTGGCAGGCGGCCTGCGACTGAAGGACAAGCTCAACGAGTCTGAGTGCCTTTTCTTCTTCAAACCTCCGACACATGATTTGGAGACCTACGGGAGCCCCGTGAAAGGCGGAGCTGTTATCTGCGACTCCACGTTAGCGTCTGGAGGAATCACGGCGTTGTCCACATACATGAAGCGTTTACGGAGTTGTCTTCTTGACTCAACGGGACAAATGAGCTGGCTATGGCGTCGAGGGTTTTATCAACCGAACCAGCTGGGAATGAGACTGCCGGGAAGTCGAGGACATTGACGATCGCACTATACCCTGTACATACTCAACAACTACCTGCATTGTTTTCCTTTGTTTTACTCACCAAAATATGTCAATGTATTCTCGAAGCACGCGGCGTTCGCGCAGACGGGCATGATTACTCCATCGACCTGGGTGCCACTGACTGTGCTCTTTTCAGTCGACTTCCAGAACTTTTGATACTCTGCCTGGTACTTTCGGAGCGATCGAATCAAAGTCAAATACTCCGGCAGAGGTAAAGGCGAAGCGGCCTCCTGGCAATACCACTCCCTTAGCATTGGCACGGGCGGCTCTCCACCCGCTTTGATATGCTGTCGCGTTGCTTGCGCACCGTCAGCGCCTATGGTTTTGAAGTAAGCCTGTACCACTGCTGCCTGGGGAGGGGGCTTCCATTCCAGGACCTGATAGTTCGCTCGCCGTAAGGAGTGAACAATTGACCTCAAAGCTCGTCGAATAGGTGGCTGTGGCTGGACATTACCATCGCATTCCAGGACCGCAAATGCCGGGCGACGATGCGTCAGTCCTCTGATTTTGGCTTCTCTCCACGGCATGTCAACCCACGTGGGATCTTCCTCGTACGCAGTTGCTCCGAGGCAGAGCCTTGCCATGTGCCGCAGTAAAGGGAAGTCCCATGACATCATGGCTATGGTGAAATTCCTCGACGGCAGACTCGAGTCGCTTGTGGCAATCCCGAGCGTTGGCAATCGTCCGGAGGAGACCTTGAGGCTAAACAGACCGTTAAATGCTGCTGGAATGCGGGCTGATCCGGCAAACTCGGTGGCCCATCCAAATGGAGAGCCTCTCATCGCAAGCAATGAGCCCTCCCCTGTGAATGGTCAATCAGCGATTTTACGCCGTATCATGCCCTCGGACCATACCTCCTGCAGCACCACCGCTGGAAAGAAGTCCTGAATGTGGATTGCGGGTGCTCCCGTGAATGTTGTTGGTGGTTTCTGCCAGTGCCATGCTTTGAGGGACGTTAGTCTTGCAAAAGGGGATGGCGCCTAGTGTCCGCATGTGACGGACACTGAGCGACTCCGTGGCCTCAGTCTCCTTAGCCCCAAGCCAGGAGATAAAGCCGGCGGCTGTCTCTGTCCCAGATACCCGAAAGCGGTCCATGAAACTGATGGGCAGGCCATGGAGTGGGCCTTTCAAGCACCCGTTCTCACGACGGTACTGGTCCAGGTCTCTTGCAGTCTTGATAGCTTCCTCGAATAACACCTCCGTGAGACAGTTGGCAAATTGATGACAGATGGCAGCCCTGTGACAGTAAGCACGAACAACGTCCTCGCTAGACCAGATCCCCCCATGTATACTGGCTAGCGTGTCCAAGGGAGGAGCCTCAGTTATTATCAACTCGTCCTCGGACAGGTGTTTCTGAAGGATATCAAGAATTGGCAGCCCGTCTTCACGGCGTGGTATCTGGTCGAGGCTGACTCGCCATGGCGCTGGAATGGCTTTCTGGACGCTGGCCCGTTTAGCAGCCGCCCGATTTTCCCAAGCAACGTGTGGCATAGTGAACTGCGCTTGCGGCTGTCAAAGTCTGGACCGCAGAGGACCACACATCACGAGGAGTAAGCGTTTCCAACTGGATGGTACGTCCTAATGGCTGGTGACGCTCACATCATACCATGTCTCTAGCAGCCGTCATACCTCGCGCACCTGCAGACACAGGCCCCGAGCAGTGCCTCGTGCGGCAAGGCAGGGCTGAAGAAACGGGGTTTCAGCGGTCCTCCCACATGGGTGTGCTGAAGCTTGTGTAGAATCGTCGTACCCCAATAAGTTCGGCCACTTTTCATTCCGATTGAGGTGACGCACAAAGGTGACCGTCAAGCACGACTGAGCGCAAGAGAATTTTTCCGCAAAGCAAGTGTATGCGAGGTGGGAGGCAGCGTCGAACGGCGCGAAGCAGGAGTGGTATGCAGGAATGTCACGGCTCCGGTCGCTGAGCGCCCTGATAAACCGTATCGGAGCTTGACGCTGGTCTTCGCATAGGTTGATACATTAGCCGCCTCGGCCTGGTGGTGTTGTACTCCGTACTGGGTGATACGAGGGAGGTGGACTTCCCCGACGTCATGGTCGACCGTCCACCTCCCGTCTCACTCATCGCGAAGTCACGCAACGACGTGACGCACTTCCCAGCAGTTTCGCGTGCGATCGACAGGTGGGACTAAATACTGCTGTGACACGAGACAGTGAATTCAAATACCGCAGGAAGCCTTGACTCGTGAGACGAGCAAAGACTCTAGACCGCTCAAACTGATCTCCTGAAGAAGGCAGGGTCGACCGTCCACCATGTTCTTCATCGTCCCAGAACGTAGGGCCTCGGATACACCTCCCGGTCCGCACTCAGAGAGCCCATCAGGGTCACCGTGTCCCGCAAAGCGCCAACGCTTGTCGCCAGAAGCTGATGACATGTCCGGCTATTATCCGAAGAGAACACCCAAGGCCTGCGACCGTTGTCGGTTGAAGAAGGCGCGCTGTCAGTGGAGCGAGGGCAAGATATGCAACAAATGCAAACGAGACGGCGTTATATGTACAACAAATAGGGAGTCAAAAAGAGAGCCGAAGACGCCCAATGCTGCATACGTCCAGCTGGTCGAGTCACAGCGAGACTGTCTCCTGCGCGCGATCAGTAAACTCCTTGAGGACGGATTGGTGAAAGATAAGACTGCCATGGCCAAAACCTTGCAAGACTTTGGGATTCGAGCGGACGCTCTGAGGAAGGCGTCGCAACACAGGCCCGAAGACGAAGACGGCACTGACCTCAGAGACGCTGATCTATACCGGAATGCTGCCGAGATACAGGCTCTGTTGGACGAATACGAGTCAAGTACCGGTATTGTCGTGCAGCCTGGATCGTTCGTTGGCCTCTCCTACAACGACGGCTTCACACCAGAGTCTGCCTTTCCAGAATCATCGGCAAACATACTGCCCTCGTTGGACACTACGTTTTTGCCGTCAATAGATGCCGTTGACTGGCTTGTGCCCAATGGTGCTGGGGACAGTTGGCTTCCACCTGCCGTCGACTTGGTGGCTGGCCGATGAACAAATCACGGTTGATGGTGGTTGCAACTTTGGCCTCCAAATCTGATATTCTGGAATGAATATGCAGGATGAGCTACAGTACACTGCTCGATCCTGGAGATGGCTTCAACGATTTGTTTCGGGAGTTTTTAAATGGTTTAGCCCTCGATATCTTCAGTGCTTCAGCGAAGTTCAGCGTGAGCGAGTTTGAGCGTCTGGGTTGTGGGAGAGGCAGACTGGACTGTCACTATATTTCTGTTCTGGCACCTGACTAGCTGCAACTAATCAAATATGCTCTGCCCCGAGACGGAATTTGTGCCCTCACGTCTCAATGTCGCTATGATAGAGCGTAGCAGGTGGCAGGTGGAACATCTTAAACTTCTTATGGTTTCAGTCAACTTCAAGCTAACGTAACGAGCAAAAAGGTTCTTGTAAATTACAAGTGTCGTGAGCGTAACTTACCCTGTGCCTGGAGATCCGCGCCCAATTTGAGACCGTTGATTGGATGGTGCCGGACAAGGCCTCCCAGATATATAACCACAGGGACGTGAAGGAAGAGTATCTGTCCTCACTTCGTTCGCTTTCTAAAGGTATGAGGTCTTTACGCACCTTCTCAGTAGTGGGCTGCCATGCCGAAGGCGAAGTGGGCGATGTCATCGTGGGCGGCGTCCTGGACGCTCCTCCCAGTTGTAAGACAATGTACGAGAAGATGATGTACTTCTGGACGCAGAGAGACGGGATCCGAAGGATGCTACTGCAAGAGCCCAGAGGACGGTCGTCAATGTGCGCCAACCTCATTCTGCCGCCTTGCGACCCACGAGCAGATGCTGGCCTCATCATCATGGAGAGTGACGAATACGCCCCCATGAGTGGGTCGAACACAATATGCACGGCGACGGTATTGCTAGAGACGGGAATGATCCCCATGCAAGAGCCCATTACTCGGTTCAACCTCGACACCGCCGCAGGGTTGGTGGGCGTAACGGCAGAGTGCGAGGCGGGGAAGTGCAAGTCCGTGGCGTTTGACAATGTCCCGTCTTTTGTCTTTGCTCTGGATAAAGCCATAGACGTGCCAGATTTGGGAACAGTCTCGGTGGATATTGCCTGGGGCGGGATGATGTACGCCCTTGTTGATGCAGGATCATGCGGGCTGACCATTGCGAACCCCGACGCGTACAGACTTATTGAAATTGGCGAGAGGATCAAGAAAGCTGTGCAGAAGCAGTACGTTCCCGTATATCCGGAGAACCCAGGTATTCGAGGCGTCACAAATTTTGTTTGGACTCAACCGCTCGAAACTGGTTCCGATGGGATCAAAGAAGCTCGGAACACTGTCGTCGTGTCTCCAGGAAGATTCGATAGATGTCCTTGCGGAACAGGTACCTGTGCTCGCATGGCGGTGCTGCATGCCAGAGGCCAGCTTGAAGTGGGAGAGATATTCCGGCATAAGAGCATCATTAGCACAGAATTTAGCAACCATATTCGCGATGTGACCAAGGTCGGCGAATATGATGCATTCTCCCAACAATCAAAGGCAGAGGCTGGATCACCAGCTTCAAGCAAATCGTGCTGGACCCGACCGACCCGTTTCCGGAGGGCTTCAGGGTTGGCGATCAGTGGCATATGCCAGCCGAGTCTTGACAGCGAATACTTAGGGTCACAAAGGCCAAAGAGGTCCATTACTTACCATTATGACGCTGCTCGGGGAAACGTGCCTTCCCTGCTCAAACATGAATTACTCCAATAGCACTTCACCTTGCTGGACCTCCTATGCTTCTTTAACTCATGCAGGCACGGAGAAGGGAGCTTTGGGTAGAAATGGCGAGTCCGCCATGATGTGGTGCAAGCCTTCGACCTAAGTCACTCTGTCTAGTCAATCATACCTAGATCGACATACCAGGCTGAAACGGAGGAAAACAAGGACGAGGGACAAAAGCAGTTTGATAGGCCTGTGGAGGACCACCGAGCCACCTACAGTAGGACTGTGGGATTGTCACCCGACTTTGAAGAGCTTCGCCGGAAAGCCGAATGCTGCGCCGTATCCCGCACTGACCTCGACGTGCAAAACACGCGAGTCATGTCAGAGTGACGGCCACTTCGATGTCCGTCAAACGGGGGACTTTCTCACAGAGCATACATAGTAAGCTCTGTGCACATCGGTTCCACAACCGCAATGTGATAAGTCACGGGCCGTCTTGACAAGGTCCTGGTATCTGGTGCAATCTAAGCCCGGCAATTCGGTCTTCAGTAGGGATGGCCTCGCCACCGCTGCCCTTCAATGTGTCTGCCGAGCTAAAGGCCCTGAGACACGAGAAGAAGCAGAACCAAGACCTCCGTCGATTACCTCCAAACGCTACAATTCGACGCCGCCCGCTGAACCATGCCCCGATCGCCGACTTACGCTCTTCTGGCGCCAAAGCCCCCAAGGTCGTCTATGTTTCGCGCCGCACACCCGTAGTCGCGGCGATCAAGCGCGTGAAGCGGTATCTGATGGGCGTTGAGAAGCGCGCCCTACAAAGTGCAGGAGCTAGCGTCCCGAGGAAGGGAGCGCATGGGCCACGAAGTGCAGTTGAGAAGGCGAACGAAGTACTCGCGAGAAACAGGGAAGAGGTGCTGGTCAAGGCGAGTGGGAGGGCGATGGCTCAGGCGCTGCGTGTGGCTCAGTGGTTCCGCACCCACGAGAAGGACATGCTGTGCAACGTGGAAGTCAGAACAGGGAGCGTCAGCACCGTAGATGACATTGTGGAGGGCGATGGAGATGAGGAGAACGAGGAGAAGGACAAGGCTGAAGAGGAAGCACTGCGGGAAGAGCAAGAGTCTTCGAAGCCACAGTACGGTGACACCACGTTGGAGTTGCTGGGTGTTCCGGAGGTGACTACGCTGGGTTCAGCCGAGCAAGCTACATCGACTGGAGATTCGAAACCCGACGTTGCTGGAGAGCAGGACGATGCGGACACTGGTGTGGACGATTCGCTAGGGAAGCAGTCGAGGCGGAAGCGGAAGAAGCGAAAGAGACAGATGTATGAAGCCGATGAATTGCCTGAGGCGCGCATCAGATGGGTCAACACGGTCGAGGTTGCAGTTTCATTGAAGGGCTAATTTTCGCTTGCCAACATCCAGGCAGGCTGGGGGTTCTCGGTCTCTTACGCAGGCTGAAGGAATCGTACATCATCATTGAGCTCTCTCAACCTGACCGACGAGAACAAACAGCTGAAGTCCCTTGGGACCAGCTCGCTGGTCGCAAGCTCGTGGGCACTATCTTTCGGCTGGCCTCGACTGCAGAACTCCCATCATGCATCTCATATGTATGCACCTCTTGAAGCTTCCTTGCTGAGGGAGACCGAGGTAGCAGGGTGCTTATCGGGTGGTGCTGGGTATAGCCATGTGATTATGGCTGTATTGTACATGGCTTATGGTTGGGAGCCATAGCATGCTCTCTCATGTCGCGAATCAGGGATGCCGCCCGTTGACTTGGGTGAAATATTGAGGGCTTTTATGATTCGACCGGCGCAGGCTTTCTGAAAGACACTTTCTCTACTGCGACGTTCTCGTTTCCGTTTTCATCCTTTCGCAGCTGGTAGACGTACAATACCAAGACATCTCCTTGTATCTGTCTCACAGTCAGCATTCGAATACCAATCAATACTGCTGATTACGTACGTCCATCAAGCAGAAGCTTGGGATCGGCTCCTCGTCGATGGCTAACCAGCTCGTGCTGAATGCGCCTGTCGCGCTACCTGGATTGACGAAGAATTTCCCTTCCAGTTCATACGCTTCGAACTTGTGGGTGCCTCCCCATAGCAGAACATCGACATCCATTTGCCGAGCTGCGATCAGCAGGGCGTCGGCATCGCCAGACGGTACTACGGTGTGGCCATGTGTGAAACCGATACGGAGTCCTCCATGTTGGACCACTTTTGACAGTGCTAGACTCGACGCCTCTGTATCGAAGTCACCCTTGACAATGTGTAGATCTGGCGCTGTCTGGCGGAGAAAATCATATGTCTCTTTGTCTGTGATGTTGCCTAAGCACACCACTTGGCCGATCTTTCCCGGCGCGAGAAGCTTGCGGAACTGTGTCGCCAAAAGTGAGCCGCATGCTCTGATCAGGGAATATTCCGGCACGGACAAACCTTGGCTGGAATCTCCTGTAACCAAGTGAGTACTCCGGTCCGTCCACATATATGCCAACCGAAGGCTTACCGGTGCCCGATCTGGAACAAAGAGGTCACCAATGACCAGCACCAACCTTGAGGCCATGCCTCTTCCCGCAGTCGGTGCTTTCTAGCAGAAACAATGCATGTCAAACGAGTCGGTCTGATTGATCCCACCGGCCGCCGATGGGTGTATTCAGGCGGAATGTCGGACTCACGAAGGGGTAGTATTGCATGGGCGGTGATTCACCTTTGCATTGGCTTCTTATACCACAGTAGAAGGCGCATGCGAAAGACGCGAAATGCGACAGGAAGGTGAGCCGACCACCAATGAGACAAGTTGATGGCTGTGTTGGCCTCGTTGGCGCAGGGCGTTGCGGCTGAAGCACTGCAGCACATCGCCAACACCAAGCTGAAACTTGGGACTTGTGGCAGGCAACTTTGAGACATTATTCAGACTCACATCTCTCATATGACACCTGGTCCTGTCTTCCTCGACGATCGTGCGTGCTCAGAGCCTGTTGCCCAACGGCTTTCCACGCTCCATACCCTATTTTCGACGCTCAAGATGATTCGCCCGTCTCGTACCCACCGCAACTCACCCATTTCAGCTCACTCTACTCCTACAGACTACAAAACATCGCGAGACCTATCATCCTCCTTGGCGTTACGCTTTATAGACTGGGGTGCCTCGGAGAATATGCCGCCGATTGCCAAACTCACCGCTGGGGCAATACCACCTCGATAGCCTGCTGAACGAAGGAACATTAGCCGCTGGCAGGTCGGAGTCGGGGATTTGAATGAGATTTGCCAAGCTGCGGGACAGCACCTCCGCGATGGCTCCAGCGCAGGCTGAATGAGGTCTGGTCGGCTCAACCTTGTCAGTGCCCCCTCCTTTCTCACTGCTGGGATGTCCTAACTGCTTCCTGACCTCAGCCGGCTAGGGACCAACACTTCTCTCGACCACTACTAGTAATTTCTGCGAACCTTCCTTTGTCTGCCCTCTCCTCGTATTTTTGAACCCTTCATGGAGGCTCATGGTTTGGCTCGCTTGTGGTGTCATTTTCTATTCCGCCGACCGCCGACTTGACAGCTAGAACTTGGAGACTAACGCCGATTGCTGCTCAAACAAAACTTTGGGGGCCGCATCCAGCTGTCGCAAGGCATTAACAAAACGAATGATGACTGTGGGAAGAAGGCCATCAGCTGGTGACGTGCCGGTAAACAACTTCTCAAAGGCTTGAAATCCGTCTCATTTCGATACCTCTGAGCTGCATATTTGTCGCAGCTGCAGCGGCTCTGCCGTCACAGACACATCTATTTTCCTTGATCATTTGAAGTTCCGATGCCTGTTGGTTATGGGTAACATTGCCAGGTCGAGTAGAGGTTGCGCCCGCTGTCGCAAACGGAAGATCAAAGTAAGCGATGCCGCAACGACGTTGATCGACATTATTGATGAGGTACCAGTGCGACGAAGGCAGACCGGGCTGCCAAAAATGTGCCCAGCTACGCCAACCTTGTCCTGGATATCCTTTCCAGCTACAGCTCCAGTTTCGAGAGCCTCAAGACGGCCCCTCTGCAGTCCCGGATACCAAACAGCAATTACTTGGTCCCCGCTACCCTCCAGCTCGACCCATCATCGCAGCGCGAAAGCCCGGCTCAGAATACCCAGCCAAAGTCAAGACCGAGGACGACGCGAGCGGTAGTGCTTTGCAGAACATTGCTCCTACTCAACGGCCAATATCGCCTTCATTACGTTATGACATCCCACATCAGTCGATGTGCTTCTTTCTCAACCTGTTCTGCTTTCAAGCAGGCCGCCTCTACTCCTTTCCCGTCCTTGACTTCTTACCAGACATGCTTCGGGCTGCAGAAGACGGATCGTGCGTCAAGAAAGCAGCCATGGCAGTGTCCCGGATGACGCTAGCCGACAGGTACAGTGGCAAAGACGTGAGGCTGCAGACCGGTAAAGAATATGGTCAAGCCTTGCGCCTAACCAACGCCACGATTCGTGACACGAAGGCAAGCATACAAGACGAGACAGTACTTGCTGTTTGGCTTCTTGGGCTTTATGAGGTGAGAAGTGGCGACTCCGGGACAAGTACTCTACTTACGACCGCACTCAGATGATTAGCGTTGTTCTCACCCACGGACGGACGAATGCCGACTCCCCAACACTCGAGGAAGAATGGCAGGCACATCTGTTGCATGTAAGAGGGGCCATGAACCTATTGCGCCTTCGAGGAATGTCACAGTTCACTACGGCGCGTGGAGAGAAAATCTTCCGCATCTTCAAAGCTGCCATTGTAGGTTGCGGTGATTGCTATGATTTGCCAGACACGCTGACTCTTTCAGCAAATGCGACTTTTCATACTGACTTCGGTCTTCTCCAAAGACTTCGACAACCTTGAGATTGACATGTACCAGGAAGAACACGAGTTCGTCCCTTCTCAAACAGCAAACAGGGCATCTGCGTATTTTCACCGAGTCGCCCGGTTACTGGAGAAAGTCAAACAGTTCCTAGCTCAAATGTCTCTGCAACCAGAGAAGACCAGAGCCACGGCAGAAGTATTCCTAAAGAGCGGGGAGACTTTAGATGAAGACATGACAGGCTGGAGCAAAGATGAGCCTGGCTGGGATATGATGAGAATCCGTGCTCCGACAGCTGGCACGATGTGGGCCCTCTATCCATCGCACGCGCTCTATCATTTCTACAGCTTCTGGGTCTTCTTGTATTGGCTACGATTCCTCGCTGCTCGTTACAAACTGTACGAGGGCCTCATCGAGCTGTTGAAGCTTGATGTCGCGCATTCTTCAGCCAAGCCTCGAGCCGTGCCCACCAGCACTGACTTTCGGATGTCCAAATATCGTACCATTATTCAGATGACTGCCTCCGAATTGATTGGTCTGACGGCATATGCTCTGGGAGACGTGACACCTACTGGCGATTTCAACTCATCTATATCTGGTCATCATCCCCGGCAGGGATTCCAAGAAATAAACGTTGTTGCGGCGATGCAGCTTGTCCTACCACTGAAGATGTTGCAGCGATCTGGATACCTCACAGCCACCCAGAAAGGCGCGGTCGACCTGGCAATTTCGCATATCGGCGATGGATTCCGACGGCAGCCGTTGGTGTTCCTTTGAGGAGATGGACAGCTCGTCGATTCCAAATTGCGGTCACCTTCAAGGCGCCACAAACTTTGTGTCTCGGACGTTGGGACAGACAAACAATGCAATAACCCCAGGATCAAGCTGAAGCTAGAACAGCATGACAGCTCAGTAGGTTCAGCCTTACGGCAAGGCACTCACCCTTAAGGCTGCGGCGACAGCGTCAACCAGCCGGTCTCAGAAGCCGGACGTGGTCAAGCGACTTCGTTCAGCAGCTGAGGATAATACTGCGGGCATGCGGACAAGTCGGAAAAGGTATCGCAATCTACTGAGCCCTTGTGGTGTCACGACTTCAGCGATGCGTTGCTCCCTGGAGACCCATATCACAGCTATGATGTGCTCCACGTGCTCCGAGGGCCACGATGCATCACAGGCATACAAGGAACGCGCAAGGACCGTTGGTTCTCCGCGCGTTCGCCAAAGAGGGGCACCGCCGTTCGGAATGCGATCGGAGGCGGTCAAAAACACGACCCGGGCGGTCCAGAAGGTCCACGTATTCTCGTACGTGACATGATACATTGATGTCTGGAATTGCACAGTTCCTACTATCACCAACACTCGACATCGTTCTCCTCAACCCACTCCCTCAGCACGGCAACGCCTGCCGCATGACTCGTAGTCTTACCGAACCCAGACTGCCACGCTATGTATCTCTCTTGTTGGTCCGCCGATAAGCGCCGATGAACATCGACGCACCAGGAGCTTCGAAGTTATTTGCGTGCACATGTATGTGCTACTACCGCTGATCAAGAGCGGTCCTAACACAGCGAAAGGGTTCATTGGGAACCAAGGTAGGCCGTAGCACGGACCTGATTGCTTCTAGTGTCTTGCCCACATTCTTGAAGTAACGTCACGAGCTTAGGTATGCGCGGAACCAAATCAGAGCCTGCCATTCTCCTGCCAAGCTGGCACATCACCTGCGGGCTTATCTTGGCTTGCACTGGGGGCGGGGGATCGCCAAGCTGTTGCAGAAGGAAGAGGAGCCTTCCACTGATATCCGCCTCACGTAAAGCTCTCTACTTGTCGCGAAGAGCTTGGCGTGATGGAGCTTCCGAGTGGACAATGCTGTGCTGATTTCACCTTTAGGCGCCTGCCTCTTGTGGAAGTCGTCAGTTTCGAGCATGCAATCATGAGACCAACAAAGTGGTCGGTTCTTGCTGCTTGCGTGACCGGCCTTGCCGGCATTGGCGATTTGACTGTGGTACTAATGCCGGGTTCCTACCATCAGCTATCTTTCCAGCATTCCACCTCGCCTTTTACCTCCATTGCTCGAACATCAGCACCATGTCCTCTGGTGCCGCCAATATCGAGTCCGCGGAAGCTGCCACTGTCAAGTTTCCTTCATTGGAGAAAGGCGCGGTTGACAACAAACAACAGCACGACAAAGCCGAGGCCCTAGTCAATGATAAAGAGGCCCTCAACAAAGTCCTCGTGGACCGAAGTGGAGAGCAGTACCCAACGAGCGCAGAGCTCAAGACATTGAGACGGACTCACGGCCATGTGCCGTGGTTGCTCTATACTATCGCCTTCGTCGAGCTTTGCGAGAGATTTGCCTACTAGGGAACCATGGTTGTTTGTAGGTTGTCGACGTGCGCTGTAATTCAATACTGATATGGCACAGTTGCCAACTATATCAACTAGCCATTGCCTCCAAGATCCAAGACAAGATCTGCTGGGACGGATGGCCAGGCTGGTGTTCTGGGTTATGGCTCTCAGGCTTCCACCGGGCTCATCCTTTTCAACTCTTTCTGGTCATAGGTGATGCCAATGCTTGGGGGTTACCTGGCTGACACATACTTGGGCCGCTATAAGACGATCAATGTAGCTACCGTCGTCGCCACCTTCGGTCACATTGTCATCCTCATCAGCTCGATCCCTGGGGGGATTGAACATTCGCCTTGCTGATTTTCATCCCGATTTGTGACAAGTTCATCTACCCTGCATTAGCCCGCAAAGGCATCAAGCTCACCCCGATCAGGAAGATCACATGGGGTTTCGGATTTGGCTGTCTCTCGATGGTGGTAGCAGCCGTCATTCAGCACTACATTTACGTCAACGCCCCCTGCGGCAACGAAGCTACCAATGGGGAATGCATCGCCGAACTTGGGCCTCCGGACATGAGCTTGTGGAGCCAGACACCAGCGTACGTGCTCATTGCCTTTTTCAGGGATATTTGCATTCATCACATCGCTCGAGTACGCTTTCACGAAAGCGCCCAAAAACATGCGCTCCTTTGTGACGAGCTTGTATTAGTTCACAAACGCCTTCTCGAGTGCTATTGCACAGGCGCTGTTCACGTAGCTCTATACGTCAGTCGCTTGTATTAGTTTTGTGGGCATTGTCTTATTCTGGATCTGCTTCAGGAACTCGGACAAGGAGGAAGACACGCTCAATGCTCTCCCAGAAAGTACTTACCGAGGCCGGAAAAATAGCATCATGGACGTTGAAGCGATTCGAGAAGAACAGATTAGGCAGGCAAAGATCAGAGAGGCGTAAGGCTTTGTTCGCAGTCCTGCGGAGATCACTGACGGTCGACGACAGCCATAAGGCAAGCTGATCTCAACAGTCTGATATGGCAAGTTCGTAGTGCTATTTTCCAACACTGAGAGATCCAGGTTTCCTCGCGCGAACGAGCTTTGACTTGCCTAAGGAAGGGGATCCCACTTCTGGCCTTGGTAGTTTTTGTTATGAAGCGTAATGTCAGGCCAGCAAGGAACAGAAATGGATTCTCGCCCTTTGTTCGTGCCAATCTCTTCTTCACATGGTGAGCTTTGAATAATACCGTGTAGAGCGAGTCTCAAGCGTGAAGGTACATAATAAAGTGGTAACAGGCAAGTGGGCCCATAAAGTGGAGAGGCTGAGGCTGAAAATGGCCGCGTTTGATTGGCCAGATATGGCCACCAATGACACGACTCCCCGCGCCTGTTCCTCGACTCTTGTTTGCGGCGACAAAGCACCGAAGGACATATAGATGAGCTGCGGCATAGCCATTCCCTTTCCTTCTATCCTTCACTGCTTATTTCGCCGCCAATATGGCGACACTCCAGGGCACCGGAGTTCCCAAACTCAAGCTAGAGTCAGTCCCCGATGAGAATATCAAAGTAGAACCTTCAGATACCCCATCGCCATTTCTGGACGAGGATGAGGACATGGATGAAGATGCAGGAGATCTGGACTTCTCGCAGGCACATCAGCAGTTATGGCTCAGTCACATCCCGCGCACGTTATGGCAGAAGCTGTCGCAGATACAAGACGACGATGAGATTGAGATCGGCAAGATCCGAGTAGAAGGCTCAGAGTCGAATCCGACGAGGGTATGTTCGTCGTTCCATGTCGTAGCAAGCTGCCCTTCGTTAACAACGCCGTCAACAGGTTAGTATGCTGTTGTACCCGAACCCCGCACTCGAGAACGAACCCAGAGAATACAACCTCTTTGCTGCTCCACCAGAAAAACAACGATCCCGCCGGCCGGGTCAAGCATTTGTCTTTTCAGAAAAAGACCTAGCGGGCTACAAGCCCAAGTCATTTACGTGGGACGAAGTTGATGAGGAGGGCAATCCGGGACAGGGGCGATCTAATCTCTACGAACGGCACAGACGTGAACAGAAGAAGAAGGAAAACAAAGGCCGATTTGTACCCTACTCTCGACGACCCATACCCAAGCAGACAGCCATAACAGGCACCATCGCCCGCGAATTTGAAGCTGTGCCGGTCAAGAATGACGAGTACTTCATGCTAGAGAGCAAGCGAGCAGCCACGATGCTAAAAGCCCGCGTCCAAGAAGAAGCCCTTTTCAGGACTGGTGACGACGATCCCGAGAAGAAGAGCAGAAACATATATAAGAGTCGGGCGGAAGCACAAGCGGCGGCCAAGGTACGTGGGCTCTGTCTCCTCGTAGACAGGGCACGAACTGACACCCAGCGAAACAGGCAAACCAAGCAAGGAAACGCGCGGCAAAAGAGAACCGCGCCGCTCGTGTGGACAAGGGCGTGCTTATCGACAAGCTCATGACTTTGTTCCGCCAACATCGGATCTGGGGCCTACGCGATCTCAAAGCCAAAGTCAACCAGCCGGAAGCTTACTTGCGCGAGACGCTCGAGGAGATCGCCTTTATGTGGAAGCAGGGCGACTTCAACGGCAAATGGGAACTGAAAGACGAATACAAGCAGGGTGATCAAATGCTCCTGAATCCTACCGGCGCGGAGATCGCGCCCAAGGCGGAGGACACGGATGCCGACATCAAGTCGGGGATGGATCTGGATGACGATGACGACGACGACGACCAGTTTGAAGACGTCGTTGACGGCTAGAGGTCATTGCATCGCGCCAGACTGTACAGAGACGGCGTCCTTCGGCTGCCGCGATCTCTCCTCCGTTATGCTTGACCATTGATACCCCCGGGTTGGGGCTGGGCCGCAAGACTTGGTACCTCCATATTTGGATTCGAGTGACGTCGGCCGCAACGGTGTTGGAGCCGCATTCCTAGAGGGCAAACAATCTGCCTTTGACTTGCGCAGCTTGGGATCCAATCAGGGCACGCCACGTGAGGCTTCGTATCCCACAATAGTGTGTACACAGTGGCCGTGAGTGGCTCGTCTCGGGACCGCTTGCACTGATTCACCCAGTGAGTCCCATGGGCAACCTTCCTCGGAAAGTCGCCTGGCGTCGCTTCCGAGTGCGCCTGCCGTATCGCAACCGACCACACCGATGCTCGGCCTACAAAGCCCATTGCGGGCGAGAACGTGAGGGGGATACGAGAAGATCCTCGGGGTAGAAGCCACAGAGCTCCGTGGGGCTTCGATAGCGTCTCCGTTATCCTGTCGATCAGATCCTTGCCTCTGGTAACGAGATGCAGGCTAGTCTCAATGTGGCTAGAACGCGGAGTACAAGCTAATCACGTGTCGCTATAGCCGGCCGCACATCCTGGACGGTTTCTCATTTTGCTATTCATTCTCTATCCAAGACGTGCGCTTACCTCCTCCCGTGTTCGGTGGAATGCGGGGTTGAGACCGTGTTTTGCGCATCGAAATCATGCTCATCTTGTGTCGTCACCGTCGTCCATGTCCGGCATCCAGCACAGCCCGACCTGAATAGGCAAACTTCCATAAGAACGAGAATGAGGGGGTTCGACTCCAACATCTCCGTCATGGAGCTTATATTTATATCTTGCAGTTAGGGGGTCTCGACCTATCCAGAGCTCCAGTCGATTCGTGTGACTTGTCAACAGCAGCGGTGAGGACGTGGACGGCATCCATCATGCCGCTGTACACGAAGCTCCCGGGGGACCTCCAAGAGGTGGATGTGATTGTAAGTATATCGGCGTGGCCGTGCCTGTACCTGCGAAAGTAGTGTCAGGACACTCCCACATGGACAGTTTCAGCTGCTGACAAAAGTCCAGGTTGCTGGAGGTAATGTCCATGTCCATGTCAGGACCGTAACATTTCCCTTCTGACGAAGCCGTTGTGACACAGGCGGTCTTGCTGGATGCGTGGTAGCCTCACGGCTGGCCGAAGCGGATCGCAACCTATCCATTCTCGTGATCGAGCAAGGGCCCAACAACTATGGCATGCCTGAAGTTGTGCACCCGGCGCTGTACCCGCGGAATCTTTTTCCCAGCAGCAAGATCACGCTCTTCTGGCCGACCAAGAAGTCTCCCCAGCTACTTGATCGGACTCCCATTGTTCCCTCCGGAGGCACGCTCGGCGGAGGGTCGGCCATGAACTGGATGGTCTACACCCGCGCTCAACGGTCCGACTTCGACTCCTGGAACACACCGGGATGGAGTGCCGATGAAATGCTCCCCTTCCTGAAGAAGGTACGCCCCCCAGCTGGCTTTGCTCAAAACCTGTCGAAATTCTCATGACTAATTTGCTCCCACAGATGGAGACGTACCATGGCAAGGGTGACAAGGACCGCCACGGCTACGATGGTCCGGTCAACGTCTCCAAGGGCACCTACGTATGCAGCCGCGCGGAGGACGCCTTTGTCGATGCCGCGGCGAAGCTCGGATACCCCGAGGCCAAAGACCTGCAAAACCTCGACGCCAACAATGCCATCGAGCGCTACTATCGCTACGTCGGGCCGAACGGACGACGTCAAGATGCTGCGCATCGGTACCTGCATCCCAAACTTCACGGCGGGGACTACCCGAATCTACATGTATTGGTTGAGAAGCAAGTCGTCAAGGTCCTATTCGACGACAACAAGCGAGCCGTCGGGGTCGAGTACCAGACCAATCCCAAGTACCTCCCTAACCCGGAGTTTCTGTCCACAGCGTACACGGCTCGGCGCACCGTGAAGGCCCGTAAATTGGTCGTCGTCTCGGCAGGAGCGAATGCCACACCCGGCATCCTCGAGCGGTCTGGGCTAGGCGACGCGAAAGTGCTAGAAAAGGCCGGGATTCCCGTCCTCGAAGATCTGCCCGGCGTGGGGAGCGACTACCAGGACCACCACCTGTCACTGTGGGCTTATCGAACCAACTTGACGCCTCGTGAAACCATCAACGGATACCAAGATGGACGCTTCGACATTGACGAGTGCATCAAATCCACCGACGAGCTCCTGGGCACCAACGCAATGGACGCCCAAGGTAAGTTCCGGCCGACCGAGGCAGAGGTTGAAGCCCTGGGCCCAGAGTTCAAAGAGGCATGGGACCGAGACTTTAAGGACCGGCCTGACAGACCTCTGATGATCCTTGCGCTGTATTGCTGGTAAGAAAGACGCTTGCGACCCGCTTTGCCATCACTTTCGGCAGTCCATACTGACAATGACCTTCCGCAACAGCTACTACGGCGACCACTCCGTCCTGCCCGACGACGCCGAATACGTCTCCATGGCCAACTGGACCGCCTACCCTTACTCGCGCGGCAGCATCCACGTGACCGGCCCGGCCATGTCCGACCCCGTGGACTTCGACACGGGCTGGCTCACGGACCCCGGCGACGTCGACGTCAAGAAACACATCTGGGCGTACAAAGTGTCGCGCGAGATGTGGCGCCGCATGCCCATCTTCCGCGGCGAGCTGGCGTCCCAGCACCCGCGCTTCCCCGAGGGGTCCAAGGCCGCGGTCATCGAAAAGGCCGACGGGCCCGTGGTCACCGACGACAGCTCCCGCATCGAGTACTCGGCCGAGGACGACAAGGCGATCGACCACAGGATCCGCGAGATCTTGTCCACCACCTGGCACTCGCTGGGGACGTGCAAGATGGCGCCACGTGAGAAGAAAGGCGTGGTGGACGGCTCGTTGAATGTATACGGTGTGAAGGGGCTCAAGCTTGCCGACCTCAGCATCCCGCCGGAGAATGTAGGCGCGAACACAGGCAACACGGCATTCGTGGTGGGTGAAAAGGCCGCCGATATCATCATCAAGGAACTGGGGCTCGGTGGCGAGGATCATTCGCAACCTCTGGCTAGATTGTAGATTGGCGGCAAGCGCGAAAAGACGGGTAGAGAAAGAGAAAGAGGCATGTTGTGAATAAACTTTACACGGTCAAACTCGAGATCATCCTTGTCCTTGAGTAGAGTCCCGACCTGGATATGCGTGCCTGCGCACGAGCAACGTGGACGCTTCGGGGATGATCCTTTTGGGTCATGCGATCTCTTTGGGTCTGATTGCCTGCAACTGCCCTGTGAATCATGGCGTCTGGATCGCAAGTCGAGCCTTTGGGCCTTCCTCCTCCAACGGTATGGCGGTCTGCTCTTACCGAGACAAAAAGGGGGGTATTAAAATGGGTCAGCCCTGCACGTAAGAGGCCAAATATAGCTCATTCCAAGAAGACTCTACAATGCAAGGGACTGTTTGGAAGATTGTGAGGCGGCAATATCGCAACATCGATCTCTTGCTCGAGCAAAGGGAGATGCGACTCGAGAAAGCCATGCTGTGCCACCTTATCTGACTACTTGCTGTGTCAAAGTCTGACAACACGTCTGGACGTCTCGTATCGTTCTTCTGGCCATCCTCTCAATCCATCGCCAACAATAATCCCTGTGGTCAAAGCATAAAGGTCCCAACATCGTAAAACTGCCCGCGTCATTCGCTGTGATGGTCCAGCCACATGGACAATCATGACTGCTCAATGACAAACTGACTTCCAGATGGATGACTGGAAGGAGCACTTTCCACAGCTGGCTAGCCCTCTCATGACCACTGGGTTCCACCCTGCAGATTGTCCCGTTCCTCCTCGCACCAGCCCCGTCCCCACCATCACGCCATCGCTCCTCCTCTTCCTCCTATTAACCGCATGGCCCCCACAATCGACATTGAGCAGGACCAAGAGACACGCCAGAAGCTGGAGGAGGACAGTGTTCGGGAGCGACTGCCGGATCGCATCCACGAGAGGTATCTCCATATGGTCTTGCGTAACTTCAGGGACACGCTAGACAAATGTCACGCGGATTGTGACTGCTCATCCGAGAGGCATCGGCAATGTCCAGAACACCAGCACAGGATGCTCTACCGCGACCCTGATGGTATCTGAGCTCCTTGACTTCGGCTTCTGCAAGGTCGACACTTTCGTGACTGATCTCCGATCATCGAAAGCTGAGGGCTGATAGCAGAGAACGGCCAACAGCCCATATTCGAGTGCCCAACTTCTCCTGTCTCCGGTATGCCGGCCATTGCAGGCGTTTCGATGCCAGTGTGCCGCGTGCGTCCAGACGACCCTCGATTGACTCCAGTGGCAGCGAACACAGGGACTAGGGCGGCCGAAACGACCTTGTCTCTAGAGATGATATGGGATCGCGGCCTTGGCTTCTCTGGTGCGCTGGCTGGACAGGGAGACTGGTTGCTTGAAAAAATAAAAGGTGTTGCAATGGCCCAAATTGGACGACACTCACGCAACTCAACGACAGACGATACGAATATCAATCTTCGTCTTTGTGGTTCTTCTCAATACTAACGATCCTTTTCCCTCCCATCTTCTTGATGTGCTCTTCCAAGGTGCCTTCTGCATCCAATCTTGCAAGGTCGTCGCTTCCACCGAGACTTTGTGCATTGATCATGATATTCGGAACTGTTCGTCGACCCGTTAATGCGGCCAAGAGATCTTGCAACTTTTTGCCCAGAGTTGGTGCTGGAGCGTCGTCATCATCGTCGTCAGTATCGTGAGGCCGTGGAACTCGTTCCGTCATCAGGTCTAGCTCAACCACATACGGTGCGGGCGTGATGCTGTAAGTTTGTAGGAGTAGTGCCTTGGCGCGTTTTGAGTAAGGGCAGTAGGATTTGGAGAAAATGATAACTGTTCGCCATAATGTCAGTGACTGTGTGTCTCATGGCGCGGAAGTTGACGTACTCGGACTCTTCTTGAGAATGCTCTGCAACTCTTCCCTTGCGAGGTCTTCTCCCTCGTCTCTGGCCTTCTCCACTTTGTTTCCGTTGTATGCGACCTCTTCACCTTGGCCGTCTGCGACAGGGGCTGTTACGCCTGTCGCTTTGGCAGTGTCGACAGGGTACCTGGGCTTGTCCTTTGGCATCGTCTTCCTGCCGCCGATAGGGACTTCATCGTCGAAGCTGATGGTCGAGGTGTACGGATGAGCGCCTTGCACGGGCGACGCGTCAAATATCTCCTGATCCCGGTTCTGGCCCCGCAACTCGTTCTGCCTGTCTAGAATCTTCTGCAGCTCGCGGTTTGTCTCCACGGTCAACTCCTTGTCGGAAAGAGCGCCTCTGAGCACGCCGCGACGGCGCGATAATGATGCCTCGGTGGTCTTCCGGAAATCCGTGCTCGACCCAGACCCGGAGAAGAATAGGAAGTAGATGAGAATAATGCCGAGCGCGAGAAACAGCGCCTGGCCGCGCCGCATACCCGCCATCTTGTAGTTCTTGAGGTGGAATTGGCGGGCCCGTGGGATGCAATCGCACCAGATACTAGAATGAGGTGACAGGCCGGTAAATAGAGTCGCTATACGGAGTACACTCCTTATGTATTGTCAATGCTGTCTAGAATGATAAAGGCCGGGCAGGAATGCAAGTAACCAGTGTGCGCATTATCCAAGCAGGACGGAAAGGAAGGTGAGAAAGGCAAACGTAGAAAGAGTCTGAGTCTGAAAGTGGAAAGAGAGGAGAGCGTGAGACGAGTCGATGATCCGTTCGGAGAATTGATAGGGAAATGAGGTCAACGATGGCGGGGGATAACTAGCCGAGAAATGGCTTAGCCAGGTACATCCGCCTCGGAGAGAGTGCAGCCACTGAAGTTACGCGCAGCGCAGGAGACGAGATCTCCAGCGTCAGGAGTCGAAGGCAAAGTCTGTTGGGTGTCTGTCAATAACATTTCTTCAAGATCCTGACGTTCTTGGACCTGCGCATCGAGCTGCGACAATTACTCCGGACGCTGTACGGAGTGTCGCACAGGGCCTGTACCTTGTAGCAGGGTCTAATTGATGGTGCAGGGGTCGCGCGGGTGGGCGGCCGTGCTCATAGGCGTCTCCCCGCAGATTGAAAGGCGTCCGGGGGGCCCTGTCGCTCAGGCCGATGAAAGCCTAGAGGACAAAAATTCGTCAATGCAATCTTCTTAAGGCAGGGATAAGATTGTCATGCCAGGCATCTTGCATGCTCTTTTGGGTCTATCACTGTTCAGGGTTTATTGCCCCTCGAAGGAGCAAGTTGAGGTTGTATCTGGCTCTGCTGACGATAGCTTGAACGTGAAGACCAAAAGACAAGTCATTGAACAGTCCAGATATTGGTTCGTACATTGCTGCGAATTTCAGCAACTCGTTTCATTCGCTCTCGCAACCTCGCCTGGTTCCTCGACATCTCGTATCTTACAAGCTATACACAGTACGGCTGCTTTCGATTCCAACCAATCGTCTCAGATTCTCATCCAGCCCGTCGAATATAGCTTTCCAAACGCCGCGCTCAATCTTACTATCCAATGAGATGCTCGTACATATTTCGCGTTTCTAGAGGGAAGCCGGTCCCTCCACGGCTTCACACCGGATTGTATTTTTCATGCAATCAGTCCACCCAGGACGACCTTCTGCAAGCCCATCATCTCCCTCTTGGCCGTTTCCCGGGACGTCTGCTCGAACTCACGTATAACTGCCGAAACCATGACTTTGCGGATCCGCGCGTCAACTTTGGAGAACAGGTCGTTGACGGCCGGTGTGCACGCGGGCGGCCCCGTCAAGATTTGCAGTAGCCGCTGATAGGTGTCGATGAGGACGTCACATAACGTAGCAAAGACGGTAAAGAAGTCGGGTGTGAATGGAAGAGGCGGAGTTTGCAGGTGAGTATATGGTCCTTCGTTCGGTAACAGCGTCGAGTTTGGAGCGTCGAATGGCGCCGGCGGAGGAAATGATGTTGCGCTAGGGAAATTGATCGTCGACATGGGAGTCAAAGGCGAAGGATTGACAAGTGTAGTTGCCGCCGACGCAAAGGTAGCCATGCTGGCTGTCGTGTCTATCGATGGCTGTGAAGCATGGTGACCCAGCTCCGGCAGCGTTGAGGGTGGGGATGTGGCCGGCAGCATAGGAAGGCCGATATCTGTGACTGGACCACTCGATTTTCGCGGCCGTGAAGTCGTAGCTGCTCTTTTAAACATCTGAGGTATTCGTGCTCGACTTAATGAACTCGCCGAACTACCATCAGGCGGATGGAGTTGTTGGAAAGATTCAAACTCGGTCAACAGTGTATTCAGATTCTTCAAATAGTCTTGCGCAACTGCTGCGCTGCTTGTCGCGCTGGTCTGACTTTGGGACTGAGGCGGATGGAAATCCAAAACCATCGGCAGAGACATTCCCAATAACATATAGTTGACAGCTCGTCGCGACATTCGGTTGGGCGTGTATGATGGTAGTTTGGCAATATCCGCCTCAGTGAACTGAACCGTGTTGAACCAGAACGATCGGCCTTCATGCGCTCTGCGTAGATAGTCCAGCGTCGCGACTCTTTTGTGCGTCATCTCTTGTATGTGCACGTAGAGTGCTGAAGTACTCGGCTGGCTCGGGATGGCAGCGAGGGCAGCTTGGCTGGTTGGGAGCATCCCATTGAGGGCCAGCGCCGAAGCGACATCCGGCTCTCGTGTCTCCTTCTCCTTTTTCTGGGTCGTGTGAGTGCCTGAGCCATCGTCGCCAGTGCTGACATTGCTGTTGATCTTGTGGAGGGGTGCGCGATAGGTGGCCGAGGTGTTGTAGACCGGACCAATGGTTGCGGAAGGGGGAGACAGCATCTTGTTGGTGCCAGTCGCGAGGCTGCTCACATCACTGGTGGTTCGCGCGGAGAGATCGGATTTTATGGCATGCAAAGAGATTGGTGCGGGAGGAGCAGTGGCAGTTCGTGTGTAGGCGGGTCGGGGGCGAGGGCGAGGGGGTGTTGAACTGGCACCGTCGAGTGAGCCGTTGGATCCCAGAGGTTTGTGCCTGCGTGAGGGCGATCTGGCAATTTTGGAGAGAAAGCCTGCGGCTCCTCCACCTCCTGCTGCTGCTCCTCCTGAGTTGGTGGAACTAATGGAACCATCGCGAGATGCGGGAGGCAGAGACTGCGACTGAACCTGAGTGCTAGGCTCAGTCATGATCCCACTCTAACCGTTTCTCCCGTACCACTTGACCGCTTGGATCGTGATGGCCGAATCAAAGCGCAGTCCAAGTCAATAGTGTGCTCCAGCGAAGTCTGCGCCTTGGGTCGAAAAGGGCGCGGACAGCAAAGGGTACCTGCAGATGGTGTGGTAGATAGTCACGAAACAAACAGGGGTTCGCCAACGGCGAGTGAGGTTGAATTGTGGGGATTCACCCCCCCCTTCCAATGCCTCGTGCCACTCACATTACGCCATCTGGCCAGGGGTGGGTAAGGGCAATCCCCATCATTTCATTCCTTCTCGTACACAGTAGAGGCGGATATCCCTTTAGTGCACAGAAGGCGCCTGATTTCCACCACTATTGAGATTTTCATCGAGGTCACCGATAGTGGCATGGACAGCGACGTGCCAAAGCCGGGCCACTGGCCAGTTGACCCTCAAGAAGATGATGAAATTCATAAAGATCGTATCTGGGTCGATGGTTGCTTCGACTTTGCTCATCACGGTAGGCCTTCACCAAAGGAAAGGTAAGCATGTCTGACCGATTCAGGTCACGCCGGTGCTTTGCGACAAGCCCGCCAGCTAGGTAAAGAGCTCTACATTGGCCTTCACTCGGATGAGGAGATTTTGGAGAACAAAGGGCCAACCGTCATGACCTTGGATGAACGGTCTGCAGCATGTGAAGCGTGCCGGTGGACCACCAAAGTCATCCCACACGCGCCTTATGTGACGTCCTTGCCCTGGATCTCCCATTACGGCTGTTGGTATGTCGCCCACGGCGACGACATTACCTCTGATGCTGGTGGGGAAGACTGCTATCGCTTCGTCAAGGCGGCTGGTCGCTTCCTCGTCTTCAAGCGAACACCAGGCATATCCACTACCGATTTGGTGGGGCGCATGCTACTGTGTACAAAGACACACTTCATCAAGTCTCTAATGGATGCCCTCCAGGGCAACACTGACGCCGGCCCTGACCCGCAAAAGGCGGCAGAGGGTGCTGAAATGCTCGAGAGAATCAAGGACTATGCTACGGATGAGACAGCTTTGCAACCGGGCGCAGAAGTATGGTCGTGGGTTGAGCAAAAACCAAGCAAGATAGGAGAGCGAGAATCTCCCAGCTGTGGTCGGTTCGAAAAGATTGTGGCTGGAAAAGGTCCCAGACCAGGTCAGAAGATCGTTTACGTCGACGGTGGCTTCGATCTCTTCTCCTCCGGGCACATTGAGTTTCTGAAACGAGTCAATCAAGCGGAGAACAACGAAGCTTTTGTGGTTGCTGGTGTCCACGATGATGCCGTGATCAACCACTGGAAAGGCCTCAACTACCCTATCATGAACATCTTCGAGCGAGGACTGTGCGTCTTGCAATGCCGGTATGTCCACGCCGTCGTGTTCGGTGCGCCGTTTTTGCCCTCGAAAGCATATCTACAAGCAATGCCCGTGGGCACGGTTGCCGCTGTCTACCATGGTCCTACAACATTCATGCCTTCCACGTTCGATCCTTACACGGATGCCAAGGAGATGGACATTCTGCGGCAGATTGAAGACCATCCTTACTCGCACGTGAATGCCGCGGAGATCGTGGGGCGGATTATGAAGGGCAGACAAGCGTTCGAGGAGCGCCAGAGAAGGAAAGGCGAAAAAGCGGTGGGTGAAGAAGCTGTCCGCCAGAGAGAAATCCTCGAGCAACAACAAGCGGCCGTCGAAGCAGACCGTCGCGCGGCCATGCAATGATGCGGGCTCTTCATCTTCGGCTTCCGACTGTGCAAGGGTTAATTGAGACTATATACAATGACCCTGCCTGAGGATGCGATGGACTTCTAGAGAAAGCTTCGGCACGGATAACTGCCAGCACGGTCAGCATAGAATGACAACTCTCGACACACAGATGAACATACCCGTCTCCATAACTCGTCGGTGCCTGCTGGTACTTTACGCCTTTCGCGTGCCCCACAGCGACCGGCATAGGAGGCAGTCCATTCTCACCGAGCACTGCCGCCGCCTTCTCATGCTCGAAATACGCGGCGAGCCCTCTCTCGCCTTCCTGTTTCACAGCGACCAATTGCTTACTGCCCTCCTCGCCAGCCAACAGCTTCGGACTCGGATTTGCCGCACTGCCCAACGTCAACAGCCCCACTACTTCTCCCTGCGTTACTATGCTAAGTTTGGGGTATGCTCGTCGTACGTCCCTCTTCCAATATGGATTATCTGCGATGTCTGCCGCAGGTGTTGTCACGGCGTCATCGTAGGCCTTAGGATCTTGAGCAGCCGGGGAAGGATTGCGAAAGTGTTTGACAGGGATGCCACTGCTGCGGTTAGGGTCGACGGCGAAGTATTTGTGGATAGTCCGCCAGATGCCGGCGCTCTCTTGCGTATATTTCTAAAGCAGACCGTAAGCGACTTGTCTGTTGACCCAGCTGGTGACGAGACACATACCTTGGCCAAATTGACGACGTCCTTGATAGGTTGGGCGGCCATGCTGGCCAGGCTCACAGGGATCGTGCTATTCCTGTACTTGATTTGGATATGGAGGCCAGTAGTGAGGAGGATAAGAAGGCGGCAGGACAAAGCGGGACAATCGCTTCAACTTGATCGCGAACAGCAGTTGAGTCTGAACTGATGTCTAACTCGTACGAAGGTTGAGCTCCAATCGCTATGCGATTATCTGGTTTGCCGTACTTCTTGGCAACGGTACAGTAAATATTCCTCAAATGCAGTTGTGGCTGCTGACACGTGATCAAAAATACCGGTGAGGCCGACCAGCTTCATGATCCTTGCTCACTTCTGCCCTGCTCTCTCATCCGACACATCTCATTCAATGTTTGACCTATTCAACCTGCGATGGTTCCATGACTACGCGTTACATTCTTCCTCCGGCTCACACCAATCTATCACTGTCCAAGTAGCCGCTGGTGGCTGATAACTAACGCCCTCCCCGCTGAGAAGTGCGCGGCATCTCATTCCGCAATGATGCGTTAACTGCAAATGACGAATCAAACGGAGGTCACCGGTAGGACGTTAGTCTATGGAACCGACTACAATGCTCTCATTCCCACTGGCAGTGTCATGTTCCTTACAAAAAAAAGAAACAGCCGTGCCCTTTTTGTTCTTCCCTTCAAGATACATCCCGAACACTCGTCGCTGCTTAACATTGCCCAGGATTGAAGCTAGTATCGTTGAGCAAAGAAAGGGAGGGTCCAACATCCCTTGTGGCATTCAACCTGATATCAAAACTGTAAGGTAGAACGAAGCACAGGGCGTCCAGAGCACTCCCGACGACTAAAATGTCAACCAAGCCCAAGATTCTCCTCCTCGGCGAGGTCGACCAGTAAGTGCACCAATCATTCTGTGAATATCGCACCTTTCAGGCCCTAACTGGTGATCTCACTACAGTGCTCAAGAGGCATGGAAATCGCTGAGCTCTCTAGGCGACCTAGTCACACCAAGCGCCACCAATCGAGCCGACTTCATCGAGGAATGTCAATCTGGCAAGCATGACGGTGTGGTCGCCGCTTATCGCACCTTCCAGTCCGCCAGCATCACGGGCTTATTCGACGAGGAAATGGTAAATGCACTGCCGAAGTCCTGGAAATTCCTCGCCCACTGCGGCGCCGGGTACGACCAGATCGACGCCGATGCTTGCTCGGCCCGAGATCCACCACTGCTCGTGTCAAACGTGCCGACAGCAGTGGACGACGCCACCGCCGACACGGCCATCTTCCTCATGCTGGGCGCGCTACGCAACTATAACCCCGGCATGTTGACATTGCGCAAGGGCGACTGGCGCGGCAATCCATCCCCGGCGCTCGGCCACGATCCTCAGGGCAAAGTGCTCGGCATCCTCGGCATGGGCGGGATCGGACGGAACATGAAGAAAAAGGCCGAAGCATTTGGCATGACGGTCATCTACCACAATCGTCGTGAACTCGACTCTTCCCAGGCCGATGGCGCATCGTACGTCTCGTTCGAAGAACTACTGCGACAAAGCGATGTGCTGAGTCTGAATCTGCCACTCAACCCGAAGACGCGCCACATCATCTCCACGGAGCAACTGAAATTGATGAAACCTAGCGCCATCATCGTCAATACGGCCCGCGGAGCGGTCATCGACGAAGCCGCGTTGGTCGACGCGCTAGACAACGGTATCATCGCCGGTGCGGGTCTCGATGTCTACGAGGAAGAACCGAAGATCCACCCTGGTCTCGTTGGCAATGAAAAGGTCATCTTGCTGCCTCACATGGGCACATGGACGATCGAGACCATCAAGAAGATGGAGGAATGGGCGATTGAGAATGTGAGGTTAGCCCTGGAGACTGGAAAGTTGAAGAGTCCGATTTTCGAGCAGAGGGACATGCAGTGAGTGCGTTCGTTTGGACTGTTTATCTCGAATTAGACATGGAAATGTACATGTGGGTGTACATAGACGAGATAAAGCCGGGCGCGAAGCACAGTGCCCACTGGGATCAGCACTCTAAAGCAGATTTCCACACAGAGCAGTTTGTCTGTCTATTTCGAGCTAACCAGCCAGTGATGCCGAGGACGTGGAGTGTGTGTAGCGAACGATTCCGATCCTAGGTACAGAGTAGGTACATAATGTACATACACAACCTTGACTCAACTACAGCAGCAACTCTCATTTCATTAAGGGGATATCCCGCTCATGGACAGGCCTGACCATAAGACCCAGAACTATTCACGGCACGGGAGTATTGGATATTCCCTTATGCTTCCTTTTCGGTCAATCTAGCGCTCCTTCGCACGCACTACAGTACTGCTACAGACTAGAGCCTGGACCGCGGGCCCGAGAGGGAAAAGATGACAGGCCGCCAACGAATTAACCATGTACTGACCCGTCCCCCGAAACATTATAGATCACCTAGGTACCTAGGTATGTAGTAGTGATATCTGCACGTGTCACGTACATAGAGCGCGTCCCCTTTAACCTCCCTTCAGCTGGTGCGGCACGGGCCAGCAAATACTGTAGCGGTTATTCGCCGCACCGTGTCGCTTGATCTGATCTTGGGACTCCGCTCGGAACGCAGGCTGATCCAGCAGCAGAACCAGCGTCTGCTACCGTTCTCCCATCATGCGGCGCAGCAGCTCCTGGGGTGCGCGGTGACAGCTCTGGAAGTTTATCGTGCCTCAAGGCGACGGCGAAGTCACCCAGGTGCTTTGTTGGACGTCTCTACTGTAAGCGAACCGAGCGAACATGCAGGAGGCTCCCCCATCGTGCGGCGTGCTAAGAGCGAGGCGGAGCGAGGCGAGATTCGCGCAGGATCGTCGCGTCGGATGGTCAAAAAGTCAAAATAAACTTGAACCCTGGCGATGCGAGCGAGCGAGCGAGGCTTGTGGCGTTGGAGTGAAAATGAAGATCAGGGATGTCGATCAGTACGAGTACGGAGTATGGAGTGACAGTACTCCGTACTGTGTGTGATTTAGAGCTGCTCCGTACTTCACAACATTTCCTTCGCCGGTGATTGCTGCGATCGCCGCAACCCTGTGGGTTGTGAATACGGAGCATATAAAGGCAGTCGAGATCGAGGGCGTGGGCGAGGGTCTAGACCTCAGGGTGAAATCGTCCAGACCTTGTATCACTAACGAGCCTTTGCGGTACGTACCTAGTAGCTTCAACTGCATCCTGATAAGCAAGGGCACACGGTGGATACTACCGAGGTATGTACTATGTAGGTACTTGTTGAGCACAACACATACCATGACAGTACCTACCTAATCACGTCAAGCTGAAGTAGTGCAGGCACTCGGTACTCCTTAGGTACTTGTGAGGAACCTGAACTTATCTGACGTCCTGCTCGGCGCCTGAACCCAAGCGGCACGCGTGCTTCGGTTCCGGGTCAACTTCACCGGATTGACGGACAGCGAGGCGATGAATGGCTTCGAGATCGAGGCGAGGCGAGGCGGACTCAGGTTCGAAGACCTACTTTCTATACAGTATCGTAGAGTACGTGAGGACGTGAGTACGTAGGTACCTAAGTACTCAGGAGAGGTTCTGTGACTTCATAATTACTGTACGATCTGCAGCTGAATTGGAATTCGGCACCGGCACTTGCATTCGTACCTGTTCTCTGCGTGTACCACGTGCATGCGCAATAGAGCGCTGGCCAACATACACAGTAGGAACTAGTGATACGGAGTAGAAGCGGCTTTGAACCGCATCTGATTACGAGAGTATGAGTAGAATAGAGCTTTGATTTTCCAGAGAGCGCCCCATATTTGGCTGTACAGAAAGGGTATGTATGTCTGCCATATCTTGGTGTACCGAAGAACGAGCATGTGCGAAGAACTATGCAAGTGGTTGTTTGTCACTGAGCCCCGGATGTGGCCAAATCTTAGGCCTCAAACGCCCTCAACGCCATGCCGGATATAGTCGCAAATACTTGATTCGTAGCACGTCCGTTTGCCTGTGTCTCCAGGTATCTCTTTGCGAGTTCTCGTTCAGAAGTGAGATCACCGTTTCCACCAGTCGCCAGCAGCATTAAACTGTAGATTATGTCCCTGTTCTCCATGCCATCTAGTAAAGGTCGACATCGACGCACCGCTTCCGCCGACAGGCCTAGGCCAGAGGGAGACTGTGTGGCAGCTGCCGCTTCGACCAACTTCCAAAACTCTTCGGACCTCCGGGCGAGCTGTTTTTCGAGCGTCGTCTCCTTTGGTTCTGCTGGCTCAGCTTCCTCTTGATGCACAAAGTCCGACATGGAGGCCGTGGGGTTGCTGAAAGATTCTCCGGTCAGAGTCGCACCAAGGGCTCGGCATCGAAGCGCCAGCTGATCCGCCTCTTCGCCGCCGTCATGTTCTGGTCGGACGCACAGTTCGAGCATGGCCCAGGTGACCCGGGCTTCTTGACTGGCTAAGGTCGCATTCTCCACAGGCGTGTCTGCGTGGTTACTTACTAACGTCAGATACGCCAACATATTGCCCAGTTGAGTGCGGTCCGTGCAGAGTAAAGGAAACCCGTGGTTGGCAAACCATTTGGACTGCCCTGTCTCCAACAGGCGGTCAAGACCCGGAACGAACGCCACATCGTACACTTTTCGGATAGACTCGAGGTTAGGAACGGAATCAGGTGGAATCGGTGGTACACTCGGGATTTTGGTGCCAGCAATTGTACAGATAGACTCAATGGTCCTCATGGGCCGTCGAGTGCCGGTCTCCATCATTAATGCACTGGTACCAAAAGTCAGACGATAGAGTAAACGCTAGCCTCAGCTCCACTCACTTCGTCCAGACGGCGGTGGCGGGGGATACGGAGCCAGGCCAGTGTGGTGGGTGCCGTCCATGTGATATGGCTGATTGATGTGAGGCAGGAGCTGTTCCGGCGGCCGCGGGAAGGGGTATTCGTTGTGGTCTCGAGGTGAACTCGACACGATTGAGGAATTGTGATTCGGGGCTGAAGGGCTGATGGGAGTGCCCGAAAATCTCCGCCCTGGAGCACTAATCGAGGACGGTGGAGGGGGGTTGGAGTTGCTGCTGTTGGGTGCTGAGGACGACGATGGCGCTGGGTGCAGCGAATGAGGCCCTTGCGCCTGGAAGACTGGATCGTAGCCTTGACAGGTGCGCTTGCTCTTCATGCAATTCCTGCACTCGGGTCGACCTTCATCGCACTGTCAAGTGAATATCGGTGATTAGTGCCATGCAAGGTACAGGAGAGTCAGAGGAGGGGTGAGGTCTCGGTACAGCAGCGCGCGCAAGTGGACGCGAGGGAAACTTCTGCCGTGCTCCCAAACAGGGAGCAGAGGTGAGGGAGTAATCTCGAGACGAGGGAAGGGGCGTTGAAGGATGGAGTCGCCTAGGATGGAAAACCGTGTAGCGCGGTTGAGTCCGGGATGGAAGGTCGCGAAGGTTTTGTGACACGGCGGAGATGGCAGCGTCGATCACAATGCCCGAGGCCTAAATAGGCCTGCGCCTTGGGGGGCGGGCGCTCCCCTGGACTTTGGTGCTAGGCGCCACCCACGGCTATCACCCACTAGCCCAAGTGGAGCTCCGTGTAAAGTTGCCCTCGCCCCAGGCTCGTTCTGTGGCCTGGCCTTGCTATGCGCCCACTGTCCAATTTGCCTGGCGGTGGCATTTGACACATGGTTGCGGTCGCCACCGAGCGATGGGTAGAGAAGGAAAGGGAGTGCTCGACAATGCTGAAATGGCGGTACAACGTGCAGTAAAAATCGAACCCGGACTCACCTTAATGCGCCGTTTTCGGCACGTCAAACAGCCGGTTTTCGTCCGTCTCTTCACCTCTTTGGCTTTGTGACGGGGCGGCGCAACGATCAGACTAGGGTCGGTGGTTGACGGCAGGGCCATCCTTCCCGGCATGGGCTGGTACGGTGAAGGCATCCCCGGATACATCGGTCGTGCTTGCATGTACTCGTGAGGCATGGGCGGCGGCGGCACTGGCGGCGGCCCTGGTCGAGCTGCATAAGGGTATGGCAACGGTGGTAGCACACGCTGTTGTGACGGTGGTGGGGGTGGTAAAGGTTGCACAACTTCTGGTTCTGATCGATGTGCCATATGCGCGTGGAAATCGATGCTGCTGATCGGCGGAAGGCTGATCGACGACGTCGAAGACTGTAAAGCCGCCGTGCTCATGTTGGAGTAGTTCATTAGGCTCGCTTTCTCTCCGCCTCCTGCTGTTCCCAGCGTGGAGACCTAGCCGCGAAGGATGCGATGGTGCGACTCGACTCGAAGGTGATATCGATCGCGAGCTCCGTGGGGGTTGACGCCGTCGACCTCTTTCTCCCACAAAACAACCACTTCAGCGTCTCTCTTCCGAACACCGAGTTGAACGTCCCTCTTCTGAAAGTTTCAGCTGGTCAGCGTCCATACACAACACCTCGCTCCGGTGACGCTTCCGGGAGGTTTTGCTTGTTTGTTCCGCCGACAGATATGTTGTATATGCCCGACAGACCGAGACCAAAATACGTCGTTGGCAATAGACAAGCAAGATCGATGCAGAGAAGGAAACGACATACAAAGCAACAACCGAGCAACGCAGACAACCAGACGGACGCAAGACGGAAACAAGCAGCCGGGCAATAACGAGGTTGAAGCGCGAAGCGAGGATGCGAAGAGAGCAAAGTACTGGAAGGATGTTTAGAGTATGCAGCGTATGGCAGTGCCTGCACATACGGAGTAGTAACAGATGACTTGGATGGAGGACCAAGGTGGCATAGCACTGGCTGGAGGGACGGACAGGCATTCGAGTTCCACTGGCAGGGCTCGACAGGACAGGGGGCTTTTCTGGAGTGCTTGGTCACCCGTTTGGGGCCCGTGAAACGGTCACCAGTCCCCAGTGGCTACCGGCTTTGACCGTTTGAGCGATCGTTCGTTGCTCAAGGCGTCGCGGACGTCCTAAGTGCCGAAGCGCAGTGAGCATGAATCAGATTTGCGATGGCGAAATTGGAACGAGCCTCGCTTCGAGTCGCTTCGACTCGCCAGCCGCCCTAGACGACAAGCATTATCTGGGGGACGTGCTGCAATTCGAAGTCCCTCGCTCCGTAGCCTGGCGACCCAAGTCGTGTCCCAAAAGCCATCTTTGACCTCGAGCGCTAGTAGGCAGACGATGGAGGAAAATGGACTCGCACGACTCCACGAAGCCCCGAACGGGCCGGAACTCGCAGCTGTTGACAGGTCTGTCAACCAACTCTCACCAGTAGCAGGAGGCAGAGATGAGAAGTTATGGGACAGTGGTGGACTCGTCTCTGCTCTGCTGAGCAGAGAGTTTTGCCAAACCCCCTGGTACCCAGTCAAGAGGCTTCTCGCTTAGGGCATCTCCCGGCGCCAGACGACATTAGGCCCAAGTCTAAGCACCTTAGGGCCCTGCCTCATCTTGCACTGACACTGTCTGTTCGCCGGCGTTGCCCACTCCTAGCCTTTTCAGCTCAAAGGCCGGTTGCATTGTTTATGCATCGGCGCTGCTAGCTATACACAGTAACGGCAGGCCACAAGCTGAAAGCGACGAAGCTGGAAATGGGATAGCCCCGGTTACCGAAGGACTAACGCGTGCGCTTCAAGACCGCTTCCTCTGAATGCTCCGAATGGTGGGTACCAGTACTTCACATAACGGAGGGTGATCGTCTACTGACGTCGGAGCCAGGTTGCTGTGATAAGGGAGCCAGCATGGACATGATGGCGAGCGTGGGAAGGCACGAGAGCACAGACAACACGGACGGCAGTGCCACAGAAACGGTGGCTCACGTACCCTCGAGTATGTAATTCCGCCTTTCCGCCCGTTCGCCTTCCGATGGTGATGTCGTCGATCAGTTCCTGTTTGTCTACTGTACGAGTACGCAATAGCAATTGGATGGCCTGGCCTCACCGAGTCCAATATCCCGAAAGAGCAGCATACAGTGATCGCTCCCACTGCTGGACGCTCCTGCTTGACCGTTGCCAAGCGACTCTAGAACCCTGCTAGTGCATTTTCGAGAAATGGAGTCGTATCAGTCAAGCGTCCACAATTTGGGATGAGAAAAGCCAATATGGATTCCCACTTCTGTAACCGAGGCCAGTAGTCTCGCCCAAGCATCTGCAGCTCGCTCCTTGACTGTCCCTACTCGAGCATAGTGCAACTCCGTGTTCTTCCTCTGAGGCTGTCTGTGGATGTGACCATGTCAGCATCCAAAGCATCGCAGCAGTCCATTCCTAATGCCTTGCTGGCTCCAGAAATGATTCATGCCTTAGCTACCTGGTCAGACTGCGCACCCCGCTTTGTGGGCCTGTTTCTCTTTTCAGTCCTGGTTCGCTCCCAGCAATTGCACTGACTGCCGGCATGCCGTTCAGCTAACGCGGTGGTTGGGGTGAGGGGAAGGCGATAGACGAATTTTCAGATTCGCAAGCGGGTTGGCGTGTGATGCGTCCTGGAGTTTCGCGGTTTGATCACCACAACCCCGTCACGCTATCAAGTGAAACAAGTGTTCGAAAATCTGCAGACGGCTAGCAGGAAAATAGCGCAGGAACCTGTCCTCAAGCAAAGTAGACGATGCTTGACGACTCACTTGTCGACGCCAGCTGCTCCGTACTTGTACGCCAAACTCCACCACGTCTCGCTCATCCACCTATCTCCCGGCGTACAGACATTTTAACTTTGTGCATGCTTCTTAGCGAGACAATTTCTACCTCGCTCCGACATGCGTGGCTTGGTTTGCGCGGCTTCTGAGCGCCGGTGACTCTGATGTGTTTGCTCCCTGATCCAGGAACGCTCGCACAGTCCCGTCATGATCGCCCAACCCCCTGCTGCGACGCACGATGGTCCGTTTCTGATCCGGTACCGTCGAGGTACCATTTGTCACCCAAGCGTCTCGACATCGCCTTCAGTGTCACATGAACCGCCTGGGCAACACAACCAGTGCATGAAACCATACCCTGAGACAGCGCTGGGGAAACATGCAATCAGCGGCCTTGACCCCTGCGAGCCTCGACTCGCCGATTTGCAAGGGTTTGTGGATAATACATTCATAACAGCCTGTTCATGTACGCATTGCTGCATGGGTACGGAGCGCTGCAATGCGACAGGGTGAACCAGTTTCGTAAACTGAATCGTGTCCGCCAGTATTTGCGTTGAGTGAGATCTGGTGCTGCCTGATATTCAAGGATCGTCTTCTCCGTTGCGAAGATGCAGCAAATTATTCTCCGAGCGACTCGGATGCTTGGCTGGGCAGATGCGGTAGGCTCGAGTAGGTTGCAGAACCGACCGAGACCCTACCTTAGGTCATGGCGAAGCTGCGAGGGTGCCGCTTGTGCTTCCTTACGGCTGCGTGCAGGCCAAAGAGTATTGGGTAGCTTCCCGATGTGTCAAGGGATAATTAAACGAGGATGACGATGCGAGTATTCGTACTCCGTACTTCTCGAAAGAGGCCGTGTATCCCCAGAACCCCGCCATTATTGGCCATGATGACATTCAGCTCATGCACTGCATACCCCGGTAAGGCCGTGCGGGCGGCTGATGACCGTTCGTTGAATTAATTCAGCTGAGTCTGACTGCCTACGGAAGCTTACCACTTGGAGCTTGAGTTCGCAGGAGGATGTGCATACGTTAATAGACCTCTCGGTGTCAATTAAGCCAGTGCAGGACAGCTATGGTTTACGGCTAGGGCGAAATTTCATTTCGATTTGTTGTGCTGCTTGTCTTATCGCGTCCCTACTCTCAGCAACGCCAGAGTTGGGACGTTTGCTTCAGGGCCGTAACGGACCTGCCACGGCTGTCATGTTAGAATGCTTGTGCAACTGTGTAACCAGCAGTTAAATCCCACGTGGTTCAGCCACTCGCGAGTCTGTTATTGCTGTGCACCAATGGTTGGACATGCCCTCATATGAGAGTTTGCTTGGAACAAAGGCAATCAGTCGACAATTATTCATGATCTCGCTTATCTTGGGCGTCGGTTCGCTTGTGGCCGGCCGAGGTTACGTACGGTCGTCAACTATCCCGGTTCGACAAGACGAGGGTATCTGTTTCATCTTTTCAAGACGCTTTCGCCCGGCGTTTTCTGAAAACAGGCATTGAAACTTCCGCTGGGGCTTGATCCTTGAGTATCGCCGCTTGAGTTGCCTCGGGCTCCTCTTTCACGACTTTATGTGTCACTGGGTCGTCGCCTGAGCGAGCCTCGACTTTTGGCAAGGTATCATTTCCGGCCGAGCTTTCGTCTTGAGTGAGTGCAGGGTTATTTTCCTGTTTCACAGACGTGACTCTCTCACCTTTAATCTGCGAACCTGGCTTTTCTGTCTTGACCGGGATTGAGCCAGAGAGGAGGTCATCAAGATCAGCGATGTCATGGCCAGGATATGCCTTGGTGGTAGCACCCCAACCGCGTCGCACAACAGCCTCACCAGCTGCTTCTTTCTCCTCTTCGTCGTCTTCCTGGCCTTCGTATCTGCGCTTCTTGATACCTGTACTCAGAGGGGCTTCATCAACGACTTGCTGCGACAACATCTGCCAATCACCCGCCATGGCCACCTCAGAGCGGAACTCCTCGGGTACCTTGATGCCCATCTCGGCCAGCTGCGCCCATTGTCTCTTGCGATCTGCTATACCTGGCGGCCCCGTGGCAGATTTGTGGGCAGAAGGCGTGGGTTTCGAGACGGAGTACGGTGAGGTTAAGGATTTATTTGTGTCATCAGCGGCGATACCCTTCAACCTTTGGACCTCTGACTTTGCGCGTTCTTTTTCTCTCTCTCCTCGCTCATGGTTATTCTGGATGTCTCGCAGAAACCGTTTGAGGTTGTTCTGATGCTTTCCAGTATTCTCATGCTGTTTGCGTTCGAACGGAGTGTCTTTGACATACGTGCTGCAGTGCTTGCACCAATACTTTGGCTGAGCACCAGTTAGCAAGGTGCGACTCAGTTCTGGAATGAGCTTACCGTTGATTTCCAGTACTCCGACATGGTGCAGGATTGATGGCTGAATGAAGGTGTGCTATGTCATACAGAGTTCAGGTGAGGGACTTGGAGAACTACGGGCGAATGGTGCGCAGGCGACAGAGATCTGGATCGCTTTGACTTTGGCTTCGGCAAAGCTATCCCGAAAATGGCTGAATTGATTGCTGGGTGAGGAGAACTCGGGCGCGAGTAGGTCACGCGTCGCTGTCAGACATGCCCGAATTGCACCTCTTGTCTTTGTCATTCATGTCAGTCACTGGCCATTTTGCCGGTGTTTTGTTCAAGCGACAGGTAGAAACCCTTGAGCCAATCACCAGCCTGTAGTTTGGCTTTCCGACCTTTCCCGCTCTTTCTGCATCCCGGCGAAAAATTTGTTGGAGAAGGGGGCCGAACTCCGTGAAAGTACCTGGCTACTCACCTTCCTTTTGCTCGTCGGCAACAACATATCTCGACGACTTGTCCACATCGCCTTTCATCACTCGCACGATCTTTTCTTTGTTCTCTTGCTTTGAGCGGCTGGCTTTAGACTGTCAGAATCCTTGACCATCGATAGACAAAGACTGCGATCATTAGACGCGCCTCGGCTTTCCTCATTAACGATTTCACGATTTGCTGCTCGCCGAATCTCATCAATTTCCCCTCTGCCGATCCATCTCCTTCAGCTACCATGAAGATCTTCTCATCATCGTATACCTTCGACTATTCCTGGGAAGAGGTCAGCACGAATAACTGGCGGAAATACTGCCCTTGGAACGAGAAGGCTCCCCATGTTCTTGCCGTCGATACTGTCTCTCGCCACGTCGATGCTCAAACAGGAATCCTGCGTACCGAGCGTCTTATTACATGCCAGCAAAACGCACCGAAATGGATTCTGAGCATATTGGGTGGCGAGACCACCAGTTACGTCTACGAAGTCTCATACGTCGACCCGGGGTCACAAAAGGTTACTATGTGCAGCACCAACCTGACCTGGTCCAACCTTTTGGAATGCCGCGAGACTGTCGTCTATCAGGCTTCCTCGACCAACCCAAAAGAGAAGACAGAGTTCAACCAGCAAGCCAAGATCGTAGCACTATGTGGCGGATGGCAAAAGATACGGACCAAGATCGAAGAAGCCAGTGTCGAACGGTTTCGGGAGAACGCAGCTCGCGGCCGTGAAGGCTTCGAGATGGTCCTGGAGATGTCGAGGAGGGTTTTTGGCGAAGAACGACAGAGGTTAAAAGCAGGCGTGCCGCTTAACCTATGATACGACATGCGGCAATGGCTACAGCTACCCCTTCCTGGCTTTCCCTTCGACTTAGCGATATCATCGACCACTTCACGTTACCACGACTCTTAGACTCGGCCAGATCATGGGTGGCGTTCTGCAACACGACTCATAGCGCAATACCTATCGATCCTTTTTGGGTGTGCTCTACGATAGATTGGGGTATGGGAAAAGTGCAGCATACGCATTGTGTTTTCAGCGCGGCGTTAGGGGAAGGAGCCATCGTTTCATGGCTTTTGTTGGTTTGCTCCTGGTCGGTGAAATCAGCGAGTTTTGGCCTCACAAGATTCCAAGAATACATTAGATCTACATTGCGTTGATAGATGGAAGAAACTCTCCGCATCAGGCTGCGATGACAATAGACCCGCTCATACACGAACATACTCAGAGCTTTAGACAGCTCATCAGACGGAACCGTTAGGCAGTGCATTGGAGGCAGATTCCGCGCACTCTAGCACCATCCACAATTGGCTGCATTGTGCACGAGGAGCATCCAGTGACCCTATCTACATGTACTGTGTAGGGCTGTTTCTCCGTCTCATTAGCTGAATCCCACCATGTGGTACTTTGTGGTACTGGTGAGCTATAAATTCTCGGCAGTTCATAGGCTATTGTGTTTCCAAGACACGGAGATTATGGACTTTTAGTCGTGTCGAGCCGTGGACGAGGCGGAGAATTTACCCTGGCGGCCGTTGAAGGCGTGGCGCTTGCTGTCGTTTCTGTGCAGACTTGTCTCTCCCACATGCCAGCCTCCAGCTCTTTCGCAGCAGTTCTTGCAGGCAGCGATTGGGATTGGATACAGAGTGCGAAGCTCGCTGCGGTGCCTTGCTTTGAATTTTCCGCATACTGCAGCTAACAGTCAAGCTTAGATTGACTGGTCGTTCGACTGGCGGACGGGCGGCTGATCAGCGCCCGTCCTCACTCCCCTGGCTCGTCTCAAGCCATCCAACTTCGAACCTGCATCCACCGGCATGACCCTTTCCACCATCCCCGGCAATTCAACATGGCGATTCGCGGACTTGATCTTTTGCACTGTTGAACTGATAACCCACGCGTATGCAGCTTCCTCCTCGACCATCCGCTTTCGTACCGTACTGCATTTCTGCCACTGTGCTTTTTCGCGGACCACGAGGCTTCGGTTCAAAGCCAGAGATGTCTTCGCGACCCTTTCAAGCTTGAGCTTGCGCATAGGATTAAAAGGATATTTGCCCAAATTTCGCGTATCCAAGAACAGCGGCTCCGATTGGTGGACCCCGTAGACCTTTCCCTGTCCCCCTGTTCGTTCCCTGCGAGCCTGCGCTGTTCCGCGATTGTGCATGCACCTGCGCTCCTGGGCTCGACACCTCGACACGCCTCAGCCGCATCTTCCACAGCACTGCCAATGTGAGGCATGGACTTTCGCAGCGATGTTGCACATTCATACGAAGACTCTTACGACCACAATTTGACCTCTGAGGCCGTCACCAGTCCCCCACAGGCCGGCTTCGCGCAATTGTCAACCCTGTCCTCCCTCCCCGCGACGCCGTCGGAGTCAGTCCAGGTCATCTCCTCGCTGATTGAGTCTCTGAGCAAGATATCTGCATCGACCTATGTCAGACAAGACGCCGTCCCAGAGACAAATATCGAGATCTCCACAGACGCATACAGTCGCTCCCCCTCGCCCGAACCACCCGATCCGGATGATCTGGATAGAGAGCAGAACGACCCACCCATCACCGATGAAAGCAGCGAGGGAGAGCCCGCCGCTCCGCCGGTGATCAAGTACGCAAGAAGACCGCCGCCACTCTCTAAGCGGTCGAGTCGATCGTTCATCCGCTCACTGAGCATGTCGTCGCAGCCTACTCTAGGCCCCCAAGAGTCTATTCACAGTCTGAAGTCGCGTGCGGCGTCTGTACACAGTCTGAAGTCTCGTGCCGAGTCCGATGGTGTGGGACTACCAAGCATTGACAGGCGTAACCGCTCGAGCGCCGGCTCTTCCTTTTCATTTGTCAGTGGTTTGAGTTCCACACTCAGGAGGCAGACCGCCGAATCTGTTTATGAAATGGCGACCAGTCGGCCCATCCCTCCAAGGCGTGTTTCGTCGGACAGGCGACGGAAGGCCGAATCCCTCTACAGCATCGAACAGGAGAAGGAAAACAAATGGCCTACTCGGTCTCCGTCTGTTGATGGCTACTCAAGCAGCAGTACCCCTCTCGACCAAAGCCTGAACGATGGTACCACTATCGCTGCTTTGCGACTGAGTAGAGGTGACCTGGGTTCTCACTTGATTCCATCTCGGCGGTCATCACTGCGGCGCAGCGTTACCGGGATGTCGGATGCGTCTCAGGACCAACAAAACCGATATTCCTTCTCAGGCCGTGACCTAAAAGAACTCAACATCGATGCCGAGCTAATCGAAGGGGACAATTCAACAGTGCGACGAATCCGGGAACTCCAGGAAGCTCGGGAGAAGAGGCAGAAGGAATGGCGACACGAAGCACGCAAATCAGAACGAGCCTCAAAGAGACATACGATTGCTACGCCCAAGCTTTCTTCACGACGATCCAGCCCATATCAGAGCTCCAGACTTTCTGTCACAGAGGTGGTAGTCGAATCACCCGAAGTCGAAAGCCCGCGCGACTTAACCGCGACTGTTACTCCTACAGATTTGGCCGGTATGCCTGATTTTTTGACAAAGCCTCCAAAGGAGCCTCCCAGCCCGCCTATTGATGCGAGGCCTTCCATGTCCAACCCACCGAGCGCAGCTCCATCCCGGGGCAACAGCTTGTATCAGAATGCGGGGCCGCACACCCAAAGGAATTCTGCTGGGTTCACGACTAAACAAGACCCGGCTTTGGCAGAGATGAAGTCCATCACAGAAGAGGTCGAGGCGTTCCTCGGAGCGCCGCGCTTTACGCAAAAGATCCGCCACCCGCGGACCGGCCGAACGATTGCGTTTTCAGAGGTTGGAGATCCCAATGGCTTCGTCGTTTTTTGCTGTGTGGGAATGGGGTTGACCCGATACCTAACGGCCTTCTACGATGAACTCGCAAGGACTCTACGCTTGAGGCTGATCACTCCGGACAGACCTGGAGTAGGGGCAAGCTCACCGCTGTCCGAGTCTCAATGCACACCACTGAATTGGGTCGATGATGTTGCCGTCCTCTGCAACTCGCTGGAGATCACCAGATTTTCTCTGCTTGCGCACTCGGCGGGTGCAATTTACGCACTGGCGACCGCTTTGAAGATGCCCCAATATTTACGCGGGCGCATCCATCTGCTGGCACCCTGGATACCACCGTCGCAGATGCCAAAAGGAGCCGCCATAGGACCAGATTCCCAACCAGTTGCTAATCTACCTTTCACGCACAAAATCCTCAGCGTTCTACCCGCGCAAATACTCAAGGTCGCCAATTCGAGGTTCTTGACTGCCACTAGCGCGTCCGTGGACACGAAACCACTAAAGTCCAAGAAGAACAAGCAAATACAAATAGAGAGCCTAGAATTACATCTAGACTATGCCGACCGCGATCCAAACGAGGATAGCCCGTTCCGAGACAACATTCCCGAGTTCGAACCCGAACGGCCATCGACTGGGACGCCGAATCGAGCACGTGGCATGTCCTGTTATCAAGCCAACAACGAATCGCTCAGAATGCAGGGAGCAGCAGCGACAAGTCCAAAGTCGGAATCTCGCCGACAAACTTTCTCCGCTGCGAAGTCACCCATCGCGACGACTCGGCCGATGTCTCCCCGCTTAAGCCCAGAGGCACGTCAAGCACTTTACAATCAGACCCTCACCCACCGTATCTGGACACTAGCCACTCAAAACGCAAACCCTGCCACGGACCTGGTCGTGTGTCTTGAACGCCGTCGGCCTATTGGATTCCGATATCCTGAGGTGACCAGATCAGTTGTTATTCACCACGGCGCCAAGGACTCGCGGGTACCCCTGGACAACGTACGGTGGTTGCGCAGTGTCATGAAACGATGTGAGTTGAAGGTCCTAGATGATGAGGGGCATGGCCTCATGGCGAGCGCTTCAGCGATGGCGTCCGTCCTCGGGGAGATCGCGAAGGAGTGGGAAGAATGGGAGAGGATCGCACAAAACAAAGAAAAGAGGAAGCGAAGTGATGCTGCGTCTACCTTCTCGAGAGGGAGGTCCTTCCACAGTAGATTTGTGGATGCCTCGTACCGGGAATCTGCATCCCGTGATTCATGAGGACGTGAGGCTCAAGGGTAGATGCGGGCCTCTATGATGTTGGATAGGCGTGCGGTCCTCATATAATTCGAGGCCGCACGAAGCGCATAATGAGCAGCGGAACTGTATATATGGTCCTGAGCGAGAAAGATAGCTAACTCAGAATAATACTGTTGGTAATGCAGCTTCGTTGGGTCTATTCTGTCTTGACAGCTAAGCACGTCTGGACGGGATCAAGGAATGAAGATACAGTACGGAGTAGCGCCTGCTGGTTACCAGGAAGGCATCACCGACCATGTTCCAATCCGTCAGCGGGATACTTACCTCAGTATTGTTCTGAATCATCCAGGATCCGAGCAGCTGACAAGGACTCATAGTGGATGGCTGAGCCTGGTCCTTCCTCCCTCAGCATCATCTCCCTCGCGTTCGATCGTTTCCGCTCCGCACGAAGAATCTCGCGCAAACCCCACATCCTCGTACAAGAAGAACACTCGCACCCCGAACCACGGGCGTTTCGTAGCGAAGCCTCGCTCGCTTGTTGAAAGTACCTGCTCCTTGAACCTTGACACATGCTTGACAGCAGCTGCTGGCGTATCTATATGCTTTCTCTCGGTCTACGCTTCAATCACCGCTTACAGCACGTACGATGAGCAAGATACCTGATGCGTGGGAGGACGAATGGTCCGCAGCTGCCGACGACGTACGTTCCATTCCTCTCGCAGTCGCCTTGCTGACTCCTCTAGAGCAAGCTCGCTCCTGCCGAGTCCGCAGAACCAAGGAAAGTCTCGTCCAAGGTGACAAAGGCGCAGCGAAGGGCGCAGCAGGCTGAGTTCAATCGTCAACTGTGGGCCGAGGCGTATGGCTTTCCGATTGTTGGTTCTGTCCTGATCTAGGCCACTAACACCGAGATATGCTTTTCATAGTGAGGGTCCGAAAGAGGCCAATTACTTTCTCGAGTCTCGCAATGTCGTCCCCCTCCGGTCCGAGTACAAGGCACCGCCAGTCCTCTTGTCGAGAAAAGGTCCAACGATCCAATCCCGGTCACCACGCCCACCTACAGCCGGCATTCAGGACTTGAGCCTGAGCAATGACAAAACCACTCCTGGCCAAGAGTCCTCTGAGGACGAAGACGATCTCAAAGCTCGCGAACCCACCCTTGCCGAGAGGCAGGCGCAAGCAGCCAAGGAGCGAGAGGAGAAACAAAAGAGATATGAGGAGCGCAGGAAAGAATTGTTCGGCTCCACGACCAGCGGCGCCACGTCTTCATTCCAACCACAAGGTCATAACAGGTCAGGGAAGTCTAGTCCGGCGAGCCTGACGCCGCCGGGCTCGAGGTCGGCCACACCAAATCGTGCTCGGGGAGCCAGGGGTGGACGTCGTGGTGGAGCTGTGGGGGATCACGCCGCAAATTCTCGAAATCAACCACGAGTTGAATCTCAGCAGCGTGAATTATACGATCCTTCCTACGGCCCGAAACCGGATTCAAGTTACATTCAGCGCCGAGAGCGAGATAGTGGCGGCCCAACGTCTAATCATGCTCCAGGACTGCCTCAGGCGCATGTACAGCAACCTGTTCGAGCCCCAAAAGGACCGGATGGTAGTGGTCGAGGAGGGTTTGGTTTCGTCAGGACCCTGACTCCCGTGCAAGCCGCAACGCATAATGGCGGAAACTTAGAACCCGTCAATGCTGAAGCCTCATTCCCTAATGGAACCCGCGTCATGTCCTGAGCATTGGACTCGATGACGTTGTGAGGATGTCGCCACCACCCTTGGTACGGCTGTTACCACGTGTCTATCTGCTCAGACATCCCGTGGAACAAAGGTACTCGAATCTAGAAGACCATGCAAGGCCCACATCAGCCACTGGACTATTTGGGCTTGTCCATGATCCTCAGGCGGCGTGGACCGACGAAGTCCATGTGACACCAAAGAAACGAGGGCTAGACGTCACCATCATGAATGCGATGGATGCCTCCATTTCGGAACCAGTTAGTGCAAGGCACCTCGACTGGAGCAGCTCAACGTGTGTTGCAGCGACTGCCATTACTCGGGCGACGACGGCACCATCGTGACAGATTCTTCATTACTGACCCTCAATACGTCAGAAACTAGCCGTTCGCCCCATGACTGGGAGTCTATTCCGTCCCGGTCTGTCCGGCTCCGGCCCCAACAGCAGCAGCGTCAGAGTTCTCAAGAGCCAGACAATATCAGGGTAGCTCCAAATTCCGTTCTACCTTCGACCAAGCACTTTAACATGGCTTGATACTTCGGTCCTTTTCGACCGACGGGGACACCATAGCCAGGATACGAGCACGAAGAACGATGTGCAGGTGCAGGCCGAGCAAGAGAAGAGAAGCAGAGAGCCTACCTGAACAAACAGTCCAGCATCTTTAGCAACAGGAAGTCCTATTGCCATTGGGCAGAGCTTTATGAGGGCCATTACGCACCTCACCACCTCGCAAATATCTCACCGAGTGCCTCGGACCAGTGGCTGCCCCAAAAGATACCCTCGTGTAGCTCCGCTAGAAACCGAACTCGGATCTAGGCCTTCATGGCAGATCAGACAAAGTGTCTCAGCAACTGCTATCACTGCGCCGATTCAAAGCGATTGAACTTTTCAAACACAAGAGACACGATCTCTTCCCACTTTCCACAGGTTGCCCTAATCGAGCTTCAGCAATGGGTGCGTGGAGAGAAGGGTGTTCGGAGACGGGTGCTACGCTCGGCACAAACTGTCCAATCCTGCTCGATTCGGCACTCGTACAAGCCGTAATGTCAATCCGGTCTCTTGGTAAGCTTATCGTGATTGGTACCCGAGGGTCTCCTCCTACGTCGGTGCGGTCCGATTGCATTTCCTACCTCTCAATAGGCCTAAATGCGTGACACAATACTCAGGGCATGTCGGGCCGCAGAGGTTGTGCTACATGAAGGCTAGGAAGTCTCTGACCGATATGGTCGCGTTTTTCCACGGGCGAGGGCGGAGACTACCCTGAAACGTCGAGGATCCATCGCCGTGGCAGAAGCAATTCCTGCATTTGCTGCTCAGCAGACTCATTGAGGAGATGTTCAGGGTGGGATGTAATAGAGATCAACACCGTATCTAGGCGTGACCTGCCTACGGAGCCGGTGAATCAAGTAGCGGATGCAGCAGCCTACGCCCCAGGGCGGGCCAGACGACGTGGCATGCCTGCAGTCTCTCCGCTTGAGCTGGGCTTGCATTGACTGCGCCGTGCGCAGAACTAGGCGCTGTCAAGCCCTATCAGCAGACCAGAGCACAGTCCTGTGACAGGGCATTACGGTCGTCTCCACGCTTTCTCGGCCGCGAGACCCGTCTGGATTTGCTGGAAGTGCGATCGACTCCACGCTGAGGACTTCCAGGATGGATTTGAGCTCGCACCCTGTCCACAACGTGGTGCGTTTACACGAAGCCATTTGCAAATTCTGTCACACGACAGGAGCCGACAGTTGCGGCCTGAAGGTTACACCCCACGACCACGGTCACCTCAGAGCTATATAAGACGTCCTTTTCCTGTTCTTGGTGCTGCTCATTCACCACAAACCTGTTATCTCATCCACCGGCCTCAACTCAGCTTTCCAAATCACTCAGCAAACAAACCCCGATACAAAACAAACTTCCAACCCTTTCAGAATGGAGCCTCACTGCAGCACCTGTGGCCACGGCCCTTCTGGATGTAGCGGCTGCACTTGCTGCACGGTCAGTACCTTGAACAGCACGCAATCCCATCCACTGACTTGGAGACATGCAGCACTGAGAGACAAGCGACAATTGATAGATATCAGTGGCTGCCGATGGCGGATGTGAAATATCAGGAGAGTCGCGAGCGCAAGGAGAGTTGCGGGAGCCGCGGCTGCTGGCCGGTCGTCCAGAACAGTCAATGCCATCTTGCGCGGTGTCAAATCAATATGGCAAGAAGAAACCCCCTAGCTAGCTACTGTTAGCCTGGTCTTCAGACCTACCAACACTCATTCACCATACTTGTTTGATTTCTGACCGTTCTGCGGCCGAGCCCGCTCAATGCTTTTTGTGTTTCGCCAAGCATCACAATGGACCCAGAAACCCACGTGTTGTGTTGTGGTCTCACGCTGTGCCTGTGCTTGTGCTAGGGTACACTCGCCAACTCGCCAACTCACCTGCACGCATCCGTTGCCATGTACGTGATCTGTCCGACTGTCCCGAAGCAGGTATGCGATGTACTGGTGGTTCCCGTCACGCGAAACAAGCCAGGCTTTCTTTCTTTCCCTCTTGGCTCCCACTGCAGTGGACTTGCACCTCGAGATGATTGAGTACACATCACCGCACCGCACCGCGCCCTTCAACCCACCAGTGCATGACCCCCTCATGTTCGCCACATAACCGTCCTCGCTCTCGCACAGACTGCGATGCCCCTCTCTTGCCCCCGCACGTCACTGTGGTTATGAATGTATTCAATGGTTCCAGCCATCCACGCGACGCGACCGCCAGAGGCTGGACATGCGTGTCCGATGGGTGGCCACCGTGACTGGCCGGTTCGAGTGGACGGGGTGTTCTCGCCATGGCAGATCCTGCATATCTCCTTCTCTTGCCCTCGCACGTCTCTGTGGTTACGGCAACGGATTCGATGTTTCCCAGCCATCCATCCATCCATCCACTCGACGCGATTGCCAGAGGCGGGACGTCTTCGAGCGGACCCGGTGGCTGCCGGTTCGAGGAGACTGCATCGTTCGGCGCGGGATACGGGGACGGTTGGACTATGACGATGGGATCGTCGAGGGTATTGTGGAAACCGGATGGAAATGGGCCCTGGCAGAGGGATCGAGCGAGTGAGCAAGCGAGTGGCCGGAGAGGCCAGCGATCGAGTTGGAGCGAGGCGGTCCATGAGGAAAGGTCGGGTCAGGTCGTATCAGCATGAGGGCGTGGGAACAGCGGGCGCTCTGCTTCTCGTCTGAGTCTGGCTCTGGCTCTGGCTCTGGCTTTGGTTCTGGCTCTGGGTCTGGGTCTGGCTGTGGATCATTCACAGCTCATGTTATCTCATGCCACCACCTCTTTGGTACGGATTCTTCGAGAAGTGGTCGTCGTCTTGGTGTGCGTTTGTCGCACGTTTGAGGTCGGGTCTCTGTCTCGGTCAGGTACGCCTCTTTCTAGGCTAGCGAAAAGATGAGTCCCAATTTGTCGCCCAGGTAGATTGGGTGCCCCGTCAGAGGTGGAACTAGGGCATCTCGTCAAGGTGATATTGAGGCACAGTGTTATTGTGGTGTCGTCAGATCGTGGGATCTTCGTCCCTCTTTTCTTCGCATCAACGAACCAGCCGACCGAGGAACCAGGCTCAACCACCGGGAGCGCCTTCCAGAAAGCTGCACCGCTGTGCTGCCCTGCGCTGCGAGAAGGGGTGTTACTCTTCTCCTGAGTGCATGTAAGTCTCATGAAGAGTCAACTCCACAGCTCAGGCAGGCAGATTGTTTCTGGGGGTCGCGATGGAAACATGGAGTTTATGGTGCCTCTTCCCGGTGCCCTGAACCACCAGGAACACGAGAGCACGACCAGAAGACATTAAGCAAAGGGTTCTGACCCCTAAACTGATCATTGCGTCAACTTGGGTCGGTCGCTTGTGGTGCATGTGTGTCTTGTGAGGAAGGCAAGAGCGACGAGGTGCGTACAATCGTTCGCAACGTGGTGGCCACCAAGATCTCTTGCATGGGCTTCTGGGAGGGAGCGGCTCGCCTGGTCATACCGCTACGTGGAGAGTAGCATCAAGTGGTGAGAGAGAGTAGGGCCTGCGAGAGCTAGAACTGACCGGTCCTATTCTTGTACGACAAACCCTCCTAAGCAGCGTCCGTTGACTGATCAGTGATCACGTCGGCCAGCCAGAGAATGCACATCGACTGTGTTCGAATGTTCGAAGTCGAGGAGGCTTGGGAATTGTGTCGTTGTTCATATCATCTCACAGTATGTCCTGCCTGACTCCTCTGCGTCTTCAATGCATGCAGCCAGATGAAGAGATCCATCCGACTGATGACTCTCAACCTCGCACGAGACCCGTGGTTACTACCTGCGTAGCCTCCGTGGGACAGGATAGGACACTGTACAATAGGTAGAAGGACGTGACAGCCACCGCCTGCTCTGCGGTTTCGTTAACATGTTGTGCCGTACGTGATCTCATGATTCCATCCTCAGTACTGGTCCTGGTGCCGATAACTGTAATTATACAGCGACCCGAGGAGGAGAAAGGAGTCGAGTTGTCGTGATGTGATCTGGTATCATATGACAGACCCGGAAGAACACAGCATGGTGAAATACCGTACGGAGTACGTAGCGAACAGAAAGACGAGGCGTGTCCTCACTCTTTCTACTACAGTCTTCTCAATGGGAAAATCAACTCATCAATATCAGCATCAGCGGCGTCGTCATGGACCTCAGAGCTGTTTTCTTCCATTGAGATGCGTGGACGTTCTCCCAGTGAACTTGTGATTGCCTGTTTGGGATAGTCTGCTAAGGTCCTCACTTAAGGTCCTCAATTTCCGGGGTTCGAGGACCCCCTGCGAGGGGGCAGATGGGAAAGCGCGAAGCCTCGCACGAACGCAGGGACGCAGGTCCAAAGATTCAATAGGTGAGCTGAGTTTGGTTGTGCCGAAGCTGACTCATAGAGAGGATGAGAGTGAGGTATGTGGCCGGTAGGAAGGTAGGTAGGGTAGACAGATAGGTCGGGAGGTACTGTAGGTGGATAGGGAGGCTGCGGAACAAGCAGAAGAATGAAAGTCTTTTGTACGGGCAGCAAAATCATGAGTTTACAGTACCAGGTGCCTTTGTTCGTTTACGCTGGGTGTCTTGTCTCGTTTTCCCTCGGACAGTCCAGTCGTATCGAGGTTCCTGGTCAATACTAGTATGCTTCAAGTGTAGATATCAACACAGTACTGTATTCTCGAGGGTACGGAAAGATCCAGCCAGCGGCTTGCTGGGTCATTTTTGCCCTGATAGGGTACAGTATCTGGCGTCGGGTTCAACCCTTCGCAGCTCGTCTGCCCATGGAGTGCGTGTCGAGGCGAGGCGAGTCCGGTCACGAAAGCCTTCCTTTAGTATGACACTTCAGCCTCTGCTCATGGGGTAGATGCTCCCGCTTTGATACAATGGTACGGGCACCCGATAGAGTCAGCTCAAACAGCCACCCATTTGACCATATCTCAGTGTCATTGTCGATCACTATGCTGTCTGTACGACTGGCACGTATGTCATGTACATTACAAATGACGGTCTCACTGTCTCTCACCGTCACATTCGTCGCAGAGCGATTCTCTGTAAGCCGTCGTCAAAGGAAGCCTCCACTCCTCGTCAAGACACCTCCTGGCCCATTTGCACACCACCAGGATTATGCACTGCCTCCTCCTCGGGCAGTCGACCCCAGACGTCCCCTCCGAGTCCAAAGCCTTCCTGGGCGACGACCTTCCTGGCGTAATGGATTTCCACCATGGGCTTGACCGCGTCTTTGGCACACCAGCCGTCCTCGCCCACGCCTCTGTACACGCCGTGATATGAATTCTCGTCGCTCACGGTCCGTCGCACATGATCATCCGCCTCAATGGCGTCGACCCACTGTCTCCACCGCGTCCCGACCTCGGGGCGCGGAAAGTGCCTGTAATAGCTCAACACGCGGGACAGGCGGAGGATCCACGGCGCAAAGATCACGTCGACATAACCGATTTCGTTTCCGAGGAAGAAAGGTCCAGTGGCATGACTGGCGTTGACCAGTGCCGTGATGTTCTTCTGCAACGTCGCGATGAGCATGCTGTGCTGCGCAGTGGTCGCCGCAGCCGCGATCTGCGCGTCGGCGCCACCACCACCGTCGAGATGCATCCCGTCCATCCCCATCGGTTGTTCACCGTTCGGCGACGGCGGCGGGGTGAGCAACAAGCTGTAGAAGCTCGGCAGGATTTTGCGGTTGATGTGGTCTGTCCACAGCCGACAATGCGCGCGGAGTTGTGGGTTGCCCAAAGGCAGCAGAGGAAGTCCCATGGCAAGATCTTCCAAGTATTCCAGCACCACGCCACTTTCCCATACGCCCCAGTTGCCGTGTCTGATCGAAGGGATGTTCCCCTCAGGGTTCACCTCGAGCATTTCTGGAGGCCGGTAGGAGTCCACGTTCGCAGGCATGATCTCGACCATCTGATAGGGGATGCCTTTGACTTCTAGGGCCATCCAGATCCGCTGCGCAAAGGGGCAGAAACTGTTGGCAAACAACGTGATCTTTGTCGGTGCTGGGGCGGCGTGAGAGCGGACGGTAAAGTAGGCCATGCCCGAAGCACGGAAAGAAGGTGATACGGACTCCTTGGCTGCAGTGACTTGATCGGCCGGGTTCGCGTTGGCAATGGGAATTTTCTGTGACGAAAATTAGCTCAGACAGAGAGCTGTGGTCAGTGAGGTGGACATACGCTCAAGCGCTTCTTCTCCTTTTCCTCCTTCAACATCCATCTTTGCACGCTGTTTTTCTTGATTCGGTCACTTTCCTCTAGAGAATGCTTGTGATTCAGGTCATAGCCCAGACTGGGATCCAGAACCGACTGGTCGATGTCATCGTCGGCGTCGCCATTAGCATTGCTGTCTCGTTTGTTATTGTCTTTGACAGCGCCTCCTCCTGGATTGCCACGAACGCGTTGGATGGTGTACCAGCGCTTGCCGTCGGCACCAGGGTGACCTTGTGGCAGTGGCCGCGGAAGCTCCAGCAAGCCAAAGTTCGGATCACTGGAGTTGTTGTTGGATGGCGCGACAGTGCCGATCAGACCACCTCCAAGCGCGCCGAGAGTTCCACCCAGGCCATGGTTGCCGTCTTCCATGACGATGTTGAGCGCGCTGCTGTCTGCAGATCCATAGCCGGCGTTGGTCATGTCGTGAGTCATGGCACCATTAGTGTTGAGGTCGATATCAGCACCATTGGCGTTGCCTTCCAAGCCCATCTTTCTCGCTTCTTCGGAGCTGAAGTACTCGGTGATTTTGATCTTGACATCACATAAATCTCGCTCGCGAGCAGTACGCTTGCGCTTCTTCTTGTTCGGATCGTCGCTCTTGGGCGTGCCGCTAGGTCGGCCCTTCAGTCGGCAGTCCCAGTAGTGACTAACGAAAGCCTTCCGCTTGTACTTCTGGGTCGAGCGGTGCGAGTAAACATTGTCGACATGCGGAAAGTACGTGAGAAACTCCTCTTCGGAGAGGACGAGGGTCTCATTGACGTTGAACAAATTTTCCCGCCATTCCTCAAGGTCTGGAGGGTTGGGAATCAGAGGGAAGGTGTCGCTGAAAGGATTGGCCGCTACAGCAGGATCCGTCTCAGCCTGGTCATTGTTGCCCGTCGCGGTGCCGTTGACTCCATCTTCTGCTGGGTCCGATCTAAAACGGGAGGCCCATGGGTCCGTTTGGACGATTCCTTGTGAAGTGGTGTAGACTTGAGACTGACTTGACTGTGACCGTGCAAGCGTAGGGGTGCCATTTGGGAAAGCGGATGACGAGTTTCTGAAGATGAAAGAATTTTGCTGTCCGGAGGGCGTGGAGTTAATTTCGTCTTGAACATTGTCCGTCTGTTGCTGGCTTGCCTGCGTCTGCGCGGCTTGTACCTGCGGGATGGAATTGACCGTGGCCATACTGCCGCTGCGGGAGGGTGTCTGCGACGACCTAGTCTGGACAGGACGCGGCTGCTGTGGGCTGCGCATTGTGGGAGTGGGGTTGGGATTGCCTGTCTTCCTCAGCATGTTACTTTGTCTTCTTGTCTGTACGTTCGGGGACCCGTTCGCGGTGTTCATGGGATAGGACTGGCTGTGATTGTCGTCGACAGTTTCCGCCGGCGCATAGCCTGCGTTGGGAGCATCGTCGGACGCGGAGGGCCCGTCATGCTCGTTGGCGAAGCCGTATTGCTGAACCGCCGCGGCGAACTGTTGAAGGCTGTGGGTGTTTGCTGCGTCCATTGCATCCACGCGCTTGCTAAACGGCGAGACCGCGAGAAGAGGAGGATGCTGCCGCTTTAGAGGAGAGGCGACTTGACTCGAGGAGGTGCGACTCCGTGGCGAGCTTTTACTTGTCACTAACGACTCACCCGTGACTCCGCATCGACTCCCCAAGAACATGGACTAATTATCCCCGTGCTCAACATGGAGATTTCTCGATGCTGATATTACTTATGACGGCTAGTTCTTTTTAAGCACTGCCAGATTCTATTCCAGGTGATGTTGGTCCTCTGATAGTCCGAAAGTCAGTGCTAGTGATCGTTGACCTGTGGGTCAGATGGCTGTCTGATCCTCCACTGACTGCAGCCTACAACCACCATGTGCTTGGCTCCGATCTCAACCCATCTTCTTGTCCTTTCTCTTGTCGTAAGCCTGCGTGTTCTTGAACGGCCATGCCGAAGTTCGCTTGTCAGCGCCTGTTCTCTTCGACAGCCTTGCCGTCGTGTCTCCAAAAATGACCGTCCACAGTCCCACACTTGCCATGATGCCATACCCGAGGGCGCCCAGCACAAATCCCGTCTGCTGGTAATTGACATAACTCGTGTAGCAATAGATGAAGCTCAGGCTGTGGAAGAAGGTCGTCACCAGCAATATCGGCCGGGCATAGGGCGCTTTCAAGTCGTTGTCTCCCAGGCTGACGGGTTCGCTTATGCCCGCCGTTAGGGGTATTGTGCCAGTGAAGAACATGATGATTGTCCCAACAGTCATCAAAGCACACCCGAGTGAGCGGCTCAAGTAGATTTCGACATCTGTGATTCGAAGCACGAGACGTCAGAGTCGCGTGCAGGAGAACAACAGCGGCATCATCAGGCACCAAGGGTCGGGTGGGTACCTCGCGTGGTCTTACCTGAAGTTTGATGTCCTTCCTCCGCCAGGGTCATTATCACAAGCTTGGGAAAGACAACCAGTGGCACGGCTTGCAGTCCGAGCCAGATCGCTGTGCCATACGTGTATGTATAGAAGACCTAGTCAGGTACTTAAGTCAGCCGTCACATGGATCGGATGCCGGTAGGCACCATGGTCGTGACTCACATCCATATTGTACAATGCAGGTATCTTTTGCAAACTACGCTGAATCGTGCTATAGCAGCCGACGCTCATAAACCTGTTGCACGAGATGCACGATGAGGAAGGCCTGGTAAGGTGTCGGGTGTGACGTCACTGGTGGTACTTGGTTGTACGCATAGAGGAGAGCAATAGGAAAAAAGACTGCATTGAGCAATCCTGCAAATACTTGTAGCAATTGTCCTCGGTGGAATAGATGCTGGCTAGACATGCTGACAGCTGCGAAATGTGAAGGGGGTGCTTCAACAGCACCTTTCATTCCTAGACCAATGCAACCCTTCATCCACTGGGTAACCCATCCGTCGCCATGGTTATGCCCCTTGGTCTCCTCTCCACGACCCAGAGCATATCACCGGAGAACCCAGCAGGGCCTGCCTAGACATGGAGCAGACCGAGTTCGTCGCGGACATACTATTGCCACAGCCGTTCAATCATAGACCTCTTACTGTGGTGACTTTTTGCTCATAACCGGGTTCGTAACTTTTCCGCCTCGCAAGCCGGCCATTTCGCTCTAGGAATTCTGGAATGCAGTAAAAGCTTTGTAAGTGTATCCGATGAAGGGCAGGCTCATTTCAGCATCCTGTTCAGGCGAGATCTGCTTGGCGTGTGCTCGGTGCACCGCGCTGTTATCCTCTTGTGGAATCTCGTCGATGGGGAAGTAGCTGACATCAATGTTCGACGACAATTTCGGTTCAAAGGGTGCTCGAATCTTGCGCAATTGGTCCCAGACGACACCACGGAAAAATGGGTGTTTCTTGATCTGTGATGCTCCGTCGTGAGCTCCACCTTCTTTGCCCAGCCGATCATTCGCATCACAGAGGAAGCTGCACCAGTTAGCACCATTCAGGCCATATAATGTGGTCGACTCACCTTCTGATCATGTCCTCGGCATCCCTACCCAGAACTAACTCATCCGGGAAATATAAGGACTCGCGCCAATTGACGATTTTGCGGTAGGTGTCATGTGTGTCCTCGGCGCAGAAAGGTGGCCAGCCCACCAAGCACTCGAACATGATCGCCCCGACAGACCACCAATCGCACAGATAGGTATAGCCTTGGCCGAGGAAGATTTCAGGGGCGATGTAATCTGGAGTTCCCACAGTCGAGTAGGCCATATGACGACGTGATTTCCTCCAAGTGTTCACCAGTCCTCGATTGCTGACAGTCAAATTGATCTGTTCGTTCAATGCCATCGAGTTGCGGTTTCCTGACTTGCTATCAGTTCCGGCCTTCAGGAGCGCCTGATAGTATGAGTTCTCGTGCTGCTTGCGTCCGCCCGTGGAGAGACCGAAATCGGTCAACTTGATGTGTCCACCCCGGTCTAGGAGAATGTTGTCGGGTTTGATATCACTAGATGCAGTATTAGCATGGACCTGTTACAGCTGACACGCGGCTCTTACCGATGCAGGAAACCGAGTTTGTGCACGGCCTCGATGGCCATGACGATCTCAGCCATGTAGAACCGCGTAATGTCTTCGGAAAAGATCTCATACTTGATCAACATGGTCATCAAGTCACCGCCAGGTAAGAACTCCATCAGCATGTAGAGGTAGGTGTTGTCCTGGAATGAAGCATGCAGCTTGACGAGCCATGGGTTGTCTTTCGAATCAGCCAGAATATCACGCTCTGCTCGGACGTGCGCCAGTTGATCCTTCTTAAACATTTCCGACTTTATCAGAGACTTCAGCGCATAGATTTTGCCGTCGGTCTTGCGCTGTACCAGCTTGACTTCTCCAAATGCTCCTTTCCCAATGACCTTGATGGTTGTAAAGTTTGAAGGGACCTCCCTTGTCCGAATGAAGCGCAGGAAGCGTGCCTCTTTCTGTGCAAGGGTGTTCATTTCCTTTTGCTTTTCCAGATCACTGATGCTCGGATTCTTCAGTATCGCCTCCAGCTCTTTTGCGCGACTATTCCGGTCACGTGCTCGCTCAATGTTCTCCTGGAAAAAGCTGTTGACCAACTGCTTCGCGGCAGTGCCTCGCTTGACAACGTTGTCTGAATATCTGCGCGGGTTCGGCTGCTCCTCCTCTTCTGGTTTCGGCGACGGTCTGGGCATTGGTGGAGCTAGGTGGCCCTGGTAAGGATTCTGTGCTTGTCTTGCTTCACCAGCCGTTCGAGGACGCGGCATTGCAGGTGACGGAGTGCGATTGACGTTACCACGTGGTGTGGCACTCAAGTCTTGGTTCGAAAATTGCTGTATTAGACCACTTGTTGCGTCGGTATTGGTGTTTCCGCCGTAGGGTCTAGAGTTAGCTTGGTATGCCGGTTGAGGAGACTGGAGGCCGGGTTGTCCTTGATACGCATATTGCTGCTGATACTGAGATTGCTGTGATTGAGGGGGGAATTGTTGATTCAGGAAGTAGCCAGTATTGGCCGTAGGATTGGGCGATAGTGCACCTCCGCCATACTCGTGCTGCTGAGTGCCATAGATCGGCTGAGGGAAAGTGGAGGGCGTCGTGGGATACATTCGAGCGTTGGCAGCGTCAAAGTTGTGTTGGTTGTCAAACTGAAAGTTCAGTCGTAGGCGGTTATTGTCGTGGTCCATGGTGACTCAGTGCAGGGGGTTTCTCTGCGACTGCGCGCTCACTGCAGCGTCAACAATGGTCGTGAATGTTGTCTCCGCAGCGACAGCGTCAGAAGGGTCGCGTTGAGTCGCTGTGTGCCTTTCTTGCACCGAGAAATGTGCAGAGAAATACCCTTGGTCGACAAGAGTCGGTGTACTGCCCCCCACCTTTCTCTCACTTGAAATGTCACTGACTTGCCCAACACTGGCTGTCTCTGCAAAGACTGCTGGCACGGGCACGGAGATGGGAGCGCAAAGCGGCCAGACGCCCTCGATATATACTGCCTGCAGTAACGCAAGTGCCAGACGGAGAATGCAGCAGGGGAGGAAGGAAGTGTTAGGGAAAGGGCATGGAAAAATAGGGTGCAAGTACAGCGGATCGGTAGCAGTTTACAGTTTGGAATTAGGGGCAGCTGACCAACTGGAGCCGCTCACTAACGTCAAGCTTAAAGGCACTCCCTTAACCTTGACTGGGGTGATCCATTGTCCCCTTCGTCCCAATGGCTTGCGGCTTTGCGCTCATCGCCAGGCACCCACATGCGATTGGTTCTCACCCTGCTACCCTGGGCGTGCCTGGGCTGACACAGATGGAAACACCATGTACGCGATGCATGCCATATGGCTGTTCGCGTGGTTACATCTCGCTTGGTCTTGTTCTACATTGCACCGCTTGACGGATGAGAAGAAGATCCCAAGGGTTGAAAGGTGCGCAGAGCACGGAACACATGTCAACGGGTCATGGACACGGAGGGAGCCACTCCAGTCGGTCAGGTAACCAGTGTCTCGGGGAGGAGTTTTTCGGGACACCTACCCGCACATTTGTCCCACGGTACCTATCGCCTCGGGCCAGGGGTTTTGGTGAAGCAGAAGAAGTCGCTTAGAAGGCTGTCAGAACACAAGGGTGGGGTTTCCTCTGACGCTGGTTGTTTGAGAAGTCGATTTGACTTGACTGTAGAGATGATCACGTGGCAGTCACAAGGACGCCAAGGGAGGCGGCGCGACAGCACAAGCTGGAGCACGAGACAGCCCCGGAGTGGAAGGTGCCCCGGGACCACTCAGAGGCCGCCGTCGGAGAAGCATATCCGATCGTCACTTTTTTCTGGTCGAACTCGTCCGCATGCACGTAACGCGCACTTCTCCAGCTTGACATCGAGCTGAGCCTGCTCTGCAAACCACCCGGCGTACCCTCATCGCCATGACGGACACCCAGACACCTCCCAAGCCTGAAGGCCTACCGGAGGGTATCAAGTATGAAGCGCCCAAACCTCCGCCGAAGCAGAATCCTGTCTTTCGAATGATGGGTCAGTCGGGTCGAGACTCGAGGTGTGGCCAGCATTGTTAACAAGCCACAGGGATGCCCAACTTTCGGATGAGACTGCCTTCGCGGAACTGGATGATATTTCTCACCATTGTCGGCTCCTGGACCGCAGCTGTCGTCTACGATAAGCGGGAGAAGAAGAAGGCTCAAAAGAAGTGGTGCGACCTGGTCGCACATGTCGCCCAACAGCCTCTGCCTGTTAATCAGATGCCACGCAAGTTGACCGTCTTCATTTCCGCACCTCCAGGCGATGGCATCAGACCGTCCCGGCAATACTTCAAAGACTACGTAAAGCCGGTGTTGGTGGCTGCCGCGATGGATTACGACGTGATCGAAGGCCGAAAAGAAGGAGACGTGCGATACGGCACAGCAGAGCAGATCCGAAGACTGCGGCGGAAACGCGGCGAGAAAGGTGCCGATGCGTTGGAGCCAGAGATGGACGCTGAAGCTGCGATCGATATGGTGCGGGAGAAAATGCAAATCCTGCCCGAGTCTGGTGTCCGCGGAGACCTTGTCCTGGGCAGACACACATGGAAGGAGTACATTAGAGGGCTGCATGAAGGCTGGCTCGGGCCTATCACCGAACCTCCCCCTCCGCCCTCAGAAGTCGATGCCTCACCCATACATCCGCCCACCAAAGCTCGAACAGACGATCCCGCCTCAACAACCGAGAACTCCGACGTGGCAAACCCCGAATCAGAAAAGACACCAGAAGAAGAGAAGAAAGCGGAGGAGAAGAAGAAACCATACCCTCCGCCATCATACCTCCCCATTGATAAATACTCCTCCGCCACCCCGTCTGCAAATACACCCAGTATCTTCGAACCCTCCCAACCCATCCATCAACAACACCTCCTCGGCTTCCTCAAGACTCCGCAAAGAATCTACAACTTTCTCACCCGTCGACATCTCGCCGACCGGATTGGACGGGAAACCGCAGCCATCGTCCTGGCCGCCGGCCGGCCGTACGAACAAGGCTCTTCTTTCTCCTCCTTCTCAGATACTCCATCCGACATCGACCCCGTAGCCACGAGAGCTCCCGAATCAGATGCTTCGCCGACATCGTCCTCCCCACTCAGCCAGAGCCAGGTCTTCTGGGAACAACAGTCCCTGCTCATCGATGAAGAGTCGAGATGGCACAAATCCGTCCGTAAGCCGCGGAAAGAAGACGACACGTCGGAACCCATCTGGACAGCCGACATCGTCATCGACGAGAGGATAGGTTCCCGCATGAGAAAGTTCGACCTGCAACCCGAAGAAGAAGCCCGAGCAAACAGGCTTGCCAGCGGAGTTGAGAAGCCGAATGTGCCCGACCCAGTGGATTTGAGGAAGGAGAAAGTCTTAATCGGGAATTTGGACGACGACTAGAGGCCGCTGTTCGAAGAGGCAAGGGCAACTCCACAACTCTCATGTGTAGCCGGCCGCCTGCGAAGCCTTGGGAAGTGGCAGGTCAGTGGGCGCTCGATCTATCCGTGCAACGTCCCTGCCCACGATGCGTCGAACCTATCCCTCAACTCTACAGCTTACTGGGGTATTCTTCTACTTCTCCACCACCGGTACATGTACAAATAGTTTTGTCTATAATTAAGGGACCCCGCCAGATCTCTCGACCAGAGGCCCTCCTCGAGCTCAAATCCAAGGTCTTTCTTTACTCTGACCCGTTCTATTCTATGCTATCTGAGATGATCCTACGTGCAGCTCTGCTCTGTTCCGCTATGCTATCGTGCCGTGTAGAGCATTTATACATGATTCTTCTAGTGTACGTGACGCTCTGCTCTGCTTTGCTCCGCTCCGCTATGCTACGCTATCATGTCGTGTGATCTGTCCAAGACTTCTACACAACCTCCACACGCACCCTGACATCCCTCGCCCTCCGCCGCGTCTGGCCCGGACCAGAGGCAGGAACGGGCGCGGGAGCGGGAGCGGGACCATCCACATCCAAAAAATCCCCCCAAGGCCTCATCCCATCCAAGATGAGCGTCTCGCGCTTCTTGAACCGGTGGCCCTCGCGGACGACGAACGTGGGCGTAGGAGCCTGGGCATCTGCTCCCTCGTCCTCATTCACGCCGACATCGCCTCCGCGCAAAGGAAGTGGGGGATTCTCAGTCGTCTTCTGCTCCTCCCGCTCCTCTTCGTCCGAATCATCCGACTGATCGACGTCCCAATCACCCCACCCGTCCCATGATTCCTTGCCCCATGTCCCGACCCCCGTGTTCCTCGTGCTGTGGATGGGTTCGATGGGGTCGTATTCGTGCGATTCGTACACGAGCGCGAACCGCAGCGCGGGGAGGCCAAAGTGTCGGGCGACCAGCGATTTGAGGCGGAAGACGGAGATCGTGGTGGGGAGGAGGCGGCGGAGTGGCTGCCGCGGAGACGGTGTTGCGCCAGCGGAGCTGCCGGGGTCGGTGGTGGTGGGAGGTGAGGCTGAGGGTGGGATGTAAAAGTATGCGTCGACGAGGCGGGCGCCGAGCGTGCCGGGGGCGTAGTCAGTGTAGTTCTTGTGGGACTCCGGTCCATCGGCGGGCAGCGGAGAGGTCGGAGGGGCCGAAGATCGGGCGGTCTGGGTGTATATCTGAAGGAGATCATCGCGGTCGTACTTTGCGCACAAGGTCGAGTAGAGAGGGTGTCTCTGACGGGCTCGGGAGAGGTTGTGGGTCGTGGTACCCATACCGGTACCGGTGGCACCGGGGGCTTGATCGCTGCCCGCCAGGATGGTCTTGATTTCTCGCTCCGCGACAGAGAGGTAGTAGATCTCGCCTTCTTCGCGGTCGCGGGGCATGATGGTGGTGTAATTCAATGACTTTAGGCCCGGTATGCGTGCGAGAGTCAAGTAGTAGGACGTCGAGTCTGAGGTGGAAGTACCTGGGGCTTGTGAGCGTCGGTCGTCTCCTCCCTCATCTTGGACGTTACCCGGCTCGTACAGGCGGTTCCGTGAGATGCGGAGAGACGTGAGATTTGGAAAGAGGATAGGGAGGCGGTCGATAAATGAATATTCCTGGATTCGGTTGCCTGCTAGGTTCAAGGTCTCCAGCGTCGGGAAAGACGCCGACGAGTCCAGGCCGAGAGCGGAGACGGCGTTGCCTGGCAGCGAGAGCGACGTCAGGCTCGGGAACAGGCCAAACAACGTCGGCAGGAAGGCTAGACTTGTGAAATTGTTGTTGTCAAGGATGACACTCGTGACGGACGGGCATCGGCGCCAGTCACCGTCATCGTCAACGCCAGCGCTGTCGTCAAAGTCAAGCGATGCGAGTTCGTTGAGCGACAGGGCCAAAGTCCTTAGAGACTCAAAGTTGCAATGTCTCGCGAAGAACAGGATCTCGATGATCTGGTCCGGCGTGAGCAGGTTCTCGTTGAGGTGCAGCTCGTCGATGTTCCGCAAGGGATGCTCTCTCGGAACTCTCGCCCTGAACTCCCGTAGCCGCAGACCGCCTGCTTTCAGGATTTTCAGCTTGGGTAGAGGCGCGCACATGTCCAGCACATCCTGCCACGTCTCGATGACGTTCCAGCCCAAGTCCAACTCCGTGATGTTCGGGCACGTCTGAGCAAGGTCTTGCTGGGCCTGGCGGATGTCTTCTTGTGAGGCGCCACGCGGAGCGATGCCTGAGACGACCAGCTCGTCGACAAGCACGATCTTCAAGTCCGCGAGAACGGACAGCTGTTGCTGGATGCGGTCGAAGCCGACTTCTTCGACGACCTTGCCGGAAATTTCAATCGCGTCGTTCACATCGTTACGACCCGGGACGCTACTCGGAGCGTATTTGAATTTGATCGCCTCTAGGAGGGTTCTCTCCGGGTCTGGCTTCCTTGACGGCCGCAGGAAGGACGCAGCAGTAGGTGAAGACGAAAGACACCGGAAGACACGCCTCCCTTGATGTTGCCCGTCGTGCTTCCCACGGGTAGGGTCGTCCCATTCCACGCCGAGCCACTCGCCCTTTGCGTTAGGGAGAGGACCAAAGTGGCGGACCGTGCAGAGGGCGCCGGCGTAGCTGCGTCGTTGACCATGATGGTATTCCCCAGTCGCCATTGCACACGATGTCGGCCTGGTACTGCACAGTGCAACCTAAATTGCAGACTGCGCCGATGGAGCAGTCGAGCGGTGGCATAAGTCACGATATGTAGACTGTCGCCGGTACATAAGACGAGTCCAGCCTTGTGTGTAAAGCTGGCAGATGATCAGCATCCACAATCTTCCCGCTCAGCCGCCGGGTCACAGTCCTGAAATATACTTGCAGCTACTCGAGTAACAGACACTTCGGTGGACAATATTGTATCTTCGACCTACATACCATGGCTTGCGAAGGTAAACTACCTTCCACCCTCTCCACGTCATGCTATCGTTTCTTACCAGCGGTACTGTTCGCATTCGGCGGCGTCTCATCCAAAAGACCATTCCCAGTACGGTATCCTATGTCCGCCGATGCTATGCTATGTGCACCACACTCGCCCATGATCAAAATACTTCCAAGTCCAATGCATCAAAATCCGCATCCATATACTCGAACATATCCGCGGGTCCGTGATCCTGAGAGTCCACATTCTCACTGTGCACGCGGTCAGTAGAGAGCTCGTTAAGCACGTCCCGCATGACTGGTCTGTTATCCAAGAACTTCTTGAGACCGTCGCCGCGACCGCCGACAAGAGCATTTCCTCGAATCACCTTGCCTGGCTGTCGCAGGACCCCTTGGACCTGATACTGTTTCTGCTTTTGTTTCTTCGCAGGACTGAGGTTTCCAGCAACGCTACCGTTGCCCAATGGGCCCAACGGTTGCTTTCTCTTCTTTGCTGGCGACGCTGACTTGGACATCGCCTGTGTCCCAGGACCTTCAGGGACGCTCCGCTGCGTGTGTGGATTTCCTTGAGTGAAGGCGGCCTCGAAGTAATGCATACCGCACACTCCACCTGGCAGTTCCAGAAGCCATCCTGCCTCAGTCATGATCTTCGTTAACCCTTGTAAAATGGGCACGCCACTGCCGGCCAGAGTACTTATACTTCCCAGAATCAACATCTTACTCCTTGCTCGTGTCACTGCCACGTTCACTCGTCGCCAATCCTTGAGAAGGTCACCCACATGGTTGTTGTCATTGCTTCGGACACAGCTCAGAATCACCACGTCCTTGTCTCGTCCCTGGTATTTATCGGCCGTGTGCATTTCAACCTCACCGGCGGCAACAGAACCGGCAAGAGACTTGACATCTGCCTTCAGGAGTGCGAGCTGAGACCGATAAAAGGTAATGACGCCGATCGAGCGGGGCGAAACGCCCGACTGGATCAATGTCGTGACGAGCTGCGCTGTCAGGATTGACTCAACTGCGTTGGTAATCCGGGCGCCTGCCGCTGTTTCGCGAGCGGTGCCACTTGGAGCGATTGTGTCGGTGTTGAGAAACAGACACCGAGAGGACGGAACCAATGCCCGCTGAAGCCAGCAACGGGCGTCCGCAACACAAATGGCTTGCGTGCTGTGGCTGGACTTGGGCCAGGACGATGCCGTGAAATGATGTGCTGCTAGCCCAGCTTCCAGATCGGGTATCAATAGCATTCGTTTCGCAACGGTCTCATTGCCGCACTTGATTCGACCCGAGTATACAAGCTCCTTGGACAGCAGCATGATGTCTTCGGCCATTCGGTACTGGTGTTCGAGACTGACGACACAGTCTGGTTGTGCCTCCGACAGTAATTTGAAGAGACTGATATCCAATCCACCATCCATGGCTTGTTTGTTCTGAACCAACGGGGGTAATTGATAGTGATCACCAACCAGGATGAAGGTCTTGGCCATCCTGATGGGACCGAGACAGACAGGCAACGTGATCTGGGAAGCCTCGTCCACAATACAATAGTCGAAGGTTCTGGCATTGAATATGCCATGGTTGACGCCCAAGCACGTAGTTGCCACAACTTTGCTTTCGTGCCAGGACGCATGCAGTTCCTCAACCGTGCGTTTGGGTATGCCAGAAATATCCGCAAATGAACGCACGTCCGGATGTACTTTGTTGACAGCTCCAATGCGCAGAATGGGGATCTTGTCGTCCTTGATTTTCAGCAAAATATTGTCCACGGCGGTATGCGTATAGGATGCCAACAGGACCGACTTGCCCTGGGAGACAAGAGCACGGATGATATGAGCAATGGTCGTGGTTTTGCCAGTTCCAGGCATACCGAGTACGAGGGCGTAGTCCTTGGCGCTCATCACCTTCTCGAGAGCCCTCTGTTGATCGATATTGAGGTTTTGTTGGGATGCAGGCCCAGAGAGCGTGTAGCCCGTTGACGTGATCTTGAGCTCCGGGGGCTTGTTTTCGATGATCAGCTGCCGAAGCTCGTGTGCTCGCCAGAGATCCTTCTCCATGATCCGCAGAAGATTGTTCCGAGCTGTCGCCATTCCATTCGCAAACTCATCCTTGTCAATGCGGTACAGGATAGGGTCTTCAGATTGCGAAGACGGAGAAGGTAGGCCCTGGCCAACACTATCCTGGGCGGAGAAGACTTGGTTGTGAACAGGGTCAAAGCCTTCCGTCTTGCGCTGCGCCCGTTGTAGCCGCCGGTCGACCATCACCACAACTCTGTTAGGTCGCACGTTCGTCACGAACCCTGCCGCAAAGTTGAAATGCCCTTTCTCATCGGAAATCACAATCGGTTCTCCAATGGTGATTTGTGACTCGGTAAAAGAGAAGCCTGGTCGGTGTTTCTGTTTGACAAAAGTGTATTCAAATCTGTTAATCTTTGAACTGGCAGGATTCTCGAATGCCGATCCTGGCTGGATCACCACTTCTGAAAAGCATCGTCCAACGGCCTCTCGCTCTGAGCCCAGCATTGTCCAGAGTTCTCGGCGGAATTTCATCGAGTCTCGCTCTTCCTTGGTGAGCAAATCGTCCCATTTCTTGAAGAAGGCCTGATGGGTAGGAGACAAATGGCCGACAACCTCAGTGAATCTGTCGCCCAGGCCGCTAGATTCGGCCGTGCCATCTTCACACAGCTTATGGTAGGTGAAGCACGCCGCTTTCGAATAGCAACTCTTGCACATATGCTGCTTCTTGATCATTGGTGGTAAAGCCAGCTTGTCGTGGACATAGCATGCCAGTTCGTTTCTCTCGATGATCATGTGACGGATTTCGTTCCTGATGCCTTCGACGCGGAACGTTTTATTGGTCTCCAGGTAGTACAGCATGCCGCAGGTGACGTTGATGTCGTATCTATCCGATAGTAGGAGTGTATAAAGTGCGGTCTGAACACGGTGCTGCTCAACATTGTCTCTCTTGCCAGTCTTGAGTTCGAACGGTACGAGAAGGGTTCGAGGCTTTTCATCGTTTAGCAGCTTCATTTGCGCTTGCACCGTGGCATCGATGTTGCCCTTCAGTCCGTACATCGGCGACCAGATATGTTCTTCAAGTTCCAGCAACTTGTTGATGGTTGCTGGCACGAGGACGCCATGTCGATCGCGGATGACAGCATCTGCAGACAGAGTATCACCAACGAAAACACTTGCCCATCCCATCAGCTCGCTTTGCTTGCCCAGAAGATATTCTGTCGCGTCTGGGATGCGGACTCCAATTTCATACAACGACTCAATGTAAGAGAGCAGAACCTTGTCAATGATTTCTCGGAATGTTTGGCGGTCCCATTTGTTAAGCGTCAACGCGTGTCCGAAGACCTCATGGAGTATGTGGCCGTACACTTGAGGCTGACTAGCTGCATTGGTTGCTTTTACCCTGTCTTGGAGGACGGCGCGGCGCATACAAGTGAAGGAGTCGCCCACGACAGTCGACGAGATGAGGTGGTCCGGGTGAAGAATGATCATGTTGTCAGCATCGTCAACCACGCACCGGCCTGTACGATCGAATCGGCCGATGATGTGGACGTAGGAGCCCTTGGTACACCGCGTGTCATACCACGACTCCCGTAAGTGGATGTTGTAGAGCCTCTTTGTCCTCTCATCTTTGACCGAGAGCAGCTTCTCAGGCCGCGTACGGTCAGGCTTGGATTCGTACTGGTGGTCAAAGACATCAAGGATGAGATAGCGGTTGATAGCTCGATTATTGATTGACGTCTATGTATCCTATCAGCATGCATCTCATCAACCAAGTTCAATGCGTCGCGAAACATACATGATTTTTTGATCCAACAGGCGTCCTCCCCTTTTGTGTTGCATTCGCAATGTTTTCCCATAGTTCATCGTCATCATCGAAGGCGTCTTCAAACTCATCAAGTGTTTCAAGGTGCTTGGTTTCTATATCCGCCTGCGAAGTTGGCTGTGCAACAGCCGCCTGTTCTGCCACCGGTGCTTGCCGCTGAGAGTCATATTGTGCTGCAAGGTCGAGCATCTCGTTCATTAAGTCATCGTCATCGTCGTCATCAAACTCGTCAAAATCTGCTTGTGTCGAGATCTTTTGTGGTTGCCGCGGCATTGCTATCTCCGCCGGGATAGGCTGGTATGGATCTCGAGCGGTATTAGTGTGGACAATCTCAGCAGCAGCGTGAGACTGAGACGCTGGTCTCTGCCCAGAACCATCCCCAGCATGAGACACACCGCCATCGTCTTCATTATTCACCTGGGATTGGGCAAGTACCTGCTCGACACATGCGAGGGCGTCGGCATCGAACGGATCATCACTGAAATCTGTCGAGAAAGAAGCATCACGCGAAACACCGTGCTTCAGAGGCGACCTTTTCTGAGACGATTGGGTGGCGCCACGAGGACCACTAGAGTCGCCTCTTGTTCTGTTTGGTGGCCTTGTAGGTGAGACTAGCGCTTGCGAGCGCCTGTCAGGGAGAGGTGAAGAGCTCGAAGGGCTTTCCGGCGCATCGGTTTTCTTGGTCAGACTTTCCTGAATCTTCTCAAGCAGAAGTCCGACACGGGTGTTGTTGGGCAGATCGCGCCGCAGGATTTCCTTTCGAGAGGCGGCGAACAACTCCTTCGTTCGGCTGTTTTGCTCATCCATCCTCCTGCGCTTTGCTTTTGAGGTAGGCCATTCAACTCCGCAGCTGTGCGTCCTCCGCAGGCCACTGTCCCTATCCGTCGTACTGGGTGTCTGAGGGGAAGACGGCAGCAAATGAGGGTATGCGGGCAAGGTAGGTTCCTTGGTATCCTTTTTCAACCCATTGGCAGTAGTGTAACGATTCCAAAGATCCTGCGTCGGGTCGTTGTTCGGTGTGCGCAGGGATTTGTTCAATGTGTCTAGATTCATGGCATCCTTGTGCGCAGAGAGTTGCTGCGACGAAGCGGGCGAAGAACTGTGAGCGCGTTTCCTGCTTCTTTGAGTGGCGTCGGCAGCTTCCAGTGAATTTGAACTTGCTGGGTTTGTTTGCCAGAGAACGTGGTCGATGGGGGTGGCGAGTGGAGGGGCACAATTGTAGGCGTCTTCAGTGTTTGCGATCAGGTCTTCGATGGGTATTCGGACTGTGGGTGTCTGCGGTAACCTGGTTTCTGAAAGCCCATTCTGCTCGGTGCAACCGGTGCGATCTCGTTCTAGACTGTTTAGGGCGCCCTCAGCAGTCTGGTTTTCCTTGTCTTCGGCTGCACACTGCCTTCCATTAGATGCGGACGTCCTGGGCTTCTTCCTGGATTGTGACGTGACACCCAGCGGGGCCGATGGCATGATGATAACGACGGTCAAGATATGGATATCATCGCCTGAGATTTGACGGCACCCAAAAGACTGCAGTGAGCGAGGGTAAGGTAGCAGAATCGCGGTTGCACATGCGCAGACGCGTCGAGAGACAAGACCGCGTCGACTGTTACCATTACACGAGTCACGTGAACAACTCCCACCAGCTCACGTGCTTGACTGCGCGGTGACGTCATGCTTCGCTCGCACCACCGGCACCACCAACGACACGAGCACCGCCTCCAGCTTCAGGGGCCCAGCCCATGCACGCTCAGCCGCTTCACCGTCCCGAGGCTGGCGCTCGATCTCTTGGTTGCTGTTGTGCTTGTAGTCGTCCAGGTCGCTCTGGAACGGAGACGCCGAGTCCGAGACCCGCCAGTCAGCTCAGGCAACGACAAGCCAGGCAGTCATGACTAGGCTGTTCACGTCTCGAGTCCACGAGTCTTCCGCTAAATCACTGTCGCCGCGACTACGACGCCATATCCTTCATGTAAGCATATGACAGACCGTTATGTGTAGCCTGCATCTCCTTAATGAGGCGCATACGGTAAATCCAAACAAGACATACAACAGCAAAGTCTCGAGATCGACGAAATGGCTTCCTCGGCGCCTCAATCTCCCGCTCACCGAGATGGCAGTTCTTACTTCGAATCCACCCCAGGTCAGCACCCATCTCCTTCTAAGCTTCTGCGGCTTCACCACCTCTTCATGGATCGAGCAGCATCGCTGCCGCCTCGGAGGCTCTCGTCGCCAGCCAAAAAGACGCCGCAAATCAGACCTCGGCTTACCCAATACTACACGCTGGATCACGCTGTCTCGCTTTTCAAGTCATCCAGAAATATCATCGTCTTGACTGGTGCGGGTATTTCGACTTCTCTGGGCGTGCCCGACTTTCGTAGCGCGAACGGCGTGTACAACCTCCTAGTGGACTCGGTATACGATGATCCACAAGAACTCTTCCACATCGAGAACTTCAAGGCCGACCCGGAAGAATTCTTCAAGCAGGCCGCAAAGGTGTTCCCCAAGATGCAGGGGCTCGTGGCGCCAAATGGCGGCACTGCTCCTCCGTCGGTGCCGAAATTCAGTCCGACGCACGCTTTCATTGCCATGCTACAAGCCAAGGGCAAGTTATTGACGAATTACACTCAAAACATCGATGGCCTCGAGGTCGCCGCTGGTGTGTCGCAATCCAAACTGATCCAGTGCCACGGGACACTGGGAACAGCCACATGCATGAGCTGCGGCAAGAGAGTCACAGCACGGAAGTACATGCCTGTGGTCCAAGCGGGAGGTGTGCCCTACTGCAAATGCTCGCTCCAAGACGGCGGACCGAAATCCCGGAACACCAAGCAGCGCGGGCGGACGGGCAGAAAGAAGCGGAAACGAGACGAATACGAAGACAGCGACTCCGAAGAGTCCAACGGAAGGGCTAGTAGTTTCCCTAAAGGTCTGCTCAAACCCGACATGACGTTCTTCGGCGAAGAAATTGCAGACTCTTACGCTCCTCGTCTAAAGCTGGACAAAAGTAAGGTAGACTTGCTCGTTATCATCGGCACGTCGCTCAAAGTCGAACCCGTCAACGAAATGCTCCTCAACATCCCCCCCACGGTCCCTCAAATCTGGATCAGCAAGGACCGATGCCAACGAGAGGGTGTCAAGGTGGACATTGAATTGCTAGGCGAGTGCGACTTGATCCTCGAGGAGATTGCACGGCGCGCAGGCTGGGAGGACGCACTTAGCGAAAGACTATGGACAGGCGGCAAGGCATCCGAATCGGATTCGAAATCGAAACCATCCCAAGGAAAGTCGCCAGATCGAAGCCACGAGACGACTCGACCCAAGCGGGATGATGATAGCACCTCTCCAATGAATGTGAAGCCCGAGCGGCCTTTGCAAATCCGACAGAAATCAAACGAGTCCGCCAGCCTGACCATGAAAGCGTCATCTGGTACTGTCATCAAAGTGGGCGGTGAAGCGATTTCGCCAACAGCTGGAGCGGGAAACGCACCCAACTCGGACGGCCAGCTGGCAGAAAACCGGCCGAATCCAACCGGCCAGGTGGTAGAAGTGCCACTCCACAGCCCAGCTGAAATCAAGTCTGAGAAAGGGTCCACGTCTGTTAAGATTGATCCGTCGGGGAAAAATCGACTCATTGACAAGAAGAAAGAAGACAAGAGATCACCCAGCCTGAAGCAGCAACCGAAAGCTTCTTGTTCACCACCGAAGGTCGGCGTCGAGCTCGAGGAAGGCACGCGAAATCGGTGGTATGTCAGACGGGCAAAGTGACTAAGACGAAGCAGGCCTTTTGTTTCACTCAGGTCGTATATTCGTGGTTACCTTATGGTGATGGGCAAAGTGAGATGAAGCAGGCAGGCCTTTGTTTCACCGCGGCGAATACCAAGTTTTCGAGGTCATGCTCATGGGGTGTAGATACGGCTGTACAGAGTATAAAAGGGGTAATGTTCTTGGCTACAGGCAATTGGAGTTGGACGAAGCATTGGCATCGGGCATTGGTATTGGCATAACAGTGGGGTTTGTGTGGCGTGCTTGGAGGGACAGCAATGGCCACGGACAGTATTGTGCGACGTATGCATGGTTCAATACTTGACTTGGAAAGACGAGCATTGCTGGGGCCTCTCTAATCCTGAGAATCTATCTCTTAAGGTTTTCTGTTCCGAATTAGAAGAGTCCACGGGCATTTTCGCTTCGAACAGGCAAGACGATCGCTCCGCTGATGTGTATGTATGTGCAGCCTAGTCCCTTTACCTCCGTCACTCCTGAGAACGAAATCCCCGAACCCACATGTCCAAGGTATGCCGTTCTGCTGGCCCTCAGCATGGCCTGAGGGCGTCTGAAACCGATCCCCTTCGGTGCAGCGAACACGCGAGATGCTGGCAGAAGAAGATGCGACCGTCTGAACCACTGTCCAGCGAGACCTGAAGTGAGCATCGTTCCCACTGCAGGCGTCTCCAGCACCCTTTGACAATGGTCCCAGCCAGACGAGGAAGGGAGACAAGCAAGATCTGGTGTCGTCAGTATTCTCGTCTAGATCTCCCTTCTCTAACCGATCGGCTGGGCGCCCATCTTTCTGAACCAATCCATGACGCCGGTGTAGACGACCAGTAGGACGCCACCGCCCGGGCCCAGTCTCAACACCTTGGGCACGAAGCCCTTGTACAGCGCACCGAAACCCTCCTCCTTCATGATGGTGCCCAACCCGGGCCACGCCCAGTTATACTTGGGCACCTGGCCGTTGATCTTTGGTGAATTCTGGATCCGCGATTTGACGACATCCATGGGCGTGTTGAGGATCGTGCCCACGGTGCCTCCAATGGAGCCGGAGATGAAATCGTTCATCATGGCCTTCGTGCGCTGCGACTTGTCGACCTTGGGCATCAGCGACTTGACCTGGAAAATACACCCGAAGTAGCCCGCATTCCACAAGATGTGCCTCCACAGTGTGGACTCCAGGCCGTTGTACATGGCCAGAGGGCCCTCGGCCTTGACGGTCTTGACCACTACGTCCACAATGCCGTTATATTTGGCCGCGCTCGCGGGATCCTGCAATCTGATCTTGACGAGCTCGAAGGGGACCACGACGAACGCCTCGGTCGCACCAGCGGTCGCGCCGGTCAAAATCGCCAGCGGCTGCGTCTGTTTCTGCGCGCCGAAGAGGTTGCGGTAGAAGACGCCCCACGAGTCGTTGGCCGCGAACTTGGTCGCTCGTTTGGGCGCCTCCATCATGATAGGGGCGGCGATGCCACGGTATAGGCGCGAGGGGCCTTCGTTCTTGACAATCTTGCGCAGGCAGTCGGCCATGCCAGTGTAGTAGTCTTGGCCGGGGATCGGGACCTTGCCCTGGAGCTGGCTGCAGGAAGAAACAGGTTAGCCAAGTTAAGGGTGTCAGGAGCGCGGCATGAAGAGCGTCTGTGGAAGCGTACACTCTTGTCTTAACGACGTCCAGTGGATACCTAGAGAAGCGTACGTCAGTATCCAGCACGTAGCTTGTGTCTCGCGCCCGTCTTGCATTGCATCTTTGCTGCACAAGTTTGTGTCCGCGCGCCGGACGGCAGCAACTCACATGATGAGAATCTACATTGTTGGTGCGTCAGCCAGACTTCATCCTCAGCAAGGGGCCTGCTCTTAGACGTACCTCTGACACACCAGCGATTGCCCCAGCGGCGATCTGGTAGCCGAAGCCTAAAGGCTTTTCTGTGGTCATCTTGTCTCTTGAAGTGTCGTGTGCTTTATCCGTTGTTTGCAAGACTACGCCAGCACTGACCAAGGGCGCGGAAGGTGAGTGCAAAGGAGCTCGAAGTGCCGCGGGCAACGCAGAGGGCGAGACCTGATGAGGGAGGAAGGTATGTCCGACGGATTGAAGCAACCACACGATACGAATACCCGATGTCTACCTGTGTAGAAGCGCAATTGACTGGACGTCGGATAAGTGACGGAAATATTAAGTGTAGGTCAGCCCTTTCCGACCACTCTGCGAAATTTGGGATCTGCTGGGTTGGAGACGCGGGAAGATCCAGGGGCAACCCCAGCGACCCCAATGCTTGGAGTGCAACTGTGGTGAATGCCCCGGTGCCAATGCCGCCCTCGGATAAGGGACATGGGCGTGCGACTGGGTCACGGGCGATCCGATGTGCCAGCGATGAATTGCATCTACACCGAGATTCGAGTTTGGGCTGTTTGCAAGGAGACTGGGCTAACCATTTGCATCCACAGAGATTGTGGAGGAGAGACGCTCAAGTAGATGAGAGTACCCCGTCCGCTCGCTCTTGGTCTTATTATCAATCCCCTCGGTGACTACCTGTATCTACCTACAATACATGTATGCCTGGACCGCCCCCAATCAAATTCCGCCGAGTGACAAAGGGAGTAGAAAGATCAGAACGAGGGGGTATCAATCGCAAGGCTCAACTGAAACGACAGGACGACATATCTCACGCCGCAACCACCAGACGCCTCATTTCCCGCTCCGTAAAGTGATGGTGAAGAACGAAGGGCATACGCGAAAGCCTTTGATAAAAGGCTCGTGGGTGTTGAAGATCCTTAGCCCACTTTGGGGTCCCTTTGTTGTAATGCAGATGCTAAGCAAGGTCTGTGATCCTTGCAATGAAAAGGGAGCTGGACGGATGAGCCGTGCTGTCTCCCTGGTTGTCATGCACTGGGTTCTTGGATAACATTCCGACGGAGATGACAAATGACGTTGGTGCTCATCAGTTCAGTTCCATGAACTCGTCTTCTTCTTTGAAGCTGATGCCCGGATGTCCAGCGCTGTTCCAAAACTGTGGTTGTCCAGGTCCACCACTGCCACTGTTGGTGCCACTGCCGCCGCTGTGGAACCCGGGACTGAGTTCGAAGTTACTCTGAGGACTGAGGCTGGGGTTGTTGTGACCTTGAATCCGCTCACCAGCAAGATTAGTGTGCCGCGGGACTCGCAGGCCGGTGCCATCAGTTCTTGTGTAAGAGAACGTGCTGGGGTCATTCTTCTCCATGGCTTCTAAGACTTCCGACCGCATGCGTCTCTCATCGTCCGTCACTTGGAAGGGCCACTGACCACCAAGCGACTGAATGTACTGAACAAGCTCATCCTCTTGTTGGTACTTTTGATGGAGCGCCCACATCAAATCCCTGGTCCATGAGACTGCGCCATTTAGAATGTCACCCTTGTTAGGGCCTTTCTCCTTCTCCTCGATTGGGAGCCCAATTGTGATATTGCCAGCACTACTGGCAGCACGACGGCCGGCGGCACCTACGAGCAACGACGTAGCGGTGTTGTTGGCATTGGGTGGACTCATGCTTGTGGCACCCACAGTGGGCGACATCGGTCCATTGCTTTGCAATTGCTTCTTGACCTTGTCGTCATCCAGACGATGCTGTGGGACCAAGTGTGAAAGATCTTGGATCCGTTCGTTGATATTGTCTCGCCGTCTGCGCTCTACGGCATTGTGAGAGGCCCGTCTTCTTCGCTTCTTCGCCTCTGCGGTCTCTGCATTGCTGGTACTGAAGCCATGTTCAACCTTGGCCGGTAGCGAGGCGTGGTGGCTAGGCCCAAGTGTTTCGGAGATACCGGCATGTTGAATGCCGTTTCCAGGTGACGAGAGAGGAGAATCAATGTATGACTGCAAACTTCCAGGTGTACTGTCGTACTGTCCAGACATAGTTTTGGCATGGGGTGCTCTGATGGGACGACCGTTCGCAAGATGTCCCGATTCCGGTGTCCCAATCTGAAGGCCTGCAATCCCAGCTGGTCGGGGACTTAGGGGAGATCGTTGGTCTGATGATTTGCGAATCGAGTTGATGCTTGGGCGCTTGTGCTGAGGCCCCTGACGAGAAGGCATGTGCTGTGGCAACGAGCCCATGGGTCGAAACTGGCTGTAGTCGAAGCCATTGAGGAATGGGCTCTGAATGGGAGCGTTGTCGGGTGTACTTGAATAAATATTGTGCATCTGGTTTTGAGAGTTGATTTGGGCGCCGCCGGCACCCTTGTTGTTGTTGTTGCTGGGTTGGTTAAGGGTGGTGAAGTCATTGAACATGCCATCACCATCGTTGTTGGAAAAGCCCAGAGAATCCAGCAATTCATCCTCGCCGTAGCCAGAGTTTCCCACGCTGAAACTGGAGGACATATTGTTTCCGCCGTAGTTGTACGGCACGCTCCCAAAATTGGTGAGGTCGTTGGGGTCTACGCCTGAGCTTGTGTGCTGATTGGTGAATTGGTTACCGTAGCCTTGAGACATGCCAAAATTTGACGATGATCTGAAATGGTTTGGGTTGTTGCCGAACTCGTCGGGTTCGCTCTTGATATAAGGCATCCCAGCAGAAGAGTGTGTCATAATCCCACAAGAAAGGAATCCCAGAGGTTTGAAGGAAGTTTCAGCGGAAATAAATTCGAGTTCTTAGCTCGCGCTGTCGATCGGGTATCACTCAGCGAACAGGTCAGATTAAGCGGCGATAGCCATCGGAACTGCTGATTCGGTGATGCGCTTGTGAGTGAAGGGGACGCTCGGCTAGCGAGGGTAATCCGATTCCGTGAATCTGCGAGTGAATGGACCGTCTTGAAGTGACGAACAAGTCAAGCGATGAATTTACCGCTAGGGCGTCGCCAGTTGAGAGCTGCAATGCTGACGGCAATATGCGCTGTCAGCGAACACACGCAGTCGCCGGCCTTATCCCGTGACAAGCAATGTCTTGCAAGGTAGGCGTTTGTGCTGTCCGACTCGAAACGGCTGTCCCAATTTGAGCGGCTGCAGATTGATCTCCCGCTCCGTGCGTATCTGGGGTGGTGTCTGACCCGAATCGTCGATGCTGCTCTTTCCAATGCGCTGTGATATACCAAAGATGACCTTTCGACCGTAGGGTGCGCAAATCGAGCGGCCTTGCGAGTCGCCTGGATAGATTTCTCGGACTTGCGCGGAGTGCGGTGAGGAAGAAGGTGGCCACTATCGTTCTAGTCGAGAGGCAGGACCGTTAATGGTAGGATACAGGCGGAGCTGAAGTGACTCCAGGTATTGCAGACGGCGAGGGGCAAGTGACAGAGTGGAATTTCTGAAGACAAGAAGTCGTCGTGATGGATTGGTCGGTGGGAGGCGAATTTGAACACTGTGTTCGGGATGGCGAGGCTCCGGGTTGTTGTTTAAGGGCAGAATGCGGTGTGTGGTTGTTCGATGTCCGTGCGGAGGGAGGTTACGAGTACAGTCAGGTAAGGTTGTGGCAGTGACAGTGACGGGTGGGGAGGTGCAGTGAATCTTGGGAGAGGCCGAGTATCCGTGACCGCATGCCAGTGAGCGGAATGGGTTTCCAGTCTGGAGCGGGAAGCCGGGACGGACTTGGAGAAGAGAACAGGGGCCTGTATGGTTGGCAGTGAAGCGACGGGGAACCCACCAACTGCCTAAGATGCCCTAAGATCGAGACAGCCAATCGAATTCCGGGCTCAATCTGGCCTCGAATCGACCTTGGCAAGAGGCGGGGCTGGGGGTGAAACTCGCTTGTCGTGAGAGCACAGGTCAGTCCTTTGAGTCAAGTATGCCACGAGGACGTCGATTGGACTGTGCGCCGTGAGATGACAGCTGAGACTTTGACGTCTGACTGGCAGGGTTTCTTGATGGACAGCTTGAGCGCTTCCAGTGCAAATATGAGTTGAGAGCTAAGATCTGTCAAGTTGCCAATGGCGGGGACCTTTTGGAGGGGCAAATCGGTGATAATAGTATGCAAGATAAACCGCAGACGGCTGAAGAGCGTCGACGGCTTGTTAGGAATTCAGGGTCTCAATGCGACTACACGGGAAGATCTAGACAGATAGTCTTCGCAACGGCCAACCCGGATCGGCAGCGGCTTTATATGCATGCAAGGCTGTGTGTGTGACTACGGAAACAGGCTGCCCTTTCGCATTCACACCCTGCTACGCTTCCCCACTGCGTACGTTTGCCCACCCTTTCACCTCGTTCACTTTCACTACATTCTTCCCTGCTGCTGCCGCAAAGCCACATGAGGCGGCGCGCAGGGTCCCGGAGGCCAACGGGAAGCCAATCAATGTACATTCGCAAGGCTTGGGCTGGGCTGATATGAGCGGGATGAGGAAGCGGGTGGATTCCGGATGGGTGTGCACCCTAGATTTGCTGTGAAGACCGAGGCCGAAAGGCATCACCGTCTCGGAGAAGACTCCCTTGTGAGTCTTATCTACAGTGTTTGCCAACTTTCTTGATGTCTTGGATGCCGATGTAGAAGGTCATCACTCGCGGCGAACTCAGGCTTTACCCTGACGGCCATGACCGAGTACACCCTTCCGGCCCTTTTTTACCGGCATGACTTGTAGCAAGGCAGTCACTAAATCAGTAGACCACCGGAAGTGGTGGTAAATTGGGCAAAAAGGGTCAGTCGCCCCTCGGCAGGATCATTTGCTCGCTTTTTTCAGGGTAGTGGGAGGTCGGTCCAAGCCACAATCGACCTCTAAACAGGCCGTCAAGGCTGCGGAGTGCGTCCTCATGCTGGTCCAGAAAAGTCATCAAGCTTGCGGATGACTACAGTGTTCCAATCCCGCCATGCCCACCCAGGGCGCCTCCAACCTGGGGCAGAGGAGCGCAGGGCACGTCCTGTGGCAACAGTGAGTGTCGAAGGGTTGGCTTACGAACATTTCCATTCATCCTGGAATGCTGTGCGACATCACACGGCGATTAGATCTAAGGAAACTGTCCCATAGGCCATGTTCGTCCTTTTGAGTCCCGGATCGCCTCAGCCAGGCCAGTACGACAACCCCGGTATGTTCTACATCCGGCGTGCATCGAGCATCTACATACCTTTTGCAGTGCTTTTGCCTCAATCACGCAGAATAGCAGTAGGACGGAGCTTAGTGGGGCACGTCGTGCGTCCTGGAGCCAAACATGCCTTTGAACTGAGAGACTCGTGTTGGTTCAGGTGGCGGAATTACATAGTATGGTGTACGGAGTATGGAGTAGGTATTGACAAGCAGATCTCGTGTTGGCAAACCCGCTCGCGAAGCGCGAGCTGCCATCGGTTCGTGCCATCCGAAGGTCCCCAACTTCAGCTTGGCTGGACTCGCTAGGCGCTCGAACTCCAACCGCGCATTACCAAAACCATGTAGTGATGAGTCCTTAGACAGCACCATGAGTGGGCTGGACCGTTAGTTAGCGGCGGACGCAGCCTCTTGGAGGAGCGCTTAGAGCACTTTGTGTTCTGTTCAAGGCTTAGTTTCGTATCACTGGGTCAGTTCTACTGCACATGCAGGAAATACATACATGGTGGTGGGCAGTAAGGGAGTCCTGCATGAGGAGAGGCGAAGATGAATGATTGGAGACGCGGCCTGTCGAGTTGTCGGGGTTAGCTGAATTGGTCCTAGGGCAGCGGTGGCAGCTTGATCTACGCTTGGGGTGCTTGCTGGATTTACCTTCGTCACTCACCCCTTCGCAAGTTTCCGAATCAGTTCTATGCTCGATACAGCAGCCTGCTCTCAGTTGCCTTGACGCGCTCTGGCCAACTTCGAACGCCTCGACTCCCGCGACGCCCCTAACACATATCCACTCGCCTCAGTCAACCTTGAGAATCCTTCTCCGCCTTCTACGACGTCGGTGAACCCCGCGGCCGTTACCTTGCAGAGCAGCCACTGCAGGCATCCGGGACGGCGCCTCCTGCCCCGTTCGGGCCATCCTGTCTGCTCCCTCCAACACAGAAGTTCAATTGCATGCGCCCGGAGGAGGTTGACTTTACACAGCGTTGCTTTTCGCTAGCTTGTCCCTGCTATCCACAAGATCAGCCTTGACTTGATTCTGGTCACAAGCGAGGACCCTGCGCTGCACTAGCACGAAGCTTTCCACTCCACGGCTGCTTTCCTCCTCCAATTGTTGTCTACCTTTCCTTAGCTGGCAAGCTACCGGGTCTTCAAGCTTCCAAAGGAGCTAGGGGCATATCTTCCAAGCACCAAAGGGTCAAAAGTGGGCAAAGTTGTTTCGGCCAGGTGTCACGTCCTCTACCTCACCGTCCGGCCCGTCAGAACCTGCACTAGGACTGACCTGCTGCCATGGCCTCGTCGTCTTTCCGAGACTCGATGAATTCGTTGGGGTGGTCGAGAAGAGACCCGGATGTGCCGGCCAATACCTCGTCCTCGACTCCCATTTTGTCAAAGCTTTCGTCGCTGAATCCATTTGGAAGACAAGGCTATGTCCAGTTACCTACGCACGAGGCTCCCGGGGCACCACTACCGGCGCCGTCTAGGAGGGAAGAGGAAGAGGGCTGGTTCGCATGTGAGTCGCCTTTGCGCATGACTATTGTGTCTCCGACATCCTACGAAGCAGACGTAGGACACGGACATCAAATTCACTAACGGTTGCGAACTTACAGTGAGCAGATGGGATCGCCTGATGATCTTTGGTGGATGCAATCTGGCCGCTCTAGCATGCTTCGTTATCTGCTTTGCATTGTTCCCTGGTAAGTGCTTCTGTTCTCGTAACTGTCTTCTTGCACCGAACGGATAAACCTGCGGGGAGGTGATTTTCAACCTTTTGTTTGATGGAGTGATGCTAATGTGACATGGATGATAGTCTTGAGCCTGAAGCCACGCAAATTTGTCATTCTGTGAGTATCCCAAACCTACTTCCGGCACCACGGTATTCGCTGCACACCACTACGCGCCCGTCCAGGGCCATGTGACAACGCGCAACCCCATGATGATGTCAGCGGTTTTCTATCTTTGAGTTTGCGAGTACAATGCCACACTTGGCAACCATCCTTGCTCATTTGTCGATCTTTCGATTGAGATGCGACTTCGTGCATGTGGTCGGCCTCACGCGGGGTTGTGGCTGACCGGTCTTGACAGTTGGAGCGTGGGATCTCTCATGTTTCTCTCGAGCTGGGCGGTCCTGATGGGACCGATGCAGTATACCATGCATCTCATTTCAGGCCCTCGGCTCCCCTTTACTGCCGCCTATTTTGGTTCCATCATCATGACCATCTACTTCGCGATCGGAGTAAGTCCCCTCAATTCCGTGTTGCCATGCTGGAAGACGCTGTTCACACCCTGCCTAGCTCCATTCGACGATTTTGACTCTATTTTCGGCGATTGTGCAGCTCGTGGCTTTGGTGTGGTATCTGGTGAGCTACTTTCCAATGGGAAGCACTGGATTGCGCTTTGCAGCCAGGGTGGGAGGCAGCCGGGTAAGCGCATGGATGAACGACTGAGACGTATGTAAGACACAGATCTTCTATGTGAGGTTTGCGGTAGGAACAATAAGACGCTCATGCTGCCGGTTAGAACCGGTTATGCTTCCGCCCGCCTGCCGCCTGCCGCTCCTTTGAACCCTTGACCATGAAATGAGCATGAACTGTGTTCGTGCAGAAACTGTTATCGTTGTCCCAATCATCCGACACGCCTCCGGACATCCCGGCCGTCGCCTCCTACATCTCTTACGGCATCGGAGATTAGCTCTCGCAGCTCTCTCTGGCCTTCTGCAGTGTGGAAGTCTTCCCTGGAAGCCAACTCTTCAATCCGTTGCCTGAACCCAGGGTCTGGTTCTTGGTCAACGGGACCTGTTGTGTCAGACTCCGTGCCAATGCTAATGGAAACATTTGGTGGCAGGGCGGGTGGCTGTTGAACGCCATTCGGCGCAAGGCCAGCGCCCGCGCTGGTAGTTTCCGCTATAGGTGCCTCTGCAGCGTGGTTTCGAAGGTATTCTGCTACCTCGGGAAATTCTTGCTCTGACTCGAATTTCTCCATCGCGTCCATACCGTCCTCGTTGCGCACTTGTAGGTCAACGTGCAACTCCTCCAGCAGACATCGTACAGCTTCAATCGTTTCAGCCACAAACAAACATGTTTCCCCGTCCTCATCTTTCAAGTTGATATCCACCCTGAACTCATTGACCAAGGATCGAAGGAGTCCGACATGATTGTATGAAGCAGCAGCGTGCAGGAGAGAGTAACCATGGGCGTCTTGCGCAGATGCTAGCTCTGGCCTCGATCGAAGCAGAGGCAATAAGCGGGGATCTGGGTCTGGAGTGTTCGCCGCCAGCAGAAATGGGTTCAGAGGGGCTTCAGACGACATTCTGTGGGGTGAGGAACAAGACTTTTATTGATGACTCTTGACTGGCTGACACCGGTGATTGGCTCACGCCGTTGTAGGCCACAGTTTCAGCCTGCAGTCTTTAAGCCATCAACTTATACGAAACCGGAGCCACAAGGCCGCCATGAAGAAGATATATCTAGTGGAGGGACTTCCTCTGAGTCATGTTTCTTCCGAATTTGCAGGGTTCTGACTGGTGGAGGCAGTGGCTACAAGGCTGAACTTGTTGGCTGTGACATCAGCAAGGCTGAGCGCTGCTCAACTGGCGTCACACAATTGCAATTTCCACGGACGTCGTACGCTTGATTCTCCGGTTTACGTTAAATCTACTTGTGTCTAAGGCCGTGACTCATTGGTGGCTAACGCGATCGTGGAGTGCAGTGGTTGCTTGCTCCGAGAAAATCGAGAGGGCGCCTTCCTCGCGCTCAAGCAGTGACTGCCCTTAGTCTAACGTTCTCTTCTGCCTACCCTGCTGCTTCAATTTCTAACAAGCTGTTTGGTACCACAGTTTGCTTCTCCGTCCCCGTTACCTGAAAAGCGAAGCAGGGGCGTGGATTCCTCTCGGCCTGCTTCGAGTGCCTTTGTCCAGCTGAAAAAGCAGCTCTAAAAGCGGTTCTCACTTTCCAGAAAACAACATGGCCCAGGACCCTCACCAAATTGCTCAACTCGTCCAAATCCTCGAAGCCTCCAAATCGAAGGGCAAACCCCGAGGCAAGAAGAGTTTTTCGTGTAAGAAGACTACCTTCGAGGTTGAAGGAACTCATGGCATCACCGTCGACTCCTGGCGTTTCCAAGAATGGGACTACAAACGAGACGACCTTCCCACCTACGCTCGCGGACTCTTCACCACCCACAGATCAGATGGTACTCCGGAAATCTGCATTCGTGGATACGACAAGTTTTTCAACATCAACGAGGTGGCCAGTACACAATGGCGCAACATTGAGCAGGAGACGGCTGGACCTTATGAGCTAAGTGTCAAGGAGAACGGGTGCATTATCTTCTTCTCTGGACTTGAAGATGGCACTTTGCTGGTTTGCAGCAAGCACTCCACCGGCACGCGGTCCGATGTTAATGAGAGTCACGCAAATGCAGGCGAGAAATGGATCAAGAGACATCTAGAAAGCGTCGGGAGGACCACGAGAGACCTGGCAAGACGGTTGAGAGAGATGAATGCCACCGCCGTTGGCGAGCTATGTGACGACCGATTTGAAGAACACGTCCTTGAATACCCACCAGAAGCAGCAGGGCTATATCTTCACGGCATCAACTTCAACCTCCCGGAATTTGCCACGCTATCGGGCCCAGAAGTGCACGAGTTTGCCGACCAGTGGGGGTTCAAGAAGGCACAATATGTTATGATCCAGACACTCGATGAGGTCAAGCAGTTCCTCAACAAATGTGCTGAGACGGGTTCTTGGGAAGGACGGGACACGGAAGGATTTGTGGTTCGATGCAAGAAAAGAAGTAAGGATCGGGATAGAGCCCCGGACTGGTTCTTCAAGTTCAAGTTTGACGAGCCATATCTCATGTACCGACAATGGCGTGAGTGCACCAAAGCCGTAATCTCCGGCAAGCCTCCCAAGTACAAGAAGCATCAGAAGATCACCGAGGCGTATCTGCTCTACGCGCGCCGTCAACTAGCCAAAGATCCGTCCTTGGCGAAGGCCTATCAGCAGAATCATGGCATCATCAGAATGCGAGATGGCTTTTTAGCGGAGATTGGCAAGAAGGGGTCGGACATAATCAAGCAAGAGGAGGCCGAAGGCCATGGCGCGGGACATGGCGCTGAAGTCAGCAATGTTGTCCTCATTCCCATTGCAACAATTGGATGTGGTAAGACAACTGTTGCAACTGCGCTGGTGAAACTTTTCGGATTCGGGCATATTCAGAATGACAACATCCAAGGCCAGAGAGGTCGTCCAGCGCGGTTCGCCCTCGGTATAACCAACCTCATGGCCACTCACAAAGTGGTCATTGCTGATCGCAACAACCATCAACGCCGAGAACGTGCGCAGATTATGGAGGACATCAACAAGGTAATCCCCGACGCGAGATTTGTGGCGCTGCATTACGTCCATGAGCCAAAAGTTCAAATGCTCGACGAGATTCGCAAAGTCACTCGCCAGCGTGTCCTGGAACGCGGAGATAATCACCAGACCATCCGAGCGGAGAGCAAAGGACCGCAGGAGATTATTGGGATCATGGAAGGCTTCCTGGATCGCTTTCAGGGATGCGACACCAATGCCGAGCCTGATTCTAATTTCGAGGAAGTCATTGATTTGGATGTCTCTGCGTCGTCTCTGGAGAACCTGGAGACGGTAGTCACGCATCTGTACAACGCATACCCTGGACTTCTCCCAGAAGAGATGACCAGTGACGAGGACATGCAGGCCGCCATAGATTTTGCCCTCGGCGAGGAGGTTACTACCAAGCACGATCTATCCTTCAGCAAGCCAACTTCTAGCGAGAAGTCTCAAAAACAGCAGAAGCCGGCACAGAGCCAGCCGCAAAAGGCGCTGACGATCGACCAGCTGATGGGTAAACTTGAATACTTCAGTATCTCGGTTCCTGCCCCAAAGATCAACTCGATCCTGGGCTCGTTGTTCGACCACGCTCCTGCCGAAGAAGCACGTATGTACCGGACATTGAAGCAGTCTCGACGGATCCAGAGCGAGTTCCACGTGACATTGATCCATCGCGCTTCGGCGACGCAGAACCGGAAGTTATGGGAAACTTATACAGAGGAGTTCCAGAACGCGATCAACGGTAAGGACCTCAAGGACAAAAGTCAAGTCGCTGCAACACTCGGGCAAGCACGCGTCAAACTGGAGAGAGTGGTGTGGGATGATCGGATCATGGCGTTCGTTGTCCGGATATACCCCTCTGGAAATGGAGCTTCGTGGATGAGTGCCAATCCGATCACGCACATTACAGTGGGCACAGCAGGAGCAGACATCAAGCCTGTGGAGAGCAACAGTTTGCTTGCTCGGTGGGAAGCAGGAGATACAATTGACCGGCCAATTCATGACAAGGAAGTTTCAGGAGGAATCGTTCTCGACGGCATTGTCAAGCCAGAGTTCCAGCGAGGATTTCTGAAGTAGCCTGAACAGGGTGTGGACGTACAGTCGGAGTGGACTGTGTTGCACCAGCAAGGTGAGCCTGATGAGACACGAAGGAGCGAGAAACAGACTTCAACCGAGACGGTCACCTCGACGAGGATTGACGTCTACAGTTAGCACATACAGCATAGCCGAGTAGGTGGCGGAAGTCCGGCAAGCATTGTAGCACGAATTCCTCGTCACCGCAGAGCAAAGGAACAGTGACGGGGGAGTATTCCTGGCAATTACTTGTGATTGGCTGGAACCCGCAATGACGGTTGCCCTGGTAGCATCACGATGGAGACGCCCAAACAACGGCAGGCGCGACTTGACGTGAAGCAAGTGCAGCCACCAAGCCGCAAGCTCCATTTGTTCCCCCATCAACAGCGTAAAAGGCTTTTCTTCTGCCTTTGCACCATCTTGACCACCGCCATCCTGTATAGGTCTGACCGGCTGTTTGCGTGCTTTTTCTCTGGGTTGAGTATCCATTGACTCTGCAGCAATAGATTGCTCTCATTCTCAGGTTGTGCATCAAGTTCCAATCACTTTGCTCTTAGTCTGCTCTTAAGAGGCCTGCAAGGTACGTAGCTTGGACCTCCACCCCGCACCAACCACCGCACCGCACCGCGATTCCACCCAGCACCACTTAGGCTGGCCTGGCGCGCGCGACTCGCCTGCAGTGTAAAACTTCGGGCCGGCAGCGTTGCCAAGGAAAAACAACAGAAGCTCCACGGGACTCTTGCGAACATCACCATCACCACCACCTCTTGTTTGTCCTACCACGTTTCGAACAGCCCTCGACCTCGCCTCCGCCTTGCATCTCCTATGCCGTCCTTCGAGAACCTCTCCTCTGCCTTACGATCTGTTTGCCGTGTGTCAATCAGTCGCAGCTGACATCTCCCTCACCGTCAGCTCCACGTATCACAACCAACCGCGTCCCATTGGGATTCACTACAACCACCAAAACGACGCGCCCTAGCAAGTCGGTGCACAATCACAGCACCACGCTCGAATCGAGTCCGACTCGGATACAATACACTTGCCAGCTAACAATATCATCCTCAGTCGTCCGCACGGCCTCTTGGTCTCGACATTACTACACGCCCAGACACGCCTGAAGAAGCTCGTGCGTCATTCCCCAATCATACTGAATTCCTCAATATCATGCTAATTCATTCGCGGATGCAGGCTCGTGGCTTGCTCTTCGATAGCGTCGGCTTCCTTAAGTTCTTCTTGATATCTACGTGCACTTGTTCCCTCGCCGTCACGGTGTCAAAAAGACGATATGCCTGTTGTATGTCCTCCCTAGGCCATTCAATGCTGCACCCTTTACGCGTCTTTGGACACCAGCTAACGCCTTAGCAGCCGCGTACACGGCAACGAGTACTCAACAATGAGAACGACGAGAACTCTGTCGCTCCATCGACACGCCTGACACGTGCCAAAGCCGCCGGCCTCTCGAACGCGGATGATACTACTTCACTGGCGAAGAAGGCCTTACAGACTAAGAAGTCCACCGTCGGCACGATGAACGGGACGACAAGACGTCGCGCGTTGGGTGACGTGACCAATGCTGCGAAGGGCGCCGACGCGGTACAAGATGGGAAGAAAGCAACAGCAACCAAGGCTGGCCTCCAGTCGAAAGCCGCTCAAACTACCGCCGGAGGCGTTCAGAAGCTCTCAAGGACCAACTCGTCAAGGGCTGCGCTGGGTGTCAAAGACAACAATGTCAAACCTAAAGCTTCCTCTGCAGAAGTCAAGAAGCCTGGCAGCGGTTCCGGTGTGCTCGGAAATACCAAGAGACGGACACAGACCTCAACCTCGACAATCCCCTCTTCGAAGGACGCAACTCCAGACGCCGAAGAAGAACGTCCACGAAAGAAGTCTATTACGCAGGAGGTGGTCGAAGAGGCTCATGCCCAAGCACATGTTGAAGTTGAAGTGGTGGATGATGTCCATGACATCGTTGCTGATCTGGATGCTGAGGACCTGGAAGACCCTTCGATGTGCGCCGAGTACGTCCGCGAGATCTTCGAATACTACTACGCTCTGGAGGATGCTACCCAACCGAACCCCAACTACATGGATCACCAAGACGACCTCGAGTGGAAGATGCGAGGCATCCTTGTCGACTGGTTGATCGAAGTCCACACCCGATTTAGGCTTCTGCCCGAGACCTTGTTCCTGGCCGTCAACATCGTAGACCGCTTCCTTTCGCAGAAGGTTGTTCCCCTCGACAAACTCCAGCTCGTTGGTATCACTGCGATGTTCATCGCCTCCAAGTACGAAGAAGTCCTGTCACCACACGTTGGCAACTTCGTCCATGTCGCCGATGACGGATTCACCATTGAGGAGGTCCTCAGTGCTGAGCGATACACCTTGTCCACTCTCAAATACGATCTGAGTTATCCTAACCCAATGAACTTCTTGAGGAGAATATCAAAGGCCGACAACTACGACATCCAAACCCGTACTCTTGGGAAATACTTGATGGAAATCAGTCTCGTGGACCACCGCTTCCTGGAATACAAGCAGAGCCACATCGCCGCCGCTGCTATGTATCTCGCCCGGATGATCTTCGAGCGTGGTGGTTGGGTATGTTGTGAGCTCCCAACCTTTGACTTTGGCTAACCATCGACAGGACGCCACACTGTCCAAGTTCGCTGCCTATACTGAGGAAGAGATCTTGCCAGTATTCAACCTTTTGATCAGCTATCTTGAAGCGCCAGTAGCTCATGAGGCTTTGTTCAAGAAATACGCATCTAAAAAGTTCTTGAAAGGTGAGTCATACCAGGACACGAACTATCGACCCTGGGCTAACAGAGCATAGCATCTATCTTGGCGAGGAAGTGGGCTAAGGACTATGGAGCCAGCAGAAGAAATGCTGGCGAGGTCTCACAATAGCGTTACGACGAGCCATGGTGAAAGACACTCTTGAATAGTAGTCGGCCTCTCAGCTTGACCTTCAGGAAAGCAGTCCGCCTTGAGTCTCCGGCAAACTACCAGGACTGGCTCATGTTTCATGTCTCCATCACTGCGACGACTGGAAATGATATTCACACATAAACTAACATCGGCATTGTTACCATCACATTGATACACAAGCTGCTCAACTTGCGACCAACGACCTCAACCACAGGGGATCTCGATCGCGGTTTCCGACACTGTACGACGCGACCTTGCTTCTCAGCTCGGGAGTTGTGGAACATCTTGATGGATGCATCTCTTCAGCTGGCTCCGCACAAACATGGTATGGCGTTGGAAAAGCAGACTCGCTTATGGATGCTATCTGGGGTTTACTTGAACAATGCACAAGGCGAAACACGGCGTTCTATGCGTACAGGGAAAATGGAAGCTGGGAACTTGATTTTTTGCGTCCTTGACTGACTGCAAGGAACCTGTCCGTCTTTCTTGGGGGCGACTTGCTTGTCGACAGCGAACCGCATATAATACGGTGACAATGGGGGTGCTCTTTGGATTACTGAGCGGTCTATGGCGTTTGCCTGCAGATATCTCCATGGTCTATGGTCTATGGTCTTACGGCTCAGCGTCTGCATATGTCGATAGGCATAGGCCTCCCCACTTGAATTGCAATTGTATCCGCCCTGCACATGCGCCCTCCCACACATTTATGGCTGAATAATGGACGTTAGTCTAGCCGCAAGGTGCTGCAGCAACAGCTCTGCGAGTCCGCGTATTCTGCAGAGCTATTACTTTATTGGCGACCTCGACAGTGGAGCTGATGGCCTCGAGCTCTAGCTTGGGTTTGACCTTGACCTTTTCCTCCCCCTTCAGCTTCTTCTCCACGTTCTGCCGCATCTGCATCCGCATCTGCACCTACACCTGCATCCGCCGCCTGCTGCCTGCAGCAGCTCACCCTTCAGCTGCATCGTAGCCTGGAGTGCGAGACATCCGTCCCGTACCTCGTCGGAGATGCGTTACCACGGTCCTTGGCCATACTCAACTTGTGCTTGGCTCTGGCTCTGGCTCCGGCTCAGGCTCTGGAGATCACCTTGATCTTGATCTTGATCGTGCGCTGGGATGAGCGCGGAAGCAGAAGCAGAAGTTATCTTGGCTGTGTCTAGCGTTGATATATACGTCGAATAATCGGGATGGGTAACGTCAGCGGATTGTGTCAGACTTGAGGTCCCTGTCCCTATCGATGTCACTGTCACTGTCCCTATCCCTGTCTCTGTCTCGATGTCGTGGAAGAGGGGGAACGGTTCCCTTGTGATTCTAGACTGATACTTTGAGGATAACTGTCTGGTAGTCCCGGGGGCGTTGGCACGTGGAAACAAAAATCCTCTTTCTGGAAAAGAACCTCGACTCGGTGCCCGAAGAGCTGGTATGGGATTTGGGGGGTGATATTTTGGGACGGGGAACGGGCCCATGTGCTGGTCGATTGTGATTGCGGTTCTTGCACGGCATCGGTGGGAAGCCTGCTCTGTTTAGGTTGCTATCGGCATGTCCCTTTGTGTGTGTGATATTGACCACGCGAAGGTCAAGTGTGAGGTACAAGCAGGATAATGGGCCTGGCTGCCTGACTGACTGACTGGCTTCTCGCAAGTGCTACAGTGACTCACTTCCAGGATCGTGGTGGACGGCAGGCACGAAATTAGTGCGCGGGCTACGAAACTGTGACGGCTGAACCGGATATAAAGAGAGAGAGGAGTGCAGCGTAGGGCGACATAACGAGTGTTTGGATCGCACGGATGAAGGACAACGGATGGGATGGTAGCTCGGTCGTTGGGGCGAGCGACAAACGGAGAAATGGTGGTTGAGGGAGTGCGTTCGTTCATCTCTTCTCCTCCCTCATGAAAGTTGCGAACGGAATTTGCAGTCTCGAGGTGAATGGGCCAGACCCGCATGCAACAGCGATAGTCAGAAGTGTTGGACGGTGCTCGTCGGGGCATTGGTGTTTGTCGCCTACTGTACTGAGCTGGTTTCCAGAAAAACAGGCCATGCCAGGATGGTCGCGCAGAGTGCGTTGACATCGTCCTTGTAGTCATATGATAGATCAACACCAGATGGCCCCATAGCAGCCTCTGTCGTGATAAGACTTGCCGACACGATTGGGATCGCATCAGTTCTAGGAAATCAGAGTCCTTCTGATCGTGTTCAAGAAGTCATCTGAACCGGTCCAATCATGCTCGGGCCCTATACAGTGTTGACATGGGCTCTGACATTGCTGCTGTTGCTGCTGCTGCTGGTACGCAGTGCCCGTCTCCCAACGCTGGTGGCACTTTCGTCGGTGTCGAGAAATATGGGGTTCTTGTGGAAGAACAGTGGCAAACGGCGACGACCGGCTTTGGGATGCTCCGCCGGCTGGATGCAGAACATGTTTACTTCAGATCACGGGATGACGATGTTCTTGTAAGAATTGTTCCACAGGGTGGTTAGGCACCATGGTAGACTGGCGTGGGTGAGAAAGACACAACGATGTCCCACAAGTCAGTACAACCGAACGCGTGGACATCTACAAGGGACACTTCATTTCGTTAGTCTTGTAGTAGCCAGAAGAGGGCGAGACACACATCGACTTCGATATGACACAACACGATGGGCTCTGATGGGATACTTCCGAACGTTCATAATTGCTCAATAAGAACCATGAGCAACCCCTGCACATTAGCGCTTGGCACCGTGAGAGAGCGCCTGTTGAGGACTCATATAGCTTTCGCCGTCTTCGGGGCTGCTGATGTACGACTCCAGTGCAGATTGGCATAAGAAACGGATCCTTCGCAAGGCGACAAGCGCACGAGGGAACAACGTTGGTTCTCAGACTTTCCAGGCTCCCCTCCTGCCATTGCCTCCTCCATTACCGCTGAGCTCCGCATCTGGATCTGAAGGGTCCTTTGTAAAAGTGTCTGCCGTCCCAGTCGACTGCGAAAAGCTCGCTTGCCATTCCTCCTTCAAAGCTGCGCGCATGGTGTCAACCAGGATCGACGCGTCATCGTAGTCCAAATCCTCACGCATCCCGCGACCGAAGAGAATGGCCGTAGCTTGACGACCTGAAGGTTGTGGATTTCGGGGATACTTGTTCTTCGAGGCCGGGTGTGTGTTGGGGCTGGGGGTCGGATATTTATAATTCAGGGGCGGCCGCGGCACGATATGGAAATGGACATGGGGCACAACCTGTGCGGCTCCCGGCCCTGGAAGAGACAGATGATCCATTAGATTGAAGGGTGACTGAGGTGATCCGGTGGGGGAAAGGATCTTGTCAGTAGACAACCATTGCGGACTCACTCACCGTTGTTCTGCACAACGTTGTAATCAGCCTCCTCGTGCGGTATGTCCGGCAATACAGCCTTGAGCACTGACCTGGCCAGAACAGGGAGGACTCGTCCAATCTATGAATGTGTAAGTGCTTGTTTCGACACCACCATGCGGAAACGCAATGATAAACGTGGAACTGGTGTCCCGGATTGGAGTGTCTCAAGTCGTTCCGTGGCCACTCTCAAGATCCTCAACGGAACAGAGCATGCGGGAGAAGCCAAGCATACATACCTCGGCGCCCTCGTCGGGACTTAGATCTCCAACCTTGACACGGTGCTTGCGAGGCGCCACCAACACATGCCCTCTTGTCAGGGGCATGATGTCCAAGAACGCAACGACATGCTCGCTGGAGTAGAGCACGAAGGAAGGCGGGTCCAGCTTTTCGGGATCGAGCTTCGACGCCGCTTCGTCGGGTGCCAATATAGGTGAAACTGATGGGTATGTCCCTGTTATTGCGCAAAAGGGACAAGAAGGAGAGAAGGCCCGGTCTGAGGGTGAAGACGACGTAGGAGTAGATTCGTGGACGAGTCGTGGCAGGTCGGACATGTTGCGGGGCGCTGGAACCGAAAGTATACAGATGATTCTACAAAGGTTAGGGCTCTATGGTGAGGATATATCTATAGAGACGGAAAGAGATAGATTGCCGGGATGTCAAGACAAAATAGAGAAAGAGACGTGGATAGCCGGGAGTACTGAGGATTAGAAGGACCGTAACCAAGGGTGAAAGGCTGAGATGTCAATGTGCAGGGCTACAGTAATTCGCCGAGGCATCGGGCACGCTTAGCAATGTCCCTAGAGGCCTCCTTCCGCCTCTCTGGGGAGGGCGACTGCATGTTGACTCTGCCTTGGCCGATATGCGCGCATAGACACTGTTCTTCAACAAGAAGGTCAATACGTTCAGGAAATACTCTGCCCTGAATCGATATTGTGCTGGCCTCCGACTCACTGTCACATAGAGACGAGCCAGCGGTGAAAAGTGCCGCCAAGACAGCGCTGAATCACCCGAGATACAGCCTTGGAATCTGGCGAGAATTCTGCCTCGTCGCTCTCCCCAGTACGTAGATGAACCTAGAAGGGCTATGCCCATACCGCCGTGACTCAGAGCACCTTTCTATCTACCTAGGTCTTGGCTGCCTCCACTACCAAGGCAGATCCTGGGTTCCCACAGATGGCGCAGCCTCTACTTCCACGCCTGAACGATGCAGATGCTCTCTCTTTTACGCTTCGCCCAGACGCACGAAAGTTTTCGGTGCCCTGAGATCGAGGCACTTTCGACGCTTGCGGACCTGCCCTGCGAGCTTGTGTCTTATGACGAAAAGTCTCCGTTCTGCGTGGTGAGGTTTCCGAGTCTTTATCCGTGTGAGGAAAGCGAGAGCACGTCGCTACCCAGCCCAGTGGCATACGATCCAACATCTGACGCGAGGATACGAGGCTTTGCAAGCCGCTCGATTCTATCGAAATGTATCTATGAGGTTTGGGGCCAAGGGTGGGATTACGAGGAGCTTCACGCGGATGTCAGGCGGAGGAGTCACCATCTATGGGCGGCCTTCCGGCAGAGTTCGTTCAAGTTTTCTGTCGACTGTTTTGGGAGTACGAGGGATGTGGACCAACAGAGAGATATCATCAATTCGTTCCGATATCTTGACTTGAGGGGCAAGATCAAAATGAAGGGACCAGAGGTCGAATTTGCGGTCCTGGAAGAATGGTTTCCCTTGCCGTTACAAACTGAAGCAAATCCTACCAGCGGCACCGGCGGACATCCTGGAGTGGCGGTGGACGACGGTGCTGGGACATGTCTGAGAAGAGTCTTTCTAGCCCGCAAGATTGGCGACTCCTGTCGCTGGCTGAGGGACAAACACGACTTGAAGAAGCGACCGTACATCTCCACCACCTCCATGGACGCAGAACTGGCCTTGGTGACTGCGAATCTGGCTCTGGCGGGCCCTGGAAAAATCTTCCTAGATCCATTCGTCGGCACGGGCGGATTCATGGTAGCCGCAGCGGAACTCGGGGCCGTGGTGCTGGGATCGGATATCGATGGTCGAAGTTTTCGTGGGAAAGGTTCGGGTTTAGATACAGGCGTGGGTGCCAACATGCAGAGATACGGCCTGACCCATCTGTTTGGCGACTGTGTGACTTCAGACCTGACCAACACGCCGTTCCGGACGTTTAGAACGGGATCGAGACCAGGGGACGGCAGATGGCTGGATGGGATCATCTGCGACCCTCCCTACGGCGTCCGGGAGGGCCTCAAGGTGCTCGGAACGAAATCCAGGCCGAGTCGATCGACAGGCACGGAGCTTTGCCACTCTGCAAAGAGCAACAGCCCATCGACGCCGACTTTGATTAATGGCATACCTGCTCACAGGCTGCCTGGGTACATCGCTCCTAAGAAACCATACTCCTTCATGCGCATGCTGGACGACATTTCAGACTTTGCCGCGAAGACGTTGGTCGATGGCGGTCGTCTCGCGTTCTGGATGCCCAGTGCGAACGAGAATGAATTCGGCGAGGAGGAAACGACGCTGATACCCAAGCACCCGCGACTTGCGCTGAAGCACGAGTGCGTCCAGAGGTTCAATAAATGGAGTCGGAGGTTGCTCGTGTATGAACGGCTGCCGGGGATAGACATAGGCTTGTCAGACGGCCTGGAGGCACCCATTGCAGGTCGCACCGCGGACGAACTGAATCCGTTCCGGAAGAGATACTTCCAGTCGTTTGGACCAGATAGAAACGGTAGCTAGCAATCGATTCGCCAGCCACGGAGCTGTAGGAAAACGGATGTCGGCGAGAGTGCTCCCTGACACTCGTACCCTCACCTCGCACCTAACCGTCGACTTTGAGCTTTCCCACCGCCGCAACGGCGTCTTCGCCGTCAAGATCCTCCTCGTCACCCTTACCCACCAATCCCCTCTCCCAGAGCTGCTTCCCCGTCAGCCTCTTCTCCTCGGGTTTTCCACCCCTCTTTTTCTTCTCCTCGGCCTCTTCCTCCTCCCTCGCCTTGCGTTCCTTCTCTTCCATCTCCCGCCGGAACCTTTCCCTCCACTCCAGGAACCGCTCCCTATTGACCAGTGTGCCGTGGAACTTGCGATTCTCTTCCTCCTCCTTCTCGCGGACCAGGATCTCCCGCGCCTCGTCGGCCTGCCGTATCCGGTCGGAAATCAACACCTCCGCCGCTTCCTTCAGCGTCGTGACCAACGTGAACACCATGGCCATGCCCAGGTTATCTTCTATCGTCGGCTGGAGCGTGTCGAGGAGCTGCGCCTTGTCCTCGCCGAGGTCCAACTGGGGGTGTTTCGGCGCGTTGGGCGGGGCGCTGATGTCCAAGTGCGGCCCGACGTCAGGGTAGGCGTCCGGGTATGCGACATTGAGCCAGAGGACCGGGGGTTCGGCGTCCTCGTCGTGTCCATCGCCGGGGATGTCGAGCGTGATGGTTATCCGGTACGCATTGTCCGAGGTGTCTGGCGGGATGGTTTAGCGTCAGATATTTCGTTTTCAAGGACGGGTCACAACCTGTGATTTCATCGGGGAAGATCGAATCGAGGACCTCGCGCTCCTCTTTCTGCTCTTCAATGCCCATCTTCAAGTACCTCGAAAACAATGCGGCGACCACGCGCAGCAAACGATACAAGCACGCAAGCCAACGCTGTTGCGGGGAGCGTCCAGTGCGGCGGATGAATTGTGGTGGATGTGCCGAACATGAGCCGGAGCAACTCCCAGAACTGCGCATAGAACGGGACGTCGAGATACAGTACAAAAGGTCAACACACTGGATTGTAGACGTTCAATAGTGTGATCATTGAGCGATCGGTACATGTTTGCGGGCTTGTCAACTACAGCTTGTAGGCACCGCCGCCTACCGCGCCAGTACTGGCGGCTCCCTTGCCTTTCTTCCCATTCAAGTCCTGCAGCTCGCCCTTCTTGCCCACGACCTTGACATTGCCCTTGCGCAGCTCAGACAGGATGTCCGACTTCTCTTGCTCCTTGGTCTTGCCCTTCACGTTCTTCGATGCTCCATTACCAGCACTTTGAGCCGGGCCCGTCCCTGAGGCACCGCCTTGGGCTTTCTTCATACGCTCTTTCTCTCTCCTTCTCCGCCGCAGTTTGTCTTCTCGCGTCATCTCTTCCTTGCTCATACTTGCACCGCTTTTGCGGACAACCACGTTATCATTTCTCTTCTCCTCGCCCGGCCGATACACTTCTTGTGGTGCAAGCATGCTTTCTTCAGCATTGATGCCAGCCCCGACCGGCCGAGCATCCTCCATGCTAATGGTGGGTTTGTCTTCCACCGCCTTGATCTCGGCTTCCGCCCGCTTGGGCTTGAAATGCAGATTACTGAGGAGGTCTAGTTGACCTGATACATCTTTCCACAACCTTGAAATTTCTTCGTGCTGCTTCTTGGTCGCGGCTGATCGTTTGTCGACATAGCCAGGATCAGTCGCTTTCAAATGTTCCTGCTCGTAGATGCCCGCAAGACTGGTCTGAGGCTTCGTATCATCTAGGTCTATGCGGCCTCGGCGAGCATCACTGGCGCCGCTAGCCGCGTCTGGGAGACGGCGCATGACTTCGTCAAACTCACGGGCCAGGATCCGTCTCTTGATCAACTGCTCAATCTCTTCGGAGACCTCGGCGGTGATCACGGGTACAGGTTTACCGACTCGTTCGAACTCCATATCCTCCTCAATCAATGAGTTCAGAGGTCGATCAGCCGCACGTGCCTCGCCTGAAAGTGTCCAGTCTCTCTTTGCCACGCTGGCAGCCTCGAGACGGCGAATCTCGGCGGCAATCGCTGCGCGCTGCTTCTCGTGTGTAGACATGTTCCTACCCGATGACCTCGTATCGTCCACGTCAGACCCAGACTCAAGACCTGAGTCTTCCTCATCTGACTCGAGCAGGTCACGTCGGACATCAGCCATTGCTCGTTGAAGATCGTTTTCAATGTCATCATTCGCCCCCTGCTGTTGAGGTTTGGGTTGTGTTTTCGGCAGCGCCCTCATTCGCTTGGTCTTTGACTGTTTCTTTGGTGGAGGAGCAAAGAAGTCGGCGTATCGGATTTCGTTTGTGTTATCAAGGCCCGGCAAACCGTCCTCCAAGGCGCCGTCTTCTTGGTCCAACATGTCTTCGTCGGTGTCGTCCGCATTTAGGTCTGCATCGCCAAAGGTCGGCCCGTCTCCCTCGTCCGACGATTCATCGCCAGCGTCCGCCTCCTTGTTCTTCTCATCAGTGTTGGCCTTCGTCGTGTGGAAAGGCATGGTTAAGGGGTCTGCATCCCAGTCGATATCGTCCTCGTCGCTTGGGTTGTCGTCCTCGCCACGTGCATCTTGCTGCTCAAGAAACTGTGTTTGTTTGTTGAACTCGTCGATGGAGAAGAAGCCATCGTTAAGATGGTTGGGGTCTTCGACGTATGTCTCGGGGTCCTGGTCAACCGGCTCGGATGCGTCAGAATCATCGTCCTCGATGTCTTCCATACCGTCGAGATATGTGTCGTCCAAGGGACCGTCGTCCTCGTCCACAGCGTCATCACCCAGAACGTCGTTTTCTAACTCACTGTCCTCTGTATCATCAATTTCTTCCTCTGAAGGGCTTGCGGAATCGTCCTTCTGGTCGTTCGGGGCAACCTGCGCTTCTCCATTCGTTTGGTGTCGAGCTCTGTGGATACCAACATCCCTCTCAATCTCTGCGCATGTAGCATCTAGGATCCTTCTCGCCTGCTCCCACACTTGTTTGACCCCGAGCCCGTTTGTGTAGACCTGGCGTAGTTGCAGAACTTCCTCCTCCTGCTCAAAACCGCCTCTCTTCCTCTTCTTCCTGTTTTCATCCCGCCGCGAACTCTGAGCAGTGGCGACATTGGTGGCCAGCGGATCGAGGATCGATTTAAGGTAGGACAGACTGTCGAGATGGAGGGAAGATGGCGGCTGTAGAAAGGTCTGGGGTGATGTCGATAGTGCGGTCAAAAAACCACTTGATTCTGCCATCACTACACCTGTATTCGGGTTCATTTAGTGCATGTGGCATCAACAGCGCCCGCAGTTGTTACGCTGTCGGTGGGAGCAATAATCTCGGCGTCGCAACACCACAGCATTGCATATTTTTTTTTTCCGCGGCGTCGTTACAGGAAAACGACACAACCTGCAGCTAGGGTTTAGCGTGCCGGTTGCGCATACGAGGGGCGCGCCCGAGGGTGGCTCGGTGGCCACCAAGCCGCAGATTCCCCGCTCCGGACACTCGCACAGCACTAACCAGACCCTCACTAGGGAAGAACCAGTGGCGTATGAGTAGGGGAGGACTTTGCGAGAAATTCGAAAAAGCATGTCTTTGACGGGCTGTCACTGGTCGATGTGCAAGTGACTTCGCCTTACGAGCAAAACACGATCCTTGCCTGCATTGGTGTTGGTGGACAGCTGCAACTAATCTCGAGAGTTTGTCCTTGGGCCACCGTGCCTAGCCGGGCTTTGGCCGTTCCCTCGACAACTTTAACCGTGGGACGCTCAAGAGCCAGGCATCGCACCTGTTTGGCGGAGGATACCGAGACAGGAACAGCACAAAATCTGGGATAGACCTTGCCAGTCCTGTCATCCATCAGCTACGTCTAGCAGCCACCTCGAGCCTATTTACCTTGCAAGACTGCGATTGAACTCTAGCGTTCCATCGGACGAGTAACATTGCCTACACAGTCCTCGCATGGATTGAGGTGAGGGGCGCCGGGTGGGCGGGTGGAGTCCTCGACTAACCGACTAGTCCCGAGCTGAGCGCCATTGAGCTTGAGCAAACTCGTGCTAGAGAAAAAGTTATAAGCGGACTTGCGCTTCACGGGCTCCTCTGCGTCAACATACTAGATAACATCTTCCAACCCCGGGCGCGCCCGCGACAACCCTACTTCTGTCAGACTCCTGCAGCCACCTGCAGCTGTCAACCAAGAATTGCATTTTAGAAGGCCGAGAACGCCAGAATGAAGTTTGGTGAAGCCTTTGCGCAGAGGTCTGTGCCAGAATGGGCGGCGTTCAATCTCAATTACAATGGGATCAAGGATGTCATCAAACGGCACACCTCCAACAGCTTAAATCATGGCGGCCCTGTCAACATTCCACAGCAAGGCAAGGCCCGGTGGGAAGACTCGGACCAAGCTCTTTTCCAGACGTTGAGGGATCAGTATGACAACATCAGTCTCTTCTTGCGAATGAAGCAGGGAGAAATCGACAGGCGGCTCAATGTCCTCAAGAGACAGATCATCTCGCTCCGAACATATGCCGACGAGAGAGCTCTTGATCGAGACATCGCGGCATCAATGCAAGGCCGCAAATATCGGAGACTGTCCAAGGAGGTTGAAGAGCTCGGGGACCTAATCCAAAAGGTTGCTCGGTTTGCGTCTGCCCAGAAAATCGCCTTCCGGAAGCTGCTTAAGAAATATACCAAATGGACTGGGTCTACCTCATTGCAAACCCGGACGGATGTCGAATTGTTCTCGTCAAACCAACTCAGGACCGATTACTCCGACTATCTACAAGAATTGGCCAAACTCCGAACTATCCTCGTCGAAGAGCTCTCCGTTCCTATGCTTAGGAGGCAGCAGGTTGAACGCCCGACCAGACAGCAGCCGCAGGGTGGAACTTCCACAACGAGCACCCGATCGTTAATCGCCCAGATCAACTCCTCTATCGAAGCAGCCCCTTCAGCTTTTGATGCTGCTATTATGACGGTGCCATATGGGGAGGCCGCTGGCAGTGCTATGTACTGGATCCACCCAGATAATCTCGACGAAGCACGCGCCCTGCTACACAGGAATATGAAGAGGGCCGATCCAACCTCTACCTTGCCATCACGAACGACTTCACAAGAATCCCTTGTATCAACGAACGGCCTGCCTGCTCCACTCCCGAACCATTCCAGTACTCATATGATCTTCTTCGACAATGCACAGAGATTTGTAGCGGACACAAGCACCGCAAGGCCCTCAAGAATAGCTTTGAGCGCTCACTGGACCTGCAACAAGCACGCAGCGGTGACACTTGCTGGACTCTCACCGAGCTCATCCGGTGAACAGACCATCCTAGTTGAACTCGGAGATCTCCCTATTGCCTTGGATCGGGGATCAGGCCTCAAGAATGACTCCAAAGCTATAGCCGTTGTTCACCAGTATCTGACCGAGCACAGAGATGTCAAGCCGCTGGCTCAAGTCCAAGCTGATCGTACCCGCTACCTTGGAATGACTAACACCGCCGACGTCGCAAACTGGGCGACTCTCGACCATTCAATCACGGTTGGTGCTGTAGATACCCAACAGCTTGGCAGACTACAACAGTCTTGTCAAAGGAGCGAACCCTTCCCGTACGCCGTCTTGCATATCCGTTGGGAGTTCGCTCGAATGCCTGCTGTTGTCCGTGCCTTTGACGAGTCGCACTTGGCATACAGAGTCCACGAATTCACGATCGAAGACATGGCCATTCGCCAAATCCAGAAAGAGCTTCCTCGTCCGTCATGGCAACACCTTCTCCACCACGATATCACGAAACTACCTCTGCCGCATGCACCCAGCTTTAATCGACTCAAGACCACTACGCGAATGAGAATGGTTACAAGCGACTTGAGTGGGACGTCCTCAGGCCCGTCCTCGAGCGAGGGCCAGACAGACAGTGTCTTTTCTAGCGGCACCCACGGGAATTCTTCCGTAACTTCTGAGGAAACTCGGGGCCTTGCACTCAGTTCCCCGGTGGAGTCGCGGTCGAAACTAGATCAGAAGCCACGAAAGAAGAGGGCACGCATTGTGGTTCCAGAGCCAGAACCAAGGTTCAGATACTGGAACGAGTTTGACGACGGCGATTCAGACGTCAACCCAGGCGAAGGCGAATCGTATGCCATCTATGTCGATCCAAACGAGCCTACTTTCCCAGGGCTTTTCGAAGCATGGAAATTCATCAAGTCTTCATGGCCGTTGAGATTGATCATTGCCGACAAAGCATCCTCGAATGAACGGACACCCTTATTGTATGACGAAGATACCGCTTCCATTGCGTCGTCAGACTCTGACTCCTTTGTCGAGGCGCAACAACAACAGCTGCGCCGGGGCTTGGTTTGGGGTCTGGTTGGCGGAGTGGCCATTAGCTTTTTCATCGGTGTCGCAGTTTTGGCCTTCTGCATTTTCAGCTTGACATAAAGCTGCATACATCCGGATCCAATGGGGTGGCTGTGTATAATAAAGACTTACACGACGTGTACAACTAGGATGCCCCTGGCGAACAGCGCCCTCTAGAGTAGAATCAAGATTGCGCTCAATGAGCCCGATTCCCCATGCCAGTTTCCCATGGGAATCGCCGATCATCTTCTGGCCGGGACGACGGAACCCGCTGACAGACCGGCACACGACTGCAGCTCCGGTCCAACGAGAAGACCTAATTATCGCACCAGGAAACAGGTTCTTTCGAGCTGCATAGTAGCAGGTTCGTTCCTGCTTCGCGAAGTGCAGATCCACCCGGTTTTTGATGCCAGCCACCAGCTGCGGACCTCTCTATCTTCGGTTGCCCAGGCCCCCAAGAGTACGAGGAACACCGGCGATGATATTGGTGTAGGAGGAGACAATACGAGTGCTTTGTGGGAGTCGACGTTCGTGGTGAAGCTCTGAGTATCAAATGATGTCGATAATCTGCACACAAGTCTTCACGTTGACACTGAACTCCACCGAGCTCTTCACGCGGAGATACTATGTCCGCCTTCGATACGAGTCGACGAGAATAGCCGAGGTCCGCCCCACCTTTTCAGCCACCAGATATCAGCCATCAGCCACTTTCTGCAGCCACAGGGCTCGCCATGACCAAGGGATCGAGGCGTCCTTATCTCCTTGAGGCAGCACGCCGGTTATCTTTGCAGCGTCGCGCTCGCACAATTATCAAGCACCTGTCTTATCAGCGCATTGTTCCACTTCTGAGTGGTAGACTCGGATCTGAAGGTCCCCGGAGATGCAGATCTCGCAGTACTCAGCATGCTAGAGTTATCGGCGTTTGTTATGACGACGCCAGTTGGGAGGGTGGATCGAGGAGCGCCCAAAGTCTTCTACGATGTGAGCTGCTAATAGTCTAGATAGATATACCGAAATGCCATTCCTTGAAGTCACAGCCTCGCTACAGCTCCGCTCTGGCTTTGGTAAACAAACATGACTCAAGATGAGGAGCGGGCAAATGAGAGCACCTATCTTCTGCCTCACGATAGGAGGATCAGCTCGTTGGCGCGTGACGCAGACGCTGCTTCGATCGTCTCTTCGCGCGTAAGCAAAGAAGAAGAAGCGCTTGCCGAAACCGCAGTAGGCGAACGTCTCCCATATAACGACTACACGACGATCGATTGGCTGCATGACTTGGTAAGATCAGTTCACTCCATCCAATACCATCGGGACTGAAGACCTGCAGGTCAAAGACTCCTTCAGATATCGTTCTGTCCATAGTGGAAACGGCATTCGACATGCGCTTGGAGCTGCGTTCGACTCCTGCCAAGGCTGGATCGCAGTCGCTCTGATCGGCACGCTGACAGCATGCGTTGCCTTTCTGGTGGATATCGCTGTAGCCACCGTTAGCGACTGGAAGACCGGGTATTGCAAAAGTAATCCACTGGCGAGCAAGGAATTCTGCTGTACGTCAGAGACACGATTGAGGGTTCTTGCAGCCACTGGGGAGACATGCGCGGATTGGCACTACTGGACCACCAACTACTGGCATGGGTTCGGCATCTACGTGGCATTCGCCCTCGTCTTCGGGATCGTTAGCGGCATGGTCACCTTGACCACCAAACGAGCTTTGCCGGCAACTGCCCCGGGTGCTGGAGACAGAGATCCAATGCAGCAGATGACCGACCGAGCCAACACCGAAACACTGAAACCCGCAGCTGCGGGCAAGTCAATCTATATGGCAGCGGGAAGTGGCATTCCTGAGATCAAGACAATTCTGTCCGGATTCGTCATTCCACATTTCCTGGATTTCAAGGTCCTGGTTGTGAAAGCCGTAGGCTCCACATTCGCCGTGTCGACAGGGATGTGCCTGGGGAAGGAAGGCCCTTTCGTCCACATATCAACCTGCGTTGCATACCTTGTTGGTGTCCAATTCCCGAAATATCGGGAGAATGGGCGAAAGCTTCGAGAAGTCCTTGCTGCTGGGTGCTCAAGCGGGCTTGCCGTCGCGTTTGGTGCACCGATTGGTGGGGTGCTCTTCGCATATGAAGAGATCTCGACCTATTTTCCCAGGAAGGTCCTCTGGCGGGCGTTCATCTGTTCTCTGTTCGCAGCGATGACACTCAAGGCACTCAATCCGACCGGCACCGGCAAGCTCGTGCTCTTCGAGACCAACTATGGCACGACCTATGAGCCTTACCACTACGTCGTGTTTGTCGTCCTGGGCGTTGCTGGTGGGATATTCGGGGGTGTATTCTGCAAAGCAAACTTTGCTTGGTCACGCAGCTTCCGAAAGTACAACATCATCAAGAATTACCCGGTCTTCGAAGTGTTTCTCGTCGTTCTGGCCACCGCACTCCTACAATATCCAAACCCTCTGACTAGGGAGCCCGGCGACGTCGTTATCAAGAACCTCTTAGTCGACTGCACGGAAAGTTCACAGGCAGCTTTTGTCTGTGTGCAGGAAGGAGATGCGTCACCCTCGCGCAGGTATTTAGGCTGGCTCGCTTACGGAACGCTTGTGAAACTCGTCCTTACCATCATAACGTTCGGGATCAAGGTGCCCTCGGGGATCATCATTCCTGCCCTTGACGGCGGAGCGTTCTTCGGAAGACTTGTCGGTCAACTGCCTTTCCTGGCACAGACCATTTCTCCTGGCATTTTCGCGATGGTCGGGGCCGGGGCTTTTCTGGCTGGAGTCAGCCGCATGACCATCAGCTTGGCTGTGATCATGTTTGAATTGACGGGTGAACTGGAATTCATCGTGCCGAACATGATTGGGATAATGGTTGCCAAATGGGTGGCTGATGCCTTGGAGCATGAAGGCGTCTACGATCTTGCCCAAACGGTGCTGGGCCATCCATTCCTTGACCTTGACCAAAGCATGAGGCTGGTCCAGAAGGATGCTTACCTCGTCGAGGAACTGATCCCTCCGGCACAGACAATGCGTGAGATTACTGTCGATGTCCCTGCAAGTGGCGTTGTCCCTCGAGTGCTGCTGACGGAGAAGCTGCGCCAACTGCGCCGGCGGGGTCTTATGGATGCTGGTTTGGTTCTCGTCCAGAAGACTATGTTGCAAGGCTACCTGGCGGAAGGAGAACTAGAGTTTGGGCTTGAAAGTTTGGGGCGGAGTTTTCCCGAAGGCTGTGTGGTACGTCTCCTCCCCGCCACAGCAGGGGTCGGCCTGTCAACGGAATACGAAGGGGAACTCGATCTGTCCCACTTCATTGACCGCACGCCATTGACCATATGTGCGAAAGCGCCCATGGAGTACGCTGTCGAGATGTTTGGCAAGCTCGGATTGAGGCATCTATGTGTGACAGAGGAAGGCAGCGGAAGACTTCTGGGTGTGATCATCAAGAAAAGACTGGTGGTTTGGCTCGAGAGTCTGAAGCATTGAGCACCACAGGTACGTCCACGCTCACAAGGTACTCGAACATGGCTAGCTTAGTCCCTGAGCAGAGTGACTTCAGTGACCTGGAGGACCTCGGCGAGCACCCCAGCACCACAGCATCAGAGTAACAATCGTAGAGCAGAAGCAAGTCGCCGTCCACTACACTTACAGTATTAGTAGGGCTGGCGCTCGGCGAACACGTCCAATGGCATATGCAGGCTCGCTGCACGGTGCTGATCTTCAACCTCTTTTTCTTCTTGCATGCATGCTTGATTCTGGCGATTCTAGCCGCAGTCTGGCGTCACCCGTTGCTTCAATACTTCGTCCAATGCGTCGTCAGTAGTGGACACGAGGCACGATCATGATTTTCCCAGGCTTCTTGACCTTACCGTGTAGGCGACTGCACTTTTTGGAGATGAGCCCGCAAGCGACCTGCTTTGGCACTTGACGTCCGGCGTCACTTGCTTCGCTTTGCCTTCACCTTCGCTTTTGCCTTCCCGCTCCTGGCTATCGCGGCCTGCCCCGCTTCAGGCACACTGTCTGCCTCCACCGTGCGCTGCATAAACAAACACGAAAAATTTCTGCACCTCGCAAGGCATCAAGTAGACAGGGCAAAGGATAGCTGGACTAACCCGGGGCGCTCTAAGGTGCGAGTCCACAACGGCCCGTATACGAGTTCCCGACTCTTGTCTGCTGCGACACCGGATCTTGCTCACTTCGCCTGCCTCTCACCCTCGCTCCTCATTTCCTGCCTCTCTCGCGTCACACGGGTTCGTTCGACAGGCTGGCCCCGCCTCGGTGCATCCACTGGGAAGAGCCGGGAACAGTGGAGTTTACACGGGATGCATTGCGGGACAAGATGATATCTTTTTGAGCTGCCAAAATGTCGACAACCTTATCCTCAGGCAAGCAACACGCTCGCCATAGTTCGAGCTATGCAAAGAGCCGACCTGCTCCGATGCCGGGCTCGCCCATGAGGAGGTCTCACAGTGACCAAGTGGTGGAAGAGAGCAGTGCTCTGCCCATAACTGAGAACCCTCAAGCTGCTAGTCGTCCTCGAGCAAGCTCTGCTTCCAGCCAACCTACAGCAAAGACCCCTGCGCGATCTTTCTATGTCCGCTCCTTCCATGGCCAGCTAGACCCGGCTCACTATTCCTCCTCTGCCGGCCTGAGAGACCAGACGGCCGAGTTGGCCGCGTTCGCTCTCTCCGACAACGCCTCATTTCTGGGGAGCTCTCCACCGAGTTCAACAGCATCCTCTGACGATGGCTACCCGGATGTCATTGAGGAGGTCTCGGAGCCCGTGACCCCAGAGGGCTCAGAGGAAGATCACCCGGGTGACCCGGCTGTCTCCGGCCTCACTGCTATGATACAAGACTCATCCGGCAAACAAGAGGAGGAGCATACGTCCAAGACCGATACTAGTCCTAGGAAGAAACTGAACGATCCAACCTCATCGAACATGTTGGAATCTACACACGCAGACGAGCGTACAGCCTTGCTCACCGAACGAAAGGCAGACACTATCCAGTATGGGCGCGTTACGGACATTGAACGCCAGAACGATACAGACAGGCAGGGTGTGGGTGTCCGCCAGAAGCTCAGAACTTCTGTCGACAAGTTGCACTCGTGCGGCTACGTCCTCTCTCACCCTAAGACCTGGAGCGCGCGTACGATCTACCGCGAAGCCGTTGTGCACCCGGTCAGTCTACTCCCAGCTGTCTTTCTGGGTTTGCTCCTGAACATCCTTGATGCCTTGTCCTACGGCATGATTTTATTCCCCTTGGGTAACGACCTATTCGATGGGCTCGGTTCCGATGGCATTGCCATGTTCTATGTCAGCACCATCGTGGCTCAGGTGGTCTACTCATCCGGGGGTTCGGTCTTCCGAGGAGGCATCGGGTCTGAAATGATTGAGGTTGTCCCGTTTTTCCACAAGATGGCTTTCACGATCCTTCACAAAGTGGGGGAGGAGAATTCCAAGTCTGTACTGGCTACTACGATACTATCCTTCGCGATTAGTGCCATTCTGACTGGGGTGGTCTTCTTCCTCATGGGGGCTTGCAAGCTGGGTTTGTTGGTCAGCTTCTTCCCCCGACATATTCTGATCGGCTGCATTGGCGGTGTTGGCTGGTTTCTTGTCGCTACAGGCGTGGAGGTCGCTGCTCGGCTACCCGGCAATCTGGAGTATAACCTCGCGACTCTCAAGCAACTAGTCCGAGACGACACCATTGCTCTCTGGACGATTCCCTTGGCCCTCGCGGTCTCCCTACACATTGTGCAACGCTTTGTGAAGTCAAATATGTTGGTTGGTGGCTATTTTGTGGCGGTTGCTGCCGTCTTTTACTTTTTCAAATTCGCCTTGGGTATCTCGATGGAGACGATGCATTCCGGAGGTTGGGTTTTTGATCCTCCACCCTCCGGTCATCCATGGTATCACTTCTACACGCTTTACGATTTCAAGGTGGTGCATTGGGGGGCCCTTGCAGATACGATCCCTACCATGTTTGCCCTGACATTCTTCGGCATCTTACATGTGCCGATCAATGTGCCTGCTCTCGGTGTGTCCACTGGTGAGGACAACCTGAACGTCAACCGGGAGCTGGTGGCCCACGGCATCTCCAACTGCGTGAGTGGCCTATTCGGAAGTGTCCAGAATTATCTTGTGTACACGAACAGTCTTCTGTTCATGGATAGCGGTGGAAATGACCGACTTGCTGGGCTTTTGCTGGCAGGTTGCACCTTCGGTCTTCTCCTAGCCGGACCGACCATCATCGGCTACATCCCTATTATGGTGGTTGGAGCTTTGATTTTCCTCCTCGGCATCGAGCTTCTCGAGGAAGCACTTGTCGGAACGTGGGGCAAAGTGCACAAGCTCGAGTATGCCACCATTGTCATCATTGTGGTCACGATGGGAGCATGGGATTTCGTGGTAGGCATCTTTGTGGGCATCGTGCTTGCTGCCCTCAGCTTCGTCCTCGAAACGTCCCGACGCTCAGCGATCAGAGCCACATACTCGGGCGATATCGCCAAGTCCCTGGTCAGGCGACCACCGGTACAGCTGAAGTTTTTGAGGGAAACCGGACAACAAATCTTCCTGATCAAGCTATCTGGCTTTTTGTTCTTTGGCACGATTGTGGGTGTCGAAAACCGAATTCGAGCACTTCTCGCCGAGGATGCCTTCCGAACCAGGCCTCTCAGATTTCTCGTGTTGGATATGGCTCAAATCAATGGCATTGACTATTCGGCCGCTGAGGCGTTCACCAGGATTGACCGCCTCCTAAAAACGCGTGGAGTGGAGCTTGTTATCTGCAGTCTGGACGTCGACGGCGAGGTTGGACAAGCTCTCCGTGGCGTTGGCCTGTTTGCGGAGGATGCCAATGTCGAGATATTTCCCGACCTCAATGTTGCTCTGGAACACTGCGAGAACAAGCTGTTGACCGCCCTGTATCGCCAACAAGAGCACCGACGGACGAAGCGGATAGCGTCACACCTCGATGTGCCACGAGGTCGACCTCAAGAGCTGTCCTCATCATACAAGGCAGAGTTCATGGGCAGCTCCCCAAGGCGGAACCATCTTCATCAGGTCGCGCAAAGCACCCTCGATGAAGACCGATCTAGCATGGCCAAGTGGCAGACATTTAAGCAACCGCTGCCCTTGATGTTGCAGATCTTTGCCGAGGTCTCGGACAAGAACGAGGATTTCTGGTACCGTGCGGCGAAATATTTCGAAAGGATAGTTTACCCCAAGGGCTGCGTCTTGTTCACCGTCGGGGATCAACCGAATGGGTTTTTCCTGCTCGAAGAAGGCCTTTTACGCTGCGACTACGACTGGCCGCAGGGCAGATACACTGAATTGATTGTGGCAGGACGCCCCTGCGGTGAGCTCCCATTTTTCTCGCAGACTCCGCGCACTGCGACGATGGTTGCCGAGAAAGATAGCATCACGTGGCGATTGGATACGAAGAGCTGGCACGAAATGCAGGTACACGATCCAGACGTGGCACAAGAACTGCTCGTGATCAGCCTCAGACTTACGAAAGAGCGGATGGACGCTGTCACGTCATACATTCTGACAACAGCAGGCTGAATTCCATTATTTTGAAGTTTAGCTGTTCGAAGAAAGCTTTCATGTACAGTATGATCCCTGTTGATAGTCTGGAAGAGAAAAGTTGGATTCTGATAGAACTGTTTTTGGCTACTCGGAGTCGAGCAGGGCACTGGTGGCATTACCGAACTTGGCTTAATATGAGCTCAATCACAGGTATATGATGCTGTGCCTGTGGTGAGCGGCTGGGAGGACCGTCGCAATTGTATAGTGTCGGTCGGGTCTCACGGAGGTCAATCTCCTGCGCCAGCACCTGACCAGCTGTATCGCAATGAGTTGATAGGCACCAGGTGTGGTTCATTACTGTAAGGCGCCACTGCAACCCATTGACGCTCGACGGACAGCTCTGGGCGAACAGATCGATTTTGAAAGCGTACCTAGGTAATAGTCCTCTTCAAACTGCCTCGGCGATTTGCAAGTCCTCCCAACGGGACGTCTAGAACGCAGCTGTACCACGATACTGTGTATGTACCTAGGTATCAACGGGGTCGCCGATTTTTGCCAGCTGTTCTTCCCTTTTCCGCATTCTCTGCCTACCTGATGCCCGGACGGCCTTTGTGGCCTCAGAGGTCCCGAAACCGCGCCTGGGGGCTGCGCTTTCCTTGCCAGAACAGCCGACTTTCCCGCAGGTTATTGGCTACCTAGTCGCCTGCAGTCTCGTCAAGAGCATCTCAGGCCTCTCTCCCTTGTAGGCCCAAGCTTTGCACGTCATCTCGACGACGACGATGATGATGATGTCCACGGCCACACATACCTCTCAAGTGTCAATGATGACCTGAGCTTATCGATCAGAGTATGAAGACCTCGGCTCTTTCGCTATCTAGCTGGCTGCACAGGTTTGGGCTTTTGAACTGCCTGTCGCACTTTCGATGTAGCTTTGCTGCTGTTCGCCTCGTAGACACGAGATGCCGGAGCACTTCAGTCCATTGCTGACGCGTAAACGAAGGATGACCTTCGACTGTCGCATTCTCTGCCCTGGCAACTTTGTTGGCTGAAATGTGGTGAGTTATCGCTGTCTGTCAGCTGAATTGGCAGTAGGGGGAATCGACTAAGCATGCCAGCATTCAGTGACCCTTGTTGTCTCTACCTTACTTGCTCGAACGTCAACACACTCTCTTCATCGAGCTTTTCCCCTTACGAAACCAAGTCGATGTCAGCAAAATGTTCAGACTTTTGATCTCTGAGGCCCATCGACCGCAATCGAAATGCGCAATCGGAGAAGTCAACGAGGGCATGTGAACGGCATCGAGATGTCCGACAAGAGCAAAGTGTGGGGCTTGAGAGGTTGAATTCTCAGTGCCTGACAGGCTCAGGACCCTTGCGCCCCTACTCCCCTGCCCCATGATGCTTCAGGCAAAGCGGCGTGGCGCGAAAGGTCTTGAACCTTGCATGAGCCAGCGAGCGATGGTTTCAAGCTTGGAGCAACGACGAGGCGACGTGCCAATTCTCTGCAGGGAGTTCGCAGTTTATCCAGTTGGAGATCATTAGCCCGGTCGATTGTCGGCGTATCACTGTAGTACAAATGTTTGCAGGGCTTCTTTGACTCACCGCCGGGGTTCTTCACTGTGGAAACAGATTTATTGGACGAAGCAGGGCAGAGCAAGGGAAGTCTCTCTGCTGTGTCGATCATTAACGACCTATTCGTACCGAGAGTGGGGGGTGGGCGGCGCAAGGAACTCCATTTTCTTGCCCAGGCTGTTTCAGGCTTGGGTCTGACCCTGGCAAGAGGAGGCGGAGGAGGTGAACAGAGAACAACCCGCGTCCTTTGCAAAGGTGGAGCTCGTTTCGAAATTGCATGCCAGCGGGCTTTCGTCGAGTCTCGCTGGACCTGTCGGCATGTGATTGGTGTTCTGAACGGTGTCTAGGGACGACACACTACTGTCAGGATCGACGAAGATACTGCAGGACGGTGTACTGGTAGCAACGTATAATCTCGCTATAACTTCGACCGGCAGCACATGTCCACACCTATATGGGGTCTCCCGGGTCAACGGCCAAGCTTCCGCTTCTGCAGGACGCTGGGATGCGACTTCGGTGCACGACTATAGACAGTCAGGAATCTAAACCGCAAGTCGGTGATCAGAAACCAAAATCATGTGCACGACAGTCGACAGTCGACAATCGACAAGGATAGAGAGGCAAGCTGACTGTCTACTGCGCTAGGTGACTATACTTCTGACGCGGCGATCTCGGACGCCGTGCCAGAACACCATTCTGCTATCCTGAAACTCCTTCCTTGTTTGGTGGCGCGATAGAGTGATCTCGTAATAGGCCCGGAAGACGTTATCAAAATTTATTTGACGACGGCGATTGCGTTGTCATCCACAGATGTTATATGGGCTGCATTGTACCCCGGCAGGCCACGGATGCAGCAGGCACGTCATTCCTGCAGGTGGTCACGATGGTCGCATGACCAACGACTATTCTGTGCCATATCTTCCGCTCAGACTTCCTGGAGCCGGTTCTGTGCAAGGGTTGCTGGTCCCGTCAGCGGTCTTGCGCATTTCACCGAGACGACCATGTAGGGAAGTCTGCTGGAGTGGAAGCGGTGAGGGCCAGCGAAGGGCGTTGGATCGGACGACTTGCGCTCCAAGCAGAGACGATTATCAAAGGATCTTTGCTGGATGCCATGCACGATCCAGAAACTGATCGAACGGTGGCAACATGTGCGGGCAACCTTGCAACGACGCGGAAGTCCTCGGGGTCCTTTGAAGCCCGTTCGTGGTCGCAAGGCCGTCAGAAATGGAGTAGATAGAGCATCACCTGCTGCACAACACGAACTGTCGCTGCAGAACGGACTTGGCGGCGGAGAGAGGAGTGCCCTGTCCTTGAATATAATCCCGGGGGCTCTCCTTTTGCTGCTGACGGGCAGTGATCACGCTGGGGCTTGAGGAGTTCTGGAGACGTTCAGAAAGGGGACCGGCCAGCGGTGAACCCCATCTTTATCGGAATCCAGTGAACACGACCTGCTACAGCAACTATCGACATGGTGACCGGTAGCAGAAATTCGAGGTCAGACTGCAGGGCAACCTCGTACTGTGAAATCTTTCCACAACTAGCGCAGAGGGTCCGGTGGGCAGCCCACCAGAGGGTCTAGGCTATTGGGCCTAGCGCTGGTTAAAGGGTGGAGCTGAATCGTGGTAGCGCGTTGCCTAGGAGCGCCTTCAAATTTCCTCCCCGGTAGACACCCTTCGCGAACGGGCGTGACTGGGTACGCCCAAGAGAGGCTGTTGCCAGCCCCAAACAAACCGAGCGCAACCAGGCAAGACAAAAACTCGACGCATCCCATCTCACACCACATCCGCCTCTTGCCTGCGCTTCTCTCAATCTCGCTCCCTTTGCCTTTGCAATCACCCGAGCCCTTCCTGCTGCCACTCTTAATCACTTCTTGTCCTGGAACGTGACTGCCCGCGCGAAGCGTTGTGGTCCCTCCTGCTATTGGCCCTTTGTCCCGTGCCCTCAATCAGTCAAAGCCACAAGACATATCTCTGGTCTTTGAAGTACACTTCTCACACTCCCTCTCGAATCCTTCAAGTTTCTTGCCATCTTGAACACATACCGGCTGCAGTTACCTGCATCTCATACACATCCACATCACATCATAGACCAGCACCATGTCTGTCGAAGCCCCCAAGACCAATGAGGAGACACCTTTTGTCGAGGCCCCCAAGGCTCTGCCTGCACAGCCAGAGGCCACATCTGCTCCCACAGATACAACTCTTCCCGCCCCCGCCGAGCCCGTTGAGACTGTCGAGACTACACCCGCTGTAACAGAAGAGCCAGTGGTCGCTGCTGCCGCTCACACGGAGGAGCCTAAGAAGGATGAGGCGGCTGTGGATATTGTCCCTGCATCAGAAGGCGTCCTAGGATACAAGGAACCCACTTTCTTCAAGTATGTCCGGGCATACGTGTGCGGCGCTTAGGCTGCTCTTGCTAACTTGTTGGGTGTAGGAAATTCATCTTCACAAAACACTACTTCTGGCTCCAAGAAGAGCCGTCCACGGCCGAGTCTTTGACCAACTTCTTGCGCTCCGAAAAGGCTGATACAAAGCACTCCGACGCCGCATGGGCACGTGAGACCGGAAACGGTCTGCTCTTCTACTCCAAGCGTGCCGAAGACAAAGCTACCCCTGCTGGTATCATCAATCTGGTAAGTCAAGCTAAAGGCTGACGGAGCATAAACATTACTGACAAGAAGTGTCAGACCGACGCTTCTGCGGTCACCAAGGAAGGGTTCAACCAGTTCTCATTCAAGGCTGGCGCTCACCAACACCGCTTCGAGGCGACCACCTCCAAGGAACGTGACAGCTGGGTTCTCGCTGTTGAGAAGATCATCGAAGATACCAAAGGATTGAAGGAAGAGATTAGCGGCCGCGACAGCTACAAGAAGAATCTCGAGGAATACTGTAAGCATGCGTCATTGTTGATGGCCACCAGTTCCACTCGTGATCGTCGGCTAACGCACCCCTAGCCAAACCTGCATTGGGCTCGGCTACAGCTGCCGTCAAAACTCCCCGCTCCAAATCCAAGGAACCCAAAAAGTCTGTTGACGCCGCGACCGCTGCAGAGGCGGCTGCGACTACCAGTGACACCGAGGAAGTTGCCAAGCCTAATACCACTGAGCGATCTGAGTCCCGCAAGCGTGGTAGCATCTTCGGCAGCCTTCTTGGCGGCAAGAAGGATGGTGCTGCTGCTGAGAAGAAGGAAGAGAAGGCCGAGGCCAAGAAGGAGATAAAGGAGGAGAAGAAGGCTGAAGCTGCCGAGAAGAAAGAAGAGGCCAAGGAAACCAAAGAGACCGGCAAAGCTGTGGAAGCTGCAGAGGCTGCCGCCGTCGCTGCTGGTAAGTCTTGTAATTTCTCCAGCCGGTGTGGCTCGTTGCTAACCAAAGCCAGTCCCAGCTGCAGCCACCTCCGACAAGAAGGAAGAGAAGGAAGACGCCAGCCCTGTTGAGAAGAAGGGCAAGCGTGGCTCTGTCTTCGGCTCCCTGTTCAAGAACCGTGTGACCAGCCCAACTGCCGAGAAATCCGAGAAGGAAGCTGTGGCCACCAGCGACGTTCCGCCTGTCTCGGAGACCGCTCCCAAACTTGAAGAGCCCATCGAGAACAAGCCAATTGACACTGCTGCCGTGACCGCCCCGGTCGACACAGCCGCTACACCCCTTGCCGCCGAGGAGGCTACAAAGGAGCCTACAGCGGCCGAGACAACCGCCGCCCCCAAGACTGACAAGAAGGGTGGTCTGCTGGGCTTCATCAAGAAGACCGACACTAAGCCTGCCGGCAAGAAGGATGTCAAAGAAGAGACCAAGGAAGAAAAGGCAGGCGAGGCTATTGCTCAAGATCCCGTTGCCGCCGCCAGCGCCGAGCCTGCCGAACCAGTCAGTGCTCACCACGCTGTCACCACCGAACCCTCGACCGAGACTTCCGCTCCTGCCACTGAAGAACGTCCTGTTCGTGACAACAAGCGTCGCACTTCTCTCTTCTTCAACAAGAAGCAACAGCCCGAGGCCGCAGAGGCTGGTGATACTGTCGCGGAGCCCAAGCGTGAAAAGTCTCCTCTTCCAGGAGGCAAGTTCATCGGTCAACTCGTCCGTCGCGCTAGCAAGGCGATCAAGTCTGATGGCGCCTCGAAGGAGAAGACTCCGGCCGAGACAGCTGCCCCAGCTACCGCATCCTCAACCGAAGCCCCCACCACCACATCTGAGACCCCGGCTGCTGTTCCGGACACTACCGAGCCCACCCCAGCTGCTGAACCACTCGCTGCCGAGCCTTTCCATTCGACCCCAGAACCTGTCGCCACAACCGTCCCTGAGGTCAAGGCGACAGCTTGAAGGTCCAACGAGGCCAGAGACAAGACTCCACGCACATCTCTGTCGCACCCATCTGGACTTTCTCGAGCAGCCAGCCCAGTTGAGTTCGAGAAGTGGTGGGACGAGAAGACTTACCGCACTCCTCCAGCAGTACCTCCTCGCAGCCCTTCTCGTCTCTCTGGCCTCGTGATTGCGAGGTAGCGCGATACGGTCGGATCCGGTGGGCGCCGGACTTTTTTTGGCTCTCCATCTTGATTTTGAGATACCCAGATCTCTTGCGACTCATTGACGACAAACTCGGACACCGCTCATTTTTGTGATTGTTTTTTTGTTTTGTTTCCAGGATACCCCCCGCACTTTGCTAGATCGAAACTGTGTGTTTCGCCTGCTTTTGAGTTATACAAGGATTGTGTTTTGGTTGCGCTTTCAAGTACAGATACCCCACCTCGGCAAGTCTTGTCCTTATGAGAAGAGATACCCCCGACAGCGAGTTGTTAGTGGATGGAAACGGAAATAAGAAAGCAAGCTTCGTGAGGGAATGGGGCAGGCTTATCAGCTTGTCTCCGGTCCCTCGCCTCGTGTGCTACACTGAGCAAGGGGATTTACGTGGAACACTGATCATTTGTTTCCGCTCCTGATCATCCGTTCCAGCTCTGAATCGGAATCAAGTATTGGAGCAGGAGATGAGGCAACCATTGTGAAGCAGACCCGTGGCAAGAAAAGAACCCTAGCTAGTGGACCATGCAAAGCAAAACCAGACGTTAGGATAGTAATAGCTAATAATGTGAACACTTGATTGCATGTATGACGGGAGTGTTTGTGCTATGTACAGTACGCGGCGCCCGCTTGGTCGAGATGTGATTCAACATCCGCCTTTTGCTGGCAGCCGCTGGTGAAGGTGTCGAGAGTCATGTCTGCCGGTGACTTTGCAAAGTATCAATGCACCATGGCGGCAACTACAGTATGGGACCACTCGGTGCCCGTGTATCTGCAGCAATCTACCAAAACTCTTCCGGGCCTGCTTAAGACATATGTGAAGCGCATTCCGGAATTTCAAAATACCAGGACCCCCCGTTGTCAAATAATCGACTATACAGCCCACGCACGATTGTTGCACCCGTGCTCGCCTGCTGGTGTTCGTGCCGGAGTACTGTACCACTGCACCGTTTCTCTCCATAATTAGTACCTCGTACCTAGGAGCTTACCCCCGGCAGACACGGGAGTATTCCTGATCGAGATGTGATTCGGCATCCGCCCCCCTCTGGTGGGAGCCCGCTGCTGCAGCAGGTGTTCCGTGCCCGGAGTGAGTCCGGTCCGGTTCCGGTTCTGTGGGTAAAGTAAAGTGATTAATTACGGGAGTACAGTACGTGTCGCCCCCCGTCACCAGGTACATACTGTAAGTTGCTTCGTCTCCCGCGCGCGTCCTACATACATACGAGTACATACATACTCGAGTTGCGGCTGATGATGTACCCCGTACCCCGTACTCTGTACTCTGTACTGTAAACTAATATTTTACTTTGTCACGATCAGAACCTTTTAAATCGCGCCCGAGCACACAGGGTACGTCGTACTAATTTGAAGTCCGTCTACATTGTCTAGATGAGACGAAACTTGGCGCATCACCAATGCAAGGGACGACATCTGAGGGCGGCGGCGGATGCACTGCTTCGTTGGTTGCGAGGAGGTTTGGTAATTCAACCTGTTGGGCCCTGTTTTTGAACGACGCTCTAGTTACTGTGGTCCATGGTTCAGAAACATCTCCTAATTATGTATCAGGCCGTGTTAGCTGTGTAGAGGAGCGATGAGCTACACGACCGTGATTCACTAGACGATTTCAGGGATAGACTGACGGTGATAGAATGTACATACATGCGCAATTACTGTACATCGAACAAGTATATATACACGATCATACTCCGTACGTGGCATAGTTGGGAAGAAGAAACTCGGGCTCTGCTCTGCACAGGGGGCCAAACACCAGGAAGGAGGGAACACTTTTCTCGGGTTCAAACACGCCTCGACTCGACATCTACGTCCTTCGCTTGAAACGTCGCCAAAGGCCGCTCATGCCCTTCTTCTTCCGGTTCGCTCGCGCCTCTTCCTCCGCCCGTTCCATTATGGCTTCGAGGCGAGCGATGCCGGTGGTTTTGCCTGGACCTGTAGGGCCTGTACCTGCACCTACATCGGTGTTGGCACGTACAGCGTGTGGTCGTTGTCTCCTTGGCCCAAGGCCACTGCTGCTTCGCGGCCGTTGATCCGGGTCCAGAAAACGCAGGACTATGTCTGTGGAACGATCATCTGGCGTCGATATACTCGTAGAGACAGGCTGAGGCTCGGCCTCGGGTTTTGACATCGGCTTCCGTTTCGTCTTCCTTGTTGTCTTCAGCTTCGCCCGCCATGATCGGCTCGTAGGGGAGGATAGACTTCGGTGAGGCTCGGGTCTGGTTCTGGTGGAGTGGGGGCTATCTCTGTCGAGCGGCGGGTGGCGGGATATATCTGGTGGAGGGAGCGCAGCGTCGAGGTTCGAGTCCGAGTCCGGAGCGCTGTGATATCCTTCTCTCTCTTCTTCTTCTTCGTCGTCTTCGGGCCCCTGGGGCGCCCGCTTGGCGAGATCGTCTAGGTCGTCGGCGTACGAGACGGAGAGATCCGGTTCGGACTCTATACTGTGGTCCACTGAGATGTCGTCGAATGCGATCATGAGATTGCGACGCGGTGTCGCTGGCTGGGATCTCCGATTGGCGGTCTGAGATCTTGGTGTCACGGATGTGGGTGGCGACTCAAATTCAGAAGAGAGATCGGCGTAGAGTCGCGCGGTCGGGAGTGTCCTGATGTGGCTGCTTTCATCTCCGCCGTGGATCCTGGCAGCAACAGCGCTAGCGTCACCACTTGGGTTGGCTGGGTTCGAATAACTGGCAGGCCGGGAGTGAGAGTCTCGCCACCATCTCCTGGACTTTTCTACGGGGTCTGTCTTTTGCCGCGTGTTCGACGGTCTTGGTGACTTGGGCTTTGGCGATGCGTCCACTTGCTTCTGTTTCTGCTTCTGCTTCTTCTGTTGCGGTGACCGCACAACGGAGGGCATGCCGATGTTGGAGAGAGCGATGCTGGTCTGTGTCGCACGGCTGGATTGCGAGCCTGTCAGCTTGTGCCGGGCCTTGTACGCAGCTGGTGACGGAATTGGCGTGGGGTTCTGCATTCTCATCTCCTCTTCAGACTTGAGCTTCTGAATGTATTTCTCTCGACCCAGCGGCGGAGATGTAGTCGACCCTGCGGGTGGTAGTGGTCCCGTTTCACCAGTAGCGCATGTAGCGCGTCCTACCGTTATTGTGGCATTGTGCTCGCGACTCCCGAAAGACACCATCCGTTGTCTGACTGGGGTGGACGGTTCTGGCGCTCTGTCGTTATCGCTTCGAGTCGAGTGAGGCGAACTCGAGACCGAAACGTTGGGTATCACCTCATGGCTCAGGATGTCCTTGTCAGCTGCCTGGTAAGATCGGTCCTTAAGGTAGCCATCGATGAGAGGGCCGTCCATCGGGTCGCCTAGCTCTTCGCCGTCAAGGAAGTGAGAGAAGTCAGGCTCAACAGGCGTGTCTGCTACATGAGTGTTGAGTCTGTCCTGGTTGGGTACCAATACTGCACTATTTTGCGGAGCTGCCTTGTCGTCATGTCGAACAGGATCTACACGTCCCGGCTGAACTTCAAGACAAAGCATCGGCCCTTCATTACCGTCATCGGAACGGCCAAAGTATGCTTCTTCAATAGATCCGTCCTGCTGATTCGAACTTGGCAGGGGGGTGGCGTCTTCGTCTGGGGTCGCAGGTCTAGGGACAGTATGTAGCTTGCCGTTGGTATCGAGCGGCTCTTCTTCTGTCAGATCGAGGATGGCATGCCTATGGGCACCATTCTGAGTTTCCAATGCAGAAAAGGACTTCGCTTCTACGAAGGGTTCAAGATGGTGTTCGCTCCGGACATTGCCATCATCCTCATCGTCGGACGTGTCAGTGAAGGCGACGTGGCCACGTCTGTGAGACGGAGAGGTTGGAGATGCTGAAAGGTCCGGCGGGACGCCCCCGACTCCGGGTGTAGGTGATGCAGTGCCCAGAGTGGATGCAGACGCTTGTTCTCTGCTAGGTGCCCCAAGCTCCCCCACCGCAACGAGCTCTTGTTGTTTGAGATGCGCCGGAAACCCTAAGAACTCCTGGATAGAGAGGAGTGGCTCAGCAAAATCCTCGCTCCGAGATACTGATGAGGTATGTAGAACCAAACTGCGTGGTCTAGGAGATCGAGCTTGATCGCCTTGATCACTCTCCAATTCATACTTCTGCGTGGGCAGAGACTGCACATTCTTCCGTACCAATTGCGTGAAACCCACGCCAGTACCGGCCGGCCGACCACACGTACCTGGCGAAGACTGTGGCTGCCGCATCGGACTCAAGGTCGGTGAAGCCAGGCGGAAAGGGAATGATAGACGAGCGCCCTTTGGCGCACTCGCTGCCGGCGAAGTGGGTGCACAGCCCAGAACTTTTTGGCTACGGAAGTCGTCCTCAACGTCGTCCTCATCGCTGTCGACAATGAGAGTACGGGATCGACGTCTGAGGGCGATGTCGTGAGGTCCGCCGAGCGTCTGATAGTCGTTCGCTGCTCCATTCCGAGATTGGAGACCAATCGTTTCGCTCATTGACACAGGTCTGGAACGATTTCTCCATGACTTTGACGTTCTGTTCGACGCAGGGGGTGATGGACCATGAGTGTCAATCGGTGGAGCCAAAGGGGCTCTTCCACTTGCCGCGAAACCTGGTTGATCGATTGTAGGGGTTGGCGAATCAAGTCTAAATGACCTCAGATAATCCAGTTGTTCGTCATTGGGTGAGCTGATGATACCACGACTGGAGTATGTCGCCAGTACGACGCCGTGTGAATACTTGCTCGGCATTGCTGGCACAGATTGTAGCAGAAGCCGTTGTTCTGCGATCTGAGAGAACGGTTGTGCCTGGGAACAGAGCAAGGGGGGTGTCAATAAAATGAGCTGACAGCTGGACACTTTCCATGTGGCTTGCAGCTCATGGTGGGCTGGAACCGCGGCAGGTCCCAATTTGACTTTCTCGGCTCGTCAGAGTTTTGTTCATGGTCGCGGGGAAATGAATGGTTAGTGATACGATAGGGCGGGAAAGACAGGCAGGGGCCCATTCCGAGAGCAACACGGCGAGTTTGTATCAGCGAGCTGCCGTCTTTGAAAGTCACGAAGCAATAATAAATGTAAAGATTGGAGCTCAACATAGCTTTGGGACAAAGGCCTTGAATGGCCATTGACGACCATGACATAGGGGCGATCGACCACGACCCGCCAGGGGCTGTAGCTCGTCGATAGTGTGCAGATAGAGGATGGCCTCATCATCGAACATTGTGGAGAAACGTGGCCCAAGCACCTCACAGTATGCACAGTATGGCTTGGAATCGGAGCCTCGAGGCGATCGGCCCGAAGGCTGCGTTGTCGCTCAGGGTGCAGCTGGAGAAGCTTCCCTCCACTGGAACAACTGCCTAGGTACATACTCCGTACGTACTGTGTACACGAGGTAGTGGCGGTCATGAATAGGGGGTAAACGGCCCAATGCGGCAAGGCGAGCATCCCGTTTGGGAGCTTCCTGAGGTACTGTGTTAGGTGCCATGCACGTGGCGCTCGCACGGCTGCAAGCTGTTTAGCGACTGACTCGATCGATGACTCGGGCCTTGCTCGGTGCCAAGGACGCCGCTTCGAGGGGGACAGATCCTGTGCATCAGTACCGATCGGCGAGCTCGGTTTGATTGGGCCTTCTCCTCCAGATCGGCTAGCCAGGTACAACAACGCCCACCTACATTGACACGCCCGTGCTGTTTGATGCGGTGCCAGAAACGTGCGGTGATGCGGACAGCGTTGCCCATGACGAAACGCACCCGACGTCGCGCGAACCGAGCACCTTCTTTGGGTTGCTAGAGCACTCGTGAGTTGCATTGAGCCAGACAACCTCACGCACAGCCAGTCACCAAACAGGCGTGGTGCGACTGCCGACGTGCCTCTGTCATCTTCACTGCGTGAAAGGCGAAGGGGCCACGAAGCCGGCGGAGGTCGCAACTCGTACACCCCCGTCGAGATGGCCACTTTGATGATTCTAGGCAAGTCCTTAAAGGCTTCTGATCGAGGTGCGCGTCGGTGGAAACAACTCTGTGATGTCGCACCTCGAATCTACCTAGTCGTATGGGCCAGGCACCGTCGAACATGCTTACTATGTAGAATTCTATGCTTGTGCCTATTTCGACGGGAAAGAGGCCCCTAGTACGAACCGGATATCTTCATCACGGCACACGAACCCGCGAGTCCATCAGCTTCGGGTCTCCTGACACGCTCTCGTAGAACTATCGAGACAGCGATCTGCTCCACCTGGTTGACCACTCCTTGTCCGAAACCTTTTTATAACCTCCCTCGAAAGCGTAGCACACAATGTAATGGTCGCCCCAAGATCAATACCACTCAAACATATTGTCGGGAGTTCTTTTCCACTTGCATCTCCACGGTCTCATTGGGCGGCGTGGACGGCATGCTTGCGCCCATCGAATCTTTGACGGTGGCTGGGACGATCGAAGTTGATGGCGGTGGAATATACGCGCTCGAAAGCCGAGGGAAGCAGAAGCCAGGATGGAAGACTGTCTGCATGATTGTGGCGATTATTACCATGCTGTGGCAGGGCGGTATGGTCAGCTTGAAATCCAATGGCCACGCAAGAGGGGCGCAGAATACAAGTGGACTTACCATCCATCAAGAGCAATAAAAGCAGGCTCAAATTGCATCACCGGATTCGCCCAGCCACCAGCCATCTCGACGATACGGTAGATGCATCGAACAACAATAGCCACGTATGCCAGGACAAAACCATACACGAATAGGCGGAACTTGGTACTCCCCAGAAAATGTACGGCCTCAGGTGTGAAGGGTACATTTTGGCCTTTCCATCGTTGAAAGACATACCAAGATGCCGCGGTGCCGAAAAAGAACAATGTCACAACCTGGAAAGCGATACCGGCCATCATCAAGTTGTCACCGGTGTCCTGTTGGGATTGATTGTCATTGGCGGTGGCTGCCATACCGCCTCCGATCGCCTGCAGAACCAGGGAGACCAAATCGCCAGTGATGAAGATCCATGTATACCACTTTGGCTTGATGCGGGAGAACTCTGGGCCGAAGCAGAGAGTGATGTGCTTCAGGACGAGGTAGATGGCTGCCGAGTTGAATGCGGGCCCAAGAATCAGACAGCAGATCTGTATCTGGAATCCGATCTCGCTGAAGGGATTGTGATGGAGAATGACGCGGCCAACATAGCCAAGTGCCTGGTCAGCGCAGGCCAGCACCATGGCGATGAGGTAAGTCCAAGTCTTGTAGCGGATGCCAAAGAGGAGTTGCAGGGCGCCGCACAAGGCGAAGACAGCAACGAAAAAGGCATTTGCGCCGATACTGGGATAGTATCCATAGATTGAATGCTCAACCGGACATCGTGGTGTTACTTCGGTGCAGTTGCTGAGAGGGAGGTAGAACGTCGAGTTGTTGGGTTGGGCCATCGCTAACGTTTGCGAAAATCGCAGAGCCACGATTTTGAGCGTAAGGGCCTTGGGAGGAATGCGCACCGACAACAAGACGGTGAATGTATGTCTTTGAAAGATTGCCCACCGCTCGACTGCGGTACGGACACTCACCTATATGTATTGGAAGGGGCTTGTGGACAATCAGGCAGCCATTAAAACCGAAACAGTGATTCACCCGAGTCTCGACGAGGCAAGGCAAAGCAAAGCCTTGCCTCGGAAGGTCCGTTATCTGCGCATTCACGTACCACGTATTCCACCTGCACCGGCTGGGCGGCTCGTCGCCCGGCGTCTGTAGGCCGTTTCGAATGCTACAGAGCCAGAAAAGGGCGCTCTTTGCGATATTACGGATACGTGAGGCTGAAATGGGTGAGAGGAGTCATGATGGCTAGCCGACGAATGAGATAATTATTCTGTTTCGGACAATCCGCACAAACTGTTGGGTGACTGTGCCGCGTCGACCAAATGGGACCGGCGGCTTGTGGTTTGATGCCCACGACGCATGGATAGCCAGAGGTTCCATGCTTTAGCGGGCCTTTGGGACGGGAAGATGAATACACCAGCTTGTGGAGTGATCTCGCAAGAATGGCCCAAAACGGGTTACTGTAACAAGGGCAGGGCAGGGCAACATGCCAGCGTCGTCGGGCAAGGCTTCAGGACTTGCCCACAAGATATGCCAATGGAAATGGAGCTGCCTGTCGTTCGGGCGCAATAACCATACGTACTCCGTACCTTCTTGAGCTGTGCCGTGTTTGTTGCTGCCGCTCGCTGCAGGCCGACCGCCCGACGTCGTTCAGCGATCACAAGAGGCGCTTGGTGGGTGCTTGGCGGTCGGGGGAATTCATCTTCCGCACGGAGGGTCCGCGAAAGATTCATTTCTTGCTCCATGAATTGAGGTAATTGTGTCTCCTTGTCCATCTGACACGAGTAAACTTGCTGACCGGAGTTTGTCCAGTACAACAATGGTTCTAACTTTTCTTGCGACAGTGTGCATCTCTCAATGGCGATTCCCGTACCTCGTACCACGAACGAGATACGAGATACAGTGACGCGCAATAAGTTCGAAGACACCCAAGAATAGAGAAATTTCCGATTGGACTGGGTAATTTCAAAATTTACCCAATTGGCTCGCGTAGGGCTTGGTATCTCGTGGTTTATTCGAACTTTTTGCACGTCACTGTATCTTGTACGGAGCAGCATCTGACATAACGGGGAACGTCTGCAATCGAGACATTTGACCTTCGTGCTTCGCAGTGTCGCTTTGCAGAGCAGTTAAACGAGGCCAACTTGCCGCATGTTTCGCATCTTACAGATGCCATTGAATCACCTTTCCACTCTGGAACTGAGCAGAACACCCGCGGCTCGATCCAAACGACTCTCGTCTTGAGATCTGTCGTGCAAGGCTGGCGATAAGTACGGCACGCCAGCTTAGCCCAATCATCGACTGCGAACACAACTTCAGCCAGGTCTTCGCGTTATGCAATGCTCGGAACCTTTGTCAACCGTGGTTGACGGACGTTGCTGCCGTCACAGACGTCATTCGACCCTGGGTCTTGGTATGGGAATCTGGATGACTGTGGGAAGGACGTTCAGCATTCCTGCGCGCAAGTCAACCACGTGTATTACTGTCTTCAAGCCTGTCCACACACACTAGAGCTACGAGTTGAATGTGACTCCAGCAAGGGTAGGCAAGGGTACAGCATACGGGCCCCTTGACAAGCCCCATTTCCGGAGACCAGTTTGTCGTTCACATTTAATGCTATACGCAATCTACCGCCCTTGTCTTTTACTAACAAGTCAGCGTCCCAAGTCTTGTTCTAAAGTGAGATTACAATGGCGCAATATATACCTTTGCTGAATGAGAACAGCACCAGCGACAACGGGGACGACCACAGACAACCCCGAGCTTTTGGACATAGGCCTCGGAAGGGTTCCAGAATCCTCCAAACTGCGCAAGTGGGAGCACCTCCCCCAGTGGCGAGCGAGCCCATCACGGTGGCAACCCGCTCTAAAGTGGAATCGACGGCTAACAGAAGACATGCCGGATGCTAAGACCGCCGCCTCACTTGCCTTCGCCTACTTCGTCGCTGCTCTGCTGCGGTTCCTACAACCTGGATGGTTGAAGAAAAAGAGGGAATTGCACAGCACCGCTTGTCTGGGTGCGTTAAGAGGTTGGGCTGCTCTTCCCGTCTTCTGGTTCCACATGTTCTACAACAGAAATTGGGCTCTTCAATTAGTTTGTATTCGGAGGCTTTCTCAACGGACGAGCAATGGTCGAGGTCTCCTTCGTCATTTCGGGCTATTTAGGTACTCAGCTATCGCCTTCTCAATGTGATACGGAATCAGCAATCCGGGCCTTCTAAGGGCTTGGCGTTCCCGACTTTCAGAAGGTGGTCCCGCGTCTTCGTCCCCCACGGGCATTGGCTTGTTGATCGTTGCCCTGCTGGCCCGTTTCCGCTGGTCTCGATGGGATTTGACGCTGGATTCGTTTCCCGCCCAAATCTGTGACTGGGCCAGGGACTTCCACCCGGCCAGCAACCCCTTTGCTGATATCAAGGGCTGGTGCTACACGGAGGTATTCCGCATGAAATATATGGACCCCATGTGAACGATCCCCGTCGAGTCCAAGGTCAAGCAAACCTTGAGTATTTAGAATTGTCCATCGTAAGAGGAACCTGGTAGAAGACATGGATCTTTTTCATATGTGCAATAACTGTGTAAACTTAAACCTCTATCCGGTCCTAGAGCCTGTACAGTTGCTCGTAAGCTTGGGGTGAGTGCCCTCAATCTTCAAGATTCCATCATATTTCCCGTCTCATTGAACTCAATTCAGAGATGAGAACGAGGTTATTCGATCTCCCGTTGCACGGATGAGGACATCTTTAAGCAAACATGCTGGCCCCTCCACTGGTTATCGCTTCAATCTCCTCTTCCGACCAGGGCGTCCGCCGGAACCGCTTGGGCAGTTCGTCCCGGTCAAAGAACTCGCCCTTCTTAGGTTCGACAGGACCCAGTTCCCGTCCGGCGTGGCCTCCAATGCGACCGTAAGTCACAGAGCTGGTGGTGGGTGCGGAGAAGGACGGTGTAGGACCACCGCCCCCATTGCCGTTCCCTCCTCTCAGCGGACCATGCTGTTGAGCTTTCGACCGGTACGAGGCGAAGCTTTCGGGGAGCGAATCTGTGGGCGAGGCTGGGTGGGCGTGAGGTGTGTGGTCTACTGATTCTGCCAGAGCCTGTCAGTAGCCGACCATATCTTAACGGGACTGTGACATACTGGGCGGTGTTCTTTTGCCCAGGAATTTTATGAGGGGCTTCCTCTGGTGGGCTGCCCGTAGGATGAGTGAGGGGCGCATGATGTGTTGTTGTTTGGTGCGCTGCTGGTTAAGCTCCAACGCAAGGAGCTGAGGCGGAGGGTAAACGGACTTGGAACTGTTGCCGGTGCGCTTGCGCCAAAATCCAAGCTTCACTGTCGGCGTTGTTGGGCCTTCATTAATTCTATGTCAAGCTAGCTCTTTTGCGTGTGCGCTTTTCGCGATGAGGGCTACCAGTTGACGGAAGGGTGTGGGAGCTTGCGGACGCTCTTTGCAGCGTAGAGAGGAGGACGGAGTCAGTTCAAGAAGAGGGCGAGAGCCTTGCTCACGCTGATGGAGAGTTCGGGTCGTTCAATAATAAATACAGAGGCTTTCGACAGCTCGGACCTTTGCCGTGGAAGTCGGCACAACGGAGATTCAAGCGAAGCTTAATTAGCGTCGCTGCATCATTTTACCGCTTCTGGCACGACGCTCTCAACCATCTTTCACTGAACTGTGGAGTCAGATATAGGTACGTAGTCTTCTACGGGGTCGAGGTACCGGTGGAAAGTCCATGTGTGAATATCAGTGATACACCCTTGCGCATTGCTCCTTGACAGCGAGAATGAGCTTCGGCAGAGTCCGTTACGTGTGAGCCGCTATCCGGCAACCTCAACTTTTCGATATGTCCTTCGGCGAGAATTCGTCGCTCAGCTGATGTGTCTCATGAGACGCCGGAAATTGTCACGCTCTCATAACGCTTCGATAACGAAAACCCGAAACTTGATCTCGACATCCCAAGGCGGGCCATACTAGTTCGGGAACAACACCGGGTAGACTCCGAACTCAGGTACCATGCACCAGTTAGCACTCTACGGTCAGATCCGAAAGGATGACCACCATCGAATGCTCCAGCAATTGGCTGGCTTTACTCGCATGCAGCCGCAAGATGTAAGAGAGATCCAGCTGGTCTTCAAAGCTCGGCAACCACCCGGGCTCGACCTGGTGCAATCTATCGGTGCATCCAACCTGGCCTCTCAGCAACAGCAGGATCTTCAACGGGTCAAGCACATGCTCAATGCTGGGCTATACTATGTCCACCTCGTTGGAGAGGTGTTACCCGAGAAGAAAGCTAGACCGACAGAAAACGAAGATGTGACCATGACGGATGCCAACAGTAGTGCTGAGGGCAAAACTTCGACAGTGCGGTGGTCGCTCGATTTCAAGGATACTCCTGAGCCTGGAAAGCAACCTGTGAGTTCGAGGATGGTCTCGAGGACGCCAATGGAGGAGGGCAACCTCATTCAATTTCTGGGCAATTTTGGCTATGAGTAGGTGTTCCGGGCTCTTCACTCCAAGACCGACGGCTGATTATCATGACAGGTACGTATCTCGCTACGTGGTCATCGGCTCGAGGTTCTATGAAAAGGACACCACCATCTTGGTCCACAAGGTCTTGCGCCTACCTGAAGTCGGTCCAGGAAAAGCTGTGTCGGACAATACGTTCCTCTCCAACATCGAGGCGCTACCTGAACTGGACAGGTCCGGGAGTTACATTGTCCAGGCATCGATTGATATCGTTGATGGAAACAACCCAGAGCTCAAGGACAGAGCAACCCGACAACTACTGGGAATTAAAGAAGCGTTGAAGCAAGCTGTTGATCTTACACCAGGCGATAGGCTGGCGCTGGATACGAGGCTTCCCGCGACTTCACGTAGAACTTGAAGAGAGGCAGCACCGCCGACAAAGGGCCAGCCACGTGACTCTCGTGATAATCAAATGACCGTCTTTTGACGCGATCCGGCGCGTTGGCGCCTGGACTTCAGTCTTCTGAGTCTCATCACCCACTCATCTGATGAATGATTTCGAAGAAGGAAGACTGCACTTAGCATCATCTCAGAAGCCTCTTTACAGCTGAATCTGGCTCCCCGTCTATGGCTCGTTACGCCAGGTCGTCTTCAGTACGCCATCCCGTCTCCCCACCAGTTTTCCCCTAATGCTTCTCTCCTCAATCGGTTCCACACCATGAAACGATCCGTACCTCCAGCAGGTTCCATATCACCGCCTCTTGTGAAACGCAAGATCGAATCCACCACCACAAGTATGGCTGCGAGCAAGTTCTTATGCTGCAACACTAACACCTTGTAGACAGAGCGGTGGCAAGTTTCTTCAAACCGGCTTCACAAAAAGAGCCAGAGAAAATTGTATGGCGGACTGTTGAGAACAGCCTCATCATTGGCCGATATGACGCATCCAATCCATCGCCTCAACAGCGTACCTTACCTGTGAAGATTGCCGCCTTCGATCTCGATGATACGCTTATTGTTCCTAACCAAGGGAAAACGTGGAACAGATCTGCCACCAGCTGGAAATGGTGGGATGCATGTGTGCCTGGTAGGCTGAAGTCTCTCCACGATGAGGGCTATCTCGTCGTCATTCTCAGCAACCAGTCTACCATCAGCTTGAAAGATAATAAGAAAGCGCTGCAGAGAGACATGGCGAGCCTTACCAACTTTAAGAGCCAGCTCAGTACTGTCCTCCACCAGCTGGACTTGCCGATCAGCGTTTATGCCGCAACGGGCCAGGACAAGTATCGAAAACCACGGATTGGTATGTGGGAGGCGGTCGTGGAGGACTACGATCTCCAAGCCGAAGGGGCTGTCGATATGACGGAATCGTTCTATATCGGTGACGCTGCCGGCAGAGAGAAGACAGATAAGAGGAGGAAGGATCATGCCACGTCCGACAGGTAGTCCTCCCCATCATTTCATGAACCAGTTCAAATGCTCACCGATGGCAGGGACCTTGCGGCAAACATCGGCATCAAGTTCCAGACACCAGAGGAATTCTTCCTCAATGCGCCCACGGAGCCATACGACCACATCTTCGAGCCCAGTAGATATCTTCAGGTCACCCAAGCCGCTGAGGGAACCACACATGATGCAGCAGCTCCTGCTGTAGCCGCGCCCTTCACCAAGGACATCAAACAAGACATAGTCGTCTTCTGCGGAAGCCCTGGCGGTAAGCTCCCACCTCCCTACCGCGGGCTGTTTCGTTGTTAAGGCAGTCGTTCTCGCAACGTGCATGCAGGCTAACAAGGATCCACCAGCTGGGAAGAGCACATTCTTCTGGGACGTTCTCCAACCCCTCGGCTATGAGCGCGTCAACCAGGACATACTGAAGACAGTGAGTTTGCTCCCAGAGGAGTCACACAGAGAACCCAACTTCCCCACCCTCTGCATATGCGGACCTTCAAGTGGCAAAGGTCTCGACGGCTGAGACAATGCTATTTTGATATAGCGCGATAAATGCGTCAAGAAAGCGCGGGAGCTTTTGGAAGCAGGGGCGTCCGTGGCAATAGGTATGTTCAATGTTCTTGTGGCTTTTCGACCCTGCATTTCCCCAGAGCACAAGCTTTGCTTTGGATTACCTCTTTCCCTACTGCAACGATACGCAGGCTAGACGAAATCGACCCGCATGACGAGTGGGGGCTGGTGATATGCCATGCCTGTATATCTCTCGCACGCATGCGATGTCGTTCTTGTACAACATTGCACGGTTGCTCCCTTACCGCCCTTGTTGGACACCTTCCCCAGGTTCAACCGGACTCCATGACGTGGTTCTTTCCCCGCTGTTCGACGTGTCAATCCGCCTATCGTTTTGTCTCCTTGCTCATTGCGCTAGTGCAGACTTGAACTTGCTCACAATCTGACGCTGATGTGACAGATAATACCAACGCGAACGTTGAAACTCGGTCGCACTGGGTTAAGCTCGCCCGCGAATTCGATGTCCCTATCCGCTGTGTGCGTTTCACGGCCTCGACACGCCTAGCGGAGCACAATGATGCCGCCAGAGCCTTGAACACGAACATAGTAAGTATCCATTCTTCACGCTTGCAATCAACCCCAATCCATCACTCCTCCTGATCATCAGACTCATTGCAGCCTCGCGCCGAAGAAAATCAACACTGACTCCTCCTCCTCTGCCACCAGATGAACCCTGAGAATCGATCTCAGCTTCCCAGCATCGCGTTCCGCTCGTTCCTACAAAGACTCCAGGAACCTACCCTTGACGAAGGCTTCCAAGATATCTACAAGGTGGATTTTGAGGTATGTCATATGGTCTCGGCCATGGGCGATGGCGCCTCGTCCTGCGCCCCACTGTGTTGGCTCGAAACTTGCTCACCCAGTTTGGCATATAGTTCAAAGGCACCGACGAGCAGAAAAAGCTCTGGTCGAGATACTGGGTATCAAAATACTCAACATGATTGATACTCCCAAGAGAACCATATCCTTCCGGCTATACCCAGTGTGAGCTGGCCGACTTTACTCATATGGTTAGGCTACAGACAGGCACGCCAAACAGCCTCCCTTGTGGCCGTGTGCACGAAGGACAGGTATTCGTATTAACGACTAAGGCGCGCAGCGCAGCGCAGCAGCCCTGACTTCCAATCGTCAACTTCACGAAAGCACTTTTTACCTTGTTCTGAATATGTGGCACCATATGGTCACTCGAGGACGTTGGTCGTGGAGTGGCGCATAGTGCGCACCTGCGATTATCCTTACTCAATTGATCATTGGAGACGACAATGCAAGCCGCGCAAATTGGAGCAGTCTTGGGACAAAGGCAGCCGGACGGTCAAAGAGGCATGGTATTGGAAAGATCCACATGGCCAACCGAATGATCATTTTGGCCTACGTTCATTCAAGTGATTGAGTATCATCCCTAGGAGCGTCCTCGCCAGTGTGCCACTCTTTCATGCTTCCACAACAGCCACAGAGGCAGACACAAAAATACAGGTTTGAGCTTCGTCTTGGGTGCTAGCATCAAACAGCCCTGAGCGTGAGGACGGGGAAATTTCTCCCCGGACTCTTTCGCCATGGGGCTCACCTGCGGAGACCTTCGCAGCTCAAAGAAATTATCCGCTTCTGTGGGACAACACTGATCACAGTCCCCCAACACTTTCCACAGCCGTGTGCTTTCTGGAGCCATGGTTGAAAGGCGCATACAGGGGTTGCCGGCTGAAAGCGCCGAAATCAGATGCATGAAGAACGGACAATCCATTGACCATATGGCCAGCTGACCCGCGATCGAGTAAGGCCGATAGGCTGAGGATCGAATTCTACGCGAGCTATCTCAGAATCTCCCATGGGTGCCATACTGGAAACTCGTCCATGTTCACCGTTTTTTGCCAAATTCGCATGTTCCCGGCGGATGTATGCTTCATTTCTGGTGCATTCGTTACCATGCCGGCATTTTCATGACGCGATGCGACCTCGCGCCACGGACAATTGTGCATGGCTCACTACTGGGGTATGCTTGTTCCTGCGCCGAGGGTATTACGGAGTACTCATACCCAGGACCAGCTGCACCTCATATAGGCTTAGGAAAAGACTGCCACCATTGGGAGCAGCTCTCGCGGAAAGGCGCTGCCAAGCGGACAGGCGCAACCTAATGTGAGAAGTGCGGGTCGCTCGAATCGTCCCGATTTCACGCGGAGGTTGGGATGGGAGGGAAGAAATGGGATCAAAGCCGTCACCCACGTTTTGAACCTTGCCGGAGCTCGGCTCCTGGCATAAGCGTCCGCGGCAGATTTCCTACTGAACTGAAGCGGGTGAGACTAGATATTTCAATTTCTACAGCTACTGAATTTTTCTGCCTCAGGCGTGCACTGCTGCTTTTATGAGACGTAGTTCACAGCTATAGCCACAGTGGCCGAGGGAAGCCGAGGTGTGGCCACGAAAAGAGGTTTTGCTTTGCACGTCCCCGGAAACCCGTTAGAATGGTGGCTGCCGGGCACTAAGTTACGGGTTTTCTTACATGGCAAAGTTTGCCATGTGCTGCAAGCTTTTCATCACTCCCCTGGGTGAAGGAGCAGAGTAGCAGCGCCGGACGGGAAAATGACCACTTTCGGCAGGTCGATAACCTGCATCAACGGTGATGGAGGGTGATGAAAGTGGGATGTTTGCACGCCTGTGTATATCTGATACCGTTCCTGCATGATGGTTGACAGGTGGGCTTGCAGTGCCTGGCTGCAAGACGAAGCCCTTCATGACGGGCGGAAGCAGAAAGCGGCACGGCAGAGCGCACAAGCGCCATGCCACACAGCATGGATGCCTGGTAGACAGGTGCGACACTCCGTCCAATGCGTCCGAAACCCAAATGTATTTTCATGCTGCCGTCAAAGGCGCCACAGAAATGGCATCAGCCACTAGGACGAGGAAGTGGTTGCTGTGGTAAAGAGGATCTATGCAACAACCCGGCCATTGCTACTGCACCAGGTAGGAAGCAGCTTGTGGCTCCGGCAGTGCACCATCAACGACCGTTGATTCTCTGACTTGGATATTCTGGCTTGTCAACAAGGATAATCCAACAGCAAGCAAGGGGGCCAAGCTGTGCGAAGTAGATCTGAAGCACCGCGCAACGAGTCACCGAAGAGCTCACAGGAGCTTGCAGGGCACATCCCGCGCCATGAAAAGATATCAAAGATGGCACAAAAGCTCAGACATGTCGCAATGGAAGCCAACACAGCCAGCACAGCCAGCTCTCTTCTCAACCCACTCGCTTGTTCTACATATGCCCCCCAAGCTGCTTTCGAATTGAGTCAGTGATTCACCCACTTTGATCTTGACCGAGGCATACTGGAAACACATCGGCCTAGGGTTTTCAAACACGGCATCATTCCTCACTGGACAACCAACAACACAAGCCGCTGGCGGGAGAAGAGTGATTGGAGAGCCACGTGGGTAGCAAGACAGTTGAAGAGGTAAGTAAGCGTTGTTGCGCGAAACTCTTCCGGTGTTGCTCTCTCTACGTTTCTTGAGCCATGACGCATGGCGCTCCCCGACGTGGTGCTGATTCGAGGCCTTTGACCTTGAGTTCAAGCTACCCAGTCTTGGGCGCTGTCAACGCGGCATCCCTGCCGACGTCGGTTGTTGAGTTCGCCAGGCTTGGGAGCCCCGGAGCCACAGAGCCAGGGTCTTGAGTTAGTGGCGCCCCCGCCCAAACCGACCGACTGGGCGGCGAAGGATTGGTTGAGCACAAGCGTTGCCCAAGATTTTCTTTCCAACGTCCAGCCACTCACACTCCTGTGCTCGCTGCGACCTGTGTTGTGCCTGGCTGAGTTGTCAACACCTCTTTTACAGATGGCACTTGTTGACTGACTGGCAAACAGGACCAGCTCTACTGCCTCAATTTGTCCAGTCAGCCGTCACCAGCGGCCAGCACTGCCCCGGCATCACTGTTTGGCCCGCGACACGTTTGCTGTGTCGACCTCAGCAGCAGGACTTCTTCACCCTTGATTCACACAAACGCACTTCACCAACCCGTCATGCGCGCAACACTCCAACTGTGACCGCGCCCGGACTCCAGTCTCAGTCCTGTCTTCGATTCTTGTCATCGCCCTTGGGCATGATCCCAGGCACTTACTCGACTTCCTCTACTGCACTGTAAAACTCATCACGTTTCTGATATTCGAGTCACTATGGAGCACACAGCTGTATATCTCTGCGATGCGCCTGCGCCTACCAGTCACTCTTCCGCCTCCTCAGTCAGTCAGTCCTCGCCCACTCAATCAATGTTCTCGAAAGGCCATTCTTCGCGAGGTTCCGGTTCTTCGATCGCGTCCTCGCCTGTTCCTCGAGACTCTCTCGACATGTTCGGTGCGGCGAAAAGGCTGGAGGACGTGACAGAAGAGCCCCAGGAGAAGGACGAGTTTGACGGCTACACCCTGGTTAATGACGGGGCATGTGACTGGAGTGATTACGACAAGGCTCTCTCCAATGACTATAGTCACCCTTCCCCTACCACGACTCCCGTGGACCCGGTATGGACCCTGGGCGAAACCGACAACTGGCTGCTAAGCCCTGAACTCCGTCAGCCAAAGAGGAGAAGATCGATGGAGCAACCGCTCACGAGTCACGGCAATCGCTTGGGCTGCAGATTCAGTTCTCTGTCACGACGGTGGAAGAATCGATCTGCTGCTAGCCCTCAATTGTCCATCGTCACGCATCACAGCTCGCCTGCTTCTCGATCTGGATCCTTGACCTCTTCACAACTACGGAGTCCAGCTCTCAGTGCCATCTCCAGGCACGAGAGCGGACTGCCTTCATCGCCGATCTTGCCGTACACGAATGACGCCCCATTTTCAGCTGAGGCCAGGCCTATGGACATCGCGCAAAGTGCCAAAGAGGACGAGGCAGAGGCAGGTCAAGCTACAACGCCTCTGCTCCCGCCTCTTCTCTCCGAGGTCGGCAAGAAAGATGAGCCCATACATTCACCGCTTCAGTCACCCGCAATTGCTCCGACCACTGCCCTAGTGAGCTCCCGAGCGTCTCTGGATACTCCTCTGTCATGCCTGCCGTCGCCGCCGCTTTCCACGAGACCATCGATGGTTTCGATGCACGGCAGGTCCCGTACAAACACCCTGACGAACTCTCCCTTTTGCGACATTCCTTCGTCCCAACTCGTCGAGGATACTGCTGACCCGTGGGATGCAAGACTTGGTCACGCCAACTTCATAATCCACCCGGAACCATATGTCTCCGAAGTGCTCGACCTGGACTCGTACGCCCAGTACCGCAAAAACTGGGATCAAGCTCGGACAAATTATGCTAAGCATATTGCCAGAACTGTCGAGCATTATGGGTCTACCTCCAAAGTCTACAAGTTGACCGAGGAAAAATGGGCTTCGGTCGACAATGTCTGGAAGCGGCAACATGATTTGATGAGAACTGCTATGGCACCCGTTCTCGCTCGGTTGAGCGATGGAGACTCGGAGATGCAGGACTCGACTGCATCTAGTGCTGTCCTCGAGAAGCCATTGACCAAGCTGGTTGTTCCTCTCATTGATGACAAAAGCGGCAAATTTCCAGCGCTCGGCGACGGCGAGATTGTCGGACCCATGTCTGTTGCTCGACCACGTGTTCTCATCACTGACCACGACACGAACCTCGGAGCGAAGAGCCCACCACTGTCACCTCATAAGCGCAATCTGCTCAGATTGCTTTCCGATATTTTCCACAACTGAGCTGAGCAGCGTCCACTACCCTATCATCACTGTACACAAGTTTCTCTTTTCACCATGTACCCCAATTCTCTTGGACCATACAGAACGACCTCAATCATCAACGTACTATTATGGCTGGAGTTTTCGAGATTTAGGCACCAAGGCGAATCAGATGACCTCATGGTCCAAAAAACCTCGAGATCGGGAGCAATCCCCACTGCCAACAATACTCTATGTGTATCATCTCGCGGTGACATCGGCACCTACACTGAATTCGGGCATGATACCGGGTTTTTCCATGACGATAACGACCTACACTCCTTTGACGAAATGAATTGATCCGCGATTGAGCGCATATATGATCACGACTTGCAGACTTCAGCACAACGAAGCGAAGCGTACCGGCGTAAAGAATTTCCCGTGGTGTTCGGGGGCAACCAAACTTTCCAGGCTCGGAGCTGGCTGGGGCATAGTTTCTATTGCTACTATTACTACTAAATGGCGGCTGTCCTACATCTACGACCTCGCCAGAGGATTGAGATAGATGCATGTTAGCGCAGTCGGGCTTTACCATCTCGGAGGGATAGAGGGCGTTGAGCGGAGTGAGCGATAGATGGCAAGCAGATGGTTGCCAATGACAAGTCGACGAGATGCAGCAGAATGTGGAATGAAACAGAAGTTGAACTAAAGAATTGCTTCTGCGAGTCGCGATGTTGCCCACCATCGCACATATCTGATAGGAAGGAAACACTTGAGTCTACCTTGCACTGAACTTGTTAACTACAAGTTAGTCATCGAGATTTTTAGTACCTAGTACTACTTAGCGGGTACTGTCTAACGACAAGTAAAACCTACTCGGAGCTCGCCTTCATCTCACCTTGCTCCCTCCCACCTTCGCACTCACCTCCTACTTACCTTCGCACTCACCTCCTACTTACCTTCGCACTCACCTCCTACTTACCTTCGCACTCACCTCCTACTTACCTTCGCACTTACTTCGGTCACCCCCTCCATGCCTGCCGACATCTGCATATGATTAGGCAGGGAAGCAGGTATTCTGGCGGATTTCGAGCATTGCTATCCAAGTCATCTATAGAGGAACGTCCAACCGTTAAACTACACTTCTCGGAGGTCACGACCAATTTCCGGCCAGCCTGTTATATCTGGCCTTTCAAAGATGCCCCTTCGTATCTGCCCTTTGCCCCGACCATTTCGACTTGGGCATCTCCTTACAACGCTGCAACCGCAGGGTGGGTTGAGGGGATGAAAATCGGCAGGTCGGGAGCCAGCGTCGCCACCGAAACGTGCGGCCAGGCTAATATGCCAAAGTCCAGCCTCACGTTTTGAGAATATTGAATTTGCGTCGAAGTAAGATCGATCGTCTTCTTGCTGGTGAGTTTCTTTCCCACCTGGATGTGGAATCTCGGGCCGGGGACATCAACTTGATTGTCAGTCGGCAAAAGGTCCGTGGCGTCTTTGTTTGTGTAATCATCCGCTGGTATCTCAACCTTGTGCTTCACAATCGACACCCAGTATTGGCATGTCACGTCAGTCGCATTCGCGTTGCCCTTCACCGCATCCTTGAAGAACCCTTTCGTCTTGTCACCGTCGGCAAGGAATGCTATGTTGGACACGCCGCCGCCTCCCAGGTTTGGATGTCGAGACTTCAGAGTAAACGTCCAGTGGCCGACAAACTGCTTTTTCGCGTTGATGGCTTGAAGGAACTGGTTCGGATTGTTAACATCGGCCAGAGTGAGAACCTTGGTGTCTTGAAACTTTTTCAGGTTTTCTGGTTCACGGATCCTCTTGTCAACAACCTCGTCTGTCATGTTCTGCAACCCGCCGGTGGCTTTGCCGATCGTCGCAGTCCCCGTCACGGGAAACGGCATAATGTTTATATCCGGAATCACGGGCGCTGTCGGAATCATGCTCTGTGGCTCGATGTCTTGAGTGGTGAAGGCAGTTCCGTGTGGGATCGACGCCATGCGGGAAATCGTGGCCGGGTTCTTGGGCGAATCCGTCGCAGGAGTCAACAAGAACAGGCCTTGTTCAAAATGAATAGCCACCGGGTCTGTCAGGTCTGCTCTGCCGGTATCCTTGTTGAGCCGGTCAGATACCGTCTGCTGATAAGGTATCCCGGTCAGGGCCACATTCCCTTGAGTATGGAATCCTCGATTGGGAATCTTGCCAAGGACGGAGCCCTGCATGAATTGCAGCCTCTCAATCGTCAGGTTGATCTGGAGAAGATTGTCCTTGCCTTTATCCTCGCCGAACCCGTTTGTGGGAAGGAAAATCGTGTTCAAGCCCGACCCCACTGTTCGACAGCGTTAGCCACGAATCTTATGGGTTGATGGGACCGACACGGCTAGAGACTTTGCCGCACGATCGCCTACATCGACCAAGGGAAGAAAGAGCGCGTACTGAAAGGTGTCAGCTTGAGCAGCATTTCGTTCCAGCCAAACATACCCGAAAGTCCCCACAAACTTGTCCATAACTTTACCCAACGACGGATCGGGGTCGGGGTGAAAGATGATGGTTTTTGGCACATCGACTTTCGGACCGGCGACCAGGAAACTTTGATGATGCCCCTTTTGTTCGTGTGACTCGCCTCCACGACGTCCATCCACCGCCCGGATGGAGAAGCGCGGCGCGACGTCGAAGCTTCTGGTATCATCGGTTTTGACCTCGGCGTGGGCAGGCCCGTCCATGTCCGGCAACCCCATGGTCACCGAGAGGAATGTTGAGAGGAGGAAGAACGAGACCTGGAAAGGAAGGCAGATTCGGAGAAGAAGGCAGACCTGATGGAGGAGCGAAGCAAAACCTGAGCAGGTGAGTGATAATGGACTGAAACCGTCTTGGGCCCGAAGGCATGCCTTTCTCTTAAGTATCCGATCCAAGTTTCAAGAACGTAGGTCTAGAACCTCGTTTTGACATCTGACCCATGCGCCGATGGGTTCCATAGCACGACGTGCAGATTAGGGTACACCTATCGTATGAGCAAGCGTCGGGTTCTTTCGTTAGACTCAGATGCCCACCACACCATGCGCGTCAGCCGCAGTGAGCAGCGCATGGCACACCTGAAGTGTGGAATAGCAGTGCACCGGCCTGGCAAGGGCGCATCCTGCATGCTCTTCATCTTGTCTTGCAGGTTACCGATAGGAAGCTTGACAGTGCTGGGAGGACTTGGCCTTTGGCCGAGCATCATCTTCCTCCGATGCATGAGCATCCTCGATGTGTTGTCCTGCAACAAAAGGCTGGCTGAAGGTTTTCATATTGGACACGGTCGTCGGAAAAGAGGCGGCCAAGCTGAAGCGCCGTTGCTCAGCTCCGCTGCACGTCGTCGGATCGCGGCCAATGGGAGGTGCTCTGGCCGTGATGTGGCTGGCGAAGCAACCACGAGGCACAAGCTTCTAGACGTCTCCCGATCCCAGATCCTATCCTCTGGCACATATTCGGGAAGCCTCTGATGCCACTTGTCCGCTGCTTTGTGCCTGAATCCACGTGCCAGCCGGCAACGCCGGTCCACATCCGTCACGAGCACATGGCGCGAAGTGAGGGAGATGCTCACCAATGGCCGTGTATGTCTCTGGGGACTACCCGCCACTCATCGCATTGTCTTTTCCTCTTTCGGGTGGGCGGTAACTGACGGCTTTAGACGCATCCGGGCAGCGTCAAGCAAGCTTATCCCGCTATTCGCCCTTCCCACAGCTCGGCCCCATCCGCCTCGCTCGACTACGCCTCAGCAACGCCTCTCCACCCTGACCGACTGCATTCAAGATGTTGCCTTGCAGTATTTCAGTAACTGCAGCGAGGTCTAGGTGTCTCACCCGAAAGGGAATGCCGATGCAGCACACCGCGAACATTCTGGTCCTTATCTTTCAGCTTCGCTTCTCTTTCCGCCTTTCCGTCAGACGTTCGACAGCAAAGCATCGCCGTCTTGCAAGGCGCCAACCTACGTTCAGGAGCTGCTGAAACGCGCAGCCGCGAACCGCTGAGGATCCGTCCAGACTTTTAAGACGCATGGTAATGTCGACCGTCAGGCAGGTGGGCTTTGGCCTCCGTCCATCGGAAAGTTCTGGGGCATTTGATGCGAACTCGAGATGAGCTAACACAAATCTGCTGGTCGAGCTGAAAGTTCTCGATGTTCACGACGTACGCAAGCTTCTTCAGGTGCATGAGCTGCAACCGTTGCGCGAGCTACCTGAACCGAAGTCCCCGTGTATGCGCGAACTGAAGGAGCTGAAGGAGCTGGACCCTTGAGGTCCAGAACAATCTACAGAGACCACACCTGCAGAAGTATGGATTGAGAAGCTCGGACAAGCTTTGGGATCTGGGAACATGCAGACTACAAGTCGTTTGAACCAGCCATTCTTTTCCATCGCCAGAGGTTCTTTCATTCAAGCCGTCTACACAGCCTGCAGACGTAACTGTGACAAGCTCAACCCTCATCTACTGTCCTTTCAACTCTTCCGAAAGCGAAGATGGAACCAAAAGACGTTGGCAAATGGGAACCAGAATTCCAGCTTTCAAATGTCTGCATCCACGCCAGTCTGCTCCCTACCAGCGTGGGTGCCGGCAAAATCCTCTACTGGGGTCGCCGCAAGGACCCCAGAAACCAGGACCTCACAGATGTCATCTCGATGCACGAGCACCAAACTTCATCCTTCATCATGGATCTCAACGCCAAAGGAAAACCAAGTACCGCCACCGCAAACGCACCGAAAGATACCAAGGGCGACGACGTAAATCTCTTTTGCTCGGGACACACCTTCCAGCCCGACGGCACGCTCTTGGTGGTTGGTGGCCACTGGCTAGACGGAATGGGCATCAAGCAGGCTTGCATCTTCAACCCCTTCGAAGGGGAGGGCAAATGGATCCCAATGCAGCCCATGGAGCGCGGTCGTTGGTATCCCACCGCCATAAAGTTGCCGGACGGCAGCATCCTCGTCGTCTCGGGCGCGGCAGGCGGCAACCCCGATCCTAACCCGGAACTCTGGCGAGGAGGCAAATGGGGGAAAGTCCAATATACCCAGAGCATGATCCTCTATCCCCGCCTATGTATCGATCCAAAAGGCACTGGCGCCGTCTTCATGTCTGGCCCGATGGCAATATCACAGTGGCTCCACCCCCCGGTCTTCGGCTCTACCAATACCGTAGGCGCCTGGGACGAGCAGACTGCGAAGCGGGAGGGCGGCCAGCGCGAGTATTCCCCTTCTGTCATGTACAACAGCGGCAAAGTCATCTTCATTGGTGGCGGAGCCGATGGAGACAAAGTACCCGAGTCGAGCTGCGAGCTGATCGATCTGACAGAGCCTACCCCAAAGTGGAAACAGGCTAAGCAGTCCATGGCGTTCGCACGCCGACAGCACAACGCCACCATCTTGCCGAACGGTAAGGTCTTGGTGACGGGAGGTTCCAGTGGGGCAGGCTTCAACAACGTAAGCTTCAAAGACGCTGCCCACAAAGAGAGGTGGCCTGTCCATACACCCGAACTGTGGGACCCCATAACTCAGGAGTGGACGAAGATGGCCCCAGAGGGATTCGACCGCTGCTACCATTCCACCGCTCTGCTGCTACCAACTGGCCAAGTCCTTTCCGCCGGTGGCGGCGAGTGGATCCCTGACGATACCCAACAATGTAACCACCAGGAGGACACGCTCACCAATGCCCAGATCTTCAACCCGCCCTACCTGTTCGACGCCCAAAATCAGCCCGCCACCCGGCCCACGATCTCAAACGCCCCAGGCAGTGTCGACTACGGCGGCAAAATCACCGTCACTCTCGGCGCCCACGATGATGTCGGTCGTGTGACCTGGATGCACATCGGCTCGGTCACGCACTGCAACAACCAGTCCCAATCCTTCCTCGACCTGACTTTCAACGACAAGAGTCTTCCCAAACTCGAAATCGATGCTCCAGTCAGCTCCAACATCGCCACCCCAGGCCACTACATGCTCTTCGTCCTGAACAAGAAAGGTGTGCCGGCCATCGCGCCCATCATCCGCCTCAATGCTGCCCCTGCGCTGGTGCCTAGCCACAAAGTCCTGGCCAAACATGTCGCCGTCGAAGACCACGTTCCCCTCGATCTCCACGCCCACAGCGCCCAGATGGTAGCCGACCAGAAGCGTCCACCCGTCGTTTTGGGCCTCACGCCTCTGTGTCCATACGGTCTCGGTCCCTGCTGGGGCGGCGCCTACGAAGCTCTGCAGCACATCTCCGACGTCGAGCTCGTCCGGCCCCTCCCCAACAAAGAAGACTCTCTCGCCTTTGTCTACACTGCACACGACATCCTCCCGGACATCGACATCTGGCGCAGCGAGTTCCAGCGGCTCGCTGGCGGCGCTTACACCTGGCGCGGCATCGAGATGACCTTGTCCGGCGTCGTCACCGCCACTGGCGGCGACGAGCTCACCCTCGCCGGCAACGATAGTCGCCCTGACCTTTCCCTCGCGCCCTTCCAGCAATCCAGCAAGATCGAGTGGGACTTGGCAACATCCTCCCTGAAGCCCATGTCCGAAGCCGAGGCCGGGGCCTACAAACGTCTCGCCGCCGCCGTCACCAAAAGCCCAGGAACCCCCCTACAGGTCACCGGCACCCTGCAGAAGCTTGGCGACGGCAAGTTTCAGCTTGACGTCAAGGACTTTGAGGCTGTTGGTGCTTAGGACTCGTACCCGCGCCTCTCTCCGGCCCCTTCTTTCAAGACGGTTCATGCAGCAGTCTCCATAATGTCCATGTCACGGTTTGTTGCCAAAGCCTCGTCTAGCAGCCTCGCGCCACGGTATTCACCGCAAATACTGCACTCTGATTGGCTGGATTGTGACCCTGCGCAATACTGTACGAGTTAAAACCCAAGGCCTAAACTGCGCATGGAGGCACTCATTCCATAGACCTCTGTCTTAGAATTCATATCATAATAATACAACGTTGATTGCAACAGATCGTGCCACTTCGCCGGACGCGCCATGATAGTCCAGATGGCGAAGTACTAAAGTACGTCTTGTTCCACTAGATCTGTCGAGTGCCCCATGAAGATATTCGTCTACTAGGTATGGACTGTCCCGTCAAGCCGTCAAGCCGTCAAGCCAACGCGACAGTACGCTGCCGATCATACAGCGCATTTACTTCAGGCGAGGCATATCCGGGTATCAGTCAGTCACGTTGCGCGAGCTCGAGTCAATCTCGTATCCACGCCCCCTTCCCGACTTCCCTCTCACTGCCTACATGTTGTCGGTGGTCACCCTGCGATGTTGTGGCCAACGCTGTTGCTGTTGCTGTTGCTGTTGCTGCTACATGCGTTTCCTGACCCCCTTCCAGTCACTACCCAACCATCATTGGATCTTCGGCTCTTCTGCTCTTCGGCTCAAATATAGAAACTAACTACCTGTTGGTGCATCATACATAGGCGCTCACGCGCTATGAGCTTGACGCCAGGGACTTTAGCGAGGTCTGTTTTTCGTCGGTTTTGCGGCTTCCAACCATGCGAAACTCCATGGCCGGTGCCGATTGTAACAGACCTGTACTCTAGGGCGAGCCGTGGATGAGCACAGGACGGCATCACCCTATGTAAGCCGGAAGACGGGTGAGCCGCGGACAGTTTTTACTCATCTCTGCCACTTGCTTGGCCGTGCTCGAAGACCGAGTACATACAGTCAGTCAGTACCTTTGTCCCTCCTTATCCTATCCTCCGTGAGGTGCGTAGCGACGGGTGGTACCTTTGCCTTTGGAGGGTTCCCGGCTTGTGTGGTACGATAGTGAAGGAAGGGCAACCCCTACGGTACACCTTCGGAACGTCGGCCACGATTCGGTCGCAATTTTCCCCTTGTCCGCGCCTGTTGCCTCGTGGTCGATGACTTCCTGTTCGTGTGGGCAAGATGGGGGTGGAGATGTCGCTTGAGCGTACCACAGTCTAGTGATTAAGGGGATGCATTCTGTGCGAGGAAAGCGACGACGCACAGGCTACAGCACCAAGCGCGTCTTCGAGAATGATTGTTTCCATCTCGGGTCGTATTTGCACGACCACCACCACCACCACCACCATGAGTGCAAAGCGCAACCGACCGAAGTGAAGAATGGAACCTGCCCGGTGTGTTGGATCTTGACAATTGGTGGATTCGAAATGTCGGTTACTGTTGTTATTCTACTGTACCTGGTCCATCGCCAGTGTCGGTTGTCCATTGCAAGGGAAGGAAACGTAACTTGCCTGCTTGCCACTCTCTCCGTGTGTGGGTTGAGCGATAGAATGCACTGCAATCAGGCCGCCCTCATCATGCCGCAAATAGGAGCTGGTTGCGGCGGAAGTGCGATGTTCAAAGACTCAAAAGGAAAGATGCTGTCCCCAAGGATATCGACACGCCGGGTGGGGTGCGCGTATCGTGCGTTGAGACCGTCGCACAAAGGGACATGAAGTGCAGCAGAGAAGGATGACCGCTTGCAGTAGCTTTTGAGCGAACTGCTCACCAGGAGAGGAGACAAGAACGAGACAACGCCCTACATAGATGGGATCGAGAAGCAATAATGTAACGTCGCTCGTCTCTTGCCTCGTGTGTTCTTTGGGTCGATCATTCATTCGTAGCCTTCTCACTCCGCCGGAGCAGTGCGTATGGGCTTCTTGCTACCGTACTCCGTGTTAGACGTCTCGAGGGCCATGAGGCAGGCGATGGTGGTTTGCGTGGGGCCCAGGCTGTCCCTGTCTCTGCCGGTTTCCTGGTGCATACCCGCGGCTCCGGTGTGCTGGGATGTCGATTGAATGCTGTCGCCGCGGCTGTGTAGGGCGAGGGTGGTTCCATGTCGGTGGCGTACAGATGCAGAGGGCGCCGTCCAGTAAAGGAAGAAGGATCAAGGCTTCGTCGGGACGAGCGAAGACGAACTTATGAATGACTTCTGTCAGACAGGCTGGAGAGCTAGGCTAAGCTCGCCCATGCCAACCTGGAATATACCCCATTCTCTTCGGGGATCTCCAGGCTTCCCGAAGCCTAGACGATCCCCCGGAGCTACGACATTTTTAGGGGCGCACTGCGAGCCTAAGAAGAACTCCCGGTGCCTGGAACTGACAGCGCCAGTTAAACATTGCAGCTAAATCAGTTCGATTGGTGCCATTCCTTATGACTATGCAGCACAAGCTATGTAATGCGGACAGCACTTGGTTTCACCAGCCTTTGTCGCCTAGCTACTCACGCTTCACACCACGAGAAGGTGGCTGTTCCGACTTCGCGAAGCATCCTCCTCTTACGCTGAGCTTCTCTTCCCAGCCTCTTGCCCTTTGCCTCCACGACCTATTCGTACCTGTGGAGCTATTCTATGTCGTTTGTGCTGTATGTTCAATTGTTCTTGGCTCGTCTGATGGACACCGGGACCATTGGCGTGTGTGTTTTTTTGCTGCGTGCTGCTGGGAAGCTTGCAGTCGTCAAAGTTGTTGTACATGTCGATGGGGAGAGACGCGAATGAAACGCTCAGAAGTATGTCATCATGGCGTACTGGGGGCCGCCTTTTGTGTCGTAAGTCATTGCTCGTGGTGCTGTAGTTCCGCTTGTGGTTTATGGTGTATGCTTCGATGCGTTGCTATGTGACCGGTGCTCAGCTTTGTGCTGCCTGTGGGTCCGGTTGTTGATAAAGAATACAGTTGATACAATTCCGAATCTCTGATGGGGGTACTGTTGTTCCGCTTCAATTGCTGTGTGATTGTCCAAGTGCACAATGTGCCTGCTGTTGGTACACTGAGAATGTCCTTGATGTGGGTGTTGCTGTCCCACAATCTCTGCTGTGCAGTAATTCCGATGCTTGTACACGGAACAATATGTCCGATAGTACATTTCTGAGTGGTTGATGGCCGTCTTGGAAACGCCACATGAGTTGTCATCTTGTGTATGCCTCTTACTTGCATAGCAAGGTGACCAAAGTTCGACTGTTCAAGAAGACATCGTGGTGCGCTGTACCGGAGTGCCCCTGTCCGCCGGTCGGACAATATGATCCAGCCAAGTCAGGAAATTGGCTAGGTGCTTGTGGCTGCTGGCCACGCCCATCCCCACCATTGTTGTACGATGTGCATTGTCATGGCTGATTCCAGTATGGTAGGCCGCTTTTCACTAACCCCGCCTGTCCCGTATGTGGCACACCCAGCATACTTAGGGCGATTCCAGGATAGTAACAGCATGTGTTGTGCATACTCATGGCGATTACAGGATGGACCACGGTTCCGATCCCCACCAATGTTGTATGACTTTGATACTCACGGCGATTGCAGGACACATGGTCCCCACCGATGTTGTATGTCTTGTGGTGCCCGTTGTCGAGAGCCGATATTCTCATGAGTTAGACTGCGTTGTTCTTGACGCCCGGAGAGGATAGACAGTATCTCAAACTTCTAAAAAGAGAGAGTAGAGGCCATATCAAACACCAGACAAGCAGGAGGCCGGCGATCTCAAGGTCAGATGTTCGCTGACTCGGAAAGATGCCAAGATGTTGTCAGTTGGCAAGAGAAAACAGTATCTCGGCTTCCACTTGAAAACCGAGTAGAGGCCCTCTCTAACGCCAGACAACAGACAACAGCAGCTCAGAATTGTCAATTTCCAGCCAGGAGGGCACCGAAACTCCACTCCCCATCTGAAGACACCCCCACCGATGTTGTAAAGTACCCCTGTGATCCGGCAGCCGTGAATGGGCTGTTGGGGGCGGCGGTGCTCCTGAAAGGAGCAGAGGGGACTTCAACGGCCGTATCCCCGAAGGAATACGGCAGCGGGATTTCCTCGCCGTTGGGTAGCCAGTCGGCGACCTCCCTTGCAGGAAGCTCGAGGTTGAAGTCGCCAGACCACGCGCTCATCTCAAAAGAGAGAGGATCCCAAAGCTCCTGTTGGGCTTGCTCGGCGCCCGTGCCATATGTAGATATGGCGTTGGCTGAGGACGCCGAGAAGTCCCAAAACAGGCCTTCCTGCTGCTGGGCAAGAGGTAACTCTGCCGCAACAGGCGGGACAACCGGCGGCGACGGCAAGACAGGAGCAGGAAGATCGGCCTGTGAGGCAGGCACCACCCTGGTAGCAGCATTTGCTACCCTAGGCCGCCGAACACAATCGACGATCTGGCCTGGCGTGAGCAAATGCTTCGTCGCCAGATGCCGCTTGAAGTTGTCAACACGTCTGTCACCGTGCTTGCACAGATGACAGGTGAATCTGTCTTGGCCGTGACTGCTCCTCACGTGCCGCTGCCAGTTGGACCTGTCAGCGAAGTGCTTCGGCTTGGGACAGGCATTGCACGACCAACGATGCCCGGCGTGCACCGCGCGGATGTGCCCTGCGAGGGTGCTCTGAGCACCGTACACGCTGGAGCAGCTCGGGCACGGGAATTGAATGTGAGGGTTGCTAGGCTGCGGCGGCATCTTGGGGGTGGTTAGTGACGCCTATCTTTAGTATGAAAAGCTTTAAGTACCTTTAAAGACTAGGAAGTTGGTAACTTCAAATAGATGCTCTGTTGTATGGTTTATTGTGTTCGAAGCTCTATGTCGAGTTGAATAGAGCTTTGGAGCTGGTGTTAACTCGAGGTCGAACTGTGAGAAAATGCAGGGCAACAGAAGCACAGAGGAGGAGCTTTATACCCTACACAGGTCAATGGCCAGGTCAATGGCGCGAAGGCCCTCTGCCTTTCAGTTCACACGGTAGCTAATGCATTAGGAGTACCAGACTTTGCGAAAGGCTAACATTGTTAGGCGCAAAGTAGGAGTGGAGCCAATGAATAATGGAAAGAGCATGGATGCTGTTGTCCTTGAGACCAGAGACGCCGCCGGGTTGAAGGGATTGGCAGCGCGCTGCTACAAGAGCACTCTGGCAGAGGGACAAGCGCCAAAGGCTATTGTGAGGTTTTTGTGGTTCCCTGCATGCCAGTACTTTCTGCTTGTCCACGGCCGACACCTAGGGCATCAAAGCGCTGGTGGAATCTTTGCCCGAGGAGGTTTCCGTCTTATCAGCTGCGAGCTTCGGTGCGGCATCGAATACAGACCATGCACGATCATTGTCGAAGCAGCGATGTCTCGGCATGCGCCTTCCGCCATAGACGCCTGCAAGCCTGGAAAATCTGCTCAGCGATAGTTTGAAAGCGATCAGCTTGGTGGCCTGCGGTAGGGAGTCATCACAAGCTGTGAGAGTGGATGTGTCCAAGGTCCATCATCAATCGCGGATCCTTCTACGGCGCTGGACAGTCCTTGAGCACCTCTAACGGTCCTATTGGAAAAATTTGCACGACAGCAACTCTGTTCTGTCTGAGGCTCGGTTCTGCAGATTCGTTCGTGGACATGTCCTGGGCTGTAAGGCTCGCCAAGGACTCAACAGCGATCCTGTGGAAAGCAGGAGAGATTCTTCCGTCGAAACATCGGAACTGTACCAGAGATGCCATCGTGTCGGGGGTCTTGCCTTTTTCCTGTTTCTGCGACACATGATCCCGATAGCTCTTCACCAGGGGCTATATTTTCGAGGGCAAAGAGAATTCCCTGTGATTTCGACAACACCTTGCCGGCGGTTAGTATTGTCCCTGAATGATTACGACGAGCTTCAATGTCTGTAATTAGCGGAATACGATGCCAGAGTAGGGGCTGAAGCGATGAGAGCGTCCAGCCGCGCAGTGGTGTTTAGGTTGACAGATCAGCGAGATCTGAGAGTTCGGAGAGATGGCGTAAACGCGCGAGTCAAAGGCGGGTGAGAAAACGGTGTGGGTGGCTCCGCTCTAAGCTCGCTAACGCCTTATTGGCGGGACGCGTGGGTCTTCTTGGCGATCGCTCTCTGAACCTCGACACAGCCTCGATCAGTTTGTTCTCTGCTTGACACGACCCCACATAAGAGAGCGGTTTGGCCAGCGCGCACCTCGGCGTCTCGTAATCTGTTCAGACTCTGCAGTCCTTCCTCCTCAGACCTACAATTTGCTTACATCCAAGTCGTGCTCTTTTCATCGCGCAAATAGACCTGTAAAACTCAGCGAGATGGGGAATATCTGTTCCAGATCAGCGAACGAATCGGACAACTTTTCCGGCCCTGGACGATCGGTTGGCTCGAGTGGGCCTCAGACGAAGCCGACATCGACACCTGTGCCCGCGAAGCTAATAACAAGCACTCCTGGTCGAGCTCTTGGTGGGGCAGAGGGATCCACAGGCACCAGCGATGCCAGGAGCGCAGCAGCGAGAGCAGCAGAGGTAAGTGGCCATTACGTACTCCTGAACTAGTCATGTGTGCAAGGTACTGCAGAAGCCGTATTGCGGGTTGCAGTTACCACGTCGGTTTTCTGGCGAAGGTTTTGTTCTAACCGTATGACTTCGAACGGCAGGAGCGAGCTGCGAAAGCCAACAAGCCTGGGGGAAAGCTGGCCACCCAGCTGTCAGCACAGAAAAAGCAGACTCAGAATCAACTACTGAACTCGGGAGCTGAAGCTGAGCGGAGGGCGAGAGACGCTGACGAGGCCGCACAGAATAGGAGTTGGAATTGAGGACCGTGCGCGTTGACTTCGTGCAGGTCTCGCACCTGAGTCATTCCTTTTCATGGTTCTGGAACAGAAAGAGACATGCTTTTTCCTGATGGGGAAGACAGCGAGACTTGTGGAGTCGGACGGGGCATTCATCCGAGCTCCATGGTCCGCTTTGTGGCACTAAGGGTGTGGACGACGATCTCGCGCTGACTTGGAATGCCTACGAAGGCTCTAAGGCTGGGGCGCCAAGAGAGGAAGCCCGTATGCGTTTTGCATAGTAGAAGGCAGAGCAAGTGTGTAGGAGGGAGGGCGTTTGCGTAGTACGATGGGCAAGACTCGCCCTTAGCCTGACACAGGATTCGAACTCATAGGGAGTCAGCTTGTGAGCACATACAGCCATTCTTGAACAAATTCGATTCATGCAGCCCAGTAACCTTCATTGTACCTGTCCATGATAGTCTGATCAAAAAATCCGGGAGCGAGACAGCGTAGTAAGAAGCTCCAACGATCACATTGAAGAAGGTGGCCTCGGTGGTATCTTTCCTGGTGAAAATAAGTCCCTTCGAAGAGGGGTTCACCAATTTGCGTCTTTGCTGGGCGTGAAGACGGGGAGCAACATCAGAGCAACAGCGCTGGAGGCACGTAGTTCAGAGTGCAGAAGGAGCTCCTTAGGTGCCCCCTAGCAGCCACGGCGGCTGGTCGTAGGCCACAAGTCCCCGCCCGCCGACTCATCAGATGCCCGGTTGCGCCTATTGAACAAGCACTCCAAACCCTTCGCGCCTGTCAATCATAAACACCCACCTTCTCTTCCTCTCCTAGATCATGTTTTCTTCCCGTCAGTTGCAATTCGCATTGTCTGCTCCACTCAACCAATCTGCTTTCCCGCAATCACTAGCTCTTTCGTGCTCACCTGCAAAGCTTGCAGAGTCACCGTCGAGTCCTCATCGATGGTGGACGCACTAGAGCCGGCCTGCAATACGTCCGCATACCTTTCTTCGCTCCATCTTCCTTCTCATGGTCCATGAACCATTTTGCTGACCTGATCTGGAGCAGCGCAAGAAGACGAACTCCTCAACCCTGCGGGAAGCCTTCGCAAGCAGCCTCATGTTCAGTCAACTGTTGGGACTTGTCAGCGCTGTGTAAGGACGCTCGGCAACACACACCTTGCCTATAGTCATGCTGCCGCCCACTTTGACTCACGTAATTGCGGGTCTGTCTTCAAGGAGAATCAGCATGGAAATATACAAGTGTAGACAAGCCGGCACACTTGCAGAAAGGGGAACACCCTAGGAGGCACAAGAGACATGAAGCGGAGTTCCGACTGACGAGTATCTCGTTGTCCCACGCTGCCAAAGCGCACGACAGCGATATTTAGGCCGGCGACGAGACGCGCAAGGGCTCCTCGACAATAAGCCCGAAGCATGACAATTGCATGTCCACTGCGTCCGCGCGACAGGCCAAGCTTCCCTTCCACCGGTTCACAAGCCACCGCGATCCACGATCCACGACCGGCGACGTCGAGGCAAGCTTTAGCAAAAACTCGAGCCAAGCAGTGCCAGCCATACTTCCCCTTACCGATCATTCTCTTGAGCGGCCACGGGCCTTTCCTTGCAGTCACTCTGATCTCATTTGATACAGCATCCGGTGGCTTCCGGTTGGGCGATATGGGCAACAACAGATCCGCAACCACCCAAGAAACAGGGCAACCAACAACAGCGCGAGAAAGACTGAATCGACGGCAAGGAACTCAGACATGGAGGCAAAACAGACGACGCCGTTCCACATGTGCCACGGTCCACGACGGTGGAAGCGAAGCTACTCTTAGCGGCAAGGTCGGACGCAAGCGCACAAAATCACACATTCAGTCTACGATGGTGGCTCATGGAAACTCTCCGCAGGTAGCATCCAAAACACACAGAGCCGTGCCATGGTGACCTGCGCAAGGAGCTTTGGTCAAGAAAAAGATGAAACGACTGGCTGAGGAGAAGACCTCATCGAGAAAAATATTTTCCCTTCAGGGGGAAAGCACATACATGGACTAAGATGGCTAAGAATTACGTGGGACAGGCTTGGCCATTTTGGCAGCTTGCCTTCCCTGGTCCTCAGTGACAATAGCTACACGCGGATTCGAAGATTCTAGCCGTCAACGAATTTACGAGGTGTCAGAAGAGATGTGCTTGCGGAGCTGCAAGGCTGGAATTTCAGGAGAGACCAGTGACTTTTCATTGTCTGCATATCCCTGCCTGCAACCTCATGCACGTCATTGCATTTTGACCCCCAGATCTCCCCGGCTATGGACCCCAGGTAGTCTCAAGTGCAGGAGTCTACACAGTACGCCAGGAGTGTTGTTCCATTCGTACCGTCTTTCCAGTACGCTATGCCACTATGATTTTCAGCCCCTGCCCATTAAAGGCGAGATCGTGCCGGGTCATTTCTTAGCGCTTCGGCTGTGCTTTGGTCATTTCAGCGTCGTTTCAACCCATCTCACAGCCAAGGCTTCGACGGGCTCAACCAGCACTTTTCCAAGACTGGAACCTGTCCACTGCTTGGCTTCCTTGGATTCGAGTCGAATTGCGGCCGCCCAGCATTGTGACTTTTCGCAGGTGTGTTCTCTGGCCTATTTTTGTTTCCCCCGCTGGGGCGCCTCGGTTGCATTTCGAACATGGTAGATTGTCTCCTTGATTCGCTTTGCGCCGCAGACTATTCATTCATTCCTCGCAGAACTGCTCTCCGAAGTTTCACCAGGCAACAGATTTCCTCGGACAGCAAACATCTTACCCGTTGTGCCGGCAACAAATCCATCCACTTGTCTCGCGTACTGCTCCACCTGTCGGCTGTTCAACATACTCTCCAAGCGACTCGGCTCCGTAGGCAGCTTGAACAATCTCTGCCACTCGTCCTCGGGCAAAGGTGGCTGTTTTGACAACGCCCGTGCCGCGTTTTCTGCCTTTCTCTTCTGCTGCCACTGCTGGATCTTGGCTTGCTCTCTGGCCAACGCTCGAGAATAGTACGAGAAATTGTTAGCTTCGACGTGGTGGGTCTCGATGCTGTCAAGAAGGTTGTCACAGGTCTGAGAGAGGAACGGGTCGATGGAGATCGAGAGGGACTCGAACGAGGGAGCTAGACTGTCGTTCTTGATGATGGGGTTGTTTTCGATCTCGTCAACGGAGGAAGGAGGTTTCATGGCTCCGTTTGCGAGCATGCGCGGGATTTGGTGCAGGAAGGTGTTGACGAGGTGCGAGTTGTGGACTGTGATGGGCAGTTCCACCAGGATGTCAGAGTATTTGAGGCCGGATTTCAGGAGGCTGTAAGCAGGGTTATCAGTAATGAGGTCCTAATGAGACTCGGGTAAGATTGCGACCGTACTTCTCCGTGGTAAACTTGTTCTCCTTATACGCGGTCATGAAATGAGGCGACAGTCTGTAGGCGCGAATGCTGAGAATGCCTTGCGACGAGCGGCTGACATCATGCACAAGCGCGACGGTCTTCTCGTTCAACTCTTTCTGGTAAAAGTACTGATTTTCAATGAAGTTCGAGTTGACGAAGTTGCCCAGGTTGGCGCTCGTGTACCAGCCCACGTTGTTTGCGTCGACATTGACCTCTCGGAGCATGCGAATCATTTCTGCTTGATATGCGGTGTTTGCCTTGGCTCGGGGCGCTGAAGCGGCGGCGTTGAAGTGTTGCGGTTGATTGTCGAATTGCGCCTCGGGTGGCAGGTCAACGACGGGGAAGGGGAATGTGTTGGTGATCTCAAGGGTGCCATCTTCTTTGTCCATGCCGACGAGAGAGCCAGTTGCGACGGTGGGGAAGCGTGAAGCGCAGTGTTTGATCACTTTCATGACCACCTTTCGCACCCTGGTTAGCAGATTTTGCGGCGAAGAGAAGCGTGAGGGCGACTTACCAGCGCCTCCAGCTGGACAGTCTGCAACGGAGTTTCCTTCCTGCACGAGTGTCAGCATGTCTCTTTCGTGCCCAGTGTGTCGACTCACTCTGTAGGCGCCGCCATGTCTGGTTGCGGTTTCCAGACGTTGACAGTAGCGGACGTGTGAGTTCTGTCCCAGGGCTTCATTGTGGGGATTGACATATTGACTTGTAACGAGTTGGCGGAGGAAGGTTTGCCGGGATCACGTGCGTTGGTGTTTCGGAAAAAGTTCTGTGGAAGACCATTGAAAACATGAAAGACGATGCAACAGTTGATGTCTTGGCGCTGGTGGACAATGAAGCATATCTCGATCAATGGAGGCCTCTGGCCGAGACAATATTCCATAGGGTTTGCGACGATGTGATCCTGGTGTCCAATCGTTACACAAGGCTGACCTTCAGCCTTGTCGGAGATGCATATCCGATAGCTAGTCGCCCTATGACGCCCAGAGGGAATTATCTTCGTTTTCTGTACATACTGATCGACCCTTGCTGTCGACCTTTGTAACTCCAGCGGCGCACGGTAGACTTTCATTTTGCTTCTCTGTATATAGATCTCTCATCGGTCCTAGAGGTGTGTCTTCAATGTCTAATAATACGGGTCTAGATATCTGGTTTGTGAGTAGTTACACCTTCTTTCCATGTGCTCTTCTAACACGTGCAGGCCGGTGCATTTGCTGCATTTACAGTTGATCTGCTTGTATACCCTCTCGACACTCTTAAGACCCGTCTCCAGTCTCAGCACTTTGAGACATTATACAAAGATGCTGCTGGCAAGACGAAGCCTTCTCTATTTCGCGGTCTCTATCAGGGTGTCGGCTCCATCATCCTTATAACCATACCGTCCTCGGGCGCATTCTTTACGACATATGAGGCATTAAAATTCAGTATCAATGAAGCTATTCCTCCAAACTCGACCATCTTTCTTCCTCAACCAGCCGTTCATGCCGTTGCCAGCGGTGGTGCCGAGCTGGTGAGCTGCGCCGTCCTGACACCTGCCGAGGTAATGAAACAGAATGCTCAGATGCTCAGCAGCAGGGGAAAGAGGAGGTCCACATCTCTAGAGGTTTTTAGGCATTTTCAGAAACACCCGTCAAGATTATGGAGAGGGTACACTGCGCTGGCCGCACGGAATCTGCCTTTTACTGGGCTCCAGTTCCCTGCGTTTGAATACTTGAAGGGATATTTCCTGAAAAGGCGGATGGATCGGAATGGTGGCAAGCCCATCGATGGGATAGGTGAGCGGGCAGTAATTACCGCCACGAGTGCTGCAATCGCCGGCAGTGGTGCCGCTTGGATTACAACCCCTATCGACGTGATAAAAACGAGAATCATGCTGGCTGCAGGGTCCGGTGATGACGGCTTAAAGAGCGAGCCGAAGCCGAAATCTCCCAGCTTATTGCAGGCCGGGATTCAAGGGTCGCGCAAGAGCGGTTTGGTCGTGGCTCGAGAAGTTCTCAACGTGGAGGGTTTTCGTGGCTTGTTTCGCGGCGCCCTGCTGCGAGCAGGGTGGACCACAATCGGAAGTGGTCTGTACCTTGGCTGCTATGAGAGTGGACGACACTATCTCGAGAAGAACAGAAGAGAAGCCAGAGAAGGCGACCACCTCATGCAGCGAGATTGGTCCAACGTGAAGGTCGGCATTGGAGGATCCAGATCTCATGATGTGGTCAAAAAGAGTGCATGGCAAGACGACTAAGAGTCCGATCTCTACGGATCCAATTCGTGAGACCTTGATCTTTTCTGGACAACGTTCGTTGTGCCCACCTCGGTCTTGGTCTGCTGGAACGCCCACAATATCCGAAGAAGAATCGAAGCCCTTGAGCGAGCCTACTCAGGATCGGACGCAATGTGGGCCTGTCTCGCAAGACATGCCTATCAGCATCATCGGGTACTTCTTGCGTAACACCCAGCCGTCCTCGCTCAGCTCCGATCGGAGACCAATTCCATGGTAGGCGTTGGGATGGACTCGAGTTCTCCGGACAAGAAGATGGTAAAGAGGATGACATCATTCAACCTGATCCTGAGGGAGGGTCTCGTACCTTGACCCGAGGATGAGCGAGGGCGTTGTTGACTGAACTGTCTGCAGTGCTTCGACTCTTCCTCCCGTACCGATCAACTCCCGAACCGCGCTGAGGAGGACCGACCTCCCAAGAGGCGGTCGCACTGATAGCTCCGAGCCTTTGGTGATGCGAAAGACGAAGCTGTTGGAGTTCCTCCATGCAATGCATCGACTGAAGAGACTCTACGGTGAAGATGGTCATTCTTTCCGTCCTGACCGTTGAGACCTGGACGTTGGAAATGCAGTGAATCTCAAGAACATCAGCTGGGGTTATCTACCGTTTGGCAACGGTGAAGGGCCACGGCTATGCCTGGGGCATAAGTCTTCCTGAGATGTGAGCTATTGTCCATTCACAAGGCTGCCAATGTGCAGAGGAGTTCGCATTGTTTGAGGCTCGGGAATTATGTGCCTGTGCGGATCCTTCAGAAGTTCCACACTGTGGAGTTGGAGTATCCCAGAGACACAAAGATTGCTCTGGGTACTGAAAAGCGGGAAGTTACCTAGGTATTCTATGTGCTCGCTAGCAAATGTGGTTGCTGGCTCAGAGCGATTGAGCGAGCCCATAGCATGAACGCCATAGTGCAACACAGGCGCAAGGTGGGCCTGCACTGATCAATCCAAGCGTCGCCAAGCGCGCCAAGCTCGACGCCCGACCACGCAGGTGTCGCCCCATCTTCCTCTTTCCTGAGCTATGTACCGTCTCTCGAGGCAGCTGCCCCTCCCCTGTCCGCCTTTTGCGCTTCGTCTTGCTCCAAGTAGTCAAATCCTCGTCTCCTTGCATTGATTCCGAATCCAGCAGACACGTAGAATGCGCCTTTGTTGGTGTAGATTTCGGAACCCCTTCGGCTACGTTGTCTTAGCTTTCCGGCATCCAGCCTCCTCGTCCACTCAGCGCCCAAGGTCTTCGAACTTGGCACTCGAGTTTCTGCCTTACTCTGTACAACTTCAACGGGCAGCCTTACCAACACGAGTTGCGGCTGAGTGATTCTGCATATTCCGCGCGTGTCCACGTAATGCCAATTCAAGGCAGTACGGTCACTGGTTTGCCATAGCTGTCCTCGTCCACTTCGACGCCCTGGGTGAGAAGCTGTTGGTTCTGAGGGGCGCCCTGCACCGCCTCAGACTCGAGTCCTGACGATGGTAGGTCTATAAAGTGCAAAGAGCTCTCTTCTGAAGCGATCTGTTTGTCTGTCAGTCTGTCATAGAACACCCTATTGTTGAGATAGATATGTGGCCTGCCCTGCTTCTTTTCAGCCTTCTGTTGGGTGTCGTCTCAGCCTGGCCTTCTCCTCAAGTGCAGGATCCAGCCAAATCCTTTATCACGCTTCCATTCACGAGGAAGTTGTCAGCTAGCCCGGCAAGGCCCAAGCGACAAGCCTTCGATTCGGAGCTTCTGCCATTGACTGTGGCGTCGTATTATATCGAGGTCACAATTGGCACGCCGCCTCAACCGCTTAGCTTGGTTTTAGACACCGGAAGCAGTGATATATGGGCCTATAGCCCAGCCGCGAGGGGCTCATGCCCTGATTGTACTGATATATACTGTATGCCGGGCTTTTGGCCCCTTGTTGCGGCCAGAACAGTCCCCTAATGCGCAGTAGACGACCCGGCCGACTCCTCCACCGCGAAGGAACGCCCTGATCTGGGTTTATTCAATATCACTTATGGAACGCCGAACTCTGGCGTCCTCGGTTACTACTACACCGATGTGATCAGGACGGGTGGCGTTGGCGTGAACGCCTTCCTGGGTGTGACCACGGATGCAAACGAGGGTGCCCCTCCCGGAGGCATCATGGGAATCGGTTTGTCTGAGAATGTTGCCAGCTTATATCAGAGCGGGATCAAGTACGAGGGATATCTCGATACTCTGTACGAGCAGCGCCTTATCGGATCACGGACGTATAGTGTCTTTTTCAATGAGGCAGGTAAGCTGGCTAATTAGTTCCTCCGCCCTGCAGGACCGTGTCCGCTCACTGCGGCTCCAGCATCGACCGACAAAGACGAAGGCGTCATAATATTCGGCGGTTATGACAACACCAAATGGATCGACGACCTCACGCCATTCCCTATCGTCTATCCATCACCCAGAGGCGCCGCCGAGTTGAACATCGAGGGACCTGCCATCGAGATCACCGTCGGCGACGATACTTACGACCTGCCAAGCCAGTCCTACACGGTCCTCCTCGACACTGGCAGCACATACACTTATCTTCCCAGACGACAGTTCAACGTCCTAGCCACGGCACTGGACGCCGAGCTCGCGGACGAGGACTATGGCCTTTACGTTGTCTCATGCGACTACAAGAGCGTCCGCGGCGGACTAGATTACACCTTCGACGGCCCTGACGGCCGTGTGACGATCTCCGTACCCTGGGAGCAGGTCGTCATTGCAAACGATGCCCTCCCCAAGGATGTATGCCTCCTGGGCTTCATCCCCAGCCCGGACAACGAAGGGTTCTACGTCTTCGGCGAGACCTTCCTGAGATCGGCTTACCTGCTGTACAACTACGATGATTTGACCATTTCGTTGGCCCAGGCGAGTTACGATACCAGCTGCGACGATTGCGTCGAGGCTTTGGTCAAATGAAACACGGCACGGAAGCGGAAGGAGGCCAGGGCACTGTACGGGAACTTCTGCGTTGAGCTAGTATGGCTAGTCTGGTCGGCACCGGCTGCAGAACTTTAGATATGCTTCCCATCCCGTTCTTCTTGCGATGGTCGCGTGTTTAGTGCTTTCCTCCATATATGGGTATCTTCCTCCTCGCTTTTGAGACGCCTCTTTCCTGGTAAGTATCTGCGGAGATCCAGAACACTTCCGCCCTGCCTTCTGCCAGCTTCCTTCATTCCTCCCGAGCTGCCATGCTCTTGTTTCGTCCTGCTCCCCTATCTGCTCCTCTCCTAGTCAATTCCGGTTCAGGGTCTGCCGAGCCTTTCATTACGCCGGTAGGTCGGACGTCGGCGCATGGCGCAATCTAGCGGAAAGACAAGGAGATATTCCGAAGGGACGGAGGGACATTAACTGGCTTGTGGTGGATCCATAGTTTTTGATTATGGCTAGTTTTGGGAGCATGGGCTGTCTGCCTCTTTCCGCTGGCCAGGCGAAAATGAAACACGCTGTCTGTTTTCTGCCCCATACCTTTGCAGCACCGGGAGACAGAGGATTCGTTAAAAACCGCTTCCGAATGCAGCGAAGTCTATGTCATTTCCACATCGCCATCACCGGCGTTCGCGGCACCATGGCCTTTCACATCCTCGTCTTCGATTTCGAGCTCGACATCACCATCGTCATCCTCGTCACCGTCCTGCCCATCCATGTCTTCCCAAGCATCATCATCGTCTTCATCCATTTCACCCTCTGCACTGAGCTCGTTCTTCAAACCCCCAACCAATTCGACGGCGTGGTCCCGTAGCCGTTCGTCGTCATAACTCAGCACAGGGTATAATCTCAAGCAGTTTTCCAACCACGTTCTCGCCGTCTGTTGGTTTTTCGATTTCTCCTCGGACGTGATTCCAGACTTCTGAGAAATGAGGACATGGCACCACCCGCCCAAGTACCAGCACTCGACACTCTGATCATCTTCGCGGACGAGGCCATCCAACACGACCAGAGCGAGCGGTTCGAGCTCGACTTCCATGAGCAGGCGGGTAAGCGACACTCGCGTTGCGAAGTCGGGTTTTCGAGCGTCTTCCTCCGAACCGTCTTCACTTCGAGTAGGGTCTTGAGGCGTGTCCTCGGACGATGCGGGGCCGGGCTCCTTATGCCAGATATCCAGACTTCTCTTCAACGCCGTTCTGGCCTCGTCGATTCGTTCTTGGCTTATCCGCACGCTGGCCAGCGTCTGCAAAACCCCCGCGGCCATGTCTTCCGGACAGACCGCCACCGCCTCTGTGACCAGCGCTTCGCACCGCGTTTCGGCGTCGGCCTCCCACGACAGATCGGTCATGTAGACCTCGGCCATGGCGCACAGGGCGTCCGCCAGCTTCGCCTTCTTCTCGTCGAGCACCTTCCCGGCGCCTGTCTCGCCATTCCCACTGGCCGCCTCCTCAATCACATCGATCTCATTCCTCAAGACTTCGCAAGCCTGTTCAAAGCACCGGATACTTTCCCTTCCGCCTTCTTCGCAGAGCTGGGCAAGCCAGAGCCACGGTTCCGCCGATATTAGTGCCCCGTCCCTGTCCATCTGCGTCGCTCGGGCGAAGTTCCTTCGCGCGGGCTCGACATCTCCGAGCGCCACGCGTATTTCGGCGTTGAGGACTAATGCGGTAGGTAGTGTAGGTTGTCCCCGGGCGGCCAGGGAGAGGAGCTCTTCGATATCCGTCTCGTCTCCATTCTGCGAGGGCTTCTGGTGGTGCCGGCGATCCGCTTCGAGACGTTGCAGAGCCTCCTCCGCAAGTGGTAGGGCGAGTTCGGGTTGTGCCTGTTCGAGTAACTCGGCCGCTTCGGTCAGGAGGTTTTCGATTGACTTTTGGGACTTCTTCGGCGGCGGGGACTTCACAAGCGGAGCGGAGGTGGAGCGGAGGATGTCCTTTTGTTGCTGGGTGTGGTTTTTCGTCTTGGTTCTCGCCATACTGGCTGCAATTTGGGTTTGAGGCTGATTTGACGTCGGTCAGACAAGAATTTCGGTGTTATGAGCGCCGCCGATATAGTTCCCGGTTGTTGTTGTCGTCGTCGTCGCAGTCTTGAAATGTTTCGAAACTTTTTGGATGTGGGGTTGCGTGGAAGGCAGGTTCACCGAGGTCAGCCTCGTCGAGATGATCGTGAGGCTGAGGATGACCGATGGTAATGATTTGACCCTCATCCCGACGCAGTCTGAGACTACAACGTTGAACATGACAGGAGACAAGGGCGATCTGTGCGATATCCTTGGTCGGGCCGGGCGACTGTCAATCGTGCGACAGGCCAAGTTCTTGGAGGTGGTGCCCACGCGACCTTGGTGCATCAACGACTGATGGCTCGAGCATAGAAATGGGAGACAGTTTAACGCGGACCAGGCATATCTTTATCAGACTGGGTGGCGGCGACCACGGTCTACAGGCTGATGGTTTTAGCATGGTGAGATCGGGAGGACAGACTTGACTTTGGGTTCCGGTCTCTTGGTAGAATGAGCTTGATGCCCCATTGATAACCCAGCACGAACGAAAATGGGCTACTCGTGACGATAGGCAGAGTACACCTCGAACCTCGAGACGAGGGAAATAGGTATTGGTACAAGCTGGCTTCTATGTCTAGGCGTAACCTCTCCTCCGCCGACCTTGGTTCCTTGGACGCTGCGTGACGACCAAGGGGTTGATCTTGTGCTTGTCCCTCGTCTTGTATCCTGATTTGGCCTGGCGAAAAGAGTCAGCTTCTTCCAATACGCAAGATGTTGGTGGAGAGAACTTACCGGAATGCCCCAAGGGCTCATGGGAATGCGGTTACCCTTGGATTTACCTCGACCACCACCGTGAGGATGATCGGATGCGTTCATGGCCAGACCACGAACGGTGGGTCGAATATTCAGCCATCTCGACCGACCTGCTTTACCAAGCGAGGTGTACTTGAAGTTGACGTTGCTGGCGACGCCAATAGTTGCGACAGCGTCCTTGTCGATCAGTCGAACCTCGCCGCTGGACAGCTTGACCGTAACGTAATTGGCGGCCTTTTCGAACTTCCTCAGCTGGTCCATGGTCAAGGTCGACAGATCGAAGTTCCGCACGTCGCCGAAGATCTTGATCATTTCCTTCTGTACCGTGTCCTCTCCCTTCCCGACCACGATCCCATGCGTGCCTGCGCTACGGCATATCTTCCCGATCTCGCTTTTGGAAGGAGTGATGTTGAAGATGGGCGTCCCGACGGGAATCATGCCCAATTGGAGACAATTGCCTCTGTGCGCAGTCTTGGACGCCAGGACTCCCTGGTCTATGTGGCCGCCCATCTCATCGATCAGCTCCTGTGGTAGTCCTGACCTGTAGCTCTCAACCGTGTCGCCCGCTCGTAGACCTTCGGCTGCGAGGATATAGCTCTTGTCCCCTGTCTGCAAGCTCTTCACCAACGCGATGTGAGCAGTCCGGCCTGGATCGTGCTCGATTCTCTCAACCAGATGTTTGCCGCCTGCATTTCTTGCGAAGTCGACAATGCGTATCCTCCTCTTATGCCCGCCTCCACGATGTCTTACCACGACGTGGCCTGTGTGATTTCGACCACCTTTTCCATGGCCCTTCTTTGGAAATGTGAGAGGGAAATGAGGTCGACCTTTCCATATGTGCTCGTTCAAGGGGCGGATTAGATGACGGATGCCAGGTGTTCGAGGGGTATACCGGCGTAGTCTCACGTCGAATTTTGAGAGTGCATTCCGGTTGTCGGCTTGAGCCAGCGGCAGGTCTGCTGGAGACTCTGCTACTGAAGTGCTTGGGTGTAAAGGGTCAATGACCTGAGCATAGGAACGGCGTAATGCAGGAGCGCGATAATGACAGTTGTTGCACAGCGAGCGAAGCGGTATTCGTGGCTGCAGCATCTTGTGCAGCTAAGGAGGAGGATTTTAAGATGAGCTCTGGAGACAGCGATTCATTGTCTTCACAAACACCCGCCGACTGAGTGATTGCATGATTGATTGTCTGTGTCGAGCTCCAAATTTCGGTCCAGACGCATGTAAAGTCAGCCAATCGGCAAGATTCCCGCCTCATTCACCGTTACCCAGATAGAGGCAAGCGTAGCCTCGCATTAATGCTTCTCGCCTTGCGCTTCTAGGGCTTCACTCTCCCTCAAAAGTCAGTTTATGTCACTTCATTTTCATTCTTGCCTCATCTATCTCAAGCCACAACTTGTCGTTCGGTTGGTCATCTTTGAATTCCATGATTACATCAAGAACTATTACCGACAAGATGGAAGAGATGAAAGGGCTCCAAGGTCCGAATTGATATTAAGACGGCCCATTTCATCCGCGGGACTAATGCCTTTCAGATCCAAATCACCACAACGATCATCAGCGCGTACGTGAGACTGACCAATCACAGGCAAAACATGGTCTATCAGGATACCAGTCACCCTCAGTCAAGCGACACAGAGACATACGGACTTCTCAAACTGTTGCTCCATACCCGCAGCCGTCACTGTTAGCAGCAATCCGACACAAAGCATCAACCGCTCTCCAGGAAGCTTTCAAGTGGCCTCAAGGGCGAATGCTCGAGTGGGGTGTGGCCAGGAAGCCCAGAAACGAGGAAGAGGCCACAGTCTCAGACTCTACAGGGCCTCAACCTCCATCACTGGTCTCATTAGCTACTCATTCGCAGAGCAGCGCAGGTCTTGGAACTGCAGTGGTAGACGAGAGCCAGGCATTAGGGTCTACTGTATGCCAGATTTCGCCTGCGAAACTCTCAGCCGGCAACAGACAGCATCGTTCAAACAGGGAACGACAAGGTCAACCTCTCTGTCCTAACCAAAGGTATGTCCATTGTTCCCGGTTGATGCGAGCACTCTCAAGTGTTCCAGATCCATGTGATGATCCGCCTCCCCTGGACGACGGGCTATCTGATGGTGAGATCGACGAGACAACTGTGGAAACACCTAGTATGCAGTGGACCCCAGCTCTTCAACTCCATCGAGAAGCTCAAGAAGCTCAGACGCGAGATCGCATTGCTTCTATCGGATCGACCCATCGGAAACCACCACGTGGGCCCCGCAATGAGCAAAACTCCCACCTGCCACCACCCCGGGGGCCTCGGCGACAGCAGCCACTCCATCTAGAACCGCCGAGAGGACCTCGACAGCCGCATCTCACTGCAGTCAGACCTGGGTTTGTGGAAACAATGGAGAAGCCATCTTTATGACTTTTGTGGGTTGTGCGGTACTGATCAGACGACAGGCCACAAGCGAAACCGAAGCTGTGCCACGCTTACAGCTCCACCGGTGGTAATATTGCCTACCTTCCCCTCTCTGGGTTGATCTGATGACCAAGGGGATCGCTGATCACAACAACATCTAGGACAATGCCCTAAGGGTGCCGCATGCCGTTATGCTCACGATCCCACCAAAGTCGCTCTGTGCCTTTCGCTGTTGCAGGGCGTCCGATGCCCCCTTCCCAGCGCCTGCCCGTTTAGCCATGCTGCGACCTCAAAGAACATTCCCACGTGCAATCCCTTTCTGAATGGGACATGCGCCCGTCCTGATAGTTGCTTATACTGGCATCTCGACGGCGTGAGAGCTAACGCAGAACTGTGCTTCGACTTCGCTTTTGGAGGGTACTGCGAGAAAGGGGCAACGTGTGGGTACCGCCACGTGCGCCAGTGCTATTTCTATGCCGTGTCTGGAAACTGCATCAACCTGTGGTGTCAGTTGGCGCATGCTGCAAATCCGACTTGGAAGACGCAGAGGCAGACGCAGATGCAGATGCAGACGCCTGCGACCATTGACAGTAAGGCTTGTGGCGCAGCAGCAGCAGCAGCATCAACTCGTGTGGGCCCCCCTGCAGATGAGGAGCGTGAGCGAATGACTACTGCGTCCGATGGCGCCGTGGATTGCAACCATGGAGGCAATGTCACGGCTAATACGAACATGGTTGTTGAGGAGGCGGGCGTGGTCAAAGCGACGAGTGGCGAAAAAGCTGGCGTAGTCCACTCTACCACGATTGATGAGGAAGAAGACATGGACGCCACGAGTATTGCCGACTCATTCAGTCTTCAGGATGATTACATTCCTTTGTAGGTGGATCTGACCCTTGTGCGTGAGTGACGACATCACATTCGGGACACGGCCTTGCACTGCAGCGAAGGGTGGTTCATGTCTCGAAGAGCTGCAGGATCCAAAGACGGGAGAGGGATTCAGCGGAGTGGCTGGCGGTATTGGAGCGCAGCATGGCCTGCAGATGGGCGAGGGCGATCTGCCGTGGAGATAGACGTGGAGGTACACGGAGGTGGAGGGGGAAGTGAGCGAAGTTCAGCTATGGTGAGGAAACACAGCATGGGTAGAGGTCAAGGGGAGAGAGAAACTTGGTGAGTTTCAGATTCTCTCAGAGGTCCGATGGTCCTTCTTGCACACAACGCATATGAGCGTTTCATAGCATAGCATAGGGGGCGTGCCATGGTGCCAGTGGGCCAGAGTGTTACGCCAGTCAGACTTGCAGAGCTGCAGAGCACAGAATGCACAAGGATCACGAGTGTCCATTCCGGTCGAGGTCTACATCCATACACGGATTGTACGAGTACCTCGCGCATCCCGCCTGGACTCCGGTACAGCTATGTAGTATATTTCCATTCTATGATTTGGAACTGACCGTCTGCCTGTCCGTCTAATCTTCTTAGTTGTTGCTTGAACGGGTGCGTCGTTCGCGCGTGGAAACTGTTTATTGATCCTCGTCTTGGGCCGTGGTTGGAAGTCCTCCGGAACGGGTCTCTTTCGTCCTCGATAGGTATACCAGATGTCTGGCAGACCATTCTATGCGGCCTGCTCGAGACCTGTAGGCCCCTTTCCGGTCATGCAGCATTTCGGGCGTCTTCCATTCATCTTCATAAGCCGGCACAAGTGGCCGGCTTGTCCGTGATCGTCTTAAGTACCTCAGTTTCCCTTGGTGATTTTTTCAAAGACAGACACGCCATATCTGCCTAGCGCTGAGGCACAGGCCACGGCTCCCGCCCCGACCTTCCTCATCCGCTCTGCACCATCTTTGTCCTCGACCCCGCCGACACCAATAATCATGATCCCTTTCGTCATAGGGTCCTTGTCAAGCAGTTTTCGAAACGTGGCCACGTTTCCTAGTGCCAATGGGTGAAGCGCCGCCCCTGCCAACCCCCCAAGTCCACTACCGGATTCACTGTTCAGCACCGGTTCGAGCGATGCATTCAGGAGAAGACTGTGGCCCAGCGTATTGGTACAGGTGATGAAGTCAATCACGCTACCTTCGCCAGGCTCTGACGACTTTGCTTTCCGGAGTGAGTCGACGACCATCTCGAATTGGCCAGAATAAGTATATGGAGGCAGCTTCAGGCCGACTTTCGGGGTGGAATCCGGCGTCGTCATGCGTCCGCGATATGTCGATTTCGAGTCTGAAATGGCCTCCAAGTACTCGTCGAGTTCTTTCTTGTCGTAGGCCGGGGGCGGTGCGGATGCGATATTCGGGCAAGACAGGTTAACTTCCATGGCGAGACGGAGGTCTTCGTCCATCTCTGCGGCGTTTGCCACGAGCGCGTAGGCCATGGCTATCTCATCCGCCGTGCCCGTCACGGAGAGGATAAATGGTTTTTTGGTTGGTGTGTCAGTGCCGAGGTGGCGTTGGCCGACGATTTCGTTGATTATGCCAAGATATTCAGAAAGCGTGAGCGGTGAGTATCCTAAGGTGTTAAGGGTTGAGACCGGTTCCGAAGGATTTGAAGTCGAGGAGGGAGGTTTCGATTCTTCGCCTTTCGGAGCATCGCTGGGAATGGTCTTGCCTGGAGTGAAGAAGGTGTACTGATGGATCGAATCGTCGTGGCTGAAACCTTCGAGCAGAGATGTCCGGATTGTCACTGCACCTGTGAAGGGACTGTCATAGAGTGCTTTGATGTCTTCGAGGGTCGTGGCCCATGGGCAGGCGGAGTTGAGCAGTGGCGGTTCGATCTTCAATTTGGTCGTAGCCATGGTTGAGGAGGGTCGGTGTCAAGGTACAGTTCTATCGCAGAGGAGAGGACAGGGATATCAAGGATGTGACAATCTGTGGCTATGGTTCGCGCGATCCCCGTCCGTCTCTGACTGCACCCAGAGTTGACAGCAGCAATTCTACAGACAGGCTGTTCTTGAGATTCACGTCTTTTGAAGGTCGATGCAATAGCAGATTCTGCGTTTGGCAAGTGAAGGACTTTCGAGAAGTGGCAGAGACGTTGCTTCCTCAATGTTTTGTAAAGAAGCTTGCGATGGTAAGAACAATCATAGTTTCAGTTACGGTGTACCCACTTTGCTTTTGCGTTCTATGCAGCCAGACGCGCATGGTCTTTTTATAGCTACCTAGGCACGCTGCCGTCTTCTGATGGTTATTCAGAACGAAGAGTTGTTACAAATGAAGTACGTGGCTGATTCCCGGGTCCGGATCTAGCAAACTTCAACAAATCATGAGCAAGCAAATGTCTCAGATGTTGGATAAACGCCTTGCAGGATCATAGACACCATACTCAAACAAGGCTGTCACGCACGCTGCTAACAAGTCTGGAAGAGCTTACTATCGCACTGCACGGTGTAATTACCGCAGTTCTTCATCAATCATCTTCATTTTTCGTCTATCATGCATGAGAGAGTAGAACTGCAGTGCCAATCGTCTAGAAGTCCACCAGTCTTGTGAGTGGTGCTCAAGCAGCCACCCAAGGGCAAGGCTCGAGTCCCCTTGGACAGGTTCGAAATGGTTTGACCTGGAGACTGTATGACAGAGGGCAGGGTCATGCCGTCATTTTCTGACACAGGGCTGCCCAACATCGCCTTGTTCACAACTTCTGCATAGCCACGACGTCGGTGGACTGGACATGATCCTCGTCCTCCTCGATCAGTTGCTGCAACTCGTCCAGAGACACCTTCTCGTCTTCGACGACCAAGTTGACCTGCATCTTCTTGATACCGAATCCGACAGGGACAAGCTTGTTCGCACCCCAGACAAGGCCGTCCATCTCGATCTTCAGCACGTTTGCGACCAGCTCGTCCATATCCGTCTCGTCGTCCCAAGGCTTCACATCCAAGGTGACAATGGATTTGGCGGCGGGCTTCGTCTTGCCTTCCTTCTTCTTCTTGTACTCCGCCAGTCTCTTCTCTCGCTCGGCGACGACCTCGGGGTCTTCCTCCTCGTCGTCAGAGCCGAAAAGATCGACCTCATCCTCATCCTCAGCCTCGGGCGCATCCTTCGGGTTGTGTGTTACTGCGACTTCCTCTGGACCGTAGGTGGTGAAGGGCTTCGAAGGATCGCCTGGCAGTGTGGAGAAGTCGGCGTCGTAGGACTTGACATGGTTGTACCAGCGGTAGGCATGGGGGTATTTCTCCACAGCAGGTTGCTCTTTCAAGGCCTTGAAACTCACGACATCGGCTTGAGATGGGGAGTATCTGTAGAGGGATTGTTAGCAGGAAAGGTCATGAGAAGCTTTTCTGTGATAACAAGTAGTCTCTTTTGCGAGTCAGAGGTGCAATTGCTTGCGATTGGAAGTAGTCATTCTGCGGTGTCTTAAGCCGCCTCATCAACACGGACCAATTTCTTCTCATCCTGAAAGATAAAAGATAGGAAGCGCTTGAGGAGCAGCCACGTACCCAGAGATGTATGAGCGAGTCTGGAGCCAGTTGTTGAGGACTAGTCTGAGTCAGTGCCATTCAGTGGAGGGGCTGGTATTTGACGAAACATACTGGTGAGGCCGCTGTCGGAGACAAAATCGGTGAAACCCATCTTGACAATCGATCGATATTCTATCAGCTTATGCGTAGACAACCAAGAAATTGCAGTGAGGTGTGTTTGGTAGAAATTGTTCTGGTCAATCTGAAATGGAAAAGAAAAAGATGCCCTGGCATGCGCTGCCAAGCCTGCATAGTGGGTCCAGTTTGCCGCGGGGACTAAACAGCCACAGTGCGACCGTCAGTACACCGCACTGCTCGTCCCTCACACGTTGTTGTCGAAGCCACGCAAATGATGCTATATAGCGTCTCATTGAGACGAGTTTAGCGGTTTCCAACTTTGAAGGGACGATGGCGTTGATTTCACATTGTTTTCAGGCCGCATACTCTGGCCTGGCTCTGATGCCGGACCCAAAGCGGCCAGCTCAACTATGCTACTGGGCATCTCTGGTCCAACTGGTCTCTTTCGCCTCGCAGATCTGCTATTTCCTCCTCGCACCATTGACGGCAAAAGAGATGGACTCGATTCGTCCTCTGGCGTCGGGGCTGGTGCCTCCTCACCCTCAAAGGTTGCATGCTAGCGTCGCCGACCTCATTCGTGTCTGTATCTGCATCGGCCTTCCATTCTCGATCTCTGTCCGCTCCTGACGCAATCTAGACAGAGGCCGAGCGCAGATGTCAGGATTTCTCTAAGCTGTAAGCACGGTGGACCATAGATGCCAACTTCCCCTCTCGAACAGAGGATGCATTGGTCTCTTCCACAGCCCGTGTCACGAATCCGTCTCGTCAGAGCTTTTTCGCAATTCTCCACAAATTCCACGCAGCTATTCTTCCGGAAGGTCGACTCGAGCGGGGATACGCCACGAACGTAAAGAATGTAAAGATAAGCACCGGCCCTGTCCTGTGCCTTACAACAAGCCGAACGATCTAGGATGGCAACTGGTGACAATAATATTTTCTCGAATGAGGGGAGAATCGCGTTGCGTCTCGTGTTCAGATAGGCTTTAGATATAAGTGTTAGATTGACATCTCTGACCCTGTTGGACGTCACTACTGAGCAACGATCCGGGAATGCTTGGATGATTCATGGTTTCGGTAATCGCGAGGAACGGTCCCTTTTAAGCGATCAACATCTTCCAAGAGATGCTCGAGAATATGCGTGGCGCGTCAAGAAGACAAGCAACAAGCAGTATCTTGTGGAGGTCATCGACCGATGCAGAGACGGCGAGCTTCTTTAGGGGAGCTCGGACACAGCTAGCGACAGGAGCTGTACACTGATACTTATCTCACAAGACAGCGAGCTTCTCGAAGAACACAATGTCGACGTTATTTGGAAGCTTCGGGTCTTGGAAGTGGATCACTTTGCTAAGATAGATGAACGCGGCGGAGTCGTCGTCTGGCAGCGAGATGCTTGATGGGTCGCTGGCAGTTCCTCGAAATGTCCAGCTCTCCTTGAAGCCTGAGGTGAACATTGCTATGAAGACTGGAGACGCCAAAGACATGACCTTGGAAGAGACTCGGACCCGTTCGTCGTCCATCGCGACGACGACATCGCCGATGGGGTCAATATCGGTGGTGGTCGTGAGGTATTGTGCCTATTGAGATATCGGGGACGGGAGAGAAGGAAAATGAGAAGTTTCGAGGTGCAGGTGAGAAGAAGATGAGAATTCCCCGGGGGCCGGTGAGAGGAAGACGAAGGTCTGAAGGCATTGTGTGAGGCAGTACCGAAAGTGAATCAATCAATTCCTCGCCAGGTCGAGTACTCTCGCAATGGCTCTGTCTCCGTCCTCGACGCAAGCAATGCCTTTGAGACATTGCCAAGGCGACTTTGTAGGACGGGATGGGTTTCGCGCGAGAAGAATCCTTCACAGAACCGTGAAAGCGGAAAACGTCTACTGGAGATAGCATAGTACAGGCGCTACTTGAGGTCGATGGCTCACCTGAAGCCCGGCCTGAATGTGACTACGAAGGCAGGAGATACCACTCAAGATTGGGAGTGGCGAAGGAAACAACTACCGGGTTGCTCTGAGGTCCGGGAGCGCACCAAACCAAGGATCAGTACTCTGGATGCTGCCGGGCTATGTGGTGATGCACAGAGCGCGGAGCTTGTCGACTGGCCATCTCTGCTGATCCCAAACTGTGCGGCTCCTCCTGCTAAGTGGTCGACGCAAAGGCGCTCAAAGTAGTACTGTGTAATGTGTACTTCATTTACGGCGGCGGGAAGAAACAATCGCAGGAGTCTGTCATTAGCGTGGAAGAAGCGGCACCTGAAGCAGCTGTAAAGGGACTAGTCAAGCCTTGGGCTGGAGGAGACTAAACCCGATCCAGGTCCATGATGTCGCTCGAGGCTTCCAGAAAATGCTGCCGGTCTCGAACCACTGGCCATACGGAGTACCTCCATCCACAATTAAATCTTTGGACTTGTCGCCAGCATGTCTAACTATGCCCTTGATCACCGATAACACCTCTCCAAGTCGTGTAGCATTTGCGACTCGACATCAGAAGCACCATGAACGCCGCTAGAGCGTCGCTCGTGCGACGAGCACGACCTTCACGAATAGTTCTACCTTCATGGCAACACTCGAAAGCCACACCCCTGGCAGTCCCCGTTGTAAGAGCTATTGCGGCTCCTCGTTCGATATTACCGACATCCTCTTTCGTACGGACGTATGCCAATGGACGACCTCACCCTCCTGGAGGAACTCACCGCATGAACATGGGAGGCGAGCCTGAAAAGCCTGCTTTGGAAGAGTATGGGGTTGATCTAACAGCCCGGGCAAAAGATGGCAAACTCGACCCGGTCATCGGAAGAGACGCTGAGATTCACCGCACGATTCAGATCCTGTCTCGCAGAACGAAGAACAACCCGGTTCTGATCGGTGCCGCAGGGACAGGCAAAACCGCCATTCTCGAAGGACTCGCACAGAGAATAGTCAGGGGGGATGTGCCTGAGAGTATCAAGAATAAGAGGGTCATTGCTCTGGACCTGGGGCAGCTGATAGCCGGAGCCAAATTTAGAGGTGACTTTGAAGAGCGGCTGAAGAAAGTCCTGAAAGAGGTTCAAGATGCTCAGGGTGGTGTGATTCTTTTCATTGACGAACTGCATACCCTGCTCGGCCTCGGCAAGGCAGAGGGCTCTATCGACGCCAGCAACCTGCTCAAACCGGCTTTGTCTCGCGGCGAACTCCAATGCTGCGGCGCAACGACTCTCAATGAATACCGCCAAATCGAGAAAGACGTTGCGCTTGCACGGCGTTTCCAACCCATTCAAGTTGGCGAACCTTCGGTCCAAGACACTATCTCTATCCTGCGCGGTATCAAGGACCGCTATGAGGTTCACCACGGTGTTCGCATCACAGATGGAGCTCTCGTGGCCGCTGCGACATACAGCAACCGCTACATTACTGATCGCTTCCTGCCGGACAAGGCCATTGATCTGGTGGACGAAGCTGCATCCGCTCTGAGACTACAACAGGAGTCGAAGCCTGACGCCATCCAAACCTTGGACCGTGAAATTATGACCATCCAGATCGAGCTTGAATCCTTGCGCAAGGAAACAGACATAGCATCCAAAGAACGCCGACAGAAGCTTGAAGAGACTCTGGCAGAGAAGAAAAAAAAAGTCGACCGTCTAACTGAGATATGGGATCGTGAAAAGGCCGAGATCGAAGCTATCAAGCGTACGAAGGAAGACCTTGAGAAAGCCCGACAAGAGCTAGAGCAAGCCAGGCGAGAAGGAAACTTTGGTCGCGCAGGTGAACTCCAATACGCCACCATTCCCAAACTTGAAGCGCAGCTACCTCGAGAAGGTGAGGAGGTCATATCTACCACCAAGAATGGAGAAACTCTCATCCACGATTCAGTCACGGCCGATGACATTGCCAATGTCGTGAGTCGGACCACAGGCATTCCGGTGACCAAGCTCATGGCTGGTGAAGTCGAGAAGCTAGTCAAAATGGAAGACAAGCTGCGAGAACATGTCCGTGGCCAAGATGAAGCTCTCACTGCAGTCGCCAACGCAGTTCGAATGCAGCGCGCAGGCCTTAACGGGGAGAACCGCCCACTGGGTAGCTTTATGTTCTTGGGACCTACCGGTGTTGGTAAGACGGAGCTCTGTAAACAAATCGCCAACTTCCTTTTCAGCACAGAAACTGCCGTGGTCAGATTCGACATGTCAGAATTTCAGGAGAAGCACACCGTTTCCCGATTGATTGGTGCCACAGCTGGCTACATTGGCTATGAAGACGCAGGACAGCTCACAGAAGCCGTTCGACGAAAGCCGTATGCGGTTCTTCTCTTCGACGAATTCGAAAAAGCACATCGCGACATCTCGAGCCTACTGCTGCAAGTGCTGGACGAAGGTTTCTTAACCGATGCCCAAGGCCACAAGGTGGACTTCCGAAACACTCTGATCGTGTTGACGAGCAACCTCGGCGCCGAGATCCTGATCGGCAGTGGTGCCGATGTGGAGTCTGTGACACCTGAGCAAAAGAAGGCCGTCATGGAAGTCGTGCAAGCCTCGTACCCGCCAGAGTTCCTCAACAGGATTGACGAGTTCATCATCTTCAACAAGCTGTCCAGGTCGGCATTGAGAGACATTGTGGACATCCGAATCCGCGAACTTCAGGGACGTCTGGACGACCGCAGAATGACGCTCGACGTCTCACCCGAGGTCAAGGACTGGCTGTGCGACAAGGGCTATGATCCCCGTTATGGAGCCCGGCCACTGAACAGGCTGATCCAGCACGAAATCGGAAGGAAGCTTGCCGACAGGATCATCCGAGGTGATTTGAAGACAGGGGATAGCGCAAAGGTCATTGTGAGCGACGGCGGAGAGGCCTTGGGTTTGCAGGTGCAACCTAGAGCATAGTTTGGCGTGGATGGTTTACTATGGCTTGTATAGTTGGACCGGGATCGTGCTGAGCTCGGATGGGTTCTTTTTAGCGGCATTTGCTGGTGTTGGCATGGGACGATACCCTCTCAAAATGACGACTGCATGAGATGCGACTAGGATGGATCTCGTGGGGCATTACAGCAAGGAAGCCGGGGGTTACCCGACATTGTATAGTACTGTGTATATAAGATCAATGAGACAGGATCCCAGCTCCACGATCCATTGTGATCTTCTCTTCCGTCCAATGGGTCTTCCAGTTCAAAGGGAGGATGTGTCAGTTGTTTACATACTCCGTACAGTACAAGCCGAACATTGGCAGATTTGTCCCCTTTGGAACAGCCCAAGCAATTGACGTGATCGCTGCGCCAGACCCAGACTCAGAAATACATTTACCAGTACACTCTGCAGGCACAATATTAGAACAGCCAAAATTGACCGCCTCACCATGTCATCTTCGCTGATCCGAAATGTGCTGAGTGCGCGACGTTCACTTGAACGCCGTCTACGAGCTCTTTGTCCCCCGGCCCAAGGCAAGGCATGGGAAACACTGCAGAAAAATGGACTCTTGGGATTCATTTGCTTCGGAGGCCCGCCCGTCCACTTTCAGATTGTGAGTGTCTCTTGGTGTATCTGGCGACTGCCACGGCAGCAGCATCCCGGCCGCCTTGATTGCCCGCCCGTGTTCTGACTTGCATCGTGACAAGCAGCTTCACCAACGCTTCGTCGAGAAGTACCAATGGCTAGAGGAGCCGATGTTCCAGGAGCTCTTCGCCGTGACGCAGGCTCTGTCCGGCCCAGCGAGCACCAAGATGCTGTACTGCATCAACCTGAACCGGAATGGCTTCCTGTCCGCGCTGCTGGCGTTCCTGCTGTGGTCGTGAGTGGGCCCCCTTCCCCGTTTCGATTCCCGAATCTCCTGCTATGCCGTGATGTGCCATGCTGTGCCCTCCGAAATGGGATCATGGTTTTTGACCGTGCCAGACTCCCCGGCGCGGTCGGAATGTACGCCCTCTCACTCGGCATCTCCAACGTGGGCGACACCCTCCCTGCCCCGGCGTATGCCCTGCTCTCCGGCCTCAACGCCGCGACGGTCGGCGTGATTGCGCTTGCGGCCGTGCAGCTGTCGCAGAAGGCCATCACCGACCAGGTGACGCGGGTGCTGGTGTTTCTGGGCGCCACTGCCGGCATGCTTTACAATGCGCTGTGGTATTTTCCGGTCCTGATCTTCTTGGCCGGACCGGTGACCATCGTCTGGGATTTTCGATGGTTTCACAATCTACCCAGGTGGACCTGGGCACGGGTCGGTGGCCGAAGACAACCCACGGCCCAAGGCCGGGACATTGAGATGAGAAGCACCGACCGCCCAGACATGGCTACAGGCCTGGAATGTGAGTCCTCAGTCATCGACAGGAAGGTGACGTGCTCGGCTAACAGAAGCATGACCAGACAATGACGCCGACACTGACCCCCACGCCCTGCCCTCTCCGCAGCCTCGAGTATCTACAGCGCCAGAGCATCGTGCAGAGGACTCCCAACGCGGCGGCCCGACCACCGGCCGGGGGCCAAGTGGAATGGCAGCCGGGACTTCAGAGGCAAGAGTCATCCCCGCAGACAGAGAACTCAGGGTATCCTGGAGATTCGGGTCGCTTTTGATCGCAGGCTTCCTCGTCACCTTCGTCACCATGATGGTCCTGCGCGGAGTGATCAAAGAGACACCCTTGCTGTTCAGCCTCTTTTCGAACCTCTACCTCGCTGGGACGATAATTTTCGGCGGCGGGCCCGTGGTGATCCCCCTCCTTCGCCAGTGAGTACACCATCCACGCATTCCACGCAAACACAACAATGGACAAGCGATGCCCACCTCACCCCTGTCTCTTGGACACAATCAACCGCTCATCCCGTTGGTCAATAAAGTCGACCCAATAGTGCAAGAGACTTATTGGTACCATCGATTTTTTACAGCAGAAGAATGCTGTTGCTGGCTGACCTGCCTTTCCAAACACAGATACATCGTCGCCGAGGGATGGGTTTCGCCGCGGGACTTCCTCCTCGGCCTCGCCCTCATCCAGTCCTTCCCCGGGCCGAACTTCAACTGTAAGTACTTTGCAGAGTCTTTCGCGCGCCCGTCCCTCCGCGCACACGCACACGCACCCGCCCACACGTACAAACAAAAAACAGCTGACACAAAGCCTCCGCGCGACGCCGCGCGCGCAGTCGCCGTCTACCTAGGCTCCCTGACGGCGCTCAACGCGTCGTACCCCAGCGCGGCCGGTGCCGTCGTCGCCTTTGTCGCCATCTTCGCGCCGGGCCTCGTCCTCGTGCACGGCACCATGGGGATCTGGACGGCGCTGCGCACCCGGCGGTGGGTCCGCGCCGGGCTGCGCGGCATCAACGCCGCGGCCGTGGGGTTGATCTACACGGCCATCTACCGGCTGTGGGAGATCGGGTACATCGACGAGAGGTTCACGAGCGGGTCGAGCCTGGGCCGGGATCCGTGGTGGGTCGTCGTCACGGCGACGAGTTACGTCGGCGTGTCCTGGTACAAGGTCCCCGTGCCGGGGGCTATCTTGCTGGGCGGTGCCATGGGGTTGATTTGGTACGGTGTCGTGTCGAGGTAGCTAAAGTCACAGGGGCAAGACATCGGGGGATTAATTACAGTACGGAAATTCTTGCGATCAGCTGTCCTGCGCCATTGCTCTCTCGTTCTTTCCATCTCGCTTCACATTTGCTCGGAAAGCGCTATTTCAATGACTACCGCTAAGTTTACAGTATTATACCCCGTACCGCTTCCGGCGCCCTTCACGCCGGTCTCCACTCGTAATGATGGGCGCCTTTCTTGGCCTTTCCGGGATCCTCGCCCTTGACGTGAGGTCGATCGTACGCGTGGGCTCCGAAGAAATCCATCTCGGCCTCCATGAACTGGGTGGGCAGGGCGGTACTCCCGTCGTATTTGAGGTACTCGAGCGAGGCGGACAGGCTGGGGATCACGGCGTCCCACTCTGTCGCCTTGAGCACAATGTTCTTCAGCGCGGGGTAGTTGTCGCGCAGGGCCTGTGCGACGGGCTTGAGCAGTTTGATGTCGGACGTCTCTTTGCCCTGCTGGGCGGCCAATGCCGCCTCCAGCATGTCAGCAATCTGGCTCGATTGGATGATGCAGCCCTCGCGCCAGATGCGGATGCAGGTTGCGAGGTCGACGTTCCATTGCTCGGCGCGGGAGGCCTTGCTGATCAGTTCAAGGCCCTGGCAGAAGGAACACACGAACGAGGCGTAGACGGCTTTGCAGAGCTCCTCGACGAAGGCTTCCTTGTCTGGCACGTCCGCCTGCTTCGGCGGCGGTGTCTGAAGTTCCTTGGCCACCTCGAGGCGTTCCGCTCTCTCTCCGCTGGCATAGCGGAGGAATTGACCGGCCGCAATGGTGGGCGCAGTCACGCGCCGATAAGCCGCCTCCATGACAGACCAGAAGCCCGTGCCTTCGCTGCTGTCGTCGTCCTGGACGACCTTGTCGAGGACGTCATCGAGGACGTACCCGCCCTCGCCTGTGCCTTCCCCTTGCCCGTCCCCCTTTGGCGTCTTCTTCCTCTGACAAATCTCCGCCCCGATCTGAACCAAGAACGTCGACCGAAGTGACCCTTCCGAGTTCCAGCGGTCGAGGACCTTGCCGATGTCCCCGTTCGACATGCCAAGACAATACCTCATGATTCCCCACGCTTCGCACAGTGTGGACAGCATGCCGTTCTCGATCCCATTGTGCATCGTCTTGACGTAGTGTCCAGAGCCACCAGGTCCGATGTAGGCCACGCAGGGAGATTCCTTCGTATCCTCCGGCGAAGATGCCTTGGCGGCGAACTTCTCCAGGATAGGCAACACCTTCTGCACAGCCGCCTTATCGCCACCAGGTGACATGCTGGGGCCTCGCCTCGCTGATTGATATCCCCCCGAGACGCCCATGCCTATCCAAGCGACGCCCTTGTCGGACAGCTCGCGCTGCCGCCTCTCCGTGTTGCGATAATGCTCGTTCCCGCCATCGAGCACGATGAACCCTTTGCCTAGATGGTCGCCCATCTTCGCAATGACCTCGTCGGCCGCGTTCCCGTGCGTGATGCTGAAGATCAGGACTTTCGGGTCCTCGCTGGAAAGGCTGCCGACAAACTCTGCAATGTCGGTGAATCCGTCGATCTTGCCGTTCTTACCCTCTTGGCCTCCTTCCGGTTTCCGCGAGAGTGCCTCTTTTACATTGTCAGGCGAGATGTCCCAGATGGAAATGTCGAAGCCGAGTTCTGCGATCCCCAGGGCCATCATACTGCCCATAGAGCCGGCGCCTACGATGCCGATGCGTTTGACGGGCGATTCGTCGTCGGGAGCCATGGTGATGTCGTGGCCAGTTGGCCGCCTTGCAAGAGAAAGAGGGACGTAGAGCAGAAATTGAATGTGAAGGTGAAGGGAAGGGTGAGGATGAAGTGTAAGGTGAAGGGAAAATCAAAGACAGAGAAGAGTGTGGTTCCTCAAGACCGAGGGATGAATAGGAGATCGTCGTCCGTCGTGCTTGTTTCGTTCAGTGGACAGTGGACAGGCGGATGTGCTAGTACGAGTAGTTTATTCACTTCATCATGTATGCATGTGATGACAAGCCTTTTAGACGCGGATTTCAGTTGCAGTTGCATGACAGGGACCGGCCGCCCGGGAGTCCAACACGTGTCTGTTCAGGTCGCCTTATTCCAACGGGTGCAGTTAGTGGTGAATGCTTGGTTCGGACGATAGAGACATGACTACGTCACCCTCGAGGAAGCCCGATGTTGACCTCCGTGTAGGTGGCGGACTGCTGTGGCGGCACTTGTATGTACATGGACGCGTGCGAGGAGAGGCACACCAGACAAATACACCAACATAGTGACTTGCATGACTTTGCTGGGTGGTTCGTTATGTCAAAATGACCTCATGGAGTGAAGATACCACCTAGGTACTAGTAGGTATATCAGATTAGGTGGACGAGGTGAGATATCGGTGATACGGAACGGTGCTTGTACATACCGCGCTCCACTTACCACGCCTACGAGTAACGAGGCCAGCAACCAAATAAGCAAGCCTGACGTAGAAAGCTTGATCCGAAAGATTAATTATGTGTGCCCTTTCAAGGACAAGTACTTCCACCCAGTCTCATCCTGTTATCTCATATACCAAACGCACACTGTTCAGTGTCTGTTTAGTTGATGAATGAATGATTGATTGATTACGAAGTCTAGAACGTAGCTACCAGCTAGCCACAAGACACACTCCTGGCGTGGTGTGCACGGGACCGGCAGGAGATCTAGCTCGACGCACACCCCTCACTCGTATCGCTATCATTAATGGCTTCTCACCAACTTCACCCGCACCTCTCTTAGCTGAGCGAACATTCATCTTCCTCCACCAGCTATTAACTTGGAAACGATCCTCGACACAGACCTTACGCTGTGACACCGGTGTTACCCGCGACAACTGGGGCGTCACGAGCAGCCTTCTCCTCCTTCCGCAACACACGGTCCTCTCCATAGTTGATGTCGAGGCCCAAGCGTGCAGGATCAATGTTCCAGTGTCCGGCGATCAAAGCGACACTGAACACAGGCTTGGCGAGGAAGTCGAGCACCCCGTAGAAAACGGCCTCCGAATCTGGGGCAATGATGTTGGCCCCTTCCGAGACGCCCCATGCGATGGGATAGCAGAGCCAGACGAACAAGGTCAGAACGCCGCAGAGCATGTACGTGCGGTAGATGTCCTGACCGAGCAATTTGGCGCGCTTGCGGCCCACGCCAGCGAGGTTCCAGAATATGTAGAACATGGCGACGGTGCCGAACGTCCACCAGCCTAGAATTTCAACTCGTCAGCCCTGGGACAGGAACGACATTGGGCCGAGAAGTACAAAGCGAAGATTCACTCACCCCACTTCCAGCGGCTAGGAGTCAGAGCTCCAATAAGCCCAGTGATGATCATGATCCAGTCGATGAAGATGGTCCACACAATAGTTGGCCAAGGCAAGCCGGCGGTGAGCATGAGGTCCAAGAGGAGCAAAGGGGTTGTGATAAACCTGGCGTGGCGGATGCGCGTCAGTCTGTGCTCCGGCACGTCCGTCATGAACAAGTCGGGAAACTCACCAGTCGATATATCGGGCGTAGTAGATTTCGCGGTTGACGCCGGCGACCTTGGACCAGCTACGCTGATACTCAACGTTGATAGGTGCCCATCCCTGGTGCGATCCCATGGCGTAGTAAGCGAGCATGGCGGTCAAGTTGATGGCCGCTGTGATGTAGTAAAAGATGCGGTGCCGCTGCGGCTTCAAATGCCCGGCGATGATGACCCCCAACCCGACAACGCCCATGACGGACATGATGGCGTAGTAGAAGTCGGAGCCATGACTAGTGAGGGCAATGGCGGCGCTCTTGCCATTCTGTGTCGGATTTGACGAAACGGCGTTGTTGTTTCGCTTGAACAGCGGATGTAGCTGATTCGGTTCCATGTTGTAATTATGGTACGGAGGTGAAGAGCTGCACAGGAAACGCACGTCTGAGAAGTGGAAGTCGCAGTTTATTTGCCACTGCCGACGAGGTCGCTTTTCACTTATACCCAAAGGAGTCGTTACAGGTGAAGATATCCCCTGGGAGGACACGGTGCAGCCCGACACCGATTATATGAGGATAGGAATGACTGCGGTATCTCGTTTCCGGCGGATTGCATCTTGGGCGACAGTGACTCGCACACCGCAAGAAACGTGCAACGCTTGCGTCACGCCCGGAAGAGCAGGATACAAAGCGCCAGTGTTGGATGTACCTTGCACCGCGTATTGTGATCATGAGCTCATCATGAGTTAAACGCGACTCCATACTAGCTATGGGACCACCAGAGGCACCTTTGATTTCGGATATCGGATGCAGTAGGCTGCTATTCAACGGTCATCGCTCAACACATGCCTTGAAAGCAAGGAATGCGCGGAAGCCACGCCCTTGATGTTTCGTGCTGCTCTGTTCATAGACACCCTCACATTGGTCTTTTCAATCCTTCGTCTCTTTGAACTCTCTAGACAGCGTAAAATTTAAGCGTGAGGGTAATCTCTGGTTAAGACTTGTCTAAGGAAGCTTGTTCAGTCCAGTGCTACTGTGCATTGGCTGGTTTGGCTGCGGAAAAGTCAGCACCAGAGAGGTGTCCGCAGATGGGGTGGTCGTAGTAGCCGTCGACTCTATGGATCGTGCATTTCGAAGTTGATCGAGTGCGGGACGATGAAGGAGAAGCGTGATAGCAGTTGCGGGTTGAATCCATTACATCAAGAAGCCTTGCAAGATCGACGCTAGCGCATGAGGAACTTGCCGCACCGATAGATACTGTATCTCCCACAGTGTCTACTCTGCATGACCCTCCTCGTGGGGAAGTCCCAAGCATTGAATGCATGGGTCTAGCTCATTAGACCCGGGCAGCCCTGAGCGGCTACAGCAACACGCCCAAGCCCCAGCGTTGGGTGAATCGCCATTTGAACAATGCCTTCCAAGACAAATGCGGACGCAGAGGTCGCTTTTCTTGAGCCACCATCGCAAGAGCCGGGAATGATTGCGGGACTACTTTCCACAACCTACAGCGACTGCTTTCCGTCGCTTGTGCGGAACCAGGATGGTGCTGAAAAACTGCTCGACCTCTTCTACGTCCTGTAATCCGCACACAAGTGATACGTGCTGGTCTGGCCGGAGGACTACAAGGCAACCCTCATCTTTGTCAACGCCCCATTCTGCATACGCATCATCAAAGTCTCCCTCCTCCCCCTCGTAGTTGTTTGCGTAGCATTTCCAATAGTCGTAGCCAAGTTTTGAGTCGAAAGGGCGCAGGAGTTCGGGTAGGCTGAAGACTTCGACCTTGCGCCGAGAAGCAGCGTGTATAGTCAAGACTTCAATGACCGAGTCGACCTTGTCACCGTCTGGTGTGTATGTTCGTAGAAACGATGAAGGTGCATCCATGCGCGCGCACAGAGTGCGTAAGCGTGCCATCTGTGCGACTTGGCTTATATCACCCGCGAGCACTAACAACCGCCAGCGGCCATCGGCTGGCAGCATCGAGTGGACATGAACTATATTAGCTTCTGCATGATTCAATACCAGAAAGGAGGGTAGTCGCTGTCCAAGTGGTATCTTACTCGCTAACGACCGCGTCGAGGGTCGTCGAGTTTGGCTCGAACCGTCGAGATCGGTACCGGATTGGGAATCTCTCGAACCGTCATCTTCGCGTGCTGTGACCACCAAGGAATTAGGACCATACTCCACACCAACTCCACTGAGAAACGTTCGAAACCGCTCATAGAACTCGTCGTAATTGTGTGCATCCGAGCCGGCTCCTTTCTCGTAGAAGTCGCACATGTCTCGATCCATCTTTATTAAAGTTTGTGCGACGGATTGTCGTTCGGCATTGTACGTGTCCAGGATGTCAGGCTTTGCGATACCTTTGATGACTTGGCCGAGCTTCCATACCAGGTTGTAAGAGTCTTGCATCGACACGTTCATCCCCGCCCCCATTGTGGGTGAATGCGTATGGACGGCGTCGCCGACAAGGAAGACCCGATTACCTTTGCTGAAGCTGGGAGCACACTGCTGGCCCACAGTATATATCGACCACCAATCGCAGTGTTCGTATGACAGCTTGTACGGACTCAAAATTGTCGAGGCCTTCTCTGTAATCATTTCCGGAGTGACCTTGCTTGTGTCAAGGTCATCGCCTTCGCTGCCGGTCTCGGCCAGTTGAACATAGAATCTGACGAGCCGATCTTCACGTGGGAATGTCATCGTGCTGCCGGCCTTCGTTGAGTGTATGGAGCATGAGACGCGTATATCAGCTGGAAAAAGCGTTAGCACTTCTCCACCAACAACGTCCGATATTCATGCTCACGGAAGTCGGTGATAGGGACGATATCCACCACCCCGAAGTGCACTTTCGTCTTGCCACCTTCGAGCCTCAGGCCGATCTGATCACGAGTCCAGCTGTGCCCGCCATCTGCACCTACCAGGTATCGGGCTTTGATGATCTCTTCTTGCGGCGATCGCACTATGCTCGTCAACCATGTAATCAACCACTCTTGGTGTTGGGGATCTTCTTACAGCCTTGGTCTGCTGTAGCTCCGTTGGTTGTGATATTGTTTCGTTCGATCCGTAGACAGATCGGATAAGCAGTGTGGTCCGTCATGAGAGCTTCTTCTAGTTGGAGGGACTTAGTCTTCGTGTTTCTCTCGACACTCAAGCGGCCTTCTCTTTGCAAGAAATCAATGAAGTTCTGCTCAATGAAACCTTGATGGATTCCCAGTTGACAGAACCGGCCAAGTTCTTCTTCCTTGACCCGAACCCGCTCCGTTCGTTGAATTTTGCTGTCGTCTTCGGGATCTGGATTCTGGTCACAGTCAGTATAGTTTGCACGAAGAGGCAGCCACGCAGCACCTACCCAGGAACAGATCTCTCGCAATTGATAGGCCTTTTCATTGATCGCATTCGCCATCCCGAAGCTATCGAGTATCTCCAAAGTACGTACATGGAGACCGTCGGCCCGTCCGGTTTGTACCCTGTCAAGTTTATCATCGAGTGTCCGCGCGTCCAAACCCATACGACTTGCCCAAGCAGCAGCCATGAGCCCGGCCGGACCAGCACCGATGATGACGAGATCACTGTATGTTACTTTAGGTTCCATGGTGACCAGGACGCTTCCAGCCTCTTCGTAACAGCTGTAGCTTGCAGAGGGCTCGCACTCGTGTCCAAGCGCTTTTCGCGGCCAGAGACCCTGCGTTTTGCACTGAGCGACCTTGCCCAAGGTTGTTCCAGTGGCCTTTGGAGGCAGAAGAATTATACGAGCCTGGTAGAGCACCAATAATTGGGTTGAAAGTGGAGACAGTTAACAGATCCGAGCACTTGGAGCCGGGAAGGAGATCGTCCTCAGGCAGAGTCCGGTTGGAGCTTGTGCTACGAGTACGAGTACTCACGATGTACTTACCTGGATCTTTTTTCTGCGTCGCGGGCTCGGCACACTTCCAAAGCCTGTCAAAGTAAGACGGGGAGCTAGAACCGGACCTGTGCCAGATCTTGTTTCGTAGCGATGACCCATCTAATTCTGCAGTCTTGGTCACATGCTCCGGATATCCTTCCTCTTACTCGTATGATCTCATTAAGAGTGACACGGCAGGGTACGAGGTACTGTAATTAGGTGCGAGGTGAGGACGTCCCCAACTGACTGAGGGGTGACAGATGACGCTGGTTGTCGGCCGGTAGCCGGAGTGTAATGACCACCACCTTTCGATCGAGATGCACGAGCACACGCTTCTGGCAAGTCTGTTTCGTCCGGTACCTCGTGGCGGGGCATCATTGTCGGTGAGAGCTACGAGACTGGAAGTCGCTGGTGAAATGTGTTGAGCGCCAGCCAGAAATAGTTAGCGCCACTGGCAATGTCAACGACGTCACGGGGCTTGGCACACATGCGGGTTTCCCACAAACCCAATATTCAACGCTGACCGAGGCGACGTTGCGGAATGCGGATCCTCCGTGTACGGGTATCTAATGGGATGTGGCCGAACCGCCCGATCATTTTTCCGTGACACAAGTCATTATGCCCCAACATTGGGTGGCGTCATGTCAGGAACGCGCAGGATTTCTTGTCCAACGGAGGTAATTGCCAGCAGATCAGATTGACGCGGAGATTGTTTCCACGCTTGTCTCCCACTTCCGACAGCCACTGAGTGCAGAGCTCGTGGTGTAGTGGGCGGCATGAGTTCTGCAGACATGTCGTGATCTCAAAGCCATCTTACTCCGGTCCACACAGCCATCACGGCACTTCTTCGATCTCCACACTCGAATCGGCGTGCTGGTCATCTCAGCAGCCCGTTGGTCGGTACGTATTCCCCGCGCTGGGATCTCGCATGTCGATTTTCAGATGTTGACTTGTTTATAACCAGCTAGATCCTCGTGAGATTTTCCCAATGGCTGTCTCTGTCTCAAGCACGGCAATCTGTTCTTACCATACAACAGGACGCCATCATGGGGTCCTATGAGGAACCGAGCCCGGATATCATTGACATCCAGTCGGACGCCGAGAAAATCGAACTTTCGAAGGACACTGCCGAGTGTTTGAAGACCGAGCCCTCCAGCTTCTCCTCGTTGCTGCTTTGGAATGAACAAGGCTTGAAACGCTTCGAGGCTGTCACCTACGCGCGAGAATATTACCTGACCAACTCCGAAATCGAGCTGCTCAAAGCACACAGTCACAAGATAGCTGACACGATTGAATCCGGTTCCATTGTTGTAGAATTGGGCAGCGGAGCCTTGCGGAAGACGAAGATCCTCCTACAAGCGCTCGACGACGCGAAAAAGCCGGTGGACTACTTCGCGCTCGACCTCTCGCGTGCAGAGCTTGAGCGGACGCTGAAAGAAGTATCTCCTGGCACCTTCGAGCACGTTCGCTGCCATGGTCTACTAGGGACATACGATGACGGCCTAGTGTGGTTGCAGCAATACGAAATCGCTTCGAGACCGAGAGTTGTGCTCTCACTTGGGTCGACCCTTGGGAGCTTTACACGACCCGAGGCGGCTGATTTTTTCAGAGCTTTCGGCGCTGCTATCGACCATGCCGTGAACGGAGCGATCAGGAGTGAACCTCTGATGGTGATCGGAGCAGACGGGTGTAAGAAGGCTGAGCGGGTCTGGGCTGCGTACAATGACGCCGAAGGTAGAAACGACTCGTTTATAAGAAACGCGCTCGATCATGCAAATCAAATTCTTGGCAAACGCATTTTTCATCAGGACGAATGGGATCGTCAGGGACAATGGAACGACGAGCTTGGACGCCACGAACAGTACCTAGTGCCACGAAAAGATGTCTGGTTCGAGGATCGCTGTTTAAAAGCCGGTGAAAAGATCTTCGTAGTTGCAAGCCACAAGTACGACGACAAAGATCGAGAAGAACTCTGGAAAGGTGCGGGCCTGAAGTTACTCGATGGATGGCAGGTGCCAGAGACACAATATGGTAGGTCGCTTCCATCCTCTCGTGACGATACACTGATTTCAATGCAGGGCTATATCTTCTGTCGGCGCGGGGGGCAAACACTTCCTGAAAGCTGAACGAAAGAACCCCAGAAATCGGCCTGCCCAGAACCCACGTTTACGTTATGTTGTACACTATGCGTATGCTTGCGACATGTTCTTCCAAGGCAGAGCGCATCACCATTGTTTATCTTTGCCCGAAGGCCTTCTCCAGCCATCTTCGACCGCTACGGGTCCAAGGCTTCATATTTGATGCCCGTGCCTTGATCATACCAGTCTAAAGGTGCTATTGGTTGCCTCCGCCACATCCTTATCTCTCACTTTATGCCATCCCAACTCTTTTTCTACCACCTCCCCGTTTTGGGCTCGTCGCCGCCGCCGCTCCAGAGTTGAGCGATGCTTGTCGATTCCGCTCCCAATCAATCATCGACATCCGGGACGATCATGGGCTCGGTTGGCGCAATTGGGAGCCCTAGATCCATTGTTGCCAACCATCCGGTCACTTGCGCTGTAGCCGGATGGTACAGAATCGCGCTTCGTGGGACTCTTGATTGTCCCCACACGGGAACTTTCTGGCCCGTTTTTTCAACCCGCGGCATTATCTGTCGCAACATATACCGTTATTCCGGTGTCGTGTCAAATCAACCGCATGGTGAGGGTGGTGGTCATTGGCCGAATATATGCATTCTTGGAAAGTGTTCGTTCACTTCGAGGTTCCTGACGCAGCGACTACGGACGTCGGTGGGGACCTCCGCTGGGCTCTCACCTTATATTGAGACATGCTTTCTTAATGGCCCCCCTTTATGGGGAGCAGATATCACCAGCCTGGGTTCGCTGAGCCCTCTGCTCTGAAGGTCACGTTGTTGTGCAGTTGCCAGGAAGAGTCCAACGGCTATACCAGTCAACCTACATGCTGAGTGTAGACTAGTGATTGATCGTATGCCGCGAAATGTGGCCGATGTTCATGCCGAGGGACTCTTCGGATCGAACCGCGCTGTATCATGCGGCAGCAGATGGGTCCGCGTCACATGTTAGATTGTTCCTGAATGACAGGCGGTAGGTCGCAGGACGAAGAATGCTGCCGGGCAAAGCCGTTCCAGCTGGCTGAAGACATCCCGGAAGTGGTGCAAATGTTCGGAACGAGCGTAGGGCACTACATACAACCTGAGCCACCGTCCACGCAGGCAAACATGCCGGCTTTGTGTTATATTCGCAATGCATGCCATTCTCGCCAAGTAGATAATACGAAGCAAGTACCACCACAGACCAAAACGAGACCACTACAGGCATTTCGCTGGATGGCCATTATTCCCTATGCACACACGTGCCTAGCTCGCTCTGTAACGAGCTGACGTGTCGAATGTATGCCATCCTTCAATCCGCGTATGTCGACGCTGCCAGGGGATCCGTGCGATGATGAAGAAAGGCGCTGCATGCCAGCAAGACCAGATCGAGCACCTCCACCGCCTCAAATTGCCCTCGCCCTCGCCCTCGCCCCAATCAAGCATTGAGCGCCTCTCCCAAGATAATCCTGTCGGCAACGTACCCCGTCACGGCCGCAAACACAGCCTTGTGCAATAAGTCGATGATCTGTTCGTTGACAGGCCAGGTCCTACAGCGTTGGCACGACGTTAGCATACAAAGGGACCATGAATCCTAATTTTCACCACGACGCGAGGGACGCATACCAAGGCAAAGCGCCAACGCCAGTCCAGTTCTCCAACGTCTGATCAACCAGCAACCTTACGCCCATGAAGAGGTAGCTTCCAAACGGGCCGACAATGCCGTAATAGCTCATCGCGCCACGGATCCCGGCCGCGAGCATGCCCTGGCCCCAGTGCATCGCGTGGTTGATTCTGTCCGGCTGGGCATGGAAATCGAGGTTGAACAGGCGAGCAAGCGTTTTGCCGGGCACGTAGGAACTCGGGCGGTGGGTGAGCGCCTGCTCGGTCTTTTCGCCGAGTGTCATTCTGGAGTGTGGATTGTCTTGATCAGCACAGCGAAACTCTCTCTCGTCCTCAGAGATGTTGACGAGGGTGATACATACGCAGCGACACCGACGGCGCCGGCTCCGATGCCAATGGCGATGCATTCGATCAGCGAGAAGCGGATCTTCGGACGCGCGGGGTTGATGTAGCTTTCCGGCATGATGATTGTGTGGTTCGAGATGTTCGACTCAGGCTCAGGACGTAATCTGGTATGGAGCAACCTTGTCGAGGACGAGGAGGATGAGAAATGATATTGCTTGAACGCTTTATGCTCTCGACGTGTAGAACATGACGTTTGCGGGTGTCGGAAACAATGTCCGGACGGCGCGGCTCTTTTCAGCCTCGTGAACCACTATGTACAATACTGAATGATGGGAGACCTAATTAATTCTGGTCCAAAGGACTACAGACTACGCATGTAAAGCTCCGCAGGTCGAGCAGAAGTCTTGGATGATTGCAGAGAAGCCTAAACGCCACCCGTTTGACCTGGCCTCCACGTTACTCGTCGCCGCCACACGCCGCTCATGCACTGCCGCCTCTTTGAGGAGGGCTCCAGCGATCTATAGCTATCATAGTCAGGTCTGAGACGCTGCAACTATGATTCTGCGCGAAGCCTTGCAGTGCATGATACCGCGGCCACCGAAGATGGCGTACCGGTGTACAGCGTGTTGTACGGATCTCGATGGTCAGACCGGTATATTGCTTCTATCCTCTCCTGGCCTTCAGTTCGTTATGGTAGTGACCCGACCGCTCAACCTGGGCGACCCATGCGGCCCAGATCGGTGGAAACGCCCGGTTTATGGTCTCGGCGCAATCTTTCGCTTCCTTCTCATTTAAATACAGTATCTCCAGGTCCGTGTCACACCGGAGAGACATGGCCATTGACTGGATGACGGCCGCTCGGCTCACGTGAATAGCCCGATACACGGCGTCCTCGAGACGTCGTGCCCAGGTGACAAATCCGTTGCCTCGTTGAAAGACTACGCTGTGAACGGGGACAGAAGCCATTCCGTCCATGTCATCGGCGCCGGCAAATGACCTCGCCAGAGCATTACCAAGGTGTTTGTGATTGATCAGGAAATTGTGGGGATGGGTGGGAGGCAGGCCAGCGAAGTGGTCGGCAGGATTGAATATTGGACTTTGAGAGCCGACAAAGCCTGCCATGTGGTAGCTGGGCTGCAGCAAACTTCCGTAGCTGTTACACAGCCCGTACACAATGGTATGCAGGTTGTGTGCATGAACAATGCTCTGCACCCCCGGGTAACGCTCGTAAATGCAACTGTGGATGTAGTGCTCGGTGGTTTTGGGCACGGTCTGAACGGCTTGACACCCACTGTAGGGGACGGCCACCGGAGACCCGTCAACATTCCACTGGGTGAGATCGCCCTTGGATGCGACCAGAATGGCCGGCATGTTGCTGGTGAAGAAGGTTGAAGGGTTGTAGGGATTCCGAATCGAGATATGACCGTGCTCGGCCAGGACTCCATGTTGGTGGAGGATGTGAAATGCGGTGATGAGACGCGACAATGTCTCGTCCAGGTATGTTTCCATGACCGAAGACCCCTGTTGGCCAAAATATGCGATGGGAGATGTATGTACGTCGAATTTGGATTGGTGTATAGTGTCAAGGTCGTGGGATTCTCGCATACTTCGTTGTTCGATTTGCGCGCAATGATAAGCACGGTCTATTTGTAGGTACGGTGGGGACGGATGGCCGCTGGGGCCAGGGCCTTCTTTACTATGACGCTGGGTTCCGCAGCTCTGTGTGAGAGTACTAATTATCGCTGCAAGTCGGTGGGATCCCTTATCCTCAGCACAGACTTGTGCCAGCAGTTTTCGCGTCTCTCAGCTCGGAGGTTCTAGACTGCTATCACCGGGTCGAGACGGTGGGATTGTAACGTGCTCCGCAGGGGGATCTCAAAACCCTCGAATCAATCTCGGATTGATCATGTCGGATGTCTACCTCGTACTGGCTTTCGTCCACACCCCGGGACTGCGGGGCGAAAGGAAAAAGGATCCGGATAGGCTCTCTCATTGGGTTGTAAGTCGCCACGAGCAAGCAGCAGCCGAGGGGCTCGAGGCCGGAGAGAATCTCCGGCGCCGGCCACGGCTAAGACAAATCGGGTAAAGGGCGACCAGGCGTCGCCCCCCGCGCCGGAAAGCAGCCAATAGAACGATGGGTGCCCAACAAAACCCTGGACCTCACTTCCGGCTGTCGTCGATGATCGAGGGATCTTGTTCTGCCTCTTCCGTGATACGGAGAAGAGGCCATACGTACACAGGGAGGTGGACACTCGGGACCCAGGACGAGTTCGACTCAGTGGATAGTGCATGTCGCCGTCGCGTGCCCGGTCCCCGCATTACGTAGCGTTGTGTTCTTCGTTGCCGAACTCACATCAGCCATGCGCACCCTCACTCCGGTATTGTCGATTCGAACCGTCAGAAGAACGGACTACATCAAAACCCCCAGTCAATGGCATTCCATGGGGATGCATCACCGGCGCGTGTGTCGAAGCGTCCAGGAAGTCTGTTGCCTAGTACAACGCCCTCTAGGTCTGGTCCTTCTGTGCCTCAGTCTCCGGCTTCTTCACGCAGCGCAAGTTCAATCCGGATTCGAGTCTCCCACGCATGTGACCGATGTCGTCTCATGCGGACCAAATGCTCAGGGGGAAATCCTTGCGGGAAATGCGGCAAGGATGGGGCAGCCTGCAACTTTGGCGATCGGAAGAGAGAAAGAAACAAAAAGTATGCCTCGCGCCTCCATCCGACATGATGAGCGTTCCACTGACAGACGAGAAAGGGATCTCGTCGAAAGCCACCTCCAAATTGAAGATCTCAAGACCAAAAACAGCATGCTCCTTGACGCTTTGAAGACTATCGCCGCCAGCCCGAATCTAGATCCAACCGAGACCGCAAACATTCGAGAAATGATACTCAACGTTTGTCCATAGACTCCTATGAAAGCATGACTGATTGGGAACCCAGTGTGAATTGGAGGTACAGTGCACACCTTCAATGACTCCAAGCACGCGAACCGGCGACAGTTCTCGGTTCCCTCTAAGCGTGGAGAGCACTCCTGAAGACGAGCAGTATACCTACGCTAGCTTAGGGTTGCCCGTGGGCCAGGACGTGCTGACCCATAGCATTGACGTGGGTCGCGGCAGGCGCGCTGTCGGATTCATAGGGAAGATCTCCGAAGTGTCCTGGATTGCACGGGCGTACTCCTACCTCACCGTTCCTGCCGCCGCCGACCTCGCCATGCGAGAGAATGTCTCCAATTACACACCTGCAACACAGTTCAACTACTTCATGGATGATGAGGACCTCTTGAGCCTGGACGAGGACTACGTCGATGCGCTTCATTGGCCGGGAGATCTGACGGCCCGGATCCTATCCGAGGCATTTTTCCACGCGCTTCATGGTAATTTTAACTGGTTTGCACGAGCGCGTTTTCTCGAAGAACTGGACAACTTTCCGTACAACCGCATGCACCTCTCATGGGCGCAGCGCAGGTGGCTTGCAGTTGCCAATTTGATGTGGGCCATTGGGTCGAAGTGGTTGCACCACGCCATGCTGGATGATGAACCGGGCATGGAATCCCATTTGGTGTATTATGCTCGGGCTCGAGCACTGGGTCTCGACCATAGGGTCATGCTCGACAATCCGGGTCTCGATGGCATCAACGCCTTAGGAATGCTCTCCTTCTACCTCTTTACAAACGGCTCGGTCTCGAGGTATGTCCGATATCCACGGAGCTATACGCACAACAGCTGACCAGTTCTAGAGCATGGGTATTGATAGGGGTGGCAATCAGGAACGCCACGTGTCTTGGTCTGCATCTCAGGACTGTCGACGGGGCCCTGAGCCAGGCACAGCTTGAGGAGAGAGCTCGCTTGTGGTTTTCTCTCTACAGCCTCGAAGTGGCCATGTCAGAGGTGTTGGGAAAACCGCCGTTAATCCCTCTTGAATATACAGCGGTTCCCGTTGAACTCCTCAAGAGCGCTTCAGCCGAGGGTTCCCGCAGTGGCAACCACAAAGACGACACGAGGGGGCTCTGGTTGGATTTCCTTCGCCGCAGGAGAGAGGCCAGCCAGACCATGTGCGGAGGTCCTGTGCCGTCGCAAAATTTTCAATATGTTGGGTACGGCCCTCCTCCACAGCATACCTCTTGCAGGGCGCGCCTCTCGATCATCAGCAACCGTGTCATGGCACAACTCTACATGCCCCAACTGTCGCATTCATGGTCTTCGATGCAGAAGATAATCACCGGCCTCAGTATTCAGTTGGTCGGGTGAGAGAACAGTCTGCCGGAGGAGCTTAATCTCACGAGCACGATAGCCATGGGCACCGACCCGCGTGCCAAGATCGATCTGGCATTATACCACCAAAGCATCAGGATGATCTTATACAGGCCATGCTTGTGCCACATTCTCGTTCCCAACGAATCGGACTACATTCGAGAGTTCAACCTCAGCGGCGCGAGGAGTTGTGTCTGCGCAGGAGTGGCAATGGTCGATATTCTCCCAGAGGATGCGTCTGCCCATGAAGCGTACCAGCTGCTCCCGTGGTGGAATCTGCTGCACTACCTCGGCCAAGCGCTCGGGGTCTTCATCCTGGAACTCTGCCTGGACATGGAGCACTTTGACGGCATAGCCGCCCTCTTGACACCTCAGGTGCGGAAGGCCATGTCGTATCTCTGGTGTCTGACCGCGGGCTCCTTGTCGGCGTACAAGGCGTGGCGCATATTTCGGCATATGCTTTGGATTCTCAGCCTCCGGGTCGATAGTTTCGACGTCGTCGATATTCTACTCGAGGCGCACATACCGACAGGATGGACCGTGGACGACGAGGCCCTCTTGATGGACACCCTCAGACCGATAGGAGCCGAGCCAATGAAGGCGATGTAATAGGCTCTTACTGGGCTGGGCCTGGAATGGCAAAGCCAAACATGTACGAAAGGGTCTATTGTGATGAGGTGAAAGTTGCGGTGCCTGCGCTGTCCCGTGCAGCTGTCCAGCAGGCAGCTTTCTCCGCCTAGACGACCGGACGGCAGATACCACAGACCATGAACTGCGAAGTCGTCAAACTGACAGACCTCGTACTTCAACCACCTTGTTCAGATCGCAAGCATTTCTCTGCGGTTTGACTAATAGGGCTACACCAAAGAGTCTTGCCTGCCGCGACTGACACCGGCAAGAACAATACTGTTGCGGCAGCTGGCAACAACAGAGAAGATGTCGCGGCTGTAGAGAGGATATGCACAGCGGCGTTGACTTGCTGCGCACACGGAGATCAGCAGTTGGTGCCATATACCGAAGGAGGGATGAGCATTTTTTTGATTGTTCGTATGGACGCAATTGCTATGCATTCCTTACTGCAAATGCTCGCATGAGGAGGGGCTCATGAAACGTTTGCTTCAATCTTTGCATGTACAATCACTCCTGCACCGCCATGCGTGATCTGTGCTCGACACGAGCCTGATACGGCTGGGGAAATTCCCATGCGTTATAGCATTCTCATAGGAAACAATCCCGAACTCCATTTGCCTGTGGACCAATTCAAGGCTCAGAAGAGATCTCCTGTCTTGCTTTCGCGCTATCGTCAAATGGCTTCAACGCCGTCTTTGCTGGGCCGCAGATCTGGAGACCCTCCGGGCTGAATCGACTGCCATGGATAGGGCAATCCCAGGATTTCTCGTCGTTATTCCAACACACCACTCCGTGCAGATGGGGACAGAGCGCGCTCATGCGGTGAATCTTGCCATTGTTGTCTTTGTACACTGCCTGTGGGCCTTTGGCGGTCGGGTTGAGCACACCACCTTGATCCAGACCTAGATCTTCAACGTCCTTGATGTCTGAGTGTGCAAACCGCTTGTATTGTGTGTTGATCTGCACGTCATGCTCAACCATGCTTGGAAGTTTCTGGAGGATAGAGCTTTTGCGCTTCGGGTCATAGGCCTTGGCCCAAGGGCTGTCAATCCCTTGAATTTGATCTGCGATGAGTCGCCCAGCAAGCACGCCGTGGGTAAGCCCGTTTCCGGAGTCGCCGGTAACCACGTAGATCCGATTGTTGCCCGAATTCTTGCCGATAAATGCGTTGTAGTCGACCGGGTCGAGAACTTGGCCAGACCACTTGTAGTCGACGCTGCCTGCCTTTGTGAAGCGCTCGCGAGTCCACGTCTCCAATTCCTTGTATCGCTCCTCCCATTCGTCTTCTTGGCCAACCTTGTGATCACAACCACCAACGACCATGTAGTCGTCTTTTTCGTCGCAATCCGTCATGCGGACGTATTTGTATGGGTCGGCTGTGTCGTAGATAAGGCAGTCCTCGACGCTCCCTTTGGGTATTCTGATCGCGATGCAATATGTCCGGTGGTACTCGAGCTCGGCGACGACACTCAGCATCTGGAGAGGTATAACAGTTGCCTCGACTGCGTGGTGACACTTGATCGTATTGCCGTCCACCGTTGTGACTGTGACATCCTTTGGACCCAGGTGCAGGTCGACGAGCGGCACGTGTATGCCACTCTCATTTATCCTCAATGCACGGGTATGTGTGTAGCATTTGAAGTTGGGTTGCTTCTCGAGCCACTTCAGTACTCCTACAAGGTACTTGGTAGGGTGAAAGGTCGCCTGACGCCCAACAATGTTGCCACCTCGCTGGTCCGGTTTCCCGTCCCAGCCTTTGATTTTGAGATTTTCGTCATATGCGAAATCGAGGCCGAGCTGGGAGGCGAGCTCAGCTTCCTCCTTCAGCTCCTTCATGTCGTCGTCATGTTCCTTTGTGCCCACGGGGTACTGTGACACGTCGTACGCCTTCAGCATACGATATTCGCAGTCGATTCCAAGCTCCTTTGCAACTTCGCCGACATGCTTGATCGCCCAGTCGTGTGACTCTGCCGCAGCTTGTGCTCCGTCTCTTCCGAAGGCTTTCTGTATTGCTATGTACCCATCGTCCAGATCCGATGCCAAATGACCCGATGTTCGACCGGTCTCCCCTGCGAGATGGGTTAGCAAGAATTGTTCCCGTCACCGAGGTGAGGCTCACCCGAAAGTATATCTCTTGCTTCAATCATAACCACGTTGAGACCTCTCCTCACACATTGCTCTGCAACTGAGATGCCAGAGATACCAGATCCGATGACGCAGACATCAGTCTCGATATCCTTGTCCAACTTGGGGAACTTGGGCCGGTGAGAATATGGTTCCAGATGGACCCAGACTGAATCATTGGCACCTGAAGTTCTCATGAACTGGTTTGGATCTGAGGATTTAGGCATCTTGGCTGGTGAGGCTAGACCACGGGCAAGAATAAGGGGACGATTCCTGGAGATTCGTGAGCAAGTAATGTTACCGGGAGAGAGCGTCGAGGTGCGCGAGATCTGTTGTACGCGGGGAGCTCTTGCCGAGAGTGAGCGTAAAGCTGAAGAATACAGAAATAGCTCTGAAGCAAAGCCCATGGCTCACACCCCGCCCTAGAGATCGTGGGAGAAGTCCTGCCTCTAGCAAAGAATCATGTGTCCTGCGGGTGAGGCAAGTCCAATAAGTTGACTCGCTGGCGTGCAAGGCAAAGTTGATGACAAGCACGATTTAGTCGACGCGTCAAAGGCTCGCTTGTCACTTCCGCTTCGAATCAGATGCGAGCAATTATGCTCACTTCACGTCGCTCAATGGAGGATTAGACCGCACGGTTTCGGATGTTTCATGATCAACAAGACCGTCACCAGGCCTCAAGTGACAATACCCACTACTCGTACACAGTACTCGCACGAATATTTCACAAGGCCCGTAGCTCACGAAGCAGAGTGCGGGGAGCCACTGTCAACCCTAGAAGGAGACAGTCTCTTCCTAGAAGCCCGAGCTGTTGGTGGCCACAGAGTGAGACGAGACATGCAACGTCACCGGTTGTGGTGGAAGATGAATCCGATCACCCTTTGCATAGTGACGTAAGTGGCTTGCAGCTCGAAAGAGGCTCACCGGATCAAAAGCCTGGGACTGTCACCCATGCCGCCAGCTGCGCAATCCGTGCAAATGCGGTGCAGGAGCTTTCTCTGGAAGTGGACACAACTACCTCGTACGCAAGGAACCAACATCGTGCACATCCAAGCCAACAACTCGGGAAGACCGGGTTACCGGTATGTTAGAGCTCGACCGACAGAGTACCGTGTAAGTTACCATAAGTTCGGAGCTTGAAAATGGACTCTCCATGTCAGTCAATTCGTAGGGCGGCTTGGTGACTTCTCGGAGCCCGTCTTCCAATACGAATTACGGAGCAAGCTAACTAGCTTTTACTTAATGAACCTGCTACCGGAAACTTGTGATTTGGCCATCGTGAACCTTTAATGTGTCCCGGCAAAATCTTTGCTGTGAATTCCAGACGTGCAGTAATAACCACAGGGACGCACGGGTACGAGGCACATAATAGCACAATTCCCAGTCTCGTGTTTCATCTCAGGCCGTGCCCATCGCCATCAAACACTGCCAACCCAGCCGTTATGCCGGCGGCATTGTGTCAGCCTCAAGTGTTGGTGTCAAGACGGCATGGACACACCATACTTCCACGCGTAGTTAGTCGTCGGCGAATGCTATGGTGTTAATGCTCGCTTGCAGCCTGCCCACTCTCTGCTCGCCGGGCAGCGCTGGCATAGAAGATGCTGCTAGGGTGGATCCCGCGTACGTGCTTTTACATTGTGCATCCATATCCAGGTCAGGGCACGATATCGTTGGAAGTCGCTCGACGACTTGGCTACAACCTTGAACCACGGCGTACAGCGTAGAGGAGAACATGCACTCCTGGAAACGCGTCGTCGCAGTTCGTCGTATCTCATGACCAGACACGAACCGTTGATCTCCAGCTCCCGGCAAGCTCGCCCTTGACCACGGACGGCACGACTCGAAATAAGTATAGTATCATTACTCTCCACAGTAGCAGATACCGTCGATCCCAATTTTCCGGTTTGGCTGCTTGAAGGCCGGTGGGGGGCCTTTCAATGTTCGCTCCCCACGATTCGAAAGAGGCATGATCAGGCACCGCTCCGAGTACATGGGGAAGGGAAATCAGGGCCATCAAGAAGCGACCGCGCAGAACCTCCAGGAGGAGTATTTCCGGCGCCTCCGATTGGCGAGAGCTGGAGATCCTCCTCCGGAATGTCGTGACGCGGTGACGACAATTGTTAATCGATCCTTTCGTCATAAGACGCACATCCACGGAGCCACCTACGAGTCGGTGGGAGCATCTGACCTTTTGGGTTCACCTGCGACGAGTCAGTTCCTGCGCTGTCCAGAGCAAGGGAATCGCATGCACTAGACTCCGCACAGTCTACACCGCACACCACTGCCTGCTTATTTTGAATTTATGGCGGCCTCGAGTCCACAAGAACTGGCTCCATTTGCGGATGTTGATGGTGATCAGGATACGCGGCCGTTTTCCCGGGAATCCGCCTCGCGCAAGAAGGTGAGCCTTGCATGTCTCGCCTGCAGAAGACGCCGGACCAAGGTACGTTGCTCCCTCCCGTCTTGTCGTTTGGCACAGGCTGACTCAAACAGTGCGATGGCGGCGTGCCCTGCGTCTCATGTCTTTCTCGCAACTCCGAATGCGTCAAAGATGAAAACGATGATGGCCGGCGCAAGCTTGTTGTGAAGCGCCGGTTGGAAATACTGGAAAAAGACCGCCATCTTCTGGATGATCTGCTGGGGGCGCTCCGAGTGGCAGGACCCAACCAAATGAATGCCCTCATCAGTAAGATACGGGCCAACGCTGATACGCAAGAGCTCAAGGCATTTTTGAAGGATGGATTCACCAACATTGGAGCCGACGGTGACCAGGATCGTCGCCAGCAATCATACAGGAGACATCGCCATATGCTAGGCCGGATACAAGATTTTGTCAACCCTCCCTTACAAGTTCCAGCAAGACCGTGGACGACTGTGACCGACGACGACGATCTCGTCTCGCACCTCATGTCTCTCTGGTTTACTTGGGCACATCTCTGGTGGCATTGGGTAGACGAGGAGGAATTCATCAAAGCGATGCAGGCAGGGGACACTTCAAGCCTGATATGCACTCCTTATCTGGTGAACATGATTCTAGCGGACGCGTGTGTGAGTACAGCTTCGTCGGTGCTTGGTAGAAGGCTGGATTTGCTAACCGGCTCCGTGGCTAGTTGCTCGATACGCTGGCGGACGACGGCTCGGAGCCGAACTTGGAGCTACGACAGCAATTCTACAACGAAGGGAAAAAGGGACTCGATGACGAAGAAGGCCATGTCTCCCTGGCATATGTGGCCGCACTGGGTGTACAATGGACTTAGTATGTTGACACCTCTCGTCTCTTCGTCATTGCTGACTATATCGTGTGCGAACAGCCTCAACACAAACGGCCAGGACCAGCTAGGCAATATGATATTATATCAGCAGGCTATGTTGGTCAAAAGCCTCGCCAAGTGGCGCGCAAAGATGGAAAAGAACCCCGACATGACGCGGGAGCGGCTTCATGCCGTCGACGCCTCGCTCGGCCGACTCGAGTGGACGCTATACTGCCTCAACTTGTTCGTCGGGCTCGCGCTGGAGCAGGTTCGAATATTCCAACGGCCGTCTCGAGAGATTCCCGTGGACGACCCAGACCGGCGGAATCCCTGTAATGAGCACGGAGAGTGGAGGCCATACCCTGTCCCGCATACACCGATCGAATGGCACCCCAACTGCCACTACCTGTCGTACGTGTCACTCGCGGCTGTAATCACTGCCGATGAAGCGCTGTACGAAGAGGAGCGAACATCGAACCCCCAGAAAATGATGTCCAAGTTCCAACGTCTCTTTCAAAAGGTCAAGTCTTGGCCAGAAACTATTCCAGCGTGCATGAAAATGCACGAGCACGCCATGCCACATATCATTGCCTTACAGTGAGTGTTTGACCCTGTTCCTTGACTGAGTGTTTCCCTCCCCCTCCTGGTCCCCATTCTGTCATAATGAAAGAAACCCTCGTTCGACGCTGACACCTCCCCGGTTCATCGGGATCCAAGTGCACTCCACAGCTGGGTCATCATTACCATGTCCAAACAAACCGCCTCTCTCGAGGGAGACACGGAAAAACCTTCCCTGCTGACAACGGCCGAGTCACCTGAAAAAGAACGATGGAAAGACATTTGCATCGCCGAATCCATCCGCATCAGTGGACTACTGGAGATGATGCGCCAAATATGGGGTGCCGACCACTTCCCCGTCATCATCATACAGCCCGCCACCATAGCGGCATTCACACTGCTCGAAGACCTCGAGACGCGGCATGACTCCCAGCAGGCCTTTTACAAGCTCTGCATCATCCTTCGCGCGGCGAGCCGCAGGTTCCGGGTTTGCAGGGGAGTTCTGCGACTCCTGGATAAAACATCGAAAGATAACAACATCAGTCTTCCCAGTGGATGCGCCGACTTGCTTGCCGAAACTAATAACGCCATGCAGCTGGATGGCGAGTCGACGAGAGTCGACGATCTGGGGCTGGATTACTTGCTCGAGAAGTGGGACGATTTGGATCTCGACGAGGCGTTTTGACGTCCCAGGGCGTATGTCTTTCTGGGGTCCCCCATGTCCATGTCGCAGTTCCTGAAGAGTGGCAGGTTTGGAGGAGCGGAGTTGCAACTTGGACCAGCCGTGGGACCATGGCTGACGTCGGAATACGGGTAAACGGGCTCTTGGGTCTGATATTAAGAGTTGGTGCTTTGCCGCAGACATGCTGATACTGTTTTAGTGTAGCGATGTTGGGACAAGGTCGTCTTTTCTCGTCCTTCTGCGCTCAGATACCTCAGGACGTGTACTGCGGTGCAATTGTTTCCTCGATAGAGTGGGGAGTGGGTGCTTGACGCATGGCGCGTGCCCTTAAGATGGACCGACAAACTTCACATCCTGTCGATAATCCTTCCCACAAGCAGTCTGACCTGCGCCGTATCTGTCGCGCAGAGGTAGTTGTCCGGGTATCTTGTCTGGCCCATGGAGATGAACCGATTGGCAATGTACTCGCGGGCAGCCGCGTAATCGGCACCGCCTAAATTGGGCACTGTCAGCATAAAATCCATTGTGAAGCTCCTCACCCCTGATGACTAGTTGCCCTCACCTTGGAAATCCGGAAAATGCGCCTCCAAGGGCGAATGCTTCAGCTTCTCCCGGAACAGATCCGTCTTGTTGAAGACCAGCTGCACGGCCGTGCGCCGGAACCACTGCGACTGGCATATGCTGTGAAACAGATCAAGGGCCTCCTGTAGCCGGTTGACCGACCCGTCCTCGTACAGCGCCTGGTCGTACTCTGACAGGGCGACCAGGAAAAGTACAAGATCGACGTCCTCGAAATGGTGCATCCATTTCTTGCGTTCGGATCGCTGCCCGCCCACGTCGATAATGCGGTATACCGTGTTGTCCTTGGACGGGGAGGTGAATGAGAACTCGGCCACGCCCGTGGTTTTCTGCCTCGAGCGGAGGATGTCCTGGTCGTTGGGGAGGAAGTTCTCGGCGGCGATCCTGTCGATCTCGTCAAAGTAGCTGTGGGGGAGGACGTCAGCGTCAGCGGGAACGTTTATGTCAGTGGTAGCGGTGGTGGGCGGCCGGATGCAAGAGCAACCAGAAGCCCGCTTCGAGTAGGTGTAAGTACGTACTATTGCGCCGAGTCACAAACTTGGAACTCGCTGCACCGCGAAAAGCAGGCCCTTACACCGGCATCGGCCCACAGCGTCCTGACAGCGATGTGCACGTCCGGCGACAGTTCTTGGGCGGTGATCTTCTGCCGCTGCGAGAAGATGAGGCTCGCATGTGGATTCGCGGTCGCGGGGCTGGCGAAGGGGATGCCAAACACGTCCATGGCCTCGAGGATGGCTTGCATCGACTGGACTATGTTGGTGAAGATGACGGCCTTGAAGAAGAGGCGTTCCTCGTCCGAGTAGCCTCCGCCGTTGATGAACTTGAGCTGCTTGAGCACGGTGGACTTGCCGCTGTCGCCGGTGCCTATGTAACCGTTAGAGAATGCGTGGCACTTCAAAAGAGGCGTACGGCGTGCGTACCGAGCATGAGGATCTTGATCTCCCGCGTCCGCGACACATAGTCGGACTTCAATCCCTTTTCGACCTGGTTGTGCTCGGCTCGCCCGTCGTCGTCCTCTTTTGTGAATGTGCAGCCCATCTTTTCCGGCCAGAGAATCGGGGCACCGACGACGAGGAAGACAATCAGGAACGCATGCAAGTGTAGGGAACAACCCACAGAGGGAGTCTGTTGACGTAAAGAGAGTGTGTGTACGGGTGTTGACTTGACACGGATTTCAGAGACGACTTAGTATGAGAGCGCCCTGAGACCCAAGTTAAGATTTCTCAACTTTCGCGCACCTCAGCGCGTGCCCCTCTCCCGCACAGGATGTACCACTACAGACGAGGTACAGTCATGCTGCTGCTCTCGGCACGTTGTCACCATAGGCACATTGTTGGTGGAGATGCTGAAGGGCCGCTGGAAATGCACTAAGTGCTTCAAGTGACCACGATCTCCCATGCAAGCGGCGCGTCTTGCAGCTTCCCCGGGGTGCAGAATCCAGTGATGAGTGACTACTTTCGCTTAAGACTTGGAGTGCATCATGACGTTCGGGTTTTTCATCTAGATCTCTTCACCCTTGCAGGACCAAGATGGCACGCCCCTCTTGGACCGATCTCTGCGACTCCGCACGCACGCGGCTGGGCAACTTCCCGGGCCTCACTCTATTGGTTTGGGCGCTCGAGCTAATGCAGGACGGCTGAGAAAACGACCCTGGTCACGCCTGGTGTGACACTTCAGCTCGCATACTCGTGTATCGGGACGAATCAGGGATGCGAGCAGCGGGCTACGGAGGCATTCTCCGAAGGTTCGAAGGAGCTTTCCCCATCGACTGCCTTGAAAGCTAGACGGCATACAGGTCCGTCGGCGAATCAAACAGTACGGGGTGGCACAGTTGAGAATGCGAGGCGAATGCTGGTGCAGGGCGTGGCTTGTTAGCACTTCAGGAGAACGAGGAGTCGTCTTCCACAAGGGTCTAGCCAGCCTGCGATGACCCGTGGCACGACGTTTTATCTCGTCTCTGGACCTGGAAAGCTGCTCATGCCCCGGGTGATAGCTCCAAGGGTCGAGGTGATCTTCAGATCTTGCTTCGGGACGTGCATCGACCCAGCCCAGCTCGGAAAGCTCAATTGTGGCTTGGGGGAGACGAGATAACTCTATGTATCGCCGGGCCCTTGTTCGTGCGCGACCACGCTGATTTGGGAGTGCGCTGGTCTCCGGCACCAGGGTTCCGGCAAATCGCAGTCACAATCGAACTGTTGGTGTTGTCCGGCCCAGAACACGCATCATGCGCCTCCTTCAGTGAGAACCCGAGTCCAGTCGAACTTTCTCCACACCTTCCTGAATCCATCGACTCTCTTGTCGGTACCTCGATGCCACCGACCTTGCCTCTTAATCACATCCGGCTCAAGTCCAAGCATGCCTCCAATGATTTCTCGCGCAAACAAATCACCTCTGGGCCACCGCTCCTGGTCCTCGACAATGTGCCCAAGCCCACCATCCAACTCGAACCACACGTGAAAGTAGGGTGCCTCTTTGACGAGAGTCCTTCGGAAGGCAAGCTTCCGTAATCCTCCTGACCTCGCCTTAGCAAGGGTGTCGATTATCTTTTTATGTTGCGACCATTCGTCCTCTGTGCTCAGAAAGGCTTCCTTGAAGAAGGCTGGTGCAGTTTCACCGAGGCTGTAGGGCAAAGGAACTACTGTGAGAGCGGCGTGCGGTTTCCTATGCGGAAACGCCGCGTTTTCGTAGAAAATGACATCGCGGCCTTGGTCGTGGAACAAGCGGGTGAGAGACTTCATAAAATTGCGGATCTCTTCCCATTCGTCTTCATCACATTCGAGTAAATTCGTGCGATGTTGGATTGGGACGATCATCGCGGACTGTGGTGAGAGTTCCGGTTCGGTCGGGAGTGTAAGATATGTTCTGGTCGCAAGAGAAACGACCGGGGCAATGGGAGGAGTATCGGTGTCCTCATGATGGCACAACGGGCAGTTTTCAAGAGTTTTGTTGAGCTTCTGGTATTCACCAATGGCCATGTTGCGGAGATTCATGTCGGACTTGTGGACATGCTTTGCCAGCTTTGTCGCATTCTCATCCATGTAATCGAGATCGTTGTCAAATTTCGCATCTTTAGCGATACGTTCTGCAAGACGAAGTCCATCACCAACCGCCTGTCCGCGAGTGCGACGTTCTTCGCGGACCATATCCTCAATACTCATGTCTTCGTTCTCTTCCACCTGACCACGCTCGGCTCCTCGTCGGTTCTGGACAGCTTTAACTTCGTTCCGCGGTGCGGATGACAGCATCCGGTTATTCATGGCGGATAGGGTGATGACCGCTGGATCTTGGGACTGGAATGCTGTTAATGCATCGTTGTACTCTTTCTCCAGCTCGGCCGCTTTGGGGTCTTTCCGCATTTGAGCTTTCATGAGTTGTGCCTTGAGCTTGTTAAGAGCTGTTTGATCGACTCTCGGAGCGACGGTATTGGTGGACGGAACAGGCAATTGTTCGAGTACGGTATCCGGGCTGGTCTCCTGTTCTCGACGGTGAGGCCGCCTGATCCCGGCATCGAGCTTCCGCTCCTGGAACAGATCGCCACTGGGTTTGTTCTTCCCTACATAGTCGTCTCCATAAGCCTTGCGTCGGTCGAGTTCGATTTCTTCTTCTCGTGCGTCGTCAAATTCCCGTAGACTATCGTATCGTTCTAGGGCGACATCTTCCACCCTACGGCCAGTTTCTTGGGCTTGCCGATATGTCGCTTTCAGCTTGGTCATGCGCCACTGAGATCCAGCATCTCCAAATGTGTAATCCACTTCATGCGCGGCAGGTTGGCTTTCGAGATCATCCACAGCTGTACCATTCTCTAGATCCCGCAGGTGGTGGTTCAGTTCCTTCTCATGTATTTTTAACTCGAAATCTACGCCTAGATTTGTTGTCTTCGGTGGGGAAGGCTCGGGTCTCTTCCTCTGCACGTAATCAATATCCAAGGCCGAAGGCGCCTCCATCCATGAATCACGCTTCAATCCACCCGACTCAGGCGTCTCTGACAGCGGTTGTTGCTCATCTTCGTCTGCACCTTGTTCACCTCTGCTGTGGCGATGATGTCTGTGCCTATGTCTGCTCTCCGACTCATGATCGTCCCTTGAGCGCCTCGATCTCTTCGAGCGATGGCCGTCCTCGTCATGGTAGTGTGAGTCGTGGTGCCTCGAACTCCGATGGTGGTGACGATGGCGATGCTCAGATTTGTCGTGCTCCCTGCGCTTTTCTCGCCTTTTCTCTGACTCTTTCTGCTCCGCCAGCTCTCTCTCAAAGTCTTCTAGAGTCATTCGGCGGTGTCTTGAGCAGTTGCAACGGATAGTGGGAAGTGCTGCTGATTGCAGTTGGTACGAGCAGTGTGTGACCTTGCGTGGGAATCTACTCCATACCTGGTACGCAGATACTGGGGAATGACATCCGGAGAAGGACCGGTCGTGACCGTTCACCACCGTTCCATGTCATTCAGAGCGGGATTTGTGTCATGATCTGTCATTTCAATGATTTTCCGTAAATTTCCTCGCCGAGGGCATTGAGATCTCCAAAATTTCCCAGATCCCTCAACTCTTGCTTCGCTAGACGTCGCAGTGACCACGAACTTGGGTGTAGCCGACATCATGGCGACTCATCCTGTTGCTGTAGTCTGTATCGGCATGGCCGGTGAGACAGTTTGACTTCGCATTGTACTGCAGATTCTGACTGTTTGAAACAGGTTCGGGCAAGACCACGTTCATGCAGAGGATCAACAACTATCTGCATGTGAACAAGAAGAAACCATATGTCCTGAATCTGGACCCTGCCGTCCTCAACGTCCCATTCCAGCCGAACATCGACATTCGCGATAGCATAAACTACAAAGAGGTTATGAAGCAGTACAACTTGGGTCCTAATGGCGGCATCCTCACGTCGCTCAACCTATTTGCGACCAAGATTGATCAAATCATTACCCTACTGGAAAAGCGAGCCAATCCTCCGCCGGACAGCAATGTACCCGCCCCGAAACATTTTCTGGTCGATACACCAGGTCAGATTGAAGTTTTCGTTTGGTCGGCGTCGGGCAGTATTCTTCTCGAGTCTCTGGCGTCGTCATTCCCAACTGTCATCGCCTATATCATTGACACGCCGCGCACCTCTTCTACGTCCACATTCATGTCCAATATGCTCTACGCTTGCTCGATACTGTACAAAACAAAGCTTCCCATGATTTTCGTCTTCAATAAGACGGATGTTCAGGACGCGGATTTTGCAAGAGAATGGATGACAGATTTTGACAAATTCCAAGAAACCTTGGATGAGGAGCAGCAGAAAGGTGTCTTCGGCGGCGAAGGATTTGGTGGAGGAAGTGGTTACATGGCCAGTCTGTTGAACAGCATGAGTCTCATGTTGGAGGAGTTCTATTCACATCTCAATATGGTTGCGGTGTCCAGCATGACTGGTGAAGGTGTGGATGAATTCTTCGAGGCTGTAGAGGAAAAGCGGAAGGAGTTCGAACGTCATTACAGACCAGAACTGGAGAAGCGAAGGAAAGAGCGTGAGAAAGAAGGTGCTACGAAGCAAGAAAATGATCTTACGAAAGTTATGAAAGACATGAAAATGGACTCCAAGACCAAGCCTAATGAAGCAGCGACGAAGGACTCCGACGAAGACGAAAGTGACGAAGAGGAGGCAGCCGATCCTGATGATTACCCTGACGCAGAACGCGATGACGACGAGGAGGGTTTGAAGCAAAGGTACAGGAATGCCCTGCGGGAACAAGGCATTCAGGTGGACGATGATGACCCCACGGTTGCAAGGATGCTGGCAGAGACGAAGCGAGGAGGATGAATTCCGACTGCACCAAGCACCTTTGTAAAGAATTCGACCTTTAGCATATGATACCCCGGAGCGGCGTTGACGAAAGTGTCATTCAACTTCGATTATGTTTTAACTGCCACAAACAAGAGGGCCACCGTTGGCCTGTCCATACCACAGTCCGAAGCACCGATCAATGTAGAATTGGTACACTCAAGTTTTCGTTTGACTTAGTTAACAGCGATGCGCGCAGCACTTGAAATGGAATTTCAGAGTGAAGGGCAAATGCCAAGACAGAAGGGGACCCACAGCCCACAAATCCAGGTGTGGTAGGGTGCGATTTTCGATATCGGAACTTCAAGTCGACCTTTAATCTGCGCCAACTTTCGACAATTCCTCCCTCGCACACCGCACACCACTGCTCAAGATGAAGTACATCTTCTCCCAGGAGCAGCTGGTCATCCCAGAAAATGTCAAGATCCACATCCGCTCGCGCATCGTCACCGTTGAGGGCCCCCGAGGTACGAGCATTACCCGCACTGAGGAATGCCAACGGAAGCAATAGAAAACAGGCAGAATCTTGGAGCTGACACTCGCTTTTGCACAGGCAAATTGACGAAGGATCTTTCTCACATCGCCGTCACTTTCACGGTCGCAAAGGACAAGGCGGGAAAACAACTCGTTCAGATTGAGATCCACCACGGCTCGAGAAAGAATGTCGCTACCCTCCGAACTGTCAAGTCACTCATCCAGAACCTCGTGATCGGCGTCACAAAGGGCTACAAATACAAGATGCGATATGTCTACGCTCACTTTCCCATCAACGTCAACATTGAAAAGAACGAAGAAGGATTGTATGCATTGGAGGTCAGGTAAGCGGAGGCCCTTGCACGACTTCATTTTCTGCCTCTACACACGCCTGCCGGAAAACACGGGAGCCATATTTCCCACATGGGGCCATTTGGGAGGCAACCGACTAACACCTCGATTTCTCATAGAAATTTCTTGGGCGAGAAGATCGTTCGAAACGTCACCATGCACGAAGGAGTTACCGTGGAAGCCTCAAAGGGTGTCAAGGATCAAATCGAACTCACCGGCAACAGCCTGGAGAACGTGTCACAATCAGCCGCCGACCTGCAGCAAATCTGCAGAGTGAGGAACAAGGATATCCGGAAGTTCTTGGACGGCCTGTACGTGAGCGAGCGCGGAAACATCGTCGAGGAGTAGATGATCCTGCATGCATGGAGGTGGTCGTGCTGTTGAATCCCTCTGGATCCGTGAAAGAAGGTCCCGAGGCGCAATGCATAGGTGGACGACAGCGTCATGCGTGGCGCATATGTGTTAGCATGGCTTGGATCAGTAAAGGCAGGAAGTCGATGGTCTTTCGCCGGGTCAAGACTTAGCCAAGGGGTAGACGAGACAAGAAACAATTTCAATTTTCCGCGAAACAGCGGTTGGTCTTGAAGAGACTTCTTCTGAGTGACAGCGTATGGTTCTCAATTCAGCGATCTCTCGCTGTATGAACTTGATGGCCAGTCATCGAACACCGCTCCGGCCAACTCTTTGGTCTTAGACCGTGCTACTTCTGGTCTTCACTCGTTCCAACTGGAGGGTTTCGACCTCCGATGTCTGAACCCGGCTCGATCGCAGTCATCCTACTCGAGGCCGCAGGCAGGAATAGCTGGTTGACAGCATAAACTTGTTCCAAACAATGTATTGATGGAAATTCCCGACTCTCGCCCCCAGTCACATACCTTGGTGGCGACGGACAGCATCGTGACTCTTCAGCAGGCTCCGTAACATTCAAAATCCCCGCGAGATTTTAGGCCAGGGATTCAGGCGATGATGAGTGATTGACGTGCACCCGCTCCAGATATGGTACGGGAGAATTCCCAATTCTCACATCCACTCCTGCAGGGGCCAGTCTTCCACTGGAGGATACCATGATCGCCTGATATTTTGATAATTCTTCTCAAAGCAAGATCAAACCACGTATCCTTTAAGCGCAGAGCGCAAGCCAGTTGAAATCGGACATGCCTATCAAGGATCGATCGGATTCCTTTGAACCTGAACCTGCCATTTGGCCTTGGGTTTCCTTTAGACCGTGCTTTCGTGATGATCTTTGCCCAAGAGACGTACGACAAGCATGCGCGGAAAGAGGCTGATGCATTGATCTTGAGCCATCATGCAGTACTCGTGTGTTTGTACATTCATGAGGCATCCGATGGCCGGGACACAGTACGGAGCGGCAAACGGAACGAACTTCCATCACGCCAGTCATTACTGTACTAGTGCGGTGGCGTGTGTTACACTTCCGGTGGCTACAGCCGTCCATACCGGCTGACAGAGGGATGGGTCAAAGATCCGGCACAACGGCCAAAGTTACAGACAGAGATCGATCTTTCAAAGCCAACAATGGGCGCGTCGTCTACTTCCTATGGATTTGGTTGGCCGCTTATTTTAGCGGTCAGGACGATACATAAGCCCAATTCTCCCTTTGACCTCGAGCGCTCGCGCCTTCTGGCTCGCTCCGATCTTGCTGCTACCCTGCCGCAACGATCTGAGATGCAGGATTAACGACGCCTCGCTGCCTGAGAAACCCATCGAGGTCAGCCTTCGACACGGGAATCGTCTCATGCTCGACCTCGTGCACGACGCCTCGCAGTTCAGGGAAGACTTCTGCAAGTCTTTGGCTAATTGACCAGTTTGAAAGATCACATACGTGCGTCGCAAAGCTCTCTGATACAGTCATTTTCCCGGTCTCCGAGTCGATGTCCACCGCGTTTTCCAGCCGGTGCTCCCAGTTGACGCTCGTTCCCAGCGTCTGTGTCGCGATGATATAGTCACGCATATCCTGGATGAGCCCGTCGCGCAGCTCGGGACTAGGGTCGGTACATCTTAGAATGGAAGTCGTCGTTGTTGGGTGGACGATGCACTTACAAGATTGGCAGGTCGACTCCGGGATGGTGCCTGACTAGCCTTTGCATTGGGGTTGGCCTCATTGCCTCAGGTAGCAATGCATATGTCTCGGCGGACGGCGCGATCGACCACTAGTGTTTCCCTGTCAGCTGGACCTCGCACTCGCTTGCCATGGTACTAACACGCATGAAACGGGCGTAAGTAAAGATGTAGGCCAATGCCACATATGTGTCAAAGCCCGTCAAGAGACGCATGAATTCGCATGCCCAAGTCGCTGGCGTGTGCGGATCATCAGGCTGGCGGTCACGAAAATACAGGGCCAGGTCGACCTTCGGATTACCCAATACAGATTCCACTGGTTGCCCCTCGGCAATCTGCCGTCGACCATAATCGCGAAAATCGGTGTACACGGCCGCCAGCGGGCATCGTTCCTCGTCAAACAACAGTGGCTGTATCAGGTACTCTGGGATCCGAAGGTCCAGAAGTTGCTGTTGACGCAACGTTATAGTCCCATACGTGGTCTTAACCTCCACTGGTAGGAATGTCATCTCGCCGAAAATGCTAATGATCTCGATGCTGGGAGCAGTGTGGTTCCCCGAACAAAAGACCCGGAAGTGGTCCCTCGCGTCCGATACACCAGGACTTCGCGCGTTCATATCAGAGGGTGCGGCTGAAGTCGACTGGTCGCTCGATTCAATTTGACTATGAATCATGGTGGATGGATCTGATTCCATTGTGCCTCCTTCACCGCTTCCGCGGGGCGTGGCACGCCGCCTCTGCAGCTGGCCTCGCTGGCTCACATCGTTCTCGACCTGTCCGCGATCTGTGTCTCGAGCATAGGGCCAGTTTCGCTTCTGCAATTTGTCAATGTACTCGGGCATTTCCATACCGAGCCTCTGCGCAAGCTCTTGACTGCGAGCATCCTGGCGCAACATATTATGCACTTCGCGTCCACCGGCGCCGATCAATTCGAACAGGCGACGCAGCAGTTCTCTTTGAAGTGCCGCTTCCGTTTCGGCGCGTTCCCGTTGGATCTTTCGTCGCTTGTCTTGAGTCGCATCATACACACATTCGATGTCCAGTCGACTGCAAATACTGCAAGGGTGACCTCCAGAGCACTGTAGTATTGATCCCGCCACATCAGCAACTTATCCGCTGGTGCTTGAAACTCATGTTACCTTAGATCTTCGAGCCTTGCAACTCAGACAGGCTATTGAGGCTTTGCTTCGCCGACCCGGGTCGAAGGCACTGCCGGAATTGGACAACTCCATATCGCTATGTGGTTTTGCCATTGGCGACGAGAGAAAGGCACGCAATGTGCTTGCCTTGATGAAGCTGGAACAGGTGGCGATTCGATGTCCTACCGATCATCTCCGAGATGGTATCGGAGGACAATTGGGTTCGACAGGGCAGGGGAAAGGGGAGCGGGTGATTGATCGGGGTGGAGGGCGCAAACTCCTGTCAACCATGTCAGTATTGTCAAAGTACTTCGGCAACATGTTGTGCCACCTGCTGCGTGCTGCGAAGCGCTGTACAATGGTAAATCAGGAACCGTCTTTAGCTGTACATCTGGTTTCGTCACGTGCGGAGGCTTTTGCGCCACGAGGTCACGTGCCGGACTCCAATGTTGCCACTTGGGTGCCTGTCAAAATTTTCTAGGTACGAGGTGCTCCGTATTATGTATGTACACAATAGGAGGAGGCAACGCCCAAGTGGCGAGACACACAACTACCGTAGGAGGTAGAGCTGCTGGTGGCGACGGCATATGGGAAACTCGAAGCCACAAGTTCTGTCTGTATGTTTATCCCTACCTCGTGCACTGGGATGCAATATGAGCACCGCGAGCTCTATTGCGTGCATCAATGCTCCCGATGTCCAACGTTTCATGTTCATATTGCCCACAATGCTGGGTCAATCGGAACTCTGCTCGCCGCCCTGCACTACGCAAGTACAGAGCTCTTTCGCCGCCTCACAACACGGAACTTGCTCCACACCGTGTTCCGCCACGGCCGCATGCTGACACAGTCAGCCAAATGCAATTGATCACTCTTTATCTTTGGTCTTTGCGGAGAGGCGCCCGTATTAGAGCTTAGAAGGCTCCCGAGACCTCATCAGAAGCTGTAAAGAAGCGAACTCTATGGATCGAGAGCAAACTTCCCATTACGTTGTTTAAGTTCTACCCCAAGACACGTAGAGTAGATCAGCTGTAAGACGGCGACTGCATCGGCGATTCGCGAGAAGATCGTCTTTGGAATCGCCCAGCCTCGCGGAGAACTTAAAGCCCAACTGAATTACTAACGTTCATCAGGCTTGAGCACAAGGACACGGATTGCCGGTAACGAGTACGAAATGGGCCAAATCAGGGTGTTCACCAACTATCAGTCGCTTGGACATGTCCAACAGATTCAGCGACAACATGTACCTGCGGCATGTCATAGAAGTTTAAATGCACGGTCTCGCTCTTCGCAAAGCTACCCTTATCCGCGCTTTTCATGAGCCGCTTCGCATGTACGCGGCCGTTTGGCTGTGTTTGTGTGAGATCCTCCGTGCTCGGCTGAATATCCGAGACCCCATGCTACCACCAATTGCATGCGGAACAGTCACTTTGCCGTTTGAGCTATGCGCATCCTGTACGTCGTGCATGGGAGACTGGAGCAGCAAAGCAATAACTTGACTGTGAGCGAACGGGTTGGTAGTGACTAAGTTAGGAACACGATGGCGGCCCTTGCCCCAATCCCGTGGCTTGTCTAAGTTGGCTTGCGCGATGGTGGCTTGGTGGTATGTGGTGGTGCTGCCATGTCAGCTTGGAGGCCACTCCACTTTCGAGGCTTCGGGCGCAGCCACGGCGTGTGTCTCCGCCTCTCACGCCTGAGATGCATCGCCGCGGGCAGTGGCATCTGGTGCCCGCGCCTGCCTGGTCGCCAGCCTTGCCTCCAATCCACAAAACGTTAACCCGTGACTGGGCAGTGAGCAGGTGCAAAGTGGCTTGGCATTTCAGCTTGCTGCAGCCTGTAGTGCGTCAACGACTCTGTTGGACCCTTCGTCTTCTGTTGGATCAGAGGTTACCACCTCGACTACTCCGTATCTCCACCGCATCTCTTGTTGGTAGATCTGCTCAACATCTCTCTACCTTTATCGTCAATTCATTTATTACTATCCTTTGTTACCTATGAACGCGCTCTCTTAACCACCTGCACCTCCTCCGTGCGCTCGCCTTGATCGCGATTATTCTTACAACCAACTACCCTATACAAAATACCCCAAACGGTCGTTGTTGTTTAACGGCTCCACCACCAGCTCCACCAGCCGTTTGCGACGCCCGACCAGCACCAGCACACTTCAGCGCAATCTCTAAGATACGCTGCGGCGGTAAAAACAATGCCTTTCTGCGGCGGCAAGAAGGTGATGCAACGCAAGCTCGTCCTTCTGGGCGACGGCGCATGCGGCAAGACTAGTCTTCTGAACGTCTTCACCCGCGGATTCTTCCCGGTTTGTCTGATGCCTCGCTCCCCTTCGGATCTTCTTACGCTTCATGCGCCTGGATCTGTGCCTGTACTGATGCTGTCTGCTTAATTAGACCGTGTACGAGCCAACCGTATTCGAGAACTATGTCCACGATATCTTCGTCGACGGGATTCACATGGAGCTGTCGTTATGGGACACGGCGGGACAAGAAGAATTTGATCGGTTACGATCACTCTCCTACGATGACACACAGGCCATTATGCTGTGCTTCAGTGTCGACAATCCCGGATCTCTAGAGAACGTGTCGACGAAATGGATAGCTGAAATCAATGAACACTGTCCCGGCGTTAAGATCGTCTTATGTGCTCTGAAATGCGACCTGCGGGAAGAACACGAAAAAGAGGATGACGAGGAGAACAACGAGCCTCCACGACCCATGATTCAGTATAACGAGGGGTTGGAGGTCGCGAGGCGCATCGGCGCTTTGAGATATCTCGGTACAGTCTATGGTGGATCGCAAACGTGACACGAAGGCTAACCAGCGGTACAGAGTGCTCTGCGATGCGAAACCGAGGCGTCAACGAAGCATTTACAGAAGCCGCACGAGTCGCGCTACAGGTCAAGCCCGCTCGATCAAAAGACGACTCTAAATGCTCGGTTATGTGAACAACGTCGCACTCTTCATCTACCACTTCCTCACGAATCTCACCCGACTCTTCCGCGGCCACCTACCCAGTTCCTCCTGGAGTTCTCAGCCTCCAAGTTCCTGCATGCCACCTGCACATCACCTTTCTTGCACATACTCTCGTCGGTGCGCCGTTTGACATTCGATCCAGGGAGCAATGATTTTGCTTTGATTTTAGCGTTTCTCGTTTGGGATGTTGCCTGTGATTCGGAAGCCGCGGGGGCTATGCGATTGGCGTTCGTTGGCGGTTGAGATCTAGACGTTTGATCTTGACATTGGTGATGAACCAAGTTGGCAGTAAGTGCCCGCGTCGAAAGTGCAGTGGATTGGGACGAGATCATCTGCTCAGCAAGTATCACTGTGTTCCGCTGAGCCTTAGAGAACCTTGGTGTGGCAAAGTTTTGGCATAATCAAGAAATGATACCATTGACCAAGGGTTGCCCATTACTTCTTCCCCTTTCACCGCTGGCTTCACCAGAGGCAAACGGAGCACCTTCCTCGACCAACACCCAATCCTTGACGCCTCCCTTCCAATCTGCTGTTCTGCCTTCTCGGACGGGGACGACAACCACCCTGACATCATCACCTTCAATATAACAACTGCTGTTCTCGGTCTCTGGATTTTGTGGCGGTGCACCGAAAAACCCAGCCTCCTGCCTGACTTGTTCCCCAAAAGTGTTGTTCGCCAGATGAGCTGCTTTGCACCACCTTTCCTCTTCGCTTCCCTGCTCTAGAAATCTCGCTTCACCCGCGATGGTGGTTGATATTGAGCTCAAAGCCGAAGTATTCAGGTTCAGCAGCAGACTGGCGAGACTGGACCTTGTTGCTGCGGCCGGCGGAGAGCCTGCACGGTCGCCACTTACAGAGGAAGCCGTGGGCGGTCTATGTGACACCCAGTCGTGGACGAGTATTGACACTTTGGGGTTGTGCCGCAGATTTTGTGTCTTCATGGACTGCGCATTTGTGGTCATGATGATGACGGGGCCATGGTCGTTATATGAAGGTAGGAAAGTATAGTTCATCAGAGAGACGTGCGGTGTCGCAGGAGATGTCTCAGTCGCGCTGATTGTCGCGAGATGAAGGAAACGAGCGTTCTTCAGGCATTGGGATACTTCAGGTGGAAGGGTCGTTGCGATTTGTGGGTTCGTCGTCGTGCTGGAGGCTTCGTAGTTGAGCGGCGGGTTGTGAACGTCGGCCATTGCTGGCACGGGACGATATCAACGCGGTCCTCGTTTCACGGGGATGTAGTAAGACGGTTTTATATGTGATTGCGCAGTTCTGAGAGTGATGCATGTGAGGATTTCAGGAGTCGAATCGTCACACATGCCCATCGAAGGTTGATCAATTGGGCGGCACCCCGCAAACCCATATGGGCATAGCTCCGTCTAGATCCAGCGCCCTCCAGGCTAAGGCTCGCACCACTCTAAGCTCCCCCAGTGACGTCGACCGTTGCCCCCTGCTGGTGCTTCCCTGTCCACAACAACCGGCCTGGTCAATCCTCACTCCCCAATCACCTTCAGCAGCTGTCAAATCAGTACAACCCCGAGTCACCACCCACGAGCGCCTGCATAGAGGTAGCTTTTCCCCGCGTTCTGCTCTCTCAAGCAAGCAGAACCCCAGTCTTCAGCATCCACGCCTAAACGTTCGGCAACTCCTTTCCTCCTTCGACATCGACCACTGGGGCTTTCTCCGGCACAATACCTTCATCCCTCCCTTACTGGCCGTTGGCTCGAGATTCCCGTTCTTCATTCAAGCTTGGAAGATATACCTTTGCTGCAATCGCCAGGGACAGTCTCACTTTGAAGAGCTTCACCTCTATCTATCTTGTTCGGCGGCCACACTCTCTCTTGCTCCCGCCAAAACACCAGCAGCATGTCGGCCACCATGCTTGCCCGCCGTCTGCTACCACACTCTCCCTCGTCTCAGACCTCCATGGTTCGTGCCTTCACCTCGTCTGCCCTGCTTCGAGAGCCTCGGCGTAGTCCCGCAATGAGCGACATCACTCCCGACTCAGCAGAGATCTTCAACCAGAAGCAAAAGGAATTCCGAGATGGACTTGAAGCGGCCCGGAAGAGAAAAGAACAAGCTGATAGTCAGTTACCTGCTGCCTCTACGTCTGAATCTTCTTCATCTGCCAGTGCTGCCGCGTCTCGTTTGTCTGAAACCCTGGGCCTGGGCTCACTGTCTACCGATGCATCTACAGAAGAAGCACGACAAGCCGAAACGGATACGTCCACGAAGCGATCAGGGGCCCTCTCCAGCTTGATTTACGGCACGCCCGAGGGCCGGAACATGGATAAAGAGATGGAGCGCTCCTTCTCTCAAGTGCTAGCCCGAGGCAAATATGTTCATTCGATCGTTTTCCACGACGTGAAGCCAGACAAGGTTGACGAATACGTCGAGCTGGTGGGGAATTGGTATCCCAGAATGGCGAATGACCCGGAGCAAAAGGTGCATCTGGTGGGCAGCTGGAGAACAGAAGTTGGCGAATGCGAAACTTTCGGTATACTCACTCTCACACGGAGGAGTCCAAGCTAACCAAGGTCTCGCAGTCCACATTTGGGAGTACCAACGTTACACTGGTTACCACGGATCACTGCACAGCATCCAGCACCATCCCGAATTCCCGGCTTTTGAGAAGCAGTTAAACACCTTGATCACGTCCAAGAAAATCGACCTGATGCAGGAGTTCTCGTTCTGGCCCACTACACCACCTCGGAAGCTAGGCGGTCTATTCGAGCTGCGATCATACACATTGCACCCAGGCAATCTATTAGAGTGGGAGACGCACTGGCGGAAAGGGCTCAAGGCGCGGCGGGAGGTCATGGAAGGCGTAGGAGCCTGGTTCGTCCAGATTGGAGATCTGAATACGGTCCATCATCTATGGCAGTTTGCTGATTTGGAGGAACGGAAGCTGAGGCGAGAGATGTCGTGGGGTATCGAAGGATGGGGTGATACTGTGCACAAGACGGTGCCACTCATTCAGACCATGAAGAGCAAGATCCTGATTCCTATGCCCTGGAGCCCTGTCGGCTAAGCACGCATCGGGCGAGAGTGCCGCGCCACCTCTCTGCATTGAGGAGGGTTGACTTTGTTTGTGGTCAATCTCATTCGGAGGGGATATTGTCCACCTTGGGGAAGAAAAAACCCAGCGAGCCACAAGCAGTTTCCCAGACTGGCTTTTGTTCTTGCAGCTGGTCAGTAGATCGGTGGACCGAGTCCAGGCGAACGAGCACTACATCCGGCGTTGTAGCGTACACAGTACGGGGACCAGCAATCTCAAGCTGTACCTCGTAGCACCTCAGTCTTATGACACAACAAATACCTAGGTTCGCTTTCACCAAATAAATCCGACATCCAATCTTTACAGGTCGAGTGGGACCCATTTAGCAGGTCTTTCGGAGAAGGACTCCAGGTTTGCTGTGGCATGAAAACTTCCATACTTTCCGTCTTCGGTAGGTATGTTGCCGTATCGAGAACACCGTGGGGGCCTTGAGCCCATCCCTCGCCTCGTCCTGCATAAAGCTCAGCGGAAGAAGATTTCTGGTACTCAGTCGGCACGTTCCAGAGTCCGCCAAGCATCACAAGTGGTTGTGGTAGACCGGCTGTTTTTCCCGGCCTTCCTGATTAGTCATCCCCTGAAAGTAACCGAGCTGGAAAGCTTGTGATTGGATCCGGAGAATACACCCATCTCCTTTTCCACCGCGGGCACGCGCAGGCCATCGTCTTGCCACTCGCTTGCAACAATCACCATGCTCAGAAGCTACCTAGGTAGTACCAACAGTACCTCGTACTGGGGCCTTTTGATTCCGTAACCCTTCTGCCTGTGCACACTACGAGTACGATTGGTGCACCAGAATGTTTGACTTTGCCTAGAAAAGGTACTCCCGGCCGTGATCCGCTCTGTGGCTCGTGCTCGTATGGGTCGGAGCTCGAAGGACGTGGTGTCGAAGTAGTATGGCTCCTTCTGCCAGCTGATTCCGGACCCCGCTCTTGATTTGGCGGCGATATCGTCTCCATATCTTGACTGCTATTGCCTTTCTTATCGTGGTGAGGAGTGTCGGCCCCTTCTGTTGGCGGACATTCCAGATCTAATTGAGCGCCAATTTGACACAAGTTCACCAGAAACTGCCTCTCATAGGGCGCCTTCCGTCTCCCACCTCCCGATGAGCTGGGCCCGGTGCACCATTTCACTTTTGCTTCTGGTTGCTCGAACGAAAATTATGCCTCAGTAGCCTCGAGCCGGTGCCTACAGAAGAGAATCACCTATGCCACCATCTCCGGATAGGAGGGGATGACCTCACCGCGCAATGTACGAACTTACCACAACAACCAGGGGCAGCCATTCGGGATATCTCCGAAGTGAGACGAACTGATCACGCACTTTGGCAATGCACGTTTCGTGACAGATATTGGTCGTCCTGGTTACCCTGGAGAGTTTCATGCACTCGTCGGCTGGTGGTATCGGATGTGGACGACTTCTCGCCCGACACGGTGAGATGGGAAGAGGCTTCAGTGCACTGATAGTTGGTTGGATCTGGGGTAGCACTGTAGTGGCCAGCATGGTGTTGTGGTGTCCTTTTGCCCCTAGTGACTGTCAGGCGCGCGAGTTGTAGATACACCACATCGCTCCCCCGTGAGCATGTATTGTAATTGTGAGCCTAAACTCAGCGCACAGCTGGGATGGTCTTGGCGATTTCCTGCCAGTTTATTTCCAACAGGACGCCAACAAGGCTGGTGTCACAAGGCTGGCCACGCGAGCCACGTAAACCGCGGGAAAACCTCGGCTGTCAAAAAAGTTCATGCACTCGCTCTTTGAGAGCGTCCTACGCTTCAGGAATCAACTCTACCACCACCAAGCGTAGAATAATGCTTTCCCGTGCACGTTCTTCGAGACTGTGCCATGGCTGTCGACAAGATTTCCAGGCCCTTTTTGAAAAAGGCTTCTGCGGACCGCCCGTCGCATTGAAGAGTGGCACGGCGCGCTTGCCCCTGCAATGGCGAAGACCGGCTGGTCGACAGCACCGCCAATTGAGACACCTGAGCGGCAATGCTGCCTCCTTCCAGCAGCAGACTTCTTCCGGCCATCGGAGTGGACAGCCTCAGCCCGATGACGAACCCCCTGGAGATGATCTCGATACAGAACAACTGCAAGTGCTGCAAGAGTTGGAGACTGCGCTGGGACGACCCGTAGAAGAAGCAATCGAGGAAGATCGCGCTGCTAGCCCAAGCATACAAGATCTCTTCCCGGACAGTCAACTGTATCAGTATGAGGGTGATGCCGATGTTGTGCGAGGGACGAACGATCCCCTGGCCGCTCTGCGTGCGTCTGGGGCATCACATGAGGATCTTGTGCGAGAGGCAAGGCAGGTCTACGGTGATGGCCTACCCCAAAATGCACTAGACGAGGAAGAGCTGAAGATCTACAAACGACTATATGGCGAGCCCAGGTCCTTGTCCTTTGAGGAATTTCTCGACGAGGAGGAAGCCAGCGCAGTCGAGGAGGCGGTTCCCCACCAGCTGATGGACCAGGATGGCGAGCTCGTTGAATACGATGCGTCGCCTGCTGTCGCAAAAGAGGACGAGATCGCGGAAGAAGAGCACGTCCCACAAGAAGGCAAACCCCAAGCTGCAGTGGGAGGAATCGGTCTTGGTTCTGGTGGCGACGACAATTTCTCGCCCTTTGCGCCGCCCGATGTACGCGTACAGGATATTGCGCGCATGCTTAATGGTCAAGTTCTCGAAGAGGGCGATCGACTAGAGGAAGATGAAGCTGATGAGGAGTTCGACGAAGAGGTAGACCCAAGCATGAGAGAGCACCCTTTTACACGGCTCGGGAAGTTCGCCACCACTCCCCGTAGCGTGTTCCTCTCTCAAGATAACTTCGTTGAACCCGTACAGAGAATTATGAGCAACTTCTCGAACAAGCATCTCAAAGAAATGTGCGAGAAGACCTTCGGTGGCCCTGGCTTCCCTGATTCGCCCTTGACACCGCGATCCGGTCGATCCAGGCGACAGGTGCCCATCCCTCTTGGGGCGAATCAAAACCTTATGGGAGAAATGGAAGCGAACGCCTACATCACTACGATTATGCCGCCTACCTACGCAGCCATTATGTCCGTTCTAGTGGAGACGCGCAAACGACTCGGCACCACTTGGTTGAACAAGCTCTTGGCGAAAGATGGCGGACCGCGAGTGCTCGACGCTGGGGCTGGGGGAGCAGGTATCCTCGCCTGGCGTGAGATAGTTCATGCACATTGGGATACTCTTCACTCGTCCGACAAGGACCCCGTTCCTCCTCCGCCACCCACGAAGTCGGTGGTCCTCACCGGGGCAGATACCCTAAGACATCGGGCCGCAAAGCTGTTGGAGAATACAACTTTCATCCCACGCTTGCCTGATTATGTGCACACCCGCGACGCGCCGACATTGGAAGACGATCGACCGGCACAGCAAAGAAAGCAGTTCGACGTGATTATAGCGCCGCATACGTTGTTCCCGCTACACGAGGAGTACATGAGAAAGAACCATGTGCAAAATCTGTGGTCCATGCTTTCCTCGCAAGGTGGCGTGCTGATACTCATTGAGAAAGGGATCCCCCGCGGGTTTGAGGCGATCGGTGCTGCTAGGGAATTGCTCCTGGAGAGGCATATCGCCATTCCCGAGGGAGCAACAACAGAGTACAGCCCCGTGCACAATGACCCAGAAGATGTCCATTCTAGAAGCACAGGGATGATCATCGCACCTTGCACCAACCATGAGAGGTGTCCAATGTACAAGACTCCAGGCCTCTCAAAGGGGCGGAAGGACTTCTGCTCTTTCCAACAACGGTATATCCGACCGAGCTACCTCCAACGTGCACTCGGCGCCAAAGACCGTAACCATGATGATGTCGACTTCTCGTACATCTCGGTCATGAAGGGAGAAGACCTCCGTCAACGACAGATCCATTCTTGGTCCAGCCTCGAAGACTCCCTCTCCGCACCTGTTCATCCCAGTCCCCAAGTCGCCACGGAAGAGTACGAATCTTGGACAGAACTGTCCGCCAAGGGCTTCGAAGAGGTCCACCCAGACAACAACCTCACAAACATCCACTCCTTATTCAGCGACGCCGATAAACCTCCCTCAACCCTACCCTCGGCCCACACGCTGCCTCGTCTCGTCTACGCACCCATGAAAAGGCGTGGCCACGTAATCCTCGACGTCTGCACGCCTCGCGGCATTATTGAACGTTGGACTGTGCCCCGGTCCTTTGGGCGTCAAGCGTACCGTGACGCGAGGAAGTCCCGATGGGGTGATCTTTGGGCTCTGGGCGCAAAGACTCGAATACCCAGAAACCTACGACTAGGCGGCTTGAACACCAAAGAAGCGAAGAAAGCACGAGGCCGGAACGAAAGACTGAAGCAGCAAGCGCAGGACCTGTTGGAAAAGATGCACGAGGAGAAGCTCGACGAGATGGATGAGATGCAGGAGATGGAGAGAGAGTTCAGGGAAGGAAGGTTCTTGGACGAAGCAGACACAGCGAAGAAATCCAAGCCCCACAAGATCAAGAGAGAGCAGTCCAATGGAGGAGTCGAAGCGTTTACAATGGACGATTTCGACATGAACGAGCTGAACCCGCCTCTAATATCGAGCAAGAAGCAGACGCAGAATCAGAACCAGGTCCCTTCATCCCTCGGACGCCATACGGCGAGGCAAACAGAGCCGTCCACGCCAGCTGCATCAGCAGGGAAAGACGATCTCACCCCCGAAGAGATGCAGACTCTCCGCGAGTGGGACGACATTCTTGCTGGAGGATCGGGCATTCCCATCAAGGGCGCCCGGTCCATGAGGCAGTATTCCAAGTTCGCGCCGAAGGGAAAGAAGACCGAGATAAGGAAAAGCGGAAAGATTCGGTAAAGGCGAAGGCGAGGATGACGATGGCGATGAACACAAATCTTCACCCACTACGTCTGCCCTTGCGTTGGGCTTATCAACCATGGACCATACCCCCGGGGCTGTGTACAATGTAGAACATGTCACGAGGACAGCCCGGCACGGCACACATGTAGAATACATCCACTCATCCCTTCTCCCTCTACCTAGCATAGGGGCGGACATGTGTATACAGTATTCCAGCCCCGTCCTCTTGTTAGCTTGTCGCTCAACATCAATCAACATGGCTGATAACGTGTAGTACGCAGTAAGCGACATCAGCCTCTGTCAAGCCGCGTGGGAACGTGTATGCAATAGGAACATGAACATCATCATAGACACGCACACAAAGATAAGGCGCCAAGCAGATACCTGAAATGCACGGAACTGAAATTACCTGGGTACCCTAGATATACGCATATGTCGGTCGGTACGGACACAACTACGCCAGAGCCATGGCCCGGAGAATGCGACTCTGTCTGAACTCCCACCACTCCCTGAAATTGCCATCCCCCGAGAACGGCGTGTCCACGACGAAACAGTCACTCCAACTGGCTCCCCCCACCGCGGCGGCCGTGCCTGGGACGGGAACGTCCAGCACGCCCGCCGAATCCCTGTAGAAGAGGCGGATGGGCCTTGTTTCATCGAGCACGTGCACCACGATGGTCACGGCCGCGAACATCAACAGCGCGATGAACGCCAGGACCGTCATGCCGATGGCCCGGCCCGGCAGTTTGTGCGTCTTGAGCTTCTCCGGGAGGGAGAGGCTAGCGTACTCGCGGTCGCGGCCGTGCGTTTTGGCGTCCTTGAGCGTCAGCGCGTGCAGGAGTTGTGACGGGTGCCTGATTGCGTCGGGGATCCAGCGCGAGGCGAAGAGCAGGACGATCAGGCCGTACAGTAGGCCGACTCCCCCAACAATGATCTCTGCCAACACCATGTATGTCATGAGGTTGGGGTCGAGGTCTGGGTCTTGGTTCCTGTCGGACAGGAGACATGACTTTGGGTAGGTCATTGTGTGGTTGGGGCCGTATGGTTCGAAGGTGGCGTCGCAGCCGACAAGGTCGGGGAGATTGTCCGCGAACGCCGCGCACGATCGCATGTTGCGGCCAGTCTTGAAGCCGAGGAGGCATGGGCAGGTGCCGCCTTGGACTGTGAATTCTTGGTACGACGTCTCCTTGTGCTTGACGAAGGAGAGCAGCGCCAGGATGATGCACGCGTAGATGACGCACAGGTCGACGAGGATCAGCAGGTACAGGATGCGTGGCATCGCGCGGCTGCCCAGGTACGTTTGCACCGAGGTGAACATGATGACCACGCTGATCACGCCGGGGTATGTGTGGCGTGTGTCGCCTCTTGTGATAGCGATCAGGATCACCACCAATGCGATGGCACGGACGGTTGACCATCCTATGCCGATGATCGATGTTACCAGGGCAAACCGCCCGAGGCCGCCGTATCTGTTGGTTTCGCCGTATGAGGAGAACGAGACCGCGCTGGCGTCGCTCGGATTCCGTTGGTGCAGGGGATAATAGGCTTTGGGATCGTGTGGGTAGGGGTGAAGGAGGATATGATCGATATTAGCACCGCGTTGATGCTTCGGCTCCCAGGACTTGTATGAGGCTTGGACTCCCAGGAAACCAAGTATGATGGACAATGCGACGCTCCCGAGGACCCATGGCCACGGCGTCGGTCGATGGATCCAGTGTGCGTAGAGGCTCGAGACGTGGGTGGGATCGAGGTAGCCGTGAAGGAGGGATGTAGCGCTACCTGGTGTGCTGGACATCTTGCCCGACGACTGGCGCTGCGGGATGGAAAATGTCCACTTCAGCCTTGACCACACCTTTGTGCCAAAGCCTCACTGGCCGACTGCTTGCCACAGGTGATGGCGTGGACTTCGACTCTAGATTTAATAGTCTCCCATGTTGGTCAGGCTGCAGGTGTTTTATGACATCTGGTCACTCGATCCGGAGGGGACCAATGTACGAATAAAATTAAACTGCGTGTATGCTTCGCTCAAGCGCCGCAGCGTAGGGCTGTGCTGGGTTGAGCTGGACCTGCTCTCCAGCAGAACAGGGCGGAAGCGCTGCAACAATTTATCCATCTCGGAGGAGCCAGTCGCGACCTGCTGCTAAAAGGGAGCTATTCGCGATGCTGTCGAAAACCACGAGTTTCCCCGCTTGGAAGTCCAATCGTCGTTGGCCCGCAGAGTCATACCTGTAAAGAGATGCAATACGAAGTTCTTCGCGCTTGATACCAGTCCTGCCGACGGACGTTTCCCACGGCCAATGAGGTTGCCGGGAATATTGTCCAGCCCGATCCGTATATGCAGCCACTTCCGCTTGGGAGCTGAAAACTTGGGGAATTTTGTTTACCATTAACGATATATCGAGCGTCGCTGTTGGTTAGATCTGTGTGAGTCAAGCGAGAGAGGCTTGCTAAATTGACCGGCGGATAAAGGTCTTTTGTTGACCGAGCAGACGGAGATGGCCTTCCTAACCCCGGATGACAGAACGTATGTCATCTTCTGCGCGTCCTTACCATAGGAAAGAGTCTGACGAGGGATCATGATATGACTCATCAAGGGACAAAGTGGTCGTCGTGACTTTTGCTGGTCATGTCGAAGTATGATGCGAGTCCAAATGAAGATCAGCAAATTGTATGTTGCGAATGTTGTTCAGGGTGGTTGAAAGATCCACAGTAGAATGATTACGGTAGATCAACAGCTCCGATCCGTATTCAAGATCTCTTCCAGCACCACAGCCCGACAGACGCAGCTAGCAAGCAAGCCTCGGCGAGTTCTACTCGGTGTAATGGTGTCCGGTTAAGAATATGGAAAACTCGCATCCAGAAAGGCCGTTGTGGTGACACCATGGTCAAGCATTAACCAGCACCCGATAGCAACCGCGGCATCCCGCTTAGTCACCATTCAGGTCCCACCACACGCCGACGTTCGCATCGAGTGGCAGGGAATCGGTTATTCGCGGGTAACTCCCAGTCTCACTTGTGTTCAAATACTTCAAGAGGTATTCTGCAGAATCTTGCGCCAACGTAACCGAGTAAGGGATTCTAAGAAACTCACAATGAAGGCCGTACCTTCACTGCAGGCACTACGCTTCTTGCAGCATCTTGCGCACGGTCGAAGTCCGGCTACGCGACCGCGAGCATATCCCCCCTTCCTTCGCTTGACTAGGCATCTCCATGCCACAACCAGGTTGGACAGAACAGAAACACATACACTGTCAGATATTGGTGAGGGAGTGAAAGAGGTGCAGATCATCCAGTGGTTTGTGGAAGAGGGAGCTCCAATCGAGGAATGGAGTCCTCTCTGCGAAGTCCAAAGCGACAAGGCCTCGGTCGAGATCACCTCCAAGTATAGCGGCATCATCAAGAAGATCCACTTCCCTCAGGACGCTGTAGTACAAGTCGGCGATGGCATGGTAGACATTGAGGTGGAAGGCGATCCACAACCACAAGAGTCGGCTGATCAACAAGCACAGCAGGATCCAGGCGGCACTGCTGATGAAGAACAAGTACTTGAAGGCGGTAGGGGCGTTGCGCCGGAGGAGCCAATGCCGCCGCCTGAAGAGCCGAAGATACCAAGCAAGCACGCCTCTCTTGCTACTCCCGCAGTTAGAGGTTTGCTGAAGGAGCACGGTATTGCGATCGAAGACATCTCAGGAACTGGCAAGGAGGGCCGAGTGCTGAAGGAAGACGTCTATAAGTATCTCGAGCAGGGCCATGCGCAAACGTCAAGAACAGAAGCAGCATCCTCTAAACCAGGTATCGACGCAAAACAAACAGAAACAGCGCAAAGGTTGACACCGGTTCAATCTGCCATGTTCAAGAGCATGACGGGATCATTGTCAATACCACACTTCCTCTACTCCGACACGATCGACATTACCAGTCTTGCTGCCATAAGGACACGGCTAAATACCGCCAGGAATCCTGAGACCACGCCCAAATTCTCATACCTGCCATTCATTGTGAAAGCCGTCTCCCTGGCTTTGAACAAGCATCCTCTCCTCAACGCTCGACTGGATTTGGCTACCGACCCGAAGAAGCCGCAGCTGATGATGCGCTCTGTACACAACATTGGCATAGCCATGGACACGCCAAATGGGCTAATCGTGCCTGTTGTCAAGGCTGTCAATGCTCGGTCAATTACCTCCATAGCCCAAGAGGTACAACGCCTGGCACAGCTCGGGCAAGCGGGCAAGCTAAGCAACAGCGACTTAACTGGCGGTACGATCACTGTCAGCAACATCGGGAACATCGGCGGCGAGGTTGTCGCACCAGTCATTGTGGAAGGCCAGTTGGCAATCATGGGTATAGGCAAAATCAAGACCGTCCCTGTCTTTGCTGAAGACGGCGTGACTGTCCGTCCTGCGCAGATCGTCAATCTCAGCTGGAGCGCTGACCATCGAGTCGTCGACGGAGCTACCATGGCAAGGATGGCGCAGGTTGTGCAAAAGTACCTCGAAGAGCCGGGCACCATGATCGTCGACATGAGCTAAAAGAAGTGCTCTGCAATGAACAACAGCCGAGCAATCCCACATTCATGTCCAAGAGTACTCGCTCCCTCCGTCTATGCTAATTCCCGATCAGTTTTGCGTTCATGCCCACAATGCACCGCACAAGATCCCAATCGCCGCCCAATCCGACCCAGTCGGTCACCACAATCCCCGTACTCCAATCGCCATCCTTTACTTTGCCGTGCTCGCCTATCATATGTCTCTGACACAGGTGGGCCACAATCGCCGGATTGACCTCAGCGGCAATCTTTTCGGGCCAACAGCCGACATTCCAAAAGTTGCTCGCGCTCAAAAAATTCACATACAAGGGGATCTTCTTGCTGCCGACGTTCTGGCCCCTAAAAGCGCAACATCCGCTTCGCTCGAGATGTTCTTGGGCGTACGCGATCTTTTTCTCAATCGACGGCTTCTCCATGACTTGGTAAAAGTCCTGCACGCAGATGTCGCCCGAGGGGCACAGCGAGCCGGGCGAGCCGCCCGAGGTGTTGTCTTCCCAGACATGGCCATCGATGCCCCAGCCTTTGCCGTTCCATTCGTGCTTGAGCGGTTCTTCGAGCATGAACCGACGGAGAAGGACGATCCTGCCGCGCACTTCGCCCAGAGTCGGCACGCGTGGCTCGGTGTACCATTGTTGCAGGTTCGTGTAGTTGTTCTTTAGGATGCGGGACAACTGCTCGTCGGTGCCTTTGCCCGTGCCTTCGCGCTTCAGCGACAGAATGAGGGTTTCACTGGGATGTTCCTTCAGGAACTCGACAATGGTGTTATAAAGATCGCGAAAGTATTTATTGCCGGTGAGGGCGATGGGGAAGACGGCGTGTACGAGCACAAGCTTGTCCGAGTGTGGATCGTAAGGCTCTGGAACCTGCACCCGGATGTCGAAGAAGCGCACGCCATTCTTCAGTTGCTCTTTCGGGGATACAGCTTGGCAGCGCACGGATGGGGGTGCTTGGTGATGGGTCGGCGAGTTGTGAGTGCCTGGGATGGAGAGCAGGCCGAGCGGCGTCCGGTCGGGAAGATCCTTCATCCACGAGTCCAGGTGCGACGTGTTGAACAGGGCCACGAACGATGAATTAGGTAGATAAATGCCAGTGAAGCGTAGCTTCGGATTCGGCGCGAGCGCGACCAGCGAGGCCGTCTCCTCGGTCGGTACCGGGCAGTACATCTGGTGCTTGCCTCCCATCTCCGTCTGGAACGTCAATCTGAGCCTTTCGTTGGGCTTGTTGATGACGGCCTTGATGTCTGTAGGCACGATGGTAAACGGCGGCAGCTTGATCGACACCTCTCTGGTCGCAAATGGTTTCGCGTCCGCGTGGATCTGAGGTACCGCTTTGCGGGTGGTGGTGTTGGTCAGGCCCAGGCCATTGGTGATGTTGGCCAATGACGTCGTCACAGTTTGCATCTGGAACCCTTCATCTGGAGGAGGGTCGAAATGCTCGACCAGTACGAGGGTTAGCGGATTGTTGCTGATGTTGCGGATCGTGACGGGAGGCGCCATGGTGGTTGGAGGTGGTTGAGGTTTGCGAAAGGTGAAGGGCAGGAAACTCATCTTCTCGCGGGACGCTTAAATGTTCAATAAAGCGGGCACAAGATCGATCCGACATGGAGCTTCGAGCTAGAGCTGCAGCTCTCAGCTGGGCATGCTCATGCGAGTGGGAGGAGTTCAGCTCCAATACGTCCCTGAGGAAGCAGATTCGGTGGACGGAGGGGTAGCGGGGCATGTGCTTCTGGAGGTTCCCGCCAATCGCGTCAGTTGGCGAGTGCCGCGGGCGGTTCGAGATTCGCGACCAGGAGCGACAAGATTTCTGGGGTGACGACGACTTGGGTGTGTCGGTGAAGGAACCATGTGTTCAATGGACAAGACATTAGAACAAGATGCTTCCAGCGTGACTATCCATCCATATTCTACAGAGACTCTGTTCCCTCTGTGGCATGTTTCCCACTTTCTATGGAATGACCTTCGCCGCCTTCATTCTGTCAAATGCGATGTGGTAGCCCTTGACCGTATCAATGCTCTCGGTAAGTCCAACTGCCACGGCTGCACCCGTATCATATTCGCGGTGAAAGAAAGCCTTGTCCATCATGAAATCGAGGAAGGGTCAGAACAATACCTCCGGTCGCCTGGGTTCCAATCCGTCCCTTGCTGCCAGCTTCTTCCACAAGTCCAGATGCTCTCTGACGGAAATCGTCGGGTGGTGCGAATATGCCTTGTGGAGGATTCCCCTCAAGACCAAAGTTGGCGCAAATTCCCGCCTGTTCATCAGCCCGGGTCACCACCTCGCCTTCAGGACGTTGAAAGCCTTCCCAGAGCCGTGAAGATGGAGATCTTGACTGTGATGTCTGAGAACGTGTTTATGTGTTTGTGGCGATAGCCGTGCTCAGCGCCGGAGTACGGGACTTTGGCGTCATGACACCTGGACTTCCGGTACAACATTAGATAGGACGCTAACCCTTTGACAAATATCCATGGCGTTCCTCCCTGTTTCAAACCCGATGATATCGTTGGGCCCGATCTCGGTAAATGTCCATGAAGCAACCCTCGACTAAGCTTCGGGCACATCGCATTGTGAATAGTAGAAAATGTCATCCGCATTCGGCTTCGAAACTCGCTGGTACTACCCTCCAGCGGAATGATTATCTCGACGGCATTGGAATATTCTGGACACTGTTAGTTTTCGTCCTGGGAGAATATTGTGAATATATCGAGGACGTAAGCTTTGGTTATGGGGCGCGGTGCATCTAGAGGAAGCAACAGCAACACGACGTAACACGAAAAAGCAAACCTTTGGGTCTGTAGGGAACTTCAGAAACTATTGTTGTAGCAGTCGACAACATATTTAGGGATCAGAGTCCGGCCAGGACTTGAAACTGCTTCGGTGTCCTCTCGCGCTGACGATGGACGGGCTTCTGGATGCAGTCAAAGCTCAATGCTGAACGTTGACTTGCAGAGCCTCACCACGATCCCAGGCAAACATGTCCTGGAAGTCCCCGCCCTGTATGTTAATTCCTCGTAGCATTGGGCCTTGTGTTGTGTTTACTCCCGTCATAACGAGTCTCAGCAGGAGGTCGCGGCGCCTCGTCCGCTTCAGCCGAACATGGGCCATGACGAGTTCACGTCCATTGGTTGACCTGCCGCACTAAGCTGCGCTGTCATTGATTGTACTTTGCACTAATGTGAGGTCAGCCAAGGCCACCCCAGCCTCACCAAGCGTGCCACAGATCTATGGATATATTTTAGATTAACCAAAAATGGTTACAAAATCAGCTCACAAGTAAGCCTAGAAGCAACATGGCGCAGGGGAAGCGTAAGCATAACTCCTATCTTTCACGAAAGAGGGGCTAACACGTGACAGGCGCCGGGCTCATACCTGACACGTAACTCGTCACGTGATTCGACTCGTGACCCGGAGGACCTTGGATCGAAACCAAGTGTTGCTAATTATCGATGTTTTTTGAGCTCTTGTTGCTACTTGGAAAAACTTTTTGAGATCCGTACGTACCCGAGAACGATCTCCAAGCCTTTTTTTGTGCCTGTGCCAGAAGGGAAAGGCCGTGGGTATGGCATGTCATGGCAATACTTCATTCAAGAACCTGGAAACGTCTCGATTTCTCTTTTTGCAGACGTCGTGAATGTCGAGACTTCATGAAGTACGCCGATAGCAACATTTTCATCTTACTTGTTCTCTGCCTCGCCTCACGTGCTGTACCCTACAAAGCGACATTACCCAGCAGACCTTTTTCTGAGCCCCAGGTGAATACGAACTTCGACTCGTAATGCCTTTCGTGCCGCCGGAGCGATTCTCTCGACCGGTCAAAATCTGCCCGAATGGCTGATGCTCGACGCACCAGACACCACACCCACGAGACAAATGCACTGAGCTATGGACATCTCGGCACTGCCACTTACGATGAGCAAAGTCATGACTGGACGTTCTTGCGGCAGCTGCAGGGCGACCAAGATCCCAGTAGGGGCCAGCGGAGCACAAGTCGGCCTGGCCTGCTACGTTTTCAGCTTGTCGGCGAAAGGACTGTGGATTGTGCGGCAGAAGTGCCGAGGAGGACTGATCCAGCCGAACAGCGCTCGATGAATGGGTCAAGGTTGCAAAACACTTTCCTCAAAAACGTTGCCGATGCCGCCCTTGCCTTGACAAGTTCCCCAGCCTCAGCCTCCAGTGCGGAAGTTCAGCGAGGGAATACGGAGGAGGACGTCTCTTCGGCGAGCTATCTAGCTATAGGGCACGCGCGACCTCCATATCAGTCTGGCATGCACAACAACGATCCGTCTACTGCCGTGGTAGCACTCGCGGCGGAGTCACACCAAAACATCCTCCGCCTGGTCGGGTTCGAGAATTGCCAGGTGGCAGTTCTCAACGAGGCGGGTCTGGAGGATGTCTGCACGCTTCCATCCATTACGAAGCGCGTAGTTGGCCACTGGTGCGAATCGGCAGATCCAATAATACAGGTATCTTCTGCGAAGCAGGCGAACGGTACACATTTCCTCGTTGTCAAGCCGGGTGGAACGACGATACTACGTCCTACGTCAGCTGACTCGACACGAGACCCATTGGGTTTGCAGTCTACTGATATTCCTTCAGAGGTCCTCCTTAACGCATGTCCCATTGTTACCATACCGACGTCCAGGACGGGAGGAAATCCTCATGTGCATGCGGCATTCAATCCGCGGGATCAGAACTCGGTGGCCGTTGTAGACTCATCTGGCCAGTGGAGTGTCTGGAAGCTGATAGGCAGGAAAGCAAGGTCTGCCCGGATACTCTACAAGGTTCACCTGCTAAGCTCAAACAATCTGGCCACCACTGGCGGTCCGGCTCCTCCTACCACGGACACTTCGCGTGGAGACGGATGGCATCGGGTCTGTTGGTTGATCGGCTCCGAAGCTAGTAGGGAACGTCTTCTAGTCTGCAGTCGGCGTATGGCTGCAGTCTTTGACCGAGAGGGACAGTTCTTGGGGCGAGTAGACATGCGTCTAGGACCAACATCTGATCGAAACAGGATTCTTGACATCAAAAATAGCCAGCGTCGAGGAGATCACCTATTCGTCTTGAGTACCTCACGTCTGATGGTTTTCAGTTCGAGTACAGGTAGCTGGAAGGAGAGGGATCCGGTCGAGCCGCTAGAGTTGGTGTGTTCTTGGAATCACTACCGAGACCGAGCCAATCCAGGGTTGCGGATGAGTACCGTTGAATTCCCGACAGGTACGTGCACTCGACGGTCAGCTAATCCCAGACTGATTTTCAATGCCAGATTCTGTGGTATTGATATACTCCTCCAGCAGCCAGGTCGCCGTCACATACCGCTTCGGGAACGACTCCATAAACTCAAGTGTTGTCTCTCTTCAAGACCCTTCAATCTTTCAGTTGCCACGGCTGCTCAAGGAGCGAATGAAAGCTGTCAGCGACGTGGTCCTATACCCAGTCAATTTCTCTGCCCAAAACCAGACTTCCAACGCTGTTGACTATGGTCTCGTCAAGCTCATCGCCTGCACCAACGAAGGGGAAATAATCGAAGCGATCTACAAGTATGGTTTACCACAATTTGGCCATGCTGCAGAACTGATTGGAGGTCTTCCAGCCTTGGCGTCCCGTCGAAGGTCTACTAGTACACAAAGAAGGTCCAAACACGGTACAACGGGTGATCTGGATGATTTCGTTGTTTCTGATGTCACAGAAGCCAGTGCGGTCCCTCTGCCTGCCAAAACTGCGCAGGGCACTGCAAGTGACCTCGGTCCCTTTTCATTACATTTTCGGAATTGGCAACGTCTTTCAGATCATCTGGCGGTCAAGGACAGCAAGAGTCGAGATGTACCATTTGGAACCTGTCTGCGGCAGGCTGTCGAACTATTCGAACGTGTGCAGGGTCGTGATGACACAACATCTGTTCGCCTCATCGCCGACCTCGTCGACAGTTTTCATATTCTGGATGTGGAAGAAGACTCTCAACGTGTGGAGAGCTGGGTTGACATGCTTTTGCTGCATAACAACGTAGCCACCGAGTTTGTGGCATTTCCTGCCCATTCAAATGAATCGCGAGGTCACTTGATGAGTGTCTACAACAACTTGGTCAATACCTACGTCGAGTCACTGCCAGAACAAACCACAGCTCGTAATCGGGTGAACCGTGAGAGGTTTGTGCGCCAAATTGTCGCTCCAACAGTCTTTGGAACCTTCATGCTGAAGACTAGACCGTCTGTCAAACTTGTAGAGTCTCCACAGCCTAGATCGGCATCGATTCCTCATTCAGCACTCCCGTCTCTGTCGGCAGGGTTCGACGCGGACGATCAACAGCAGTTACAGACCTTGGGGATTGAGAGTTCTGTATCCAACGAAGAGCCAGCAGTTGCACGGCTACGGCAATATACCACTTTCGCACAGCAGGTGCCTCCACTATTACTCGACCGCAACCCTGGCCTCTCAGCAGTATTGGAACATCTTCCTGTGTCGATTGAAGAAGACCCTGCCGACTACTCTTACCAACAGACGAATCAAAAACTCAAACTCGTACAGGAACAACTTGCAGCCGAATCGCTAGACCCGAAGCAGAGGAACAAAGCACTTAAATCTGCGGTTCGATTGCGCCGGAAGCTGGAAAAGAATCTTCTGATGAGTCAAGAAGTAATGCTGCAAAGGACATTGGTGCCTAGCATTCGTACTGGGACAGCGTTGTCTAACCTACCGGCCAGAGAAGTGCAAAGCAGTCAAGCTGCTGCCCCCGGCTTGGGTAATCTCGCAAGTCAAGAAGCGAACGCATCGACAGGTTTGACCATGACACAGCCTGAGAGAGGAGCCTTTGGCACGAGGCAGGCAGCGAAGAAAGGCAAGAAGAGGCGTGCCGGCTTTTAGCTGGGGCTCTTACTGGGGTGTGGGGGTGGCCATGCCAAGCCTTCCCCGGACTTTGAATTGTCCATGCTCCGAGCAGCACCCGCGCCCCGATTCCTGAGTGGGAGAGTGGGCCGACCTTGCCCCCAGGAGTGCGGGGAAGGGCGAGCTGACAGGGCGCTCTGATCGCTGAGTGGAGGAAGCTGAGGTGCATGTCGCGTGAGGACTGTTCTGTGGTACGAGGTACAAGTAGACATTGCTCAGCTTGGTGTCAGTTGACTCGAATGAACTGGGTTGCCTAGCGCCTCCCATCTACTTGCAGCCCCTACCCCTCAGTTGACCTTCCCTCGTCCACCTCTCACTCTTCACCCTTCTCTCACTCCCACCTTCTTCATCCCACTATCCTACCGCACCGTCTCGAAACTCTCTTGCAGACGAACTCACCCTCCTTCAGGAAACTGATCCCATCGCCGCAGCTATTGGTTCCTGGTAAGCCTCTCTTTGACTTCACACTCGGCTGCCTGCCCCCTTCCTCGCATTGCTTACCATTCTACTATTCTAATACTGCTCCTACCCAGGTTCAGCAACCTCACCAACAACCTCAACTCGCTACCGTCATCATGTCCGCAGACACATCAGATCTGACAAAGGTCGATTCTGCCATTGCCGGCGTCGATTCAACGGCCGCCAAGGATGGAGCCAAGGAGACCAAGCGAAGAACAACATCAAGTGCTCCTGGCGTGATGAACATCAATGACCTTGGTACGCTCGCTGAACTACACGTTCGGAAAACTAGCTAACACACGGAAAAGAGAAAGAAGGAACAAAGATTGCTGTCGCGCCTGACACCCAGAAGACCGGATGGTAGGGACTCACTTCACGTTACCTCAGCGCAACCCCAGTTTACTAACACGATCTAGGAAACTCAACACGTCGCCTTCCACGATCGAAGATTCCTCAATCCTGAAAAAGCCACTCACAACTCCACCCGTCAAGAAGATTGACCTTCACTTCCCACTGGGCCTTGAGGTCACTGCACGGAACCTGAAGGGTGTGACGATAAAAGATGCCCTGGATGCCATTCACAAGCAATTCAAAAAGAAGGTGGGAATACTCCAAGCATGCTTGTGTGGGAGAGCCAAGACTAACTCGAAGACGTATAGGCTGATGACGAGATGGAAGAGCCATATCTGAAAGGCTTTGAATGGGATCCCGAAGAATCGTGGACCAGACTCAAGGTTCACACTCAGAAAGAAGGTCTCCCAGCTGGCGGCAAGAAGTCCAAAAAGAAGGGTGGTGACGAGTGAATGTCTCCGACTGATCACTCGGCGTATACAACAATCTGCTCCTGGCTGGGCAAAAAGACCAACTCTCGACATTCCTACAAACGACTGATCGGACTCGATCACATATGCCATTACAGACAAACATTCAGCTCGGTGTGCATGGCAGGGTGCTTCGCGGCGCATACTTACTCACTCCGGTGGTGCTTGCTCAACGATAAGTTGACAGATATCTAAAGGGCTTTGGCGTGCTAGCTTACACCAGCAATGATATGACCTTGAACTGGATTTGTTCCAAATATCTTCACAGTAGCATGCTATCGAATTGTAGGACTACGCATTTCCACGCGATGCCGGATCGGTTCGCCTCACTTTCCTGTCCAAGGAGCCACTGAATCTCATCCACGTCGTTAAACCGCTTTGACCCCAAAGATAAGGCAGTCCGCAAAATAGCCGGAATCAGGCAGTGTACTGTACGTGATTGCTGACTTCCAAGGCCTTGCATGTGAGCAACAATGTCGATCACCGTACAGTTGGGTATCATCACCTGGCTTTTGCCCTCGAACCAGGCCTAGAGAGGCTGCAATTCTGCTAGATTTCCTCAATTTACCTTGATCTGAATACCTCGTGGTTGCCGCCAAAGGAAGGATTCTATAATATGGGGTCAATACCAGAGTCAGAGTCGAACGGCACGAATAATGCAATGATCCCAATTATCGACCTCGCACCCTTCACGTCACCGTCACCGTCACCGTCATCATCATCACCACCATCAGATGCATCCGCCGGCGCACGGCTAAGAGCCGCGCAAGATCTCGTCCGCGCCTGCCGAGAGGTAGGTTTCGTGTACATCAAAAATCACGGAGTCCCGCAGGATGAGCTCGACAGAGCATTCGCCATGTCCAAGCAGTTCTACGACCTGTCCACGGAGGAGAAAATGAAGGCGCCGCATCCGCCAGGCTGGGCAGTGCACAGAGGCTACTCGTGGCCTGGGCTGGAGAAGGTCTCCGGGGCATTATCCGAGAAGACCGACGAAAAGTGGGTGAGGAAGTTGCGGGAGGTGCAGGATTATAAGGTCCGTGATTCTGTGCATTGGTGCATCTGCGCGTCTATGGGTTGCGATTCGTTTACTGCAACACTTTCGACAAGGAGCAATCCCTCTAGTTGCCGGCTGTGCGGGCACTACCTTGACACTCCACTTTTGTACTGTACTGACATTCTTCCGCCTTCGCAGGAGAGCTACGAGGTCGGCTCAGAAGACAACCCGGACCAACCTAACGTGTGGCCACCACCTGAAGTCCTGCCTGCATGGCGCCCCTTCATGACGTCCTTTTACTGGACGTGCTTCGAAACCGCCAAGCACATCCTCCGCGCACTGGCCGTGGGCATTGGCCTCGAGGACGAGAATCACCTGCTCGCCTACCATTCCGGACATTACAACCAGCTCCGCCTGCTGCACTACCCACCTTTACCGGCCGAGGCCGTCGAAGCGGGCATGTTCGCCCGCATGCCCGCGCATACGGACTGGAGTACCATGACGATGCTGTTCCAGGACGACTGCGGAGGCTTGCAGGTCGAGTCTCCGACCGTGGCGGGAGAGTTCATCGACGTGGCGCCTATTCCGGGCACCTGTGTGGTGAACGTGGGCGATCTGCTCATGCGCTGGAGTAATGATTATCTCAAGTCGACGTCGCATCGGGTCCAGTTGCCGCCCCGGCAGGATCGGCATACCGGGGATGAAAGGCTGACGAGGGCGCGGTATTCGATCCCGTACTTTGTATCGACGGATCCTGATACGGTCATTGAGTGCTTGACGAGAGGCGAGCAAGCCGAATACGAGCCCATTACACAGCGGGAATATGCGGCTATGAGAGCGAGGATGCAGTATTGAGACCCGGTATATAGGGATTTGAGCTCTCTCAACGCTTCTTGGAGATTGAAGATGTGATGCGCCCGTAAAGCGAGGTGGAACATCTTGCGTAGGGAAGGTTGAGCTTATCCTCTCTTCATACTTGTTGGTCTATGGTCCCACAGGACCAAGTCAGCAAGACCGCCAAGACAGATCGGCTGGGAAAAGGAGATGGATATTAGGGCTCGTGCAAACGTTGTCAGGGTGCAGCAGCTGTGCGCGACGATGATCTTCATCCGACGGCCTTGAGAAAAGGCAGATACATCCTCGCGGCCAGCTTGGTCGGAGCAGACCATAACAGCTCTGTTGTTAGCTTGTCCTGCAGCCCTGGGAAAAGTGATTCTGGATTCTGGATGGAGATTGCAAAAGAGCTTACTGTCACCGGTAGTGTTGTTGGGCTCCAGATCGGCGATGAGAGGTCGTTGAGAAAGACTTTGCTATCGAGTCCTCGTTCCAACACCTTCTTCTCGCTGCCAAGCCTCGTATTCATCGTTGCGAAGATTACGAAGTATCTTCTCCGGGACAAAGGTACCCTGCAGATATGCATGTCACAATGCTTGTGATGTTGGGATGCCCGCTTAGACGCAGGGAACCTTTGTCTGAATGGGCGCTCGAGTTTTCGCTAACCCAGGGGGCATTGCGTGGCTTCTGACCTCTCGTCCCGTGCCGTCTCGCGATCGCCGCATTCTGCTTTGTGCAGAAAAGAGTAGCTGCCATGAACTCAGGCCATTGGAGCGCGGCTGTGGTATCAGGATGCCTAGTATGGCAACGGGATCTCAGGAGATCCAGATGCAACCGGGCGCATCAAATGCTGCGCGACCAGTTATATTTGCCTGTAGAACGACTCGTGGTTCAACGCTTCATTTACTCCCAGGCGCTATATCTGTAGAGGCAGGCCCAGCAAACTCTGTGCCTCGCTTAACTCTGGGCGGTTGCCTCGTCATTCTCAAACTGCTTTAGTGGTCGCGGCCTTGCGACGACAGGATGCGGGACAAAACTCTCGACTTCGACCTCACCCCCGAGTCTGCACCTACCCCAGATTCCGTCGCCAATGAGCTGGATGCCCTGCACTTGACGATTAACATGGAAGGACTAGAAGGACAGAGCGAGGCAAGAGCACAGTATCCTCAAGAAGAGCAAGACTGGGACAATGTGAAAGACGTGATCACCCGCTTGTACCAGGATGAGGGCCTGACGCTGGTCGAACTGCAGCGCAACTTGCTCAAGCATCACAACTTCAAAGCGACGTATGATGTTTTGACCTGAATTCTGCAGTCCAGCCAAGTTACTGATCTATCACCAGTACTAAACAATGGAAGTCGAGGATTACCCGCTGGGGCCTCAGCAAGAACAACAGACAGCACGAGGCCGAGGCGATCTTACTGAAGAGGCAGGCACGGAAAGCGCAGGGGAAAGAAACAAAGTTTTCCGTGCGCGGCCGCAACGTCGACATTGCACGCGTTCAAAGATACGCTAAACGCAAGAGGCTGGATCTGAGTCGCATTGACGAAGCTTCGTCGCCCATCGTCAGGGCCATGCAAACCATCCGTTGGCAGACACCGTCACCTCAGCCGGGCCTCCTGAACGATGCGTCCAGGCACCCGATGCGGCTGTTCGACAGCATCGCGGCATTTGTGGACGGTACGCTGGGGGAAGCCCACCCTTTGGCAGCAGAGATCTGGAGAAACACCCCTTTCAACGCCGACAAAGCACGAGCACCGTTCATGTCATCGATTCACAGTGCGCAGCATTTTCAGGACTTGGAGCGTTACGACCTTGCTTTCTTGTTCTGGCGCCGCGCTTTCCGAGCACTTGAAGGCGTGATCCAGACCTGGAACCGAGCCACGATCACGTACCTGTTGCGCCGCATGCGCGTTTTGGAATGGAAAGGCAATGCTGACGTTCTGAGAAGTTTCCGTGCCTACATCAATCAGTACGCCGCGGTGGCGTTTTCCAAACAGGATCCCCGCTTCACGCTGACCAAGGCGCTGGCAGAATCCGACACAACTTCTCTGAACGTTTCCAATTGCGTCCTTGATCAGCTTGTGGTTCAAGGCGGTGAGTGGCAGGACCTAGCATTCGAAGAGCGTACTTTCGTCGACGCCTTGGAACTCGAGCACGACGCCAATCTTCCGGTGGATGAATTCGTCGCCGGGATCGAAGAGGCAGACCGCCGATTCGGCTACCACGATAGCCGGACATGCAGATGCGTGCTCGACCGGACGCGGGTTCTTTCGAAGCGTGGCTACCACAATCGAGCCGAGAGGTTCGCCTACGGAATGCTCCAGCGTGCCAACGGGCTCGCAGATCTGGGTGCCCGACACTGCTACCGCTTCTACGGCTTCTTTTGGATGGCCATATCACAGTACGAACTGGGAAAGTTCGACGTGGCAGAGTTCAATGCCCTCGAAGCCTTGCGGAGCAATGAGGAGTTTGCAAAGGTCAACAAAACGCGAGCTTCGGCGAGCGAGTATTTCTGGGAGCTGCTCGAGCTGTTGCAGAAGCTCGCAGAACAGGACGGTAATAAACGGAAGGAAGCTATCTGGAAAGGCAGGCTACAAGAGGTCGAGGACGAGGTGGTCGCTGAGGACAAGCAAGCGAATCCGGACTTCTACCGCAAGCGGCAACGGTGAGTATCGTAATATAATTACTATTGAGATGTACGCCACGCCTTGAGAGGAACCCGAGATTTGTTTACTTGCGACCCGTACGGAGTGCTCACGTAGCTAAGAGATCACGGCGGACTAACTCAATAGGTGCTAATCACCTATAATTGGGCTTGGTCGGTGCTTGGTAGGTGCTTAATAGGCTTCCCCAGTAGTGATGTCAGCCGGTCACAAATTTCGGCGCTACTATCGGAGCAACTAAACTGGGTGACTCGCACCTCCAGTGTGTGACGTCTCTATCAACCTCCGCCCGCAACATCAGGTACGTTCTACTTGAACGGAGAAACCACAGCTTGATTTTGCTGCTGTGCGTTGCGTTGCATTGATGCTGAGAAGACGCCCAAGCTCGACCCCGCTGTGGCTTCCTTGGTTGCCTGCATGTTCCGCCTGGCCTCTAATGCTATTCGATGGGCGGTGATACTCACGCCTCATCCCTCGGCCTGGCCTTACCATACAAGCTAGTGAGACCCTGTCCGGAGGTCCGTGCTAACCCAGGTCTGAGAGCGCCAGCAGTGGACAATAAGCAGCCGCAAATATACCCGGCCCCAGCTGTGCGGAAGAAGCTGTTAGTTCTAGGAGAGGTAAAGCTCCAAAGACAGCCACGACATCATAAACTCTGCTTGTCATCCTCACAATCAATCTTGCTTCGAGTGGCACATTTTCCCACTGATGCGGTTTGCTCAACCTTATTACGATGTTGTGGCTAACACCAGCACTGTTGACTTTGAGCCTGCCGGCGTCGGGGGAAGCCTCACCCTTTGATATACAGAATGTGGAGAGACGACAAGGTGCAGATGCGCTCTCCACGTTCATTGCTCAGGAGCAGGCCATTTCCCTACAAGGTGTTTTGTCCAACATTGGCGGCCTCAACTCCAGCTTGGTAAATGGCGCCAGGCCGGGTGTCGTTGTGGCTTCACCCTCGAAAGTCAATCCAGACTACTTCTACACATGGACCCGGGATTCCGCCCTGACATATACCATGCTCATCGACGAGTTGATCTTCGGCAACCTGACATTGCGCACGACCATCGAGGACTACACCGCTGCTCAGGCCGTCTTGCAGACTGTTACCAACCCATCTGGATCACTGTGGCCAGCTGGCGACGGACTGGGGGAAGCCAAGTTCTACACGAATTTGACCAGATACGACGGTACATGGGGCCGACCACAGCGTGACGGACCGGCATTGAGAGCCATCGCGTTCATGACACTGGCGCCTGTTCTGTTCCACCTGAACGAAACAGACCTGTACAAGCAGATCTACTGGCCATTGGTTCTCAACGACTTAAGATATGTCGGTCAATACTGGAATCAGGTAAGGAATGAGCATTTTGTCGTCCAGACCTTATCCTGAGGGTCGAGCACCGAGCTGACGAACCGCAACACCATTAGACTGGGTACGATTTGTGGGAAGAAGTCCATGGGTCCTCCTTCTTTACGATCGCGAACCAGCATAGGGCTCTGGTCCAGGGAGCCCTCCTTGCCGAGCAGCTAAACACGACCTGCAGACCGTGCGCCCAAGCACCTCAACTGCTCTGCTTCTTGCAAAACAACTTCTGGAACGCTTCAGGTGGATATCTGACGGCCAACATCAACGCAAACCAAGTCATGCGCAGTGGGATCAATGCGGATCCCATACTAGCCAGCATTTCCGTCTTTGACGCGAATGCTACTTGCGACGCTGGAGGTAAGCGAAGGACGATTTACAGTTTTTCCCAACTTGATTGCTCAAGGGCTGTTTACCTGGCACAGTCATGTAGACTTTCAACCGTGCAACTCCAGAGTCCTTGCAACACATAAAGCCTTGGTCGACAGCTTCAGGACGCTCTATCCAATTAACAATAACGCATCCGCTCCGAACGCCGTCCTAGTGGGCAGATACCCTGAAGATACCTATTACGGAGGCAATCCGTGGCCGCTGTGCACCTTTGCCGCAGCAGAGGTACTTTACGATGCGGTGCACCAGATCAACCGCACTGGCACCTTGACCGTTGACAACGACAGCCTCGCATTCTTCCAGGACATATCCCCGAACATAACGGCGGGGAACTACACCGGCACTGCTCTAACGGGCATACTGGCCAATATGACCACATATGCAGATGGCTTTGTCTCGGCAGTACAGCAATTTCTACCACCTAACGGCAGTATCTCCGAGCAGTTCAACCGGACGACAGGCGAATCTACCTCTGCATCGAGATTGACGTGGTCATTCGCGTCTTTCGTCACTATGGCTCGCCGTCGCGCCGGCCAATATCCCAACTCATGGGGTGCGTGGCATTCGCTGGCCAACACAAACTTGACTGCCCGGCAGTGCCGTGCGACTAGCTTCAACGCCACGGGAGCTTACACGCCTGCCCTCGCAGCCGGTGCTCCCAACATCACCAAGGACTGCGCATCCGAGGTCATCTTCAGCGTCAATGCTTCGACCCAGTTTAGCCAGAACGTCTACATCCTCGGCAATGTGACGAAACTGGGAGGAGCGCTGAATAACGCGGACAACATTATCTTGCCGCTCAATACTGGGAACATTACGTCGAACAATCCACAGTGGTATGTTGACATTTGGCTCCGTGCGGGTCAGACAGTGGGCTATCAATATGTTTTGCAGAATGGGAGCGATTGGGTTTTCGAAAGAGGACCTGTGAGAACGGTGAGGGTCCCTGCTTGCAGGAGCGGGCGACCCGTTAGGACGAGCGATTCTTTCAGGTTTCCTTCTTCATAGGTGGGAGAGTGCGAGCATGACCGTGAGCGTGGACATCTAGCTCCACGCCTACAAGTAAGCAGCAAGATTCAAATGGAAATGCACACTGCCCACCTCCTGTCGATGGTATTGGGGAAGCCATCGAAGGTCTACTCCATGCCTGCGCGTCAAGAACTCCGACTATACGAACCAGCAAAGCAGCACGTGATGCTGATAGTGGTGCTATCTGCATCGGTGTGTTATGCGTAGCGGGATCAGAGGTATTCTGGTAAGGTGGTCAAACAGCTAAATATTCTGGCGGACGGTTGGACGGACCTGGGTCTACTGGGTCTACTGGGTCGTGCCAACCGCGGTCCTTCTAGATGAATTGTCTCCAATGTCAGAATAGGAAGATGGTCAGGGCGTATGTGGCTAATTAGTAGAATCAGAGCGCAGATTCTCCAGGTCGATTGTGCACCCTCGAAGCGGGGCTTGTGTAGAGCTGATTCATGATCAAGTGAGAGACAGCATGAAAGGAGCACACAAACCAAAGTTTGTAGTTCATTATCGTAACGCCTGCAAGTCCCTCAGTGGGCTGGCATCCCACTTCACTTACCTGGACAGCATTCTTGGGGGTTTTCTTTGTGGCAATTCAGCATTCGCAAACCTGGACCAAGATGTCTCTGGATCTTCCCGTTTCTATAGGTGTTTGCGGTATGTAGCGCTGTGGTGAGTAACACAGGTGAAGTGCCGGGGGCAACATGCGATTGCTATGCTGCCTTTGAGCGACTTTTAGAATTTAATTCCGAACCACCAAGGCTCACTTCCCCTTCACCACCACCACACTTCGACCCTTATTCTACCCTTTCAACTAGCCATCGTCCTACCCATCCCCTTCCCTACCACATAGCACTTGTCGTTGGATCGTTGTTCATCAAGAAGTAGCACTACATCGCCGACGAAGGTCAGTCTCCTGCTGAATCTACCATTGCCAACTCGTTCCTGAAGCGCGCGACGCCTGCTAACTCCGACGCGCTCTTTTCCAGCCTTACGCCACTTCTTCTCCTCGATCCCCCAGTCGCCACCTTTTATTCCCAACGCAAAAAATGTCGGATGCAGGCCAAGGCTCGCCGAACGGCGCAGGGGGCGATATGGGCCAGACGCCGGCCGGGAACAACGAGCACTTAAACATCAAGGTCACGGACGGGAACAACGAGGTCTTTTTCAAGATCAAGAGGAGCACAAAATTAGAAAAGCTTATGAAGGCTTTCTGCGAGCGGCAAGGCAAGGACCCCAAAACCGCTAGGTTTCTATTCGAAGGGCAGAAAGTGCAGACAGGCGACACACCAGAATCGGTCAGTGGCCACGCTACCCCTTCTACACGAGTCAGAGCACGGCGTGATGCTAACAGTCGTCGACAGCTCGAGATGCAGGATGGCGACTCTATCGAGGTTCATCAGGAACAGATTGGTGGCTCTGCGTGACGAATTGGATATTGGACGGCATTTTGCTTTTTGCGGAGATTGACAAGTGCGGGAGAGAAGAGCCTTGATCGAGACAACGACCGAGGTGGAGACGGGGAGAGGACGGGCAGGGGACCTCATATGATTGACACGAAGAGGACACCTCTTAGCAGGACGACATGACGATTCCTCTTGTGAGCATTTTACGATGGCATTTGTCGCACGCGGGAGATATCGAGGCGTCTACTCCGTACTGGGCGCGAATCAGTGGCATTAGCTCAACATTGGGCGTGCAACAGGATCTTGGTTCCTTTGCAATTTGCTCTCCAACCTGTGACTGGACGCGCTGTCTTGCTTCCTCCAATCTGTGCATAAGTTGGTACTGATCTTTGGGCAGCTTGAGGACGTACTGTTCAGCCGCTTCGCCCACGGTTAGCGAAAGACTCACCGCTAGCGCGGGACGAGGCTAGTGCAGACCTTCCCTCACGCTCACTTCAACGGCGCCTGGACTTGTCGTCACTTTCCTCACTTTCAAGTCACTGAACACTCGCAGGGAGCAGCTACAGTACCTGGGCCGCGGCCAATGCATCTTTCTGCTGACGAAGAGAGCGCGGCTTTCAGCTCGGCGTCTCTCTGCTCAGGAACTCCTTATTCTCATTGGCCGCACTCCAGCCACCTCTCGTCAAGGCTGACTCTGGAGAAATAATGCCACGTTGCTATGGCCAAAAGGTCGATATGCCAAAGGGGACCGCTCCCTGGCCTCCATGCGCCTGGTTGCTGTCGTGGGCCAATAAACGCAAGCTGCCTCTGAGGCTGTGTTGAGGGGTAGAAGGTGCATACAGGCCGGCTGGGGAGCTTGCCTTGTATGGCTTTCGCAAGGCACACTCAGTAAACCTCCCAAGGGCTTCTTTTGATCAGCACCATCGCTACACCGCACAGCCAATTCCATGCTGGAGTAATTCGGTGCCCAGTTGTTGCTCCTGATGCATCGCTCAGCCGTTTCTCTCGCACCTGTTATATGCCACTACTAGTCGATTCCTATCCTTCTTCCTCCCGGTCCCAACCTCGACATTGGCAGCCTGATCAACTGCTCCAGATAAAATGGCATCAACACCAGGCAATGATGTGGCCCTCCGCCAGTCTTTCAGCAATGTCGGCTTACAATCCTCGTCCTTCTCCCAGCAAGGAAGCTTAGACTGGGTTGCGTTTGGTCGAATGCAGTATTCAGCTTCTATAGCTGTGCTTGGACGTCTGGCTGGCGCAGGAGTCGATAGCCTCACGGTAGCCTTTGGGCAGGCCATGTGTTCCGCCATACCTCTTGGTATACATGGTGAAAAGGTGCTTCAGGACGCCATGAAACGATTGACCGCCTGTTCTACGTTCGGTGACCTGGTCTGGTTTGGCGTCGGTGTGCGACATATCCTACGAGACTTGGTTCAAACCAGGCAAGGGTCGGCGTTAGTGGCCCTCTGTGGCGCAATGAGCGAGGGCTACTCGAGCGAGGTGTCCGCCTTGGTATTGTACGAAATGTCAGGCTCTATGGGAGCCCCTGGCGAACTCAGGCCCTCGTTCCCGCAATGGCACGCTCTTGCAAAGGTCACAGCCAGTGTCTTCGTTGAAGGCACCTCTGGTCTACGAATCCGCCAATTCCTGCGATTAAGTGGTCTACCTCAAGGCCGGCACAAAGACCCTGGCCATCCCGCTGACCTCGCGCAGGTCATCCTTGCCGTTGGAAGGCTGTCGTCGAGTGCTGTTGAGACTTTGTATATTCAGGGGGGACCAGCCTGTAGCTGGGTCGCTGCTTTTGCTGACTGGGTCCTTGGTCTACGAGTACGATTACTATCGTGTAAAGGTGACTTGATCTCAATGAACTACGACCCGGCTCTACTGAACCCGCAAGCCGTCATCACCTTTACACTGCCCGACACAGGACGCTCCGGTATCCAATGCACCGGCAGCACAGCAGCTATTCGGCCTGGCTTGAATGTCATCCGCGACTTCTTCGGTATTTCCCCTGATTCATTACCGACGTCAGCGAACCCAACTCTGTTCTCAGGCGGTCGCTTAGAATGGGCAACCATGCTTCAAGACACCTTTGGCCCGGATTTCTCTGAACTGATGGGAGACTCTGTGCATTCGGGTCCCGACGAGAATCAAGGTCCGTCATCGTTGTCGGTTGATCCTGATTTCCAGAAACATCGGTCTCAGCTCTTTGCCCGGACTCTAGCCAGCGGAACTTTTGATATTCTAGGAGATACCATCATTCTTCATTTTCATAAGAGTCATGCCGCGTTCATGCTGTGGCTAGTGAAGCGGTTAAGTGAGCTGCGCCCTTTGACCTCAATCCTCCTGGAAGAGTCCGTTCGTATCACGAAGAAGGTCGCGAAATTCAGGTGGCCCAATTACGATAGGAATCTCCAAAAACTCCGAAGGGTGTGTCGTTGTAAGGCCCACCGCGTCCAGCGGATCCCGCAACCAGGGACAACAGAATTTTGTCTTCCCGCTATTGCTGAGACTGTCTTGCGCTTATCACAGCTTCTATCGACTTCGATCCTGCACGGGGATTGCCGGCCTAGCCACTGCGGCCTAATGACCATCTACTATGAAGCCGCTGGGCAGTTTAGGTGTGGGAGTGCTTTTAAAGATCCGCTTGCCTCGAGCCGACTTCTCCACATGACTTTTAGCCTCTATGCTGGGGCGCACTCGATCTCGTTCTCGGACGTGGCGTGCGCCTATTCTGATGGCAATATTTTTGCCTACATGGGGACCTTGGAAAAGGCAACAGATTCGGTCGAAGAAGCTGTACTTATACACGTCGGCGTCGGCGCGATCCAACATGGTCCAGCCGTTTACAGGACTTTATCTGGCATCGTTCCCCTCGAGAGTAGACAAGAATATCCCGTCCGGCATAATCGTCCAACAAACGGACTAGCAGATCTTAACCAGGATACGACTTCACGGGACCTTCGCCTACACGCAATGGTGCAGCAAAGATTCGACGGTCTAACTTTCTGGTATAGAGCCTCTTCTGAACATGGAATGACTACCTTCTCACCCTTAGATATGGTGGAGCGCCTGATAGTCGCCCGTTCATACTTGCGACTCGTTGCAGAACGATACCCTTCCGTTGGTGTCAGCCGGGACGATTCCATATTTGGGGAACGTTATAAATACGTCGTCGAGGGTGAAGGGGTTGTTTCGTCGGTGCTAGAGTTAATGGAAAGAGGCGTCTTCCTACTTCGGCCGGTCCGCAACAACACTCTCGGCCGCTGCGTAGCCATAGCACGCTCCCGGTTCGCAGTCTTTTTGGTTAAGAACGATGAAGAGCTTGACATTTTCTTCCAATACTGGACAGAGAGGTTTGGAGCCGAAGGAGAGGGAGTCGATGGTAGAGAAGGAAATGAAGATGATGATGAAGGCGACAAGGAAGGTAACAATGAAAGCGAAGAGGGAGGCAATAATGAAGGCGACAATGCAGGTCAGGGTGAAGGTGACAATGAAGATCACATGAGCGCGTCAAGCCTTGAAAGCAACTTTGATTGGAGGATGCGTGGCTGTTGTCAGATAATCTCCTGAACACAGGTCACTCCCGGGCAGGGAACGCCTACCAAGCATATTCACTGTTGCTGCTGCTGCTATTGCTGCAACACTGTCACCAGAGTATGGCGTATTCTTCCCTTTATCACGGGAGAAGACCCTTCTCGACTGCTACACGACGGTACCGGACTCAGCGAAAGAGGAAAGAGGGACGAGTAAAGACGGCAGGGGGAAGAGCGAAGAGGGACGGAGAAAGAGGGAAGAAGGAGGTGGGAAGAGAGATACAAGGGCTCAGTACTACCTACTACCTACTACGTTTCAACATGCTATCCAAAGTCTACTTACTGTACGAGGTACTATCAGGTATGTAATGCGGAGTACACAGGAATCTGTCACTGCATCCTCGTCCATCTCGTCGAAGTATCCTACTTCGCGAAGTCCATCTGACATGTAATGTCGTCGACCTACATGTACATGTATAGGTAGCTATCCCCCCGTTTCTGGCCCCAGGGAGCACCGAGCACTCATAAGATTTGGTACCTAGATACCTAAGTAGGTCGTCGATGAGTGTACCCGGTACCATATCGGCAGTAACTAGTTCATCGGATCAGTACGGAGTTCATGAGAGGAAATGATATGCGATGCTGTACGCACCCAAAGTACGGAGTACACTACATACATACTTTCCGGGTGGCCATGCTGGAAGACCAGTCTAATTACTCTACACAGACAGTGAGTGTAGGAGAACAACATCCCGTGAAATCATCGACTCAACTTCGATTGATCGCGATTAGGACGATATGGACTTGTTTAAAGAGCACTCTACTCTGCAGAGAAGATGGGAGCAAGAGAACAACGTTCCCTGGAACCATCGATTCAGCTTCGATTTATCGGTGTAAGGACGATATGGACTTGTCTAAAGAGTAGTTTGCTCTACAGAGAAGGTGGGAGCATCAGGACAGCATCCCATGGAACCATCAACTCAACATCGTTATGTCGGCATAAGGACGATATGGACTTGCCTAGAGAGCAGTCTACTCTTCAGAAACACTGCGTACAGGAGAAAGTATCTGGTGGAACTATCAACTCAACATCGTTTTTGTCTGGATGGGGTCTTTACCGTGACCGGAACCATGACCGTACTCGTCCCCAGGTAAAAGGATGGCGACGGCAATTGTAATGCAAAAGGTTGCTAGCGTGAGCTCAATTCCCTATCTGAACCTATGCTGCCCCTCTCGCCTGCAAGATAATGTGTGCAACGCTTCGCTTGGGATTGCAATAAGCAACGTAAGAGATCTTGTTCTCATCGGGGGTGGATGTGGATGCTTCCAACAGAACGAATCAATGGCCTTAGTCTCTCTTATCAGCGACATAGTACAAGACCATGCCTTCACTGACCTCCGTGCACTCCATCAAGACTAAGACTGAAGAAGCCAATCGCTTCTGCTCAGACACGGGGAGTACATCATCTAAGCTTCCTCCTCAAGAGGAGCCTCCTCCTCACCATACTCCTCCTCACCTTCGGAGATGCTAGCATCCTGGTACTGCTGATACTCCGAGACGAGATCGTTCATGTTGGACTCGGCCTCGGTAAACTCCATCTCATCCATACCCTCGCCGGTGTACCAATGCAAGAAAGCCTTTCGTCGGAACATGGCGGTGAACTGGTCACCAACACGCTTGAAGAGTTCCTGGATAGAGGTAGAGTTGCCCACGAAAGTGGATGACATCTTCAGGCCGCGGGGCGGGATAGAGCACAGAGCGGTCTGGACGTTGTTGGGGATCCACTCGACGAAGTAAGAGTTGTTCTTGTTCTGGACATTGCGCATCTGGTCTTCGACTTCCTTCATGCTCACCTTGCCACGGAAGATGGCTGAGCAAGTGAGGTATCGACCGTTCCTAAAGTCAGACGCAGCCATCATGTTCTTCGGGTCGAACATCTGTTGCGTGAGCTCTGGGACAGTGACGGCACGGAAGGAGTGAGCTCCGCGGCTGGTGAGAGGCGCGAAGCCAACCATGAAGAAGTGCAGACGAGGGAAGGGGACCATGTTGACTGCGAGTTTTCGCAGGTCGGAGTTGAGTTGACCAGGGAACCGCAGGCAAGTGGTGACGCCCGACATGACTGCGGAGACAAGGTGGTTCAGGTCACCATAAGAGGGGTTCGACAGCTTGAGGGTGCGCATGCAGATGTCATAGAGAGCCTAGACATGTCAGTGCTCGTCAAGGCGTGAATGTGACAGATCATACCTCGTTGTCAATACAGAAGGTCTCGTCGGAGTTCTCGACCAACTGATGGACGGAAAGGGTGGCATTGTATGGCTCAACAACAGTATCGGACACCTTGGGGGAGGGGACGACGGAGAAAGTGGCCATCATTCGGTCGGGGAACTCTTCACGGATCTTCGAGATCAACAGCGTACCCATACCAGCACCGGTACCACCACCGAGCGAGTGGGTGATCTGGAAGCCTTGAAGGCAGTCACAGCTCTCGGCCTCACGTCGAACGACATCGAGAACCTGGTCGACAAGTTCAGCGCCCTCGGTATAGTGGCCCTTGGCCCAGTTGTTTCCTACAAAGAGGTGTTATTTGTGTGTGCTTTTCAATGGTTTCAACGTGCTTCTCCTACCAGCACCGCTCTGGCCAAAGACGAAGTTGTCAGGACGGAAGAGTTGACCGAAAGGACCGGCTCGAACGGCGTCCATGGTACCAGGTTCCAGATCGACGAGGACGGCACGGGGGACATATTTGTTGCCGGATGCCTAGACCAGGTCAATTCATTGATCAATGGAGCGCGGGGGTCGAGGTACCTCATTGAAGTAGACGTTCATGCGCTCAAGCTGAAGGTCTGATGTGCCATTGTAGCTAATGTCCGAGTCAACTTGATGGTTCGTGCCCCTAGAAGGTCTTGTACATACACTCCAGAGCCGTCAAGGCCATGTTCGCCCGAGATGATTTGCCTATCAAGGTGTTAGGATTGAGCGGTCACGCGTCTCGCGGTGTGTGCGTACCAGAAGGCAGCACCGATTTGGTTGCCCTGTGATGTTGTCAGTCTTTGATGATTATGATGCTGTCGGTTGAAATAGCCTTACACATTGACCGGTCTGAAGGTGAACCTGTTGGTGATAGCCATGTCAGTTGTTGCTCGCTCAATGGTGGGGTCGAGGGCCAGGGCACAGGGGTATGCAGGTCACCCGACGCGTGTTGCACTCACGATTTCACGCATCCTGACTGATTGACGACTGGGTTGACGACGTGATAAGAGACACGCAGTGTGAGGGAGATGAGAGCAAAGCTACACCCAAGAAGAGATCTCCAGAAGACAGGATGGTGGTGAGGTGTCGTTGTGGATAGAAGCGAGACTTGAGAAATCCGCCGTCAACAAACTTGAACGTTTGGGCAGAGGAAGTGGACCGCCAAGCGGCTACTGAACGTAACGGCGCAAATCAGCGGTGAAGAAGCCGCTAAGTACCTGTTGTTGCGCTTTCCCTCTTTGAGCTCTGCGGCAACACGAGCGACGCGTGAAAATCAAACTCGCATCACAACACTGGAGCAGAAGTTGAACCGAAACGTATTCATTATGCTGTGATTCTCATTGGTTTTTTGGTCTACGATGAATCCGCCATCTTTTATCGCTCTGTCCATGCCAAGGACATGCTGGGTATCATTCAAAAGAATCCCGGTGACTGTTCAGCCTACAACTCATTTGAAGGGTATTCTACCTTGGTTGTAGGCAGTGTCTCCTCTTTCATCGACCTCATGCTAACGAACCGCGACAAGATGGCTGCCGAGCCAGCTTTGTCGTTTGTACCTGAAGCTCGTGCACCTCCGAATGGCTGTTGTCCGACCACAGCACCTTTCCTCATTGTTAGCTCACGAGCTGATTGCAACCCGGATATGGGGCACATACCTGTACTCTTGCAATTGATATAGTAGTTACCGGCCGCATTTCTCAGGGCTTCCTCCGCATATCTGACGGCGGCGCGATCCTGGGCAAATACAGCCCCAGTCAGGCCGTAGTCAGATGTGCTATCCACCAGTTCACAGGCCTTCTCAAATGAATCTGGTTCTGATTCGTCGTAGACATAGACCGTCAAGATGGGTCCAAAGAACTCGGTCTTGAAGTTTCGATGATTCGGATCCTTCGCGACATAGACTGTAGGGTGAACGTACCAGCCTTTAGAACTGTCGTACTTGCCACCAGTGACCAGTTCCAAAGAGCTGTCGTCCTTGGCCGCGTCGATGACACCAGAAAGCTTCTTGAAGCTCGCTTCGTGTATGACTGGGCCAATAAAGTTATCGAATTCCTCCGGCGGCCCTACCTTGAGCTTCTCTGTAGCCTCAACGAGCTTGCTCTTGAACTCGGGCCAAATCGAGGATGGCACGTATAACCGCGAGGTAGCACTGCATTTCTGACCTTGGTATTCGAATGCCCCTCGAACGGTCTGCACCACTGCATTGGTGATGTCCGCACTGTTATGAACTAGATGAAAGTTCTTTCCCCCGGTCTCGCCAACTATCCTCGGATAACCCCTGTATCGTCCCTCAGCGATCCCTTGGCCGATCTGACCGTAGAGTTTGCGGAAGACGGCTGTAGACCCGGTGTAGTGCAGAGCGGCGAAGTGCTTGTGGTTGAGAACCGCCTGAGTAACCTCCTCGGCATCACCCGGTAGGAATTGGATGACGCCTGCGGGCAGACCAGCTTCGGTAAGGATTTGGTGCACAAGATAATTTGATGCGATGGCTGAGGGACTGGGCTTCCAGATGACCACATTGCCCATGAGAGCCGGAGCGCCAGGCAGGTTACCTCCAATAGCTGTGAAATTGAAAGGGGAGATAGCATAGACAAAGCCTTCTAGCGGTCGGTATTCCAACCTGTTCCACACGCCCGGGAAGTTGTAGGGCGGCTGCTGGGCATATAGCTCCTCCGCGTATCGGACGTTGAATCTCAGAAAGTCGATCAGCTCGGCAGCCGCATCGATCTCTGCCTGCCATGCATTCTTTCCCTGCCCCAGCATTGTCGCCGCCATGATCTCATATCTGTATTTCGTACTGATCAAATCTGCCGCCTTGAGAAAAATCGCAGCTCGGTCGGCGAAGGGGAGAGACTCCCAGGCAGGCTTGGCCGCAAGCGCAGCATCAATGGCGTTCTTGACATCTGCTGCTGAGGCATTGGAGTATTTGGCAATGGGCGTCGCGTGGGAGGACGGGTTGCTCTGGGTGAGCACGGAGGAAGTCTGGACGGCCTTCCCTGACACCACGATGGGGATATCGAGAGGAGCTTTCTCTTGCAGAGCTCTCACGGCGGCCTCCAAGCCTTCTCTTGACTTTCCGCCCTTCTCATAGTGTTGGTTTGGCTCGTTGGTGATGTTGGGTAGGCGGAACGCGGCGAGGGTCGACATGCTGAAGGAAGTTGGGTGGAAACCGCGGACAGATTGTGTCGACTTGAAGACACGAGGGAGGGAAGAAGCAGGTTGCGAAAGTGAAAACAGCTTCCCGCATGAAGCAGACATTTTCTATGAGGAGGCAACCACCACTCAACACGATTTGACTCCTCCCCTCCTTCCCTCACAGACCACAAGGTACGCCCCACGCTGATCTTTATGCTATGAGATGGGCTGCTGGCTATCCGCGGCTCCAGGCGGGGCGCGCCCAAGCCCATGTTCGCAGGCATGGAGATGCCCGCCAGAGGAAGGATAGGCATTGCTCGGTGCCTCTCTATTGGTAGGAAATGCCAAGGAGTGGCGCAAAGGCTGAAGGACACCCCTAGCTAGCCTTGCATGTATTCAGACTTCAGAAGTCACAGGGCGGAGAAGCTCAGGAGATCGAGCATTTTTATCGTTGTACTATGCTTGAGCGGAGACACGCTTTGCGAAGGCTTTGGTTCAACCTTGGTGTTGACGATGGAGTGCGAAGGGACATCCACCTGTCCTCTCCTTCAACAACTTCTCCTTCACCAAGTCCATTTCCTTCTGGCCCTTACCCACAAAGACAGATGGCCCTACATTTTTCACCTCAAATCCCTCCGGATACGTGTCCGGGTCTCCTGGACGGGATATCCCAAGCATCAGACCGAGCAGTGCGCCAGGTCCCCATCGATTCCATAACGTCGGCTTGACATAGACCGGTGCGGTGTCCCAAACGAGGTAGTACCTCTTGCCCTTTGCGTCAGGTTCCTTGGTGAGCATCTTCTTCGCCGTGAACTTGGGTCTAGGTAAGGCCAGATACCTCAGATACAACCGTCTCAGCTTCATAAAGCCATCGAAGAATGTTGAATATGATGCTGGTGCTCTCTCAAACATAATGGCTTCCCTCAACCGGTCGTCCAGTGGCGCACTGACGACTTTGGTAAGAACACCCCTCATGAATGCAGGAGATTGGCTGATCAGCAGCTGCCGAGTCTGCACTGCTGTATCGTAGTTCTTCTTGTTCGGGACCATACACCTCTTCTCGTAATCTTTGGCCCAGGTATCCAGCTCGTGGTAGAACTGCACGCCATCTTTCCATCCCGTGGAATATGATGGGAGCTTCTCGAAAGAGATATCCATACCGTCGCCCATGGCTTTATGGAAGACACCCATAGCGCAGATCTCCAGCTCGGTCAGCTGTCTCCACTCGTACTTGTTGATCCATTCAACAGGCTGGTTGAGGAACAGTGACAGCGTATAAAGCATATCGTCGTTGCTGATCTTGCCCTGCTTGATGTAGTGGCCATGCAAGTAATTCAATCTGGCATATGCCTCGATGCACCTGTCGCTGTTGGGCTCGGCGCCATACATATCGCCTAGCAACACTCCGGTGTCGGCGTAACGCTTGGGTACATTCTTTTCGGTCGACAGCTGAGTTGTTTTGACGAGTAGCTCGCTGATGGTCGGGATGCCATAGGTGCGAAACAGGGCGAACTGTAAACCTTTCTCGAATAGAGCTGGGAATTCGGTGTCGCTGACAACTTGGATGATATCGTGGGCCTCTTTCACAGTCATGCCCTCATATGACGGCCGCTCCGGGGTCCCATATTTGTACTTGGCCTGCAATGATTTCAGCTTGCGAAAGCGCAGTGCTGAGCAGAGAAACGGGTATGCGACGATGGCAGGAAGCAGGTAGTAAGACCAGAACGATGAGAGACCCGAAAGATTCTGTGTAGAAACAGATGCGAATTTCGAGAATGACTCGTTGGTAAATGTTGCCATGTTGTCGAGTTGATGTGTTCCGGCGGCCAAAGTGTCTTTCCCAACAATTAGCAGACACAGTACGAGCCTCACAGTTGCATGCGAGGAGCCTCGATAGGATAGCAACGAGGAGTCTCCTGGAGTATGCGCCGTATCACAGACTGCTGGACGACTGCTCAGTTGTCTTGGGCGGGAATTGTCAGCAATTTATCTACCTACAGCACGGAGTCTTCTGGATGGCCTCGCTTAACAAATCTGCCGTTACAGACTGTACATAAGCTAGGCCGGGCGCCTGGAGCCTGCAGCCAAGCGCTCTTTACGCCTTAGGATCTTTCGGCTCTAGGCCCTCAAGATGGAGGGCCTCTTAAGACTCCGCGCCCAGTCTCAGGCATCGACCACGATATGTTGACAAGCGAACACTAACCGAATTTAATGATTTGATTGTGTACTCCGTACGTCCATGCGTTCAACTTGTATCGAACGATTCCATGCTTCGCAACTCCTACCGTACCAGGAAAATGGGCAAACGCGGCTGTGTACAAGAAGTGACCCGACAGCACCTTTGCAACAGGCCACGTTTTGTGGTCCTGTACGTTGTGCTGCCCTGCCCATCCGAGCGCGGCCCGCAAAATCGTGCTGACACAATGTGGCCGCTCCATAAGCTGCGCGAGATGCTGAGCAAGACGATCTGGGATTCAGAGTCTCACTGGCTCTTGCTGCAACACGCACCCTGGTCGCATTCTGTCGCCTGGATGTCTGCGTCGACACACACGACACCACAGCCGAGTCAGCACGTCGATGTCGATACGGTCTGAGTCTTGTGTAAGCAGCTACTGTAGACACCCAGAGTTACCCAATCAGAGGATCGGGATTATCTGCACTTCCTCTCCTCAGATGTGCAGGTATTCGGGATTAAATGCTCCCATCAAGATGAATGCAGCCGACTTTTGCATCCGAAAGTGCATGCCTTCTCAAGAAGCGAATAGCAGGCGTTCTTCATATCTGGGCACATTTGACTTCCTCCCAGGGTATGTGTGCTCTCTCGTGGTAATGCATCCTCTCGGGTATACCTTGCAGTTGCGTTCACAGTGGTCATCCGATGCGCGTCTCGCTAAGTGCAGGACCATGCAGGTCTTCCTCCAATCAGCCATACTCCATGCGACGTTTAGAACTCCCATGCGAATGTTGTGTCAATAGCGCCCGCGAGGCATGTCGTCTTCCTCAGTATGTATCCTACTCCATCTTTGCCCTTCCGTTTGCTAGTGCAATTGCGCGTGCGGCTGCCTCATCAAAGGAGTCTATAACGGGATTGTTAGTCTGTGCAATCGCCCTCTTCTACGTGCACTCACCATATGCGTCCAGCTTGAGACCACTTTCTTGAATGAGCTTTTGACCCTCAGCCTCGCGCGTACCTCGGATCCGGACCACCACAGGTACTTGCAGATCGAGGTCTTTGAAGGCCATCAGGATTCCCCGCGCGATCATGTCGCCCAGAGTCAACCCGCCGAAGATATTGACAAGAATACACTTCACTCGAGGATCTGATGTCACGATCCTGAAGCCAGCCTTGATGGTTTCGGAAGTGGCCTTCCCACCGGTGTCCATGAAATTAGCGGGATGACCACCTCGAGCAACCAGTGCGTCGACGGTGTTCATGGCCAACCCAGCTCCATTGACTATCGTACCCAGAGTTCCTTCTCCCGCCAGCTTGACGTATATCATGCCTTCCTTCTCCGCCTCGACTTCCTCACGGACTTCGCTGTTGATGTCTCTCAGAGCATGGACATCAGCCTGGCGGCCAGAACTCCGGAAAGCGGCATCGTCGAAACCGAACTTGGCTCTCTGTACTTGCAGTCCTCCCTTGTCGTCGACGACAATCTGGGTCTGAACAACAAACGCTTCCTTGGACATGAAGATGTCGACCAATTCAGCGACCAGTCTCCGCAATGCATGTTGACCGTGGCCAGAGACGCCCAGGTGCGCTGAGACTGTCTCGAGCATGGAATCCGATAGCGCCTCATCCGTGCCGTACGCAAAGGGGAATTTCTTGGATTTTGCGAATGCTTCTTCGGGATTCGTTGTGGGAGACACGATAATGCAAGGTTGCCGCGCCTCTCGGTCAATGGAGATAGCGACAAACCTCTCGGGAAGTCCAGTAGGTACGTCCACCGTCGGAATGCCTCTCGCATTAAGCATGTCGAATGCTTGCGAGGCTTTGACGTACAAGGTACGCTTCTGTGACGGGATTGCTTTCCCTTCTTGCGGCCTCGGTAGTGTCCGCATTGTATGAAGGCCTCGCCTTTGTGAAGCGCCTGGACTCGAGGGCGTTCGTGGAGTCGACGTTGTCCTCTCAGCCAGTAATCTCTTCATGCCTTCGCCGAGTTTCTCTGGGTGATCCACAACTGTCACACCGGCATCTTCCAGGATGTTGATCTTCTGCGCCGCAGTCGCTTCTCCAGGGGCCGCCCACGCCCCAGCATGGCCCATGATACGACCAGGCGGCGCCTCGATACCTCCTATTACGGACATGAAAGGCTTCGGGTTTGCTGTCCGCTTATTGTAGTCTTTGATCCACTCTGCCGCCCTCAACTCCGCGCTGCCGCCGACCTCGCCTATCATTATAATGCCTTCGGTGTCCTCGTCCTCTACCAACACTTGGAAAGCTTCAGTGAATGTTGTCCCTGCAAGAACATCGCCACCCATGCTAATCCCGTATGTCTGGCCCAACCCTGCTCGTGTCGTAGAAGCCACCGCTTCGTAGCTCAATGTGCCGGACTTCGCAATGATACCGACTTTGCCTTCAGTAAAGAATGGCAAGGGCTGAAAGCCTAATCGACATCGGCCATGCACGTTGATAATGCCCGGACAGTTTGCGCCCACCAGTCTCGTCTTCGACTGAGTTCGAAGCATTTGATGTATTCTCAAGATATCGTGGACCGGGATGTGTTCGGCGACGGCGACGATTAACGGAATTTCGTTCTCAATCGCTTCCTCCATGGCCGTGACCGTGCCATTGCCTGGGACGTAGATGGCGCTGGCGTCGGGCTTGAGCTTCTCCACAGCTACTCTGACACTGGGCAGCACAGGTAAACCCAGATGCTCTGCCTCCACTCCAGGCTTCACGCCACCAACAATATTGGTTCCAAACTCGAGCGATTCCTTTGCATTCATTGTTGCTTGGCGTCCAGTAAACCCCTGGTACAGCACGCGAGTATGTTTGCCGATTTTCAGGTTGTTGATTGTGTCTGCGTAGCTCGACCGACGCGCCGAAGATGAAAATGGAGCGACATTGCCACATGTACCATATCTATGCAGTATGGGTAGCGAAGCTTTCTGGGATCTTATACCCCGTGGGAGGATGATCCTGGTCATCTTGCCAATTGACCCCCGCAGTCGATGAGACAACTACACCAGACACACTAACAAATGACCTTGCGAGCTCGGAAAGCATCAACGAGAATCGCACAGAGACTGCACGCAAAGCGACAAGACGCTATGTGGTCGGAGCGGAATATATACAAAGGTTGGGTAAGTGAGTCTAGATTTATGCTCGGCACGATAACCGTTACAATCGGGTAATGGCCGTGAAGCAGATGAGCAACTCCCGAGGTCGGAGAAACGCCATTGATGAGGAGGCTGGTTTATCGAGACGCACGTCGTGGCGTTGGGGGATGGATAGGTGATTTCCGAGACGCTAGAGAGCTTTCGAGACGAAAGTGCTCGTAATTTGCGAGATCGGACGCGATAGAGTCGCTGAGACGCCGAGGAATTATCGAAGCGGTGGGTACCTCGTACGACGAGAAGGAAGACACAAAGCAGCTGAAGTATTGGACTGTACGGAGTACCACAGCCCGCCCTCTCTTTCTTCTCCGCCCGACTACCTACTGTGTAAGCCCGAGCTGACTGGCACAAGATCACATCGGACTGGGTCCAGTCCAGTCTTTGCTGCTCGGCATCGATTGCACCTTTCATGGCCCCTCGTGCCCCTGCAGCAGGCGACACGACAACTGAATGCGGGGATGGTTCGCAGATTCCCCAGCGTTGCAGGCACCAAACTTTAACCGGAGCATTGTCTGTGGTGAAGCCCAACTGGCAACTGCCGCTTAACTTTACCTGCACGTGCCATTCGTCATCCAGCCTCTCATCCGTTCCTCTCATGCGAGGCGTCTCAGCATTGGAGCTGCTTGCGGAGCATGGTTCTTCAGGTGGTGTCAGGAGCATCGATCATCATGACATCGTTGTATGATGATCTGATCCTTCGTTCCTGGATTCTGCTTCAAAAGCCAACTCGTGATCTCTTTCGACAGTAGTGTGCAGGAATTACTTAAGACTTCTTCGCCCTCGGCATGTCCGTCCAAGGATCAATGGAGTCCAAGTTATCGAGCTTACACATAGATCTCCCTCCTAGCTCGAAAGATATACCCTCCAAAACGAAGAACGGCGTGTTGGATTCGTGGGAGGACGATGAACCCGAGGAGACGTCGAATACGCAAACACCTGTTGACGGAGTGGGACCCCCACTGAAGCCAGTCAAGTCGTTGGATCCTGCATTGGGACCACCTCCTCCGACTCCTATCTCACCAGGTGGGCAGGATATCGACTGGTCCCCTGCCCAAGTTCTTGGAGGGGGCCGTCCGAGCACCCGGCCATACTCTCCGCCTACCCCGTCTACTGCGCAAGCAGATTCTGATAGAGACCGAAGGAGACCAGAGAAGACCACGGCTACCGCAAGTCGAATGATTGCTGCTGGATTAGGAATGAAGGCCCAAAAGAAGACGGAGGAACAAAGGCAGTACGATCGAGCTGTAAGAGAGCAAGAGGTGAAACGACGGAACCGAGAAAAGGAAGCAAAGGAGCGTGAAAAGGAAGCTGATGAAAAGATGAAGGCTGCAGTCTGGGACGGTTGATCTGAGCCTTATGTCAACTCCGCTGCAACAGATTGATCAAATATCCTGCGCGCTTCAATCGATCTGCCAGGTCACGGGGTTTCTCAGCGGGCGGCTACAGTGGTGATGATGGGATTACGATGACTGCTTTGGACGCGCCGAAGGTGCAGGTGGCTGGACAGCTTTCTGACGGGAGCCCAGAGGGCAATGAGGATGAAATTTGAAGAGTGAGTACTGAAGAGTTAAGGGCGAAGACCTGAAACCAAGCCCAACAACTCGCAGAGGGAATAATTATTGCATCTTCGGCGTCATGAATTATGAGGAAAACGCTGCCACGGGGTGGCTCACATGTAGCTTCACAATAGGGAGGTTAAGACAATGCAAATATCTCCAATCCAGCCCTTAGTGGTCTATACTGCCCAAAAAATATCACTATGTCTAACCTTGGATTGCTGATCTGGAGATGAATTTCAAGTTACGTTTACCGGCGCCTGCGGTGGTAGGTACTGGTACCTATGACGTAGTGCTATTTAGCACGCTCAATGCCTGAGCGCCGGTACGTTACCTAGGTAAACATTTAGTCAACCTGACTTTGAAGGATCCCTTGTATCAGTCCCATACCATTCACACCCTGCACTGTTGTTGAGTGTGCTGGATATATTACATCTGAACGAGCACACAATGGTGAGCTCCGTTCGGGTCTGAATTCGCCGTCTTGACATAGATGCTTACTATGGCCAAGGGCAAACTAGAAGACGATTTGAAAACAGATCCTCCGTGCCACCCTAGGGCGGTGAGTAGACTCTTCCACCGACCCGAAAGACATTTGAAGCTGATGGATTCTCTGCCAAGTGTGCCATCCAAGGTGGGTGACAGTCTCCATGTCTCCGAGCAGGCAGCGATTGACGCCATCATCCAGATTGCCTGCAAAAGCACAACTACAAGGAAGAAAAGTGCCAGTCAGCGGTAGACGCCCTGTACGAATGCTGCAATGCCTTCTACAAGGACAAGGGCGATGACGCCAGCACGACATCGTGCCCGAAACCGAAGCTACTGAAGCTGAAGATGCAGCAGCGAGGGCAAAGTTGACATGCTCAGAGAACGCCTGGTATTCTGTACACAGCGTCCCATCGAGCATGTCTGGTGTCAAGGTATTCAGAACCCTGTGAAAGAATGTAGCAAATCGATTTTTTCTACCTGAGCCATCGTCCCTTTTGCGAGGTCTGGTCAGCTGAACAGCGAATGCCAAAATAACGCTCTTAGGCAATCGTGAGCACGCGAGAGACCCCGTAGGATCTGAACAAACATTGGAAATATTATCGTCTGTTCCGAGACTCTAATGACTACCTGTATGACATTTGGGAAAAAGAAGAAAAGGTCAGAATATCAGAAGGTGAGGTGGAAGGGATTTTGAAATTTTCTTCGCTGCACCAATGCTCCTCCGTAACATCGCGTCGCGTGTGAAAGCGAGGCAGTATCAGAAAAGCCGTGAACATCCTTGAACCCAACGTCATTTAGGGACTGTACAGCTGCTATGGCGCCTGTTACGCGGTCTTCGCTCTATGGAAGGCAGTCGCAGGTGAGTCAATAACAGTGCTTTTCTTGGAAGACTGCTGATTCGATTGACAGCTGGAGAACAACCCCAGCCAGGAAGAGTCGAACTCGCCAGGCGACGGACGCGAGGATCAGCAAATGGCTGATGAGGATGATGAAGAGTCCCTTCACGAAGGTGCGACTGAGAACGTCGAATTTCTTTACACTTCACAAGGCGGGGTGGAGCTCGGGCGACGGGCAGGATCAAGCATGCTGATCGACACAACAGATGCGCAGTCTCCTTTTCGGTCTTCTGCGCAAGAGATGCTTCGTCCTCTGCAAGACACTGCCGAACGAGTAAGCCGACAGGTCGAGGAGTTTGCGAAAGCTCTGGATAGATTCGTCTCCAATCGAGAACCCACGGACAACTCTCTCTGGGACGATGCGTTGGTATTGCTGGAACGCTATAGCAAGATCGCAGACATACGGAAAGCCAAAACACCTGCCGGAGAGGAACAGGGCGAATTGGACAAGTTGCAGCTCGAATCTGATTTGTGGATTCTGGTTAGGAACCTGCTGTACACTAATTCACCGCGCAACCTCAACGACGTGCAGATTGCCCAGGAATCGAGACTGGCGGGCTTGCATCGTTATTCCACCAACACCGAGCTTTGGACTGCATTTCTAGACTCAGATGCTGTTGCCCAAGAGTACGAAAATATCCTGTCGTGGCTGCAGGAAAGAGCAGCGGATACATCGCCCCCCGTCGAGGAGCTTACACGCAGTCTGATGGACAAATCATCACGTGGTGACGGCATTTGGAGCTCTGGACCGATCTTTACTCAGTCAAAGATCAAGCAGCAGAAGCGCACTCGAGTGTGGTCGTTGCCACTAGAGCCCTCCAATCCAGGCTTGAACCGAACGCATGTCCGTGAAAGCGACCAGACCCGGCTTGTTACACAGCTCGACCCCGATGCCCGCACTAGGGAGTCGGCAGCTTTTGAAGATGAAGATGAATACTACGACCAGGCAACCTGGCAGACGTATTGGGAGATGCTGCGCCGAGGAAAGAGCAATACCGAAATCCAATCGTGGTTCTCGGAGCGAAAGATGTTGTGGAAATATGCCTCTCTCTGTGGGGGTGGGACTCCCACCAAACAGATGATCGACTCTCCTTGGGTGCGGATATTGAACTTTGCCACAAACTCGGAATGGTTGGAGCGCTGTCGCATGCTGGCTCAGAACCCTGCGGTTGAAGATCACTTCCAGAGAGCCGTCTATGGAGTCCTGTGCGGCGACTTCGGCGCCTCCAAGTCTGCAAGCAAGACCATTGAAGATCACCTGTTCTCCATCTTTAATTCTCTCCTGATCCAGAGATATCAGCACTATCTCGAAGCTTTCAGAACCAGATCCTCGGCATCTACCATCCCCGGATATCGGCCTGCAGCACCTTCCACCGAAAAGATCCGACAGTATCTGACCGTCGTCCAGTCCGACCCATCAATCAAGGAAGAAGTCCACCTCCCACACAAGCTGATTGAGTTGGCGGTAATGTCAAAAGATTTTGGCAACCTCTTCGTAACAATGGGTCGGGCTGCAGCCCATGTCTTGTACGCAACTGGCCAAGGTTCGCAGCTCATGAAGAAGAATGAAGGCGAAGTGAATGAAGTTGCTTCACTGAATGCGCAGGACCAAGACTCTGTACGAATGGTGGCGCACCTGCAGCTCTTGCTACGGTCTCTTGGTATGCTGGACTCGGCGTATGCCCAAAACGAATATGAGCTGGAGAATAACATCGCAGCTTACGTCGGGTTACTGGAAAGCTTGGGAAGATGGCTCCTGATCCCGCTTTATGCTTCCAAACTGTCCAAGAAGAGAAGCTACCACGTCTTGGGAGCCATCTTAATCAATGTGACGGACCGTCGTGAGCGAGACTTGCAAGTCAAGCTCATGAAGCAGTACAACATCGACGTCTCGGAAGTCGCCTACGGTATCTTCTCGCTGGCCAACTTTGCAGACCTGCAAAAGCTCCGCCACTACAAACACGGTCCTATCTCCTCCAAGATCACAATGATGGGAGGTACGGGCAAAACTGCTCAGCACAAGATCCGTCCGGCCATGATGAGTGGCGACGTCCCCGAAACCGAATTAAGGGCAATCAGAAGCGTCGAATGGATCCGGTATGTTGATGCCGAGAACTGGGGATTAGCAGCTTGGTCTGTTGGCGTGCTGTACAAGGTCTTCCTGCTCGAGGGGAAATTCGTTGCCCTCCGCCAGCTGCTTGAGCGAGTTGGACTGTCTGTGATGTCCCTTGCCGCCGTAGGTATGAACCTACAATTTGCAGACGCGGATCCACCCACAGGCCACATCGAGAGTGAAGTCGACGAGATGGATGAAGATCACGTCAAGCCCATGAGCAGCCCGAGTCGCAAGCGGAAGGCAGCCGGCACCGATACTACGTCCGGAAAAGCAAAGACGGATCGCCAAACGCTGGCACTGCAGTGCCTGGTATGGAAGCAGCTAGAGCAGCTCGTAGCTGCCATTGATGCTTTGGACATTTTCCAAGAAGTGGCGGACGCCCTCGAACAGTGAGTTCCCCTGTCTGTCATTGCCTTTCGGTAAACTAATTGCAGTCGCACTAGACACAAAACCAACCCGTCCGCAGCGCGCAATTACAGGCGAGAACTCAAGCGAACTCTTGACGACGTCCGACAAGCGATGAATCCAGTTCTTGTCGACGACTTCCTCTGTCGGCCGGATGATGAGAATGAAGCAACCGTCTTGGACGACATCCGCAATCACTACATTCCCGAAGTCGTCCTTGCGTACAACAGTGCCCTATGGTTTGCAGGCCACTATGTCTCCCGCACCTGGCTCGTTGAATGCATGACTCTGGCGCAGGTCGTCGCTGAAACTCCCATGTTGACCGCGGTTTTTGTTGCAAGCGGAAGAATGAAGGAATTGGTTAGGGCGTTTGCGGTCGACAGCCAAGCGCTTCTGCAGGCGACCGAGCAAAGTAGCGCAGGTGGTGCAGGGACGGGTGCCGGCCGGGCGAAGAAGATCCGGACCGAAAAAGGGAATGCGGATATCTGGAAGGTCAGCTGGAAAGAAGACTACAGAGCTTTGGATTTAGAGGCGATGGACTGAAGCGGAGAGAAGTCTGTTGCGACTCCTCTTGCTCGACAAAGACAGATCTGCGGGCTTTTGATCAGGGATGTGGTTGTGCTGGATCTCAGAATTGCTGAACGTGACGTCCAGTATGCCTTTCTCACTTAGCAAGGCCTCTGGCAATGAAAGACCTCATTCCGAGCTCTGAATCCGTCACATCAGTCCGTCCTATTCGATGAGCCCAAATAGACAGTATCACGCATGCCATTCACAGGTCATCCAAAATTGTCGAGGCCTTTTAGCGAGTCCGCCCAGCGACCGACAAGGCTGAAAGAAGCGAGATTGACCATGGCGACGTTGAGACACCAACAGTTACAGTACTGTAACGCATCACGCTCAGAACCATCCAGAAACACAAGACGACCCCGTACGAGGTACTCCTGCTGCAGTATCCTACCAATACAAAAATCTCTTGACCTCTGTCCCCAATACCCGGGCTCCTACTCAATCGGTGTATACACATGTACCTACAGAGTACTCCGTACTAACCACACCACTTACCCACTTCTCGAGGCAAAGAACCCTCGTGCCTCGGAACTGACCAGCCCGCTCGCTCGCTCTCTCATAAACCATGTCCTTACCCATCAGCTCGGTCATCCAACCCATCGCCATCCACGGCTTCCCCGCCCCAGCACAGGAAGGACGGCGACCATGATGAACCCGCACTTTCGGAACTTGGTACGGAGGCGTCCTACTCCTCCTCGCCCTCGCAAGCCAGCAGTACTGACTCTGCTCCCCAAACACCAACACGCACCTTTGGGGACGCCATCGCCTCGGCCACGCCCGCACGACTTAGGACCACTCTCCTGAACATGTGCCGCCAGGACGCCATCTGCGTGGCGTTGGCGAGGAAGGAACTCCTACTCGTCGAAACGGGGACATGCGGAACCGGAGATCAGGCGAGTGCGAGCGCGATCAAAGAAGCGCCTCTGCAAGGCGTATGAAGTGTGTAGGCAGTGCGAGGAGGAGTATGATGTCGAGGAGAATGAGAACGAGGCCGCCGGTGGGGAAGGCTGGTGGAAGGGCGTTGTGCGGGTATCATCCGGGTATGTTTCGTACCTAAGCATGCATTTCATGTGCGCGTGCGTGTGCGTAGTGTTGTGTTGGTGTGCTGGCTGTGTGAAATGTATCGCGCTTTATTGTAACTAGGTATGCTTGTTGCGTCCTGTAACGACCTGAGGGGGGGCGCTGGTTACGCTCCATACTGCGTTTGAGTCCACTCGACGGTCATATTTGTTGGTGTTTGACTGTCTGAGTGTTGACTGTCTGAGTGTTGACTGTCTGAGTGTTGACTGTCTGAGTGTTGACTGTCTGAGTGTTGACTGTCTGAG